GGAGGCATCACACAGATCGTGAAAAGGCATGCCAAAGTCGACCTTGACAGCACCGCCAACAACGGAGAACAATCATCCATCTACTACCTCGACGCCAACAACCTGTATGGTGGAGCCATGCACAGAATGATGCCTTACGAATTAGTGGGTGTACCCGAGCGACGAGAAGTAATGGAAAGGATCAACCGTGATCCGAATGAATGGGTGCAATCACTCAATACGTTCGGCAAGTATGGGTTCTTCATCGAGTGCGACATCGAGGCACCAGTGGAACTCCATGATAAATTCAATGACTTACCATTCTTCCCCGTACAGAAGGCGGGTATGTATTCTGATGGAATCAAGAAGTACGCAGCGAAGAACGACATTGTGGACAAAGTGAAAGAGGTGAATACACCGAAGCTCATTTGTGATCTTGTACCTCGACGCAAATATCTCGTGCACTACTCTCTGCTGCAATTGGGTCTTCAACAGGGATATCGCGTCACGCACATCCACCGCCTCATCCGTTTCAAGCAGGCACCATTTATCTTCGAGTACGTGAACATGCTGAGTGAGAAACGAGCCAAGTCCAAGACTACTGTGGAGAAGAACCTGTACAAGCTGTTGGCAAACTCGACCTATGGAAAATTCGTGGAGACTGGGTTGAAACGAATGAAGGTGAAGTTCGCCAACACGTGGAATGAACGCGAGGCTATCATTCAGAAGCACGGTAACGACATGATTGCTGGAACAACCATGTATTCCGAGAATCTCATCGGCATTAAGCTGAACACACCGGTGCGCAAGGTAGAGAAGCCGTTCTTCATCGGGTTCGCTATCCTCGACATGTCGAAGCACATCATCTACGATTTCTACTACAACGTGCTCAAGACGACATTCAACAGTGTGGAGTTGTTGGGACAGGACACGGACTCGCTCATCGTGCAGTTGAACGACCGTGGTAACATCGTCCACAAAATGTGCGATATGTACAAGTCGTTTGACTTTTCTGAGTTGGATAATACGAGCTACTTCTATGGACAACTCGTGAAGTATTACGAGCATGAAGTGGACAAGAGAAAGTTCCCTTCATTGGAATCATTCCTCAACTTCAACAAGAAGTTGCCGGGACCCATATTCAAGGATGAGCATAACGGGCATCGCATCACTGAATTCGTGGGACTTAGACCAAAGATGTACTGTTTGATTGACGAGAAGCATGTAGTGCATAACGCAGCGAAGGGAGTTCCTCGCAATGTGGTGATTGATGGAGAGAGGATGAGTGTGAAGAACATCGAGCTGTACAAGCGCGTCCTTGAGGCAGAGAAGAAGGAAGATGCAGTGATCGAAGGTACTTTCAAGCGTATCAACAACCAGGCCTTCGATATCAGCACGAAGGAGCAAACCAAGACCCTCATGACTTGCACGGATAACAAACGTTGGATCTTGGACGACAACATACACACACTTGCATTCGGGCATTATAGACTGAAGTAAAGGAAGCAATCTTTCACTTTGGACAACCATGGATACCATGGCCTACAATGGAAGTCAGGTTAACATTGCAGGAATTGGCCGAAATTGGCAGCCATGGGTTTCCGCGCGTTTCTTGTTATGGACAATACGGTAGCCAGGCAGGCAATGGCAGAAAATGGTCGAAAATGGGTTGCCGCGGTTATTTGGTAGGAAATGGATTTCCGCGTGTTTCCCGTCATGGCCATCGAGGTGACCAGGTAGGAAATGGCCGAAAATAACAAAAAACGGGTTGCCGCGGTTATTTGGTAGGAAATGGATTTCCGCGTGTTTCCCGTCATTCCCCTACTACTTATTTTTATTATGTCGTAGGATTTGTAAGTGTGGTACTTAACTACACAATCGATTGAATTAATTATCACATTATAAAAGATTAAGAACGAAGAGAAATGACTTCTTCATACTATGTTTCATCAACCAAATACTGTTATTGCACATATCATTACATGACACAACAAATATCAAGTGTGCTTCAGACATTCGCTTCAATTAATAAGCATTCTTTTATTATGTTGCTCACTATTTATTGCGAAAATGTATTCTTCTATCAAATCAACAACGTGATTAAACCTTATTCGCGAAATAAGGGCTATGGTGAAAGTAATTACCGGTGGTTAAACAGGCTAAATACACATAAGAGACCATTGCATTCATACCTTAAACCAGTTTTGAAGTAATCTAAATACAATTTGAAACTAAAATGTGACATCTTTCGCTTTTCTATCTAATAAGAACACGACTGGTCTAGTGATGTTGCCACATGACCCATTTCTAAAAAAGTATAAAGTAATACTAAATCTTTTATTTCATTCTGTAATCCTCTTTGGTCACTGCAGACTGAAAATCAAATAATATTCTATGAATTGAATCTATGAACATATATGATTCGCATCACAAAATTAGGCCAAACACAGAAGCTGTTTGAGTGAAATCAATAGATGAGCACAGCCACAAAAACAACTGCTATATCAACAGAGTTGAATGCTTTGGAGTTTCATCTAGAGGACGAAAATACTCAAACATACTATTCAAATCATTCTTTTCTTCTGCTTTTATTTATGAGTGATTGCCATACAGTGCCTAATCAGAGGAGCAAGGAAGGATCAGCAAATATGTCTTTAGATACCGAAAACACCTTTAGGGTAATGATTTAGAGTTAGTATACTTAAATAGATTATGAACCAATCTGAAAAAATAGAAATCACAGGAAAAAGCGAGTCTGCATTATATCCACCCTCTGAACATTCCTTACGAGCAAACAGTGAGCAAATTCACTCTGTGAATGTAAGTAGCAATCAATGCTCTATTTCAATGTGTTCAAATATGGCTAATGCTGAACATACCGTTCCAAAACCTGGCATCATACAAAGTCCATCTGAGAAATGTGAGAATAGCTCAGGGATAGAAGGCTCCGATGTTTCTCAAACAGGAAGAGAACCTGTTTCGAATTCCTCTTTTTCGTCATATAAGCTCAACACATCGTATCTTGATCGCTTTATAACATCTGCTGTTGTGTCATCTGAATTAATACGAATGCGAGTGTATCTATTCTCTGCTTTTCTCTTCCAATAGCTTTCCAGATGTGAAAGAAATTACAGAGAGTGTGGCAGCTTATGTCCATGCTTCAAAATACATCCTTTCCCAACAGATTGAACCTCCTTCACAAGGAGTCGTTCGAGATGCAATCTTTTGTGTTGGTGATGGCTCAACTCCTCGATCTGCAGCCATGTTTGCCTTGTACAATCCATCATGGGAATGCTATAGTATTGACCCACAACTACGAGAAGTATAGCTAGTAAACAGATTGATATTAGGGATATATCAAGACTTTGGATCATGAGAAAACGCTTGTGAAACATGATATGGATGCTCGTCGTGAAGAACGGCGTTCTCTTTGGAATAGTATTCCCAATCTCCATATCGTGGGTGAATGTGTGGAGCGTGTGCGAATTCGATGTCGTAATGCAGTTATCATTATGATACACTGCCATCTTTCTTTTCAACAAGTAATGAGTTCGATCGAATGTTCTTCCGTTCTTGGAGTGGTCTCATTACCATGTTGTAACTATTTTGAAGTCCAACGATTGTTCATGGGACAATTACCTTCTTATGAGTCATTCCGCTGTTCGGTTTTCATGATATAGAGTCATCGATCCTGCAATTTGGAGCGAGAAAAATACGGTGAGAGTTTGGATCAAACCCGAAATCCGATGGATTGATGGTTATTCACCGGTAGTGAGTGAGGCAATCCGTAGAATTGTACAGTTTGTTATCATATATAGCGATCTTTCCGTTTGCTTTAGGGAAAGAAAGGCTGTTAGCAAGTCGGGAACTCCCATTGGTTGCTCTTGGATCGGAAGTGAACGTCGCTGGAGAAATCGTTTCTGTTCGAAAGTATGGATAGATAGAAGGAATTAAAACGCAGATTCGGGAAGAAACTCACTTTCATGTTTATAAACACAAGCAATGTGTTTTATGACAAGAAATCTGATTCCTATGCTTATTATGATACAGATAGTTATGATGTGTATAATCAATGTCGAAATGCATTGTCGTTATTATTGAAATTGGATGTTTTCGTTGCTTCAGCGTATCTTATCGTTAGACTCGAGTGATCGGAGAGGAGAAGTATTCACAGTTTTCAAAAGCTAAAAATCGTAAGCGTGATGTGTTTTTTTCAGTTAGGAACGCTGATCAAAGGCAGGGGAGTTGTGATTGAAAGTAAGGCGAATAAGCCAATTATCGAACTGAGAGACTTGCAAGTATTGGTTGAGTATTGACTTTGATTTGGTTTGACGATATAGAAGAAATGAAATGGTATGTGCCCAACGAATTATTGCAGGAGAAGAAGTGGATTATTTGGATATTCCTTATGACAATCAAAGGAATATTAACTATGTCAATAGGGAACTATAAGATGTGCGATACTCTTTTGAATATTATATGTGTTTTGTTGAATGAAACATTTGGGTTGGAGTAATAATGGTACTTTTTTTGGAAAACAACTGTTACTGAATTCATTCTGTTTATGCTATTTCTCTTTGGTGCTTTGTTTTTCCAAAAAGCAAAGCACCATAAGGCCAAGATGGAAAGATACACATTAAAACTCAAATTGTCTCAATCAACGACAAGAGAAACAGAAACGTGATTTTCTACCCAAACGAATGTAACAACGATAGTCATTTAAAATGGATTCCAATAATTCACAAATTATTTTGTATAATTCCTACAAATTGGAATCACCCCATCCATTCCTCCACAACATGCATCTATAATATATCTTGATAATTGGCTACACAATTTTCTATTCATTCCTATATTCTACATTCCTATATTCTATTGCGATTTGCAGAACACGTTCTTATACTTCTTTAAACATTTCCTTATATTGTACTGCACTTAATTGTTGTTACCACAAATTTATTAAATGTTAAAACACAGAAATCCTTCTCTTCGTTCTAACACTCATACCTCACCCTGCTGTCATGTGTATACTATCCAAAAAGAATGCTCACATTACATATCTTCATTCTCTATTTGTTGAAAATGCCACTTTAGCTCGTTTCACTATATTTGGAATTCCATATATCTCCATTATTGAAACTTCCCTTCCCTTATTGTATCCAATCTCGATAAATAGTCGATCAATGCAGCGTATTATTACATCAGCCGCACGAGTTGCTTCGAAGAGTGCTGTCCAGTCGTAATCAACTCGTGTCTGTGGCTTATGTGCGTAGTTACACCAAATCGGGCCTGATTCTCCCCGGACAAGTGTTAAGTGTGTGGGACCCGTCAGATCCCACTTCCAAGCAAATGGCGAACTATTTCACTCATCCTGACCAGATTCCTGTGAGCAAGGGAGAGAAACTGGATAACGCGATCGAAGCGGCCGTTACTACCGTGGACAAAGTCATTGGATACTGCCGTGCTGGTTCTGTGTTCCCTCAGACGTTCGGTCTGGCTTGCTGTGCCATGGAAATGATTGATGTTTGTTTTGGAATGAAATTGGGTGAGACTCTAGGCTTCCTCTGCTCGTTTCGATTTCGAGCGTTTAGGTATGATTCCTCGAGCAACGTGAGTGCGACAATTCCCTGCCTGATTGTTTAGTCCTCGTCAGGCTGATCTCATGATTGTTTCTGGTACTGTGACAAACAAGATGGCTCCTGCCATCCGCCGAGTAGTTTCTCGATTTTCCGTCGATTCTAGCTTTATGACCAGATGTCCGAGCCTCGCTACGTGATTTCGATGGGAAGTTGCGCGAACTCGGGAGGTTATTATGCATACAGCTACAACGTGGTCCGAGGGTACGCGTGGCGTGTATCCGCCTCACTCCTAGCGTGGATCGTCTGTTCCCCGTGGATTACTACGTTCCCGGCTGTCCTCCGACGGCCGACGGTCTTCTCTACGCGATCCTGATGGTGATGAAGAAGCTGAAGCAGCAGAAGACGTACAGCATGTTCATGTCGAAGTGATTCGTTTACCGTTGCTTGTTTCCTGCAACAAACACTGCAATCCAAAATCTTGCTCACCACGCCGGCGCCGATGGTCTTTCCGCCATCGCGCAGCGCGAAGCGCAGTCCCTCGTGGAGCCCCACGGGCTTCTGCAGCTCGACGGTCATCGCGCTGTTGTCGCCGGGCATCACCATCTCCTTCTCCTTCGGCAGCGTGATCTTCCCGGACACGTCCGCCGTCCGCACGAAGAACTGCGGGGAGTAGTTGGTGGTGAACGGAGTGTGGCGGCCGCCCTCGTCCTTGGTGAGCGCGTAGACGTTCGCTTCGAACTTGTGGTGCACCTTCACCGACTTCGGCTTCGCCACCAGCTGGCCGCGCAGCACTTCCTCGCGCTTCACGCCGCGCAGAAGCAGACCCACGTTGTCTCCCGCCTGGCCCTCGTTCATCGACTTGTGGAACATCTCCACGCCCGTCACGACGGTCGAAAGCGTCGGCTTCAGCCCGCAGATCTCCACCGCGTCGCCCACCTTCACGCGGCCCTGCTCCACGCGGCCCGTCACCACCGTGCCGCGGCCCTGGATCGAATACACGTCCTCGATCGCCATCAGGAAGTCCTTGTCCAGCTGCCGCGTCGGCTACGATCAAGGAGAAACGGGGAAACTACCAGAGGGAAGTATTCGTCGACCGTCTTCATCAGCTCCAGCACTTTGTCCTTGCCGATCTTGTCGTCGCGGCCTTCCAACGCGCAGAGCGCAGAGCCTTTGATGATGGGGATTTCGTCGCCGGGGTATTTGTAGAAGGACAGCAACTCACGAATCTACATGGCAGGACGCTGGGAGGCCGTACTTCCATTTCGACCAGCTCGACCAGCTCGGGATCGTCGACCAGATCGATTTTGTTCATGAACACCGCGATGTTCGGAACTCCCACTTGATGGGCGAGCAGGATGTGCTCACGGGTCTGAGGCATCGGACCATCGACGGCAGACACCACCAGAATGGCTCCATCCATCTGAGCGGCACCGGTGATCATGTTCTTCACATAATCGGCGTGGCCGGGGCAATCGACGTGGGCGTAGTGACGGTTCTCCGTTTCGTACTCCACATGCGTCGAGTTGATGGTAATTCCACGAGCACGCTCTTCAGGAGCTTTATCGATTTGATCGTATGCAGAAAACTCGGCCAAATTCTTCTCGGCAAGAACCTTCGTGATAGCAGCGGTCAGAGTCGTCTTTCCGTGATCGACGTGTCCAATCGTTCCAATATTGCAGTGGGGCTTCTTTCTCTCGTAGGAGACACTGCGGACAGATGTAAAAGCGGGGAGGACACGGCTACCGACAACTATGGAACTAAAGAAACTTAAACCTTTGGTACTCAGCTTATTGACGGCAGGAGTGGCGAGATTCTTCACACATCGCAAAGCACTCAGCATATTGGGAGATATTGATGAAATGGAAAAAGAAGGAAGGAGCCGCCAAAAGTGCCAAATTCCCGTTTTTGGCAAACATCAAAGGGCAGTAAAAGTGAGGAGAAAAGATGCATAGGGTTGTGGTGTCATCGGTAGAATCGTGCTAGAACACAAGCAACACGAAATCTATCTCCGTCGTCTTGAATGTACGTCTTCAACAAACATTGCGATGTCTAAATGGCAAAAAGTCAAAACACTAAATCATCACACTTGATTGGTCGGACTCGAACCCAGAAATATAGGAATGCTCCTTATAGCGTACTGTTTCGTTCACAGAGCCTCTCCCTATATCTGATTCGCTCGATATCCAAAGCGGGATCGCTGCAGTAAAGAAATACTGAGCTGCCAGAAGCTAGATTATCAATCCCCCAAACGGCGCCAACAAAATAGGAAAAACCGTGGTACACCGGAAATTCGTTCACCTGCGTACTCCAAGAATAGATCGACGGAAAGAGCGATGGTCCCTAGTTCGCATCCCCCTCCCTCCTCACTCCCTACAATAAACCGCGAAATAGAGGCGACGAGTTGTCCCAATCCGATCCCCGCGCCACGAAACTCCTTATAGGTGCTATTGGCGATGAGCACAATGCACAAGCTAGTCAACTCAACGGAGGATGGAAGCGATTACTTGTAGACAAGAGCACGCACGGGGACAGAAATAGCGTATCCGATGTATGTCACAGCGAACTGACACGCGAGCGGAGATTCATTGAAGACCGAAACGAAGGGCTCGACGAGCATGATTCCGGACATGACGAGCAGACACATCACGATCTGGTAGCGATAGGAAGCGAGTTTGCTCCACAGAGGGAAGATTAGAACTAGCCCAACAGAGAAACGTGGAATTTGTACTGGAGGTGAGCTGCAGGACGATCGCAGAGGTCGCGACCCAGCCTTCCTCGACGGCGTTCATTTCAAAACCGCCGTATTTGCGAGAGTTCATGAGGGTGAGCGGGTAGATCGAGTCGAAGGAGATCTGGCAGAGCGACGCCATGCCGTAGATGATCACTGCGAGGATGAGGTCGCGATTGCGGAACATGGAGTTGTACTTCCCGTGCTCGTCGTAGGCGAGAAGCAGCTGCTCGTAGGAGGTGAAGCTTTTCGAGGACGATTTGCGGAGAATCGAGCTGAGCTCTCTCTGAAATGATGACGGATTGGAAAGAAGAAAACCCCCATGGCTTTGCGGATCTTTTTCGATTGGTCGACGGTCTCTTGGGTCAGCGATTCCTCGGCGAAGAAGACGAAGAGAAAGAGAACGATAATGAAAAAGAAGGCGCACACAGAGAATGGAACGAGATAGGGGATCTAGATGATCGAGGCAAAGGCTGAAAATACGGATTTGAGGAATGGAAAGACATTGATCAAAGGACGAATCGTATCTAAGTCACTCAAGTAACCTCCCAGAAGAGGGCCGAGAAAACTACGATTGATTAGAGCGAATCCAGCATACCTTCCGATACCAAACCCCGTGTAAAGTAAAGAAGTCCCGAACGCCATGTTATTATCGTTGCATAAATCAGCAGCAATTGTCTTGGAAACTCCTAGCGAGAAATCAAGCATGCCATGCAGAAAGCGGATTATCAAACTGCCAGTATAATTCCTTGACAATCCAAGGGCTAGAATGAGTATTGCATTTGATATTGACGTGAGAATCATGGTACATCGACGACCGTAGTTATCCGAAAACCACCCCCAAAACATAGAGCCTGGAATGTGTCCAAGATAGTAAACAGACAGCAAGAAACCAGCGTAATAACCGATATCGGCTCTTTCTATCTACCAGTTATTCTTCTATTCTGTGACATACATCTGGGAAGTAGACTTTGATGAGAAAAGGAAGATTGGGTAAAAGCATCTGAAAATGGATGCTGAACGATATTGCGGCTGCAAGATCAGCTATCATTGTTGGCCAGTGAATTCCCTCTTCTGGTTCAATTTTCATTATTCTACTAACAATTGTGTTGCTAGGCACACAAATCATTGATTCTGATTTTTAACATCGGATACATTTATTGGATAGTTTTACAATTCCTGCAGTCTGATCTTGATGAGCAGTAGGCGAGTTGTTATTTCTTTCATTCATAGATCACGAGGGTACTCTTCTAGCAATCATTCTTGATCTTAATATCGACTCCTGGATTCTTCAAACAGAACAAAGCAGAGATTCACCAGCTCAGTTTATTGAATGCTTAGAGGGACTCTTTGGCTTTATTGGATCGTTTATTGTTCAGAGTCATTGCAATCAGCTCCTATTTGCCGTCTATGGTGCAGGAGAACCGTTTCCTTTTTTCCTGTAATGTAATTTGATAGAACGATATTGTTTCCCAAGTGCGATGAAAACATTGCACTGAATTTAAAGTTTCACTCACAACAGCCCAAGAATGTGCGAAGATTTCTATTTCCCAAGATCATTGAGCTCATGAAGAGCGATCATGCGGTAAAGTCTTCTCTTGATTCCTGTCTTTCCCGAACTCTTTGTTATATCCTTCTATTTTGAGTCTCTTTTATTCTTCATGCTTCCTTCACTATAATTATAAACAAACATGCTGACCCTGAACTAGGAAAGCGCATCTTAGTGTTGAATATCACGGAGCAACCTATTCACGACTATATGCAGTTTATGAACTCCGTGTTTTGTTACAGAACGACCTGCCCCATCGATATCTGCCAGCTGTACAACAAGCATTCTCCCTTTTTGAAGCGAGTCGCCAAGCTGTCGAATGGTTTGTATGTCAAAGCCCCTTCAAGCAAATCGCTCTTTGGGCTGCTCTCCTACTACTTTCTGGCGGATGCAGAGGTGCGGAAGAACATTATTGTCCCAACCGAAAACATCGAGCCTATGAAAGTCACTTGCTCGTGCCATGGAAAGCCGATTCAGAATGATATTGCATATGTGTGCACGGTGTGTCTGTCGATTCTGTGCAGCTATCATGACCATTGTCCAATCCATCAATTCGATTCCCCTGTTTGATATAACAAACAAGCAGACAATTCGTTCTTAGAATGATAATTTGATTGCTGATTAAGGGTTGGTTAATTAATGCACTTGCTTGCTCGCTTGCTTGCTTGCCTAGCAGTTCTAGCGGAATCATCGCTTTCGCTATGAATCTGCTTTCAACACACGCAGTTCATCGAGTTGCGCGAGAACCGAATCCAACTGCTGCTGCAGAACCGATCGATCGTTCTTGTTCTCCATGTTTCTACATCCTCACAACCTCCCATCGACTTACGTCACATCGAGAAACAGCGAGGAAGAGGGCGTGAAATAGTCCGAATAATCCGTAGCAGGAAGCTCATCGCTGATTTCTTTCTCTAAAAGAATCGCCGTCTCATAAGTCCAGCACCGCGCTACATTTCGAATCGTATATCCGCCGCCTCCCAACACCAACAGCGGCTTATTCAGCGATCGAACGAACTTCACGCACTCTCCATGTCCCTTCATTGACAAGTTGAACGTCCCAATTCGATCCCCTGCCAGCGAGTCCGCTCCGCACTGCAGAACAATCGCTTCGGGTTGAAACACTTCCACAGCCTTCGCCACGATCTAAACGGTTATTCACCTCTTGCAAGACAACCGGCTTGAAAACGAAGAGATAGTCCGCATCGTCCACTCCTGAATCCAGCGGGAAGTTCACCGCATATCCCTTTCCCTCGCCAAAACCAGCGTCCTGCTTTTCAATGAATCGCATAACGAAATACGAGCGCGCTTCCGGTTCCGGGGAAAACGTCGCCGAACTTATGGAATGACATCGTGAGCACGCGGCTCGTCGTGTAGAAGGCTTCTTCAACGCCATCTCCATGGTGGAAGTCGAGATCGATATACAAAACGCGTGAGAACTTCCTGCAAGGGTGAATAACACGACAGACAGCAAACTTGAGCAGCTCTAAAATCGCCAGAACCACGTCGTTCACATAGGAAAAGCCCGAGGCCTCCGACTTCTTGGCGTTGTGCATGCCTCCCGACCAGTTGATCACGATGTCGGCCTGGTTTTCGACAAGTCGTCGAGCGCCTGCTATGGATCCAGTGGCGTAAGAGCGAATATAATCCAAAAGACCCGCAAAGATAGGATTGTCTTGGCAAATATTGACTACTTGGTATTTGACACGATTCATATACAATTGTCGCCATTGATCGGAGTGTCGGGAAGGGTGGCAACTCGTAGATAGTTTACGTAATCATCTGCGTGAAAACGCATGAGTTCCTCATAAGAACCAGACTTCTCATTCTATTAGTAAATCAGACACAGAGAAAATACAAAAATGTCCATCTCCTTGTCTAAATCATATGCAGATACAAGAGACTTTGTAACTTGGATGCGTTGAGGCTATGCGTCACCACAGATTCAAAAACACACTTTCATGGGATGATGCTTCCCAAATGAATAATTTCCTATATTCGCTAATCTTTATGCAATGCACATTCAAAATACGATCATAATAATAAGCAACTTTACGGTGAGCAGAAACTGGGTTTGTTTGCTCTTCCGTTCCTGTCTCTTGGTTCTCAACACTCATACGAATAAAAAGATCCAATGAATATGAAAAACAATCCTGAAAAATGTTTATCAGTCGTTTCCTCTTACCTTTTGACCCTAGTATTCAAACTATTTCTCGTTTTCCTTTGCTTGTAGTGCCTATTTATGCGCTTACTTCTTCCCACATTAACTCATCCGCTTGAATTGACAACGTGCGAGTTGCTAGTGATTATCTAACACGTTTCCTGCATCTATACATCCTATATCTCCAGTTGATTTTAGTATTTTTCGTCAGATTCCTTTACTCGCGTTGTTATCTGGAGTGATCGGGGTTTTATTGATTCTTGACCACAAAAATCCTTAAACATATCTTTGATTACCGCTTATTCTTTTCGAATTAACCGTGTTCGAAAAAGCATGGCGGATTTTGTTGCCCCTTTTGGTAAGAACTGTGATTCTTTGGTTCATGGTTTTAGTGATGACAAACACTGGGTGTTTGTCGGGTTCTGCAAATGGAGAAGGAAAGGGTAACGTGTCCCATTTTAAGCCATTTTCAGAGTTTTTGGATAGGTATATATTTGACCAAGAACTATCTCAGTACGTTCGTGTGGAGTGGTTGTTATGGGATAGGACACCATTTGCAAGAATAGTATCCATCTTTGATAGAGCCACTGGAGAAAACCTTTGTGCCAAAGTGATTTACAAGCGATTCTGCAGTCCTACGGGATTGCTTGTATTGGACCCACAGGTTCTTACCTCTATCCGACATAAGAATATCATCAAGTATTATGACATTTATGAGAGTGAAGAGGAGATCATTGTGACAATAGAAAGGTATGAGTGTCGTCATCATGTTTTTAGCTGTAGAGCTTTTGGGGGTGAACTGTTAGAACGCATAATAGAGAAAATTCATTACACTGAAATGGACGCCAGTCATATCATAAAACAAGTTTTAGAAGCAGTTGCTTATCTACATTCGAAGAATATCGTAGGTCTGGCGAGCCTCGTTCATGCTAGATTCACCGTGACATCAAGCCGGAAAACATTCTTCTTCCAATCGCTGGCAATGTTCTCCGTTCCTTTTCGCTTTGATTTTCCTAGGATACCTACATCAAGCTCAGCGATTTTGGGTTAAGCAAGCTCATCCGAAACGACGATCATTCGCTCGGAAACTGTCGTCCTCGGACCTTTTCCATGGTTGGTTCCGACTACTACACAGCTCCTGAAGTTTTTCGCCATAAAGGCTATGACTACAAAGCCGATGTGTTCGGAGTCGGGATCGTGACTTTCACTTTGTACTCTCTCCGAATCGGTGCGTTGACTCATAGACTCTGTGGTTACAATCCGTATTGTGGTCCTTCTGGCGCCTGCTTTCGAAAAGAAGGACTGTTGTTAGAAGATCCTTATTGGACGCATATTTCGCCCGCCGCGAAGGACTTTGTGACTTGGCTGCTTCAGACCGATCCCGAGAAACGGCCCTCCGCGGAGGAGTGCTTAAAGCATCACTGGATTACTGTGGGAATGAGGGAGGAGTGTGAGAAACAGGCGCCAGAGGATGTCGTGATAGATGTGAATCAGCCGTTCCGCGACCATATGACGCAAAGTCGCCGTCTTAGTTCGTATGCCTAGTTCTTTTAGTGGGTTGTTTGTTTCACAAACAAGGAAACAGTGTCATAGAAAGAAGAAAACAAAAGGGTATAGACTATAAAAAATACTCGGGAGGATCGACTTTCTCCGGAACTTTCCGCTTCGCCGCTTCCGCCGCCAAGAAAACCTGCAAGTCAGTACCCTGCATCGTTCCTACCAGGAATTCGTAGTCTCCATTCTCCTTAATTTGCATGATCGAAGCCTTGTTGCCACATCGGTAGCAATAATTCGGAGCAGACCAGACCGTGATTAGATTGTCATCGAACATCCGTTTATAGCCCTCTTTCGAGAGTTGGTGGGCTCGAACGATGCATCGCAGATTATTCGTGGAGTTAAACTAGCCGTTAGATCCGCATGCAAATGATCCACATTTAGAACCTGGTCCTTTCCAAACAGACAACCTGCGCCTCGAGGAGATTCGTTCCAGCCTTCCCAGCCCGGACGCTCTTCGGGATCGCTCCATAACAAGTCGCACATGGCTCCGTCGTGAGGAATCTCCTGAAAACGATCGAGAGCAGAAATCTGCATCGCAAAACATCCGAAACGCGTACCTGATCCATCGTCGATATCAACGGAGATAATCCACCATGAACGCAGAGAATATTGTTATTAATCAAAGCTCCAATAGGAAGGTAGTCGAACATATCTGTCACTTCCTTCCAGACTTGGGATTTTTGGTACTTTCGTAAGCACTCTTCGTAAAAGCCATAGACTTGCGTCGTTTGCCTGCTCTCATGGTTTCCACGAAGGAGATGAATTCTATCTGGATATCGCAGCTTTAGCGCCAAAACATATAGAATCGTCTCTAAACTAAAATAGCCTCGGTCTACAAAGTCGCCGAGAAATAGATAATTTGTATCAGGGCACTCTCCGCCAACTTCAAAGAGTTTCTTGAGATCGTAAAATTGCCCGTGGATGTCGCCACAGATCTATCCTATCAAGGCACTCGAACGACTTCTACAGTGATCGGAGATTGCATGATCAAAATGTTGCTCTCTTTTAGAAAAATTTCTGTAGCCATCGTACACATCGTGTGTATTTCCTCTTCCGATAACTTTTCGCACTCTTTCACCTGATCCTTATTTTACGCCTGCAATCCTACTCTTTCCAATACTGAATCAATATCAAAATCGGACATGATAATCTATGAGAAAAATATGGACTTCTCACGACCAAAAAACTACCGTTTTTTCAAATTCCATTGCCAAAGCTTCTGTCGAACATGTAACTCTAGTATAAGTGTGTTTTTGCACAGAACATGATCGGCTAACGTATTTCGTCACATTCCTATAACCAGTTGCTACTCCTTTTACACATAATTGCGTCTTATCGATTTCTGTCCAATTCTCAACAGAAAATCGTAGCACTCTCCTTAGTGATTGAATAAATGAATGAATGGACCATTTCCCTTTATCATATTCCAAACCCTTCGAAGTTTCCATCTCAACAAACAATCCAAATACAAGACATAAATAACTATAACTATATATATATATACCACGCAGACTAAAACAAATCACCAATATCAAAGTCATCCTGTCCCGATGTTACAAAAGATACAACTACCTCGTATTTTGCCCTCTCCCCTACCTGGAGCATTTCGTTTCCCGCTCATTGTCTCCTTCATCCCCGTCTCCTCCACTGTCCGTCTACACCCATTCAAAAATCGCTCCTGATCGATTTCTACACTCAAGTTTCCCCAGTTTCCCCACTTTTCACGGTCCTCTGCAGTTCCTGCATGCACTCATCCTCCACACCTCCCTTTCCGTGCGCTGCGCGCTCAAGTCGCTCCCGTACCTCGTCGGAAGGGATCCACGTTTTGTTCAGCGGCGTTTCGAACATCCAGAAGCGACTACACGCATTAAACGATCGGTTGGCGACGCTACCAGTCGCGGTAGAACTCTTGGTAGGCGCTGGCCTTCTTCATCCAGTGCAGAACGGGGTAGTTTTCGTGGTGAACCACCGCGCAGAGACGCCGGATATCGAAGTGGGAGGCCATCTGGATGAGAGAGGAGGAGAGAGAGTACGCAGGAGAGGCAGTAGAGAAGGCAGGAGCCGATTCCCATACCATGATAGGCGTCTAAAACGATCGCTGCCCATTCCGCGACAGAAGAGTCGTCTTTGTCTTGGATGATACGGGCTGTAGCGACTCCTTTCCAGGTAGAACCTTCTTTTATGAGCGCAGCAAAGGCGAAATGACTGTCGTAGTCGATGTTCGTAAAGTAGCGTAGCATGTCGTCTTTTACGACGTTGGTGACCGCATTGAATCGGAGGGATAGGGATTCTTGGCTTACTTCGCCATTGGAGAGGACTAATTGGTAAACTACCATGGAACACACTTTCTTTCATGCGGTCAATGTCAACTGGTAGAATTGGACGGATTAAAACTTCAAGACCGTTCCACAAACGAACACTAATAGAAACAGATTGCATTCTCGTACTGAGCGCAATATTTTGATATTGCAAATGCAAAATCACTCTCTATAAGAGCAGTGGACAGTTGGGCCGAATTGAGCAAATGGGCGGTAGCGAGAGCTTGCTTATAGGATTCCAGAATACTACCAAGTGCTGTATGACAGACATGGTCTACTGGGCTCACAGCTATCAAATGATGGACGTCCACCAAAAGCATACATCTTCGTGGAGATCTGCATGACAGAGCTGAGGCCTCATCACTGTAAGAGCCGACACCTCCTAAAGAGGTTGGTTTCACCTTTAAGCCAGATGCCGATTGGATGAAGTCCACAACTGTTCGAACAAAAGAAAACATACTCAGTATTTGAGTCTGTTGACTTTTAGATTGCTAAAATTTAGAAAAAGTAGTTTGTGATATGCAAGATATTGTTTTAATGATCATTATTCATCTCAAACATGGTTTTTCACATCGATATTAAACGAAATTACATGTTTTCCATTTCCACATTCCCTACAGATAAGATACCAAAAGCAAAATAACGAGGAGCATCATTACGTTCGTCCGTGTCAGTATTGGACGTGCTAACTCGCCTGTATCCTTTCCGTTCGGTGAAAAAGTTGATAAACTTATTTTTAAAACTCGAGAACTTATTCGAAGCCGAGGACGGCTCACTATGAGACTCGAACGCTGTATTTGAGCCACGATCAGGCGCTCTCATCTGCATTTGCTGTGCAGCCATTCTCTGATTCGGTAGCTCTCGTTGTATCCAAGATTGGGACGCTTGCTCATCAAATTCATTTTGCAATCGCTACTAATTAGCTCATTCTACAGTGAATACCCTTGCAATCTCATCGTCCGATTCTTGAGGTTGCCATGACAACTACCGTGAACTAAAGGAAAAAAGATATACCATTAAGAAATCCTCTGGAAGTCTTCGTTTCCAAGAACGATGTAAGTTAATTCCTGCAGAGAGTTCGATTTGCCGAATCTCTTCTTCGATGTCTCTATAGTTGTCGCTTACAGGGTTATGTCTTCTTTACGATTATCAAGAAAAAACACAATTACTGTGTGAGAACAACTTGATCTCCTCCTTGACTAATTAGTAATAGCGATGTTACAACATTCTCCATATTTCCATCTAAGTAAAATACCAAAAGATCTCCGACTTTGTTGTTTCAGTAATGAGGCAAAGAAATCATCACTGAACTGTGGGAACATTTCCCTTAGCTCCACTAGAGCCGTTTCATACGATATTCGAGGCATAGGAAAAAAAGTATTACGAAAAGGAAAGAATGTATCGAGTACGAAAGAATTTAATTACGAAAGCGAGTATTTTAGATGGAAGATAGCTAATATAGGCAGATATTTCCTTTAACAAAACACTAATTATCGAAAACCTACAACGGGGTAGTCCAAAATCCCTCAGACTGGGCTCAGGAAAGGACACTCGACTCAACTGTAAGATACTGACTAGATTCCATCTGTATTCAGTGAACTCCCAAAATAGCCTTGATTTTTGCACTAGGATTGCTTTGAACATTTTCAAGTTTTGAGGATGCAAAATCAAAAGGATGAGTCATGTCTTTTGTTTTCCTCAGACGTTTTCCCTCAAGATGGTGAGTTCAACACTCAGTGATTATCCCTAGCTAGAACGAAAGACAGGAGTGCAATTCCGTGGGGAGTTGCAATCCAGCCGTTGAATCCTCGAGTTAAAACCTACGTATTCAGTATTGTGCAGTTTTGGTGTAGAAATCTTCTATTACACAGCAGCAAATTCCCCGATGCCAAAAATGCTTCGGATATTTGAACATGTTTTGTATGTTCGACTCCAAGAGCTGGCACTGTCCGCTTTGTCAACACTGCAACCCATATGATAAATATTTACTAAATGGAAGATATGCAACGAGTATAGAGCGAAGTCGGTGTGAAGAGTGTTTGTATCCAAATATCACTTTGGATATGCCTTTGAGTGACATGGAGTATTTTTTGAACTCGTTTTTGACACGATAGAAAGCAAGTCCCATATTCAAAGGATTCTAGAGAGGTTTTAGTTTTGGTAATTGATTGTACTGCGTATTCCACGTATCTGAACTACGTGAAATCGCTTCTAGTGAAGTTAGTTGAACGTTACCATGGTGAAGCCGATATTCGTATTTCCTCTTTCTCTCTCTCTCTCACTCTCAGTCATTTTTACATCTGGAGATCGTCTCGGCATCTACAACATCAAGCATTCAGTAATCAAAGTTCTTGTTTTGGTTCTTGCTTTCGTTCATTTTTCAGTACACTCGACTGAAATCATCTCGTTTGCACATCGATAAACTGAATTCACCCAGTAAACTAGCCTCGAAGTCCTCCTCCTTCCAATTCGACTCGATTCCCCTCCATTCGATCATGAGTTTTGAAGAATGCGCGGCCAACATCGCGTTGTATCGCGAAAAAGCCATCCAAGCGATCAACTCCATTCAGCAGCTTCGAGGCGAATTGTACGCATTCCGTTCGAATTCGACGTAGTTGTTTTGCGGAGACGATGCAGCTCGTGACCGACTATCTGCACCAAGAATACAAAGATGGAAACATCATCGGCGGCCGACTGATTTGCTCGGTTTGCCGCGTGTCCGAAAACCCGAACATCAATCCATTCGCTGATTATCGTTCGGTTTCTCCATCCTTCCAACCTAGTCTTCCCTCCCAAAACCGAGCAGGACGCCAGCAATCGACTGAGCAGCAGCAACTCCGCGTACTCCCAGATCGTTCGGGTTTTGACCCTCTCCAATGTAGAGCGAGCGACTCTGCGAAGTGGGTTTATCGGTCGATATCATCAACAACATCTCGGATAACTCGCTCTTCGGCCAGCCTCCCAACACAATCGATCCCGTTTTGCTCTCCCATCTCTGCGAGGAATCGAACGGCCGGCTGATCTGTCTGGACGTCAACGACGAGGAGAGCTGCTCTCTTTCCGAGCAGCTGCTTCTTTCCTTTCTGGACGGCGAGCACGGCTACGATTGCGTGTTCCGAATCCGGTCCAGCGGCGGCGTATTGATCAGCTCGATCGCCAGACAGGGGCAGGACACGAAGTCGGTGGGGATTCGAGGCCTGCAGTTCTCCAGCAACAGCAGCGAGGTGATTCACATCGCGCACGTGCATCCCAGCACGACGATTCCGTTCGATTTCCAGTACAATTCGCCGCGAGGTTGGAGAAAAGCGAGCGATTGAGCGTAGGTTCGTCCATCACACGCGACGATTTCCCGCTGATTCAGCTGGCTGTGGAGTACACGACGATGGATCGCGTGGACGGCGTGCTGCAGCCGATTCGACGCATGCGAATGTATGAAAGCGAAGGGCGAGTTGAGTGAAGATGCACGGTAGAATACAAGATTTCGCCGAGCGTGACGGAGGTGTTTAATCATGCGAATCCGTCGGTTATCGTTTATCTTTTGCTTCAGAAAGTGCGGACAGAGAGTGGATGGGACGTAGACATTCAAAGCGCTTCCGTCGCGAGGATTCAGCGAGTCGCGACTGCTTCTACGCGAGTGGCTGCTTTCGTTTATGTCACATTACATTTCGGTAATGCGGAAGTTTGAATGAATTGGCGGCTGAACGATAGAAACAACGAGTCATTAGATTACACATTCAAAACGATCCCACGACTTAAAATCATTCCGAAATATGTACCTCTTTCCATCTTCTTTGCATCAGATTTACGGTTCTCTAATAGGAGGATTTCTCAACTTCTCTTCTTCGACTCATTTCTCGAAGCTTCTCGAACAATTCACCATCGTGAGGTTGGAGTTCGTGAGGAGTGTGAGGCATAGCAAGCTCTCTCCACTTCTGTTGTCTCGCTATCTTTATCCCCATCTTTCAGCGTATTCCGATGTGAATAAGCTTGATATCACACGCTTGAATCTTTCTTCTCGAAGCCTGATCGCTGTGTAGATGCTGCTGCGATCGATTTGACCATAGGGATCGACCAATTTACTTCTATCTTGATTATCATCGCATTATCATTTATCACGCTCCCGAAGAAAAGGAATCGTTGGAGCAAAAAACGAGTAAGGAAGCCACGTTTGTGTGAATGGCGTAGGTACAATTTCGAAAATGATAGAGGAATTGGTGAAAGAATCGAAGTTCGCCATTCCACTCACTGTACAATATTGGGCATCCGATCGTTTTGTATCGCAGTTCCATAGCTTGATGATTGATGATAATGTGGATCCTCAGCAAAGCTACACTTGTTTTGAGTCACAGATTGTGGATAAGGCTGTTCAAATGGTTATGTCACTTTGCATTGTTTGAGAACAAACAGAAGAATAAAGGAAATGGATTAGCAGCGACAACAGGATTAACGATACGACGGAAAGGTAGAATTGCTTGGTATGCGCTGTTTGCAATTCTTTGTACTTGGTTACTAACATATCATATTGCTTCTTCGATTCAGCCTCTTTCTTCTTCTCTTGTTTTAGCTTCTTTTTCAAAGACTGCATTTCTTTCTTGTCCACCATTGTTGATGAGTCAAGTGAAGGTTTCTCAGAAGTATCTATAGATTCAGCTTCGTGATTTAAAACACGTTTCTCCCCCTCTAATTGGGATTCCAATGACTTCACTCTTTCTTCAAGTTGCTGTCTCTTTTCATTATGCTGAGAGTCTATTGATTTGATTCTTTCTTCGAATTGAATCTTTTCTTCATTCAATGCTTTCAATGCTTTGATCTTTTTATCTAATTCATGCTTCTCTTCATGTAATTGAGCTTCTAGTGACTTCACTCTTTCTTCAAGTTGCTGTTTCTTTTCATTGTGTTCAGTTTCTAATGACTTGATCTTTTCATCTAGTTCATGTTTCTCCACATCTAGTTGAGCTTTCAACGACTTGACTTTTTCTTCATGCTGCTCCTTCTCTTGATTAAGTTGAGCTTCTAGTGATTTGATCTTCTCTTCAAGTTGGTGTTTCTCTTCATCTTTTACTGCTTCCAAAGACTTGACTTTTTCTTGATTCAATGCTTCGAATGATCTGATCTTCTCTTCAAGCTGATGTTTCTCTTCATCTAGTTGAGATTCCAACACCTTTACATTCTCTTCAAGTTGAGTCTTTTCCTCATAATGTTGAGTTTCTAGTAATTTGATCTTCTCTTCAAGTTGTTGTTTCTCTTCATCTATAATATCTAAAGAGTTGATCTTCTCTTCTAGCTGTTGCGTCTTTTCATCTAGTTGAGATTCTAATAACTTTATCTTTTCCTCAAATTGCTGCTTCTCTTTTATTAACAAATCGCATGATGTACACCCAGTTGCATCACCAGTCAATAATTCTCCATTGCATTCTCCCGTCTGATGCTGACTATCGACCTGTGCTGTATCCTCATTGTCTTGGAATTCTATCTTGACTGGTGGTACTTTCATATCCTGTATCTGTGCATCAATATCACCAAATGATTTGCTCGAAAGTTGGGAAAAACATTCTACAAGCTTTTCAGACAATTCAGAGATCACATCAGCATAAGCCTCAAGTAAATAATCTCCATCTCCAGTGGCTGAATTCAATGAGTTCTCCACAGACTTCAAACAATCATAAATGGAATTCATAGATTCAATATTGAGTTGCAGTGAATGAATTAATTTGATTTTGTTATTATAATCAACGACTAGTGAATCAACATACAGTGCCATATCATCAAATGAAGTCAGGAAATGAGAAATATCACAATTTTTAACAGATAATTCGGTTTCAAGCCCATTAATACTATCTGAATATTTGCAAAGCATATCGTCTTTATTGCTAATAACTTCTTTCAATGACTCGATTTCATTTGATTTCATTGCCAAATCTGAACTTAATGATTCAATCTCTTCAGATTTGTTCTTTGATTCTTCTTTCAATCCTTCAATCTCTTCAGATTTCTTTGCCAAGTCTGAACTTAAGGAATCGATCTCATTCGATTTCATTGCCAGGTCTGAACTCAATGATTCAATTTCTTCAGATTTGTTCTTTGATTCTTCTCTCAATCCTTTGATTTCTTCAGATTTCTTTGTCAAGTCTGAACTCAATGATTCGATCTTTTCAGATTTGTTCTTCGATTCTTCTTTCAGTACTTCAATCTCTTCAGATTTGTTCTTCGATTCTTTTTTCAATCCTTCAATCTCATTCGATTTCATTGCCAAATCTGAACTCAGTGATTCAATTTCTTCAGATTTGCTTTTCGATTCTTCTTTCAGTCCTTCAATCTCTTCAGATTTGTTCTTCGATTCTTCTTTCAATCCTTCAATTTCATTCGATTTCATTGCCAAATCTGAACTTAAGGACTCGATCTCATTTGATTTCAATGCCAAATCTGAACTCAATGATTCAATTTCTTCAGATTTGTTCTTTGATTCTTCTTTCAATGATTCGATTTCATTTGATTTCATTGCCAAATCTGAACTCAGTGATTCAATCTCTTCAGATTTGTTTTTCGATTCTTCTTTCAATGATTCAATTTCATTTGATTTCAATGCCAAATCTGAACTCAGTGATTCAATCTCTTCAGATTTGTTCTTCGATTCTTCTCTCAATGATTCAATTTCATTTGATTTCAATGCCAAGTCTGAACTCAAGGACTCGATTTCTTCAGATTTGTTCTTCGATTCTTCTTTCAATCCTTCAATCTCTTTCTTCAAATCAAATACAGTAGAATCACTCTCAGATATGTTCAATTTCAATATTGATAATTCATTGAGTTGTGTTTTCGATTCTTCTCTCAATAATTCAATCTCATTCGATTTCATTGCCAAATCTGAGCTTAAAGATTCAATTTCATTCGATTTCATTGCCAGGTCTGAACTCAATGATTCAATCTCTTCAGATTTGTTCTTCGATTCTTCTCTCAATGATTCAATTTCATTCGATTTCATTGCCAAATCTGAGCTTAAAGATTCAATTTCTTCAGAGTTCATTGCCAAATCTGAACTTAAGGAATCGATTTCTTCAGATTTGTTCTTCGATTCTTCTTTCAGTACTTCAATCTCTTCAGATTTCTTTGCCAAGTCTGAACTTAAGGACTCGATCTCTTCAGATTTGTTCTTCGATTCTTCTTTCAGTACTTCAATTTCATTTGATTTCATTGCCAAATCTGAACTCAATGATTCAATTTCTTCAGATTTGTTCTTCGATTCTTCTTTCAATCCTTCAATTTCTTTCTTCAAATCAAATACAGTAGAATCACTCTCAGATATGTTCAATTTCAATATTGATAATTCATTGAGTTGTGCTTTCGATTCTTCTCTCAATCCTTCAATTTCATTTGATTTCATTGCCAAATCTGAACTCAATGATTCAATTTCTTCAGATTTGTTCTTCGATTCTTCTTTCAATCCTTTGATTTCTTTCTTTAAATCAAATGCAGTAGAATCACTCTCAGATATGTTCAATTTCAATATTGATAATTCATTGAGTTGTGCTTTTGATTCTTCTTTCAATGATTCAATCTCATTCGATTTCATTGCCAAATCTGAGCTTAAAGATTCAATTTCATTTGATTTCAATGCCAAGTCTGAACTTAATGATTCAATCTCTTCAGATTTGTTCTTCGATTCTTCTCTCAATGATTCAATTTCATTCGATTTCATTGCCAAATCTGAGCTTAAAGATTCAATTTCTTCAGAGTTCATTGCCAAATCTGAACTTAAGGAATCGATTTCTTCAGATTTGTTCTTCGATTCTTCTTTCAGTACTTCAATCTCTTCAGATTTCTTTGCCAAGTCTGAACTTAAGGACTCGATCTCTTCAGATTTGTTCTTCGATTCTTCTTTCAGTACTTCAATCTCTTCAGATTTCATTGCCAAATCTGAACTCAATGATTCAATTTCTTCAGATTTGTTCTTCGATTCTTCTTTCAATCCTTCGATTTCTTTCTTTAAATCAAATACAGTCGAATCACTCTCAGATATGTTCAATTTCAATATTGATAATTCATTGAGTTGTGCTTTCGATTCTTCTCTCAATCCTTCAATTTCATTTGATTTCATTGCCAAATCTGAACTCAATGATTCAATTTCTTCAGATTTGTTCTTCGATTCTTCTTTCAATCCTTCGATTTCTTTCTTCTTATCAGATGCAGCAGAATCACTCTCAGATATGTTCAATTACAATATTGATAATTCATTGAGTTGTGCTTTCGATTCTTCTCTCAATCCTTCAATTTCATTAGATTTCAATGCCAAGTCTGAACTCAATGATTCAATTTCTTCAGATTTGTTCTTCGATTCTTCTTTCAGTACTTCGATTTCATTCGATTTCAATGCCAAATCTGAGCTTAAGGACTCAATCTCTTCAGATTTCATTGCCAGGTCTGAACTCAATGATTCAATCTTTTCATATTTGTTCTTCGATTCTTCTTTCAGTACTTCAATCTCTTCAGATTTCTTTGCCAAATCTGAACTTAAGGACTCAATCTCTTCAGATTTGTTCTTCGATTCTTCTTTCAATGATTCAATTTCATTTGATTTCATTGCCAAATCTGAGCTTAAGGACTCGATCTTTTCAGATTTGTTCTTCGATTCTTCTTTCAATCCTTCAATTTCTTTCTTCAAATCAAATGCAGTAGAATCACTCTCAGATATGTTCAATTTCAATATTGATAATTCATTGAGTTGTGCTTTCGATTCTTCTCTCAATCCTTCAATTTCATTTGATTTCAATGCCAAGTCTGAACTCAATGATTCAATCTCTTCAGATTTGTTCTTCGATTCTTCTCTCAATCCTTCGATTTCTTCAGATTTCTTTGCCAAGTCTGAACTCAATCCTTCGATCTCATTCGATTTGTTCTTTGATTCTTCTCTCAGTACTTCAATTTCATTCGATTTCATTGCCAAATCTGAGCTTAAGGACTCGATTTCTTCAGATTTGTTTTTCGATTCTTCTTTCAATCCTTCAATTTCATTCGATTTCATTGCCAAATCTGAGCTTAAGGACTCAATCTCTTCAGATTTGTTTTTCGATTCTTCTCTCAATTCCTCGATCTCGTTTGCTTTGGAATCTAAGTTTACCTTCAGCGTTGCTATATCATTTTTCAGTTCAAGAATAGTGTTTTCGCTTTGAGCAAGGTCGGCTGTCATATTATCACACTCCTCATTGTTTTCATCTATCACGGCACTTAATGACATGATTGTACTGTCTTTCTCCTTGAGTTGCTGCTCTAAACTATTCAGCTCAGCACGCAAATTCAGAATAACGGCTTTATTCTCAGAAAGTTCTTGCTGTACAATGTGTACCTGCTCCTTATATGTTGTTAACACACTTAGTTCATTGTGTAGTTTTTCCATTTCGTTTTCGTGAGACTGTAACTCTTGAAGTGTACTATTTGCTGCCTTATTCTGTTCAAGAAGGGAACTATACTTCTTCTCGATTTCTTCCATTACAATATTGGGATCCGACGACTCAACACTTCGACCCAAGATAGTTTGTCCCATTTGGGATAGTCGTTTCCGAAGACGAAGTGTTTCCTCTCTCTTCAACTCTACTGACTTTTCCAAGATGTCGTTATACTTTTTGTAACGGTCGCATGACTCTTGTAAAGATTCACACTCATTACACTTTGCTGCTAGCTCTATACTCAATTCTTCGACATTAGTCTCTAGTTCCTCTATTTGTTTTGTGAGTTCTCCCAGATTTGTATTCTCCGTCATAGAAACTGATTAACTCACTATGAATACTGTACGTCTTTTAAAATATACTAAGACTGTATTTCCAAATGGTTTCTACTCTTAATGGATACCAAATCCTTACTGTAATGACTTAAATCCTATTGATGTGGATAGAAGATAGCTTGTTAAGCTATGTAGGTTAGTCACCACAAAGAACGAATAATTATGTAGTGTATGTTGTGGATAATCGTGACCATTTCTGGAGTTTTACTTTTTTTTATTTGGGTACTTTACAGACTTTAAAATGAAATCAAGTTGTGAAGGCCGTCGTGGGGGATGTAGGAATACAAGTATTTTGTAAATCATTAGATCAGAATTACCAACGTCAAAGAAGAAATAGCCCCATTTATTACGATATGTATTTGATCTTTTTAAAGTGAATTCTAGTGATGTGCTGTCTGATGAACGATTCTTAAGCTTATTCTTTAAGCCCTCATTTCTTGCCGATCCGTGGTTTAAACAAACAAATTAGTTACAACAAATTGGTCGCTCATTGTTTTTTTAACTCACCACAATCAGAAATGACAACACGACGAAGAGGAATTCCGCTTGGAGATCCCATCGATTCAATAACCTTGACAACTTCCATTCCTTCAATCACTCGACCAAAAACAACGTGTTTTCCATCAAGCCACGGTGTCTTTACCTAGTCAATAAATCGTTCTGAAGAAATATACAGTCGTGATGAAGAACTGGGAACCATTTGTGTCTTTTCCTGAATTGGCCATAGACAGCATCCCAGGACGAGAGTGCTTTAATTCAAATGTCTCGTCAGCAAATTGCTTCCCGTAGATACTCTCTCCTCCCATTCCGTTTCCCTTCGTAATATCGCCTCCCTGGATCATAAAGTTTGGAATAATGCGGTGGAAGACGGATCCTTTGTAATGGAGTGGCTTTCCACTCTTTCCTATTCCCTTTTCTCCTGTACATAGCATTCGGAAATTATACGCTGTTATCGGAGCTAATCTTCCATATCTACGCCTCAATTACACAAAACATCGTTACAATCCCATCACAATTCGTCCACTGTATTGACCATCGATCTCAATGTCGAAAAACACCTTGTGAGTAATAATAGGACCCTTCTTCTATTTTTCACACTGCAGAGTCTATTACCTTCTTCTGACTGCTACCCATGACGAGCATGGGAGCGAAGCATAACACAAACAACAAGAAGTTCATCCCAAACAAACATGCCAAGCTGAGACAGTTGGAGAATTCTTAACTACATCACCATTTTCGGGGACTTTTTTTATTTCGGTAATCGGTAATTCCATCTGTTCTTTTTGGGGTGTCCACTTTACGGAAATTAAAGAACCACTAATGAGCTGGAAAAAGTGGAACAAAATCGCAGGGACGAGCATGATACCCTGACTTCCAAGCTCGGGTGGGTAGAAAGAGATAACTACCTAGAAGCCACGCACATAATCCTACTGGTCATCGCGATAGGCAACGTTTTCATAGGGCACGTCAGTGTGAGTGCCTTCACTGCAGGCAGAGGCGTCTTCGTTGCGCGGCATAATCCATAGACGATAAGCATTGTTCTACAAGTCATTACATGGCCGTGGAGGGATACACGTAATGAAGGATGATGATCACGATGAGAGAGTAAACGATGCTGATAAACTGCAACTGAAGCAGCTGGTCGCGAGACTCGCTCATTTTGACCCAAGGGACCATGCACAAAAATAAGGAAGACAGGACCTTCAGTAGCGAGGAGAATCGCTTCACCTGCTTTGCTACCCAAGAGCAGAACAGCTGAGTGAGCTGCTGTTAAAAAGGGGAGGAGAGAATACATAACCAATCGCCATGGGGAGAGCGATTGTTAGTAGTAACTCAAGCAGAATGCTGGTTACGTCTAAGGTCACGGTGATATTACTGCTTTTAAACAGTAAAGAAACGGAAATAGGAGAGATGAAAACACCTAAAAGACTCGTGGATACCGAGAGAAGCAAGGCTAAGGGGAAGCTTCCTCCACACTACGCATCAGGAGAGGGAAGAGATGGTACTTGGTCAGCCAGAATAGCGGATGAAGCGAGAACTGTTGGACTGCAGCACATTGAGGCAATACCAATCATCAGTTCTCGGGGCGTCACGGGAATAAGCAGTACTAGATAGCCAAAAAACGGATATACTAGAAGAATAAAGACACAGCCGAAGATGAAGTGCTACTGTGAAGACCACAAACAAATCAATACGGGCCAGTAATGAATGGCGTCTTTTACTGAGCTCGTGTCGAGCTTTAGGCCAGATATGAGGAAGATCAGAAAAACGCAGACCTTTGTAAAAATCGTCTTAGACAGCGCCTGTCCTATACCTAACCCCTTCCGACCACTACTCACCTGGGGCAGGAAAAACGATGCCAATGACAATCGCAAACACCAATATTATCATCAGATGAAATTTCATCAGCTTTGACTTTACACCATCCCACTTAGAACCATCTTTCCCAGCCATTGCGTATAAAAACAAAGCAAATCAAACACAATAATTAAATATTATTTATTCCTGAGGATTCAGGGAAGCGGCCTCCACTCCAATTGACATCATATCCCTACACTTCAACGTTTCCCCACTTCCCTACTCTTTACGCAGAGTGCTCATTTGCCGCATAGACGAACAGTACTTCGAAAAACTAGCAACATCCGCTCTTCGTTCCAATTCAAGAATAGACGGATGATAAAAATAGCTGATCTAAAATCGCAGAGAAACATCATCACTACGTATTCCTTTATCAGCATAAAGGTAGACAATAGTAAAAGAAACAAACTACAAGGGAAGGTGCCAGAACCGTATGCTCCCGAGAGAATTGCACCTACAGAATTCTGAGGCATCTCATTGATCCTATTTTCGACCTTTGCAAAGAGACATACCTCATGTAGTCGGTGATGATGGGAAACCCACCTTTTAATACAGACGGGAATCCAAGACACCAGAAAGCAATCCAAATTACTGCTGTATATATACAAAGCCCAGTATAGGTAATGAAAAACGACTTCAGAGTTGGGTTAAATCCTGAAGCTTTTGCCTTCAGTTTTTTATATGCTTCTTGAGCCTTTTCGGAGTATGGCATATTCGTTAGACTTTCTTTGCAATGGTGACTATCGTTTATTGGTTCTTCACCTGATGAAACTCCCTTTTCTTTTTCTTCACTCTTTCTGTTTTCTTGCTAGAAAGCTTCTGTGACTGGCGTAATAACAGGTGGAACCAGTATTACCATCGGAACAATACAATGTCGATTCTTCTGCTAAAAAGTGAGGAAGCGTAAAGTTACATTACCCTCTTGTTTTCCCAAAGCTCTCCCATAAGGGAAAGGACTGTTTTCTTATGATGATGAATCATTGCCGCGGGAAATTACCATCATAAATTTTGCTGTATTCTGTTATTCAATGTCACTTGAATTGGAAACGAGTGTTACTAGTGCCTTGCAGAGTACACTGGATGCTATTGAGGTATTGTGCGCCAAAAATGCCTTGAGAGCTGAAGAGGTCCAATCCTTCCAAAATCAGTTCATTAGTGACATACTCGACAATATCCAGGTTCAATATACTCTTATTTCGGTATGTGTGGATATCTCGTTGTTTATGTCCAGGAACGGATTAACAAGCAGTCCTTGGTCAATAGAAAAACCAGGAAGTCAGAATTGTGCAAGCAGCTGGGACTTAGCGAAGATTCTGTATGGCTCCTATCTGATAGCGATGTCTAGATAATATATGCATTGCCAGTTACTCTGGCAGACGACGTTTTTGGAGAAAAGGGTAACAGCTTTTCCGATTACAGTTACCGTTTTGTGTGCTCAGTGGTTTTTTGGACCGTTCTTTATGTATAGAAGGTGTACGAAGTTCAAGCATTGCGTAACTATCTGAAAGCCATGCTTTTTTTTGAGTGTAAACGATCGGGGGTTCTCATCGGAGTGGATTTAAAGAACCGCACGTTAATCGAGCAGTGCGACAGTCTGAAGGACAACATTATCTCTGTGAGGCGACGTCAAGTATTTTGGTTAATTTGATCAGTTTTTCCAATAGATTTCTCTCCGGGATATCGTTGCTTTGATGGTGAAGTCTGTAACCTCCATTATGAATCAATTCGAATACGATGTGAGTATCCTGAATTTTATTCTGCGGAATGTCGATGTATTGCAACGAATCGGTTCTCATCATAGGGGTATCGCGAGCAATACGCCATCCTCCAGCAGCTTTACTCAGCATCGCAGAATGAGAAGGCCTTCTTCTTACTCTATTGCTCGATTATCAAGACGTATTTTGGCCAGTGGCTGGACATCGTGTATTCCACGAGCTCTCAGAAGGACGATTTTATGAATCGTTTTCTCGATGTGTCCAGCTTTAATCTCTCGGATTTGAAGCAGGTAGAGAAGTATATCATTGACCTCTGCGATGATCTTGTCTTCGAGCTTCAAAGCTGTGCGATTTCCGAGCTGAGCAAGATTCGCAATCTGAACCACACTCTGTTTGGAGGCTTCCTAAAGCTTCGATTAGATACATTAACGCAGCAGATCAATGGCAATAGCGAGTACGGAATCACCATTCCCGACTACCAAGAGCTCTACAGCATCGAGCAGCAAGCGTACAAGCGAAACGTCGCGTTCCAATCGCTCTCGATGCTCTTTCAGCAGCGAGATGAGCTGATCACGCTGGTGCTTCTGCTTCTACAGTCCGTTCACCGGACGGGGAAGGTAGAACCCAAGATCAAAGACCACTTTCGCAAGCTCTTCGAGTATGATCAGCAAATCATGCGCGAGTTTGATGCATTCACCGTTGATCAGGACGAATCGACGATGCCCTATTTCCCTGCCATGAAATTTCTGTATCCTTCGTCTTCTCCACCCTATGAAGCTCTGCTCCGTGAATGTACATTAATTCAACAAGCGCTGTCTCCTGTTTGAGCAACAAACAACCCAACGCACACCACTACTCCTTCATTTATTCAAAGAGGCATTCACTCGATCGTAGCTGATAGCTCCTAACTTGCAGCTTGCAGCCTGTAGCTTGTAACACTTGGCGCTACGACCACTGCTCCACCGGCTTTAAACCCACCACGATCGCAGTAATGTTGTCCGTCGATCCATGATCCACGGCCTCCTGAATAATCTTCTCTGCACAACTAGCTAGACGTCCTTCTTTCGCCTCGGTCTTTACCAAGCGAGTCACGTCTTCGTCCGAAAGCACGTCAAAAACACCATCACATGCGACCACTACAAACTCTGCGTCCTCTGACAACTCCGTCCTAGTGATATAGGGGCGAGCTGTTACATAACGCTTGTATGAATGATCGCCAAAACTGCGTGAAACTGCGAGAATACCGAAAACTCGCTTATTCATGATGACACCTCCCAAGTCTGTAATCCGTTTTTCTTCAGCAGGGTCGGAGGCCTTATGATCCTAAAGTCAACGCAACCTACTGCGCCTACATAAGACAATCGAATCGTCTTTCCATCTGCAAAAAGAACAGAGCGGGAATCACCTGCGTTTGCACTATACAAAACACGCTGGTCCTCCTCGTTCAGCAATAAAATAGTAACACCTGCAGAACCGCTATTTTTCATGTCTTCATTCTTTGATTCGATGTCGGTAAAATAGTACGCATACTCAAGACACTGTTCTATTGTCTCCATTTCTCCAGAAGATAGGGCATTAATTAGGTTCTTTGGCAAATGAGCGTTTACAAAGTCTGCAGTTTCGCGCCCTACACAAATCAACGCAATACACACAAAAAATACCTCCATGACCATCAAAAACGGAGGCATAGAAAACACCAGGATCATCATTCAAGCAAGGTATTACAGAATGCGCATCTTCCATATACCGTTGAAAACGTACGTTCTTTCTCTCGGATTGCGACACTGAAAAAATCTGAGAGGATTCGCTAACTTGCTCTTCAAAAGACATTTAGTGTGAAAAAAAGGGTTTGCTCGTTTACGTAAAAACCCGATCACCCTTCTTTTTTGTTAAACGGTTTATAGGATTATATGCGTTAGCTCATTGCCGCTCCAATAATAATTATCTAGACATGGTTTTCATTTTTATACATATAGGAGCTGGTAAATATTCTTCAAAGAAAATACACAGTCACTTCATATCACTCTGAGATTTATTCGTAGAATACAAACAACTGATTGAACAATGCCTTACTCTCGGAAATGAACAATTTCATGTGCCTCTATTGCTCTCAAACCATGTATAGAAATCAAATAGTCTCGAGGATACTGCCTTGTTGATCATGACACTTCTGGAGGAATCCGGAATTGTGAACACTGGGAAGGGAAGTAACTTAACAAGGGTACCATTTTCCGAAGTTGATCGATGTAGGATTTGACAGTTGAATGTGATGCGATTGTTATTCGAAGTCGAGATATGTCCTATGGGTGTGTTACCGCAGTTCCAGACACATCAAGACCTTCGGCAATCGCGTTTTCTCTCTTAGAGGAATCAACTCTGGGTTTGGAAATGGGACAGTTAATCCGACCCTGCCTGCTTACAGGGAGTTCTGCTTTAAATTATGCAAAGGAGAACGGGCTCTTTAAAGACAACACAGTGGGATGTGACATGATTTCTTCAATTTTCAGGTCAAAATCAGTCAGCGAAAACGAGGGGAGCGTTATTTGGAACTATTAGAGGAGAGCAAGAAGCAGGAAACAAGCGATACTGTTGGATGTCTGGTGATGGAGGTTTGCTCCCTCTTTCTCCCTCTCACCCAAAGAATGGCCATATCGTCGTTGCTTCGAGCAGTGGAGGAAACTGGCTGAAGCAACCGGGTCGCGGAGGATTGTGCTCGGTTCCTGGGGCTGGAGCATGGTGTGAAGACGGCGTTGGATGCGTCTGTTCTGGATATGGAGAATGCTTTATGCGAAGTTTATTCGCAAAACGATGCTGCGATCTACGAGGGACAGCTGAAGAGATCGCCGAACTCATGCAAAACACTTTACTCAAAGATATGCAGCAAATGAAAATCACGCTGGATCCTGTGTTTGCAGTCGCCTTTCTTGATGAGCGGCAATCTGCAATGCATATCGTTCATTCATCGACCCATTTTGGGTTTGGATATCGCTCAGAAACCACAAGCCAAGTCGAAATCTCTGAGAAAACAAACACGCAACAGTTTCAAATTCATACTATTCACATTTTTCACCTTTGTTGAAACACGCACAAATCGCTTCGGTTAGCATCACACCCACTAACACTCCAGTGCTTACCAGAAGCGTGCAGGTAAAGAGTGGCTGCTGCGAAAGCCAGTGATTCGTCTGCAAAACGGCTTTCTAGTCCAAAACAACCAATTTCCTTTCATACTTGGACCAATATCGGGAAAACTGGCGGTATTGCAGGAAGGGGCTTGAATTGAAGGCTCGAGAAACTACAATAGTACTATCAATTCATAAACAAACTCTGTTTGAATGACATTTTCAATTAACTCCAGACTGCGCAAATCGGAATACTCAGCCATGTTTCCCTAATGTGATAGACGCACACTGCCCATACGTTTTGAATGACTACGAAACTAGGATAATAAACAACCTGGAAACGAGTCACTATGACACGTTCGGACATAATATCCACTTCTCCAAACGAGATCTGGGGAGAGTACGATTGTGCCAAGTCTCTCCACATCGAATGGGTTCTTTTGCATAATGAGCACCACTACAGAATAGTTTGCAACGAATTATTTTACAGGCGCATAGAAGTGAATGAACCAAGTACCGTTCGTTCCATTTCCAACCAACGTTTCGTAATTGTCATCTGTTAACGAATATACATCTATTTTTGAAACTTCAGTGCTCGACAAATACGGTTCTCTCCAGATACTAGCAAAAATAGCGTAATCAAACACACTCTGTGTGTTACGATCATTCTTCGTGCTTACATGAATATTCGCATCGTGCTGGTCCAAGCCAAACAATTGTATGGTAACACAAACACGTAATATAGGATACACACTCTGAGTCATTTTCAAATACTTCATATCATATGCATAGCTCGTTTTATAGCCAGCCTTCATATAGTAAGTCATCGTATCATGCTCCAAGTTCCTCCAATCTACCTTCTTCATCAGCTCCTTGGTTTCCGTATTGTTCCTTCGATCGAGTTTGTCTTTCTGGAACGATTGATACGTCCCATTCATCCAGTACCAGCGGATTCCACACTGAATATTCGCGGTCAGCAAGTAGGACATCTCTTCACAACACAAATACGTCGGAATATCGTATCTCCACATCACTTTTCCCACCCACGACGGTGCGAAAAAGGGATTTACAACGAGATCCGGCGCCTTTTCGCATTGTTTCACGCATAAGCGCAGTTTTGTGCGCTTGTAGTATCGCTTACACCAGCACCAAGGGCGCAAGGAGTGAATTCCGGGTCGTTCGGCCATCGCTTGCATCGCTCTGGCGTGTATGTCCGTTTCAATTAGAATTTGGTCGTCGTCGTATGTGAAGGACAATCGAGAGGGAGAAAAACCGCTAAGGAGGTAAGAAAAGTGGAAGAACGCGTTCCAATTCACGTTCCAAACGAAGTAGATGGGAGTGTTTGCATGCTCAAACTCGCGAAGAATCGCAGGGTAATCAAACTGCGTTAAGTTTCTGTTTTGGACCAAAAAAAGAAACTCGGGATGCAAACTCTGAGCAAAAATCCCATTCAACTGAGTTCGCAAGTAATTCCGCTGGTAGAGGCGAAGAAACACCGAAAATGAGCTATTTCGGTGCATTTGGGTCGAAAAACATTTGGAAAATGAAATGTTTGAGAGGGAATGAGAGGGAAGATCAAACAGAAACTGGCTCGATTGCTTCCATTTCCCACGGATTTCGGAAGGCAATAGAGTAGGAAGCAGAGAATAGAGAGAAGGGTCGGAATAGCGAATTGACGAGTACATGAGCACTTGACGAAGTAGAGTATTCGAAATACAGAGCAACTTAGGGTTGTGCATAAGAATAAACGGCGTCTTTGGGGAAGAAGAAATGTAATCCAATACAATGAGTCTAATCAACCCCTCTAGTTCATTAGAGCCGATCGGTTGGTCCAAATATAAAACCACAGCGATGTCACTCTTGTAGTAGATACTCAAAAGAAACGAAAGGTAGTCGTTATCATGCACAAAGTTGGTTATCGTCAAGTTAACCACTGGTGTTAACATTCGTACCTCTCCTTGATTCAAAATGTACGTTTCATTTGTCATAATATAGTTCACGGTCTGGATATGCACATTTCCTATTTGAATGGATGGAGCTTTCGGAAGAGTTACATTCCCACTGAATTGAATGACAATATTGACAGAATAGGACGTGGAGACGGAACTCTTCCTCAATTCACCTCTACTTTGAAATACACCATTCCTTCGATTGCTCTCTGTGGAAAATTGAAGAGAATCCAGGCCTGCGATACTCATGGACACAATCATCCCTAGCGAGCACAAAAACAGTAGAACCCCAAAAAATAGCATACGTCCATAGCCCGCCCGACTCAAACAAACATGGAGCATTCTTATTTAAACAACATTTGCTTAATCTTGCTGATGAAGATCTGCGAGAGCACCGTTCGGACCTCCTCATCGGAGTACTGGATCATCGACACGAGCAGCGGGTAGAACTTGGGGCAGTACGCCACGAACTTCTCGTAGGGCGTCTTCTCCATTCCGGTCACGATCTCCTGCATCAGCGGGATCGAAGCCTGCGCCACGCGCTTGTTCTCCGCCTTCTCGTCTCCTTCCCGCGCCTTCTTCTCCACATCCACGTACTCGGTCAGCAGGAACTCCATGCGCCTATCGCTCACTCCTCTCTCCCGCGCCCCACTTCTGCAGATCCTCGTCCGCGTAGGCCTGGCGATCCGGCGCGTCGGTGTCCATGTACAGCACGAACAGCACGTGCACGATGCTCGTCTCCGCAGCCACCTGCTCGTAGATCAGCGTGGGCAGCATCTCGTCGTCCTGCGGGTATCCTATGCATGACTCAGCACACGAACCGCCTACCGAGCTTCTTGATCATGCGGCGCAGCTCCATATCCTGGTGGAAGTCGCGCGTCATGTCGGCCACCTTCTGCATCAGACCCAGCATGCGCTTCAGCTGGTCGAACGTGAAGCGACGGTAGTCGATATCGACCAACTCGGAGATCAGAGCCGACAGATCGGCCTGCGTCACCGCCTTGGTGGCGACCAGCATCGCGTTGACCTCCAGGCTGCGCGTATCGGTGGTCTCCAGCTTGATGGGATCCTCGACGACTTCCTCCTCCACCGAGGACTCGCTGTCCGACGACGACGACGACTCGCTGTCCGAGCCGTGCTTCTTGCTCTTGCTCTTGCTCTTGCTCTTGCTCTTGCTCACCTTCACCGTCTTCTTGGCCTCCTTCTTCAGCTTCTCCAGGTCCTCCAGCTCGCTAAGCTTGTGGAAGTACGCGTTGCCGTAGATCAGCTCCACCGTGGCGCAGATATCGTCCACGGAGATCAGCTTGCCGTTGCCCACCGGCGTGCGGACCCAGCGGCCCACCTTGGGCGCCACACCGCCCGCGCGGAGGTTCTTGTCGTAGATCAGATAGAGCTTCTTGCGGGCGTTGAGCACGAGGTCGTCGGGCATGGTGTTGGTGAACGCCTTCTCCAGCTGGTCCAGCATGGTGTTCCACATCGCCTCGTCGTACATGTCCGCGCCCTCCAGGAACAGCTGCTTCAGACAGAACACGCCGATGCGCGCCAGCGACAGAATCTGCTGCTTCATCGCTTCCTGCATCAGATTGAAGATGCGCTCCAGAAGGAAGCTCACCTGGTCGCGGCGCTTCACGTACAGACGGATGATCGAGTACATGACCAGCGCGCCGGTGGTCTGCAGGTAGCTCTTCTGGTTCTCCGCCTTGTTGCCCAGCTTGATGGGCTTGTCCTGCTCGGTGGGCAGCGACAGCAGCTGGTTGACCGCCTCCTCGCCGGACTTCATCGGGCCGTCGAAGATCGTGAAGATGAAGCCGTTGAACACCAGCTCCCACAGCTTCTCGCTGAAGTGCACCGCCGAGTTCTGGAAGATCGCGAAGATGCGCTCGCAGCAGTCGTTTCGCACCGCGTAGCGCGCGTCCGTGTAGACGTAGCGGCTGAGGCCCATGAACACCGGCCACCAGACCTTGGTGTGCTCGTCGCAGTCCGTGAAGCGGTTCTCCGTTTCCGCGATGCTGACGATCTTGCCCTCGATGATCACGTCAGCGCACTTCGAGACGTACTCGCGCGCCTCCTGCGAGATCTCGGGGGTCTCCACGCCGATGAAGGCGCAGTATGTGGTGATCAGGTCGTTCATCTCCACCACCATGGAGTCGAAATAGCGGTCGAACAGCTCCTTGGCCATGCCCCAGGCAATGCTCGTCAGCGGGTCGGCCTCGTTCTCCGCGCAGTACGTGCAGACCGAGAACACCACCTTCCAGCCCGACGACAGACTCTTGTAGCGAGTCTGCACGATGTTGTGCACCACGTGGAGAATCATCTCGCGGGTGTCGGCGCTCGGCGTACGGCTGATGATGTACTCGAACGGACGGATGAACGACTTCTGGAAGTTGTAGGCGCGCAGATCCTCCTTCTCCAGGAACTTCACCGACAGCTGCTTCAGCGAGTCGATCGCGGACAGAGCCACCTGGCCCATCGGGAAGCAGCCCAGCGCAATGTAGTACTCGGACATGACCTGCCAGATCTGCGTCCACTCCAGACGCGAGCGGCAGTACATGTTGCCGTCGGCTACCTCCACCACCTTCTGCATCAGATAGGTGCGCGGACGCTTGTCCTCCTCGCTCTCCTCCTCGTTGTTGTTGTTGGAACCCTCGTTCTGCTCGTCCAGCGCCTGCTTCAGCTCCGTGAGCGACACGTCGCACAGCGCCTTCACGAACTCCACGATCATCTTGGAGTCCAGGTTGGCGGTCTTCGCGAAGATTCGGTCCAGCGCGTGGAGATCGATGATGCTCTCGATGAGCTCCTGCTTCTCGTGCGCCTTCTCCACCAGCACGTACTCTCCGTTGCGGCTCATGCGGCCGCTCTCCTCGTCGTCGTCGAGGTGCTTGCGAGCCAGGGGCTCCAGTCCGTAGAGATGCACCTGCGCCAGCGACGAAATGATGGTGAGGATGTACTTCCAGGCGGATCCCATGTGGTTTCCGAAGTTCTGCGCCAGCTCCAGCATCACGCGCATCATCTCGATCTGCTTGTTCTTCACGTCCAGCCACTCCTCCTCGTTCACCAGCGTGCTGTTGCACAGAATCTCCATCGAGCGATCGCGCTCCTGGTCCAGACCCAGCGAGCACGCGATCTCGAAGCAGTCTCGCACCGCGATCAGCGTGTTCTGAATACCTGCCTCGTCGTCCGACTCGTCCAGCACCTTCGCGTACACGTCGATCACCATCGGGAACAGGATCTTGAACATCGGACCGATGTACTCGTTTCCAGTGGCCTCGAAGTACTCCGTGGTTTCCTCGTCGATGTCCACCTTCAGCTTGCTCATAATGTCCATCTTCTCCACAGAGAAGGCCTTCTGCCGACGCTCCTCCTTGTTGCGGTAGCGACGCTTCTCCTGCTGCTGGCGCGCCATATCATCTTCCTTCAGCGAAATGGCGTTCTCCTGGATACGCGAATAGATGTCCAGCAGATACTCCGAGGGGAAGTCGCCTCCGTCGTTGATTCCACGGCAGTTGCTGATAAAGCCTTCCGGCGTCATGCGGTTCTCGGGAGCGATGTTCGGGTTGTGCAGATCGGTGTTCAGCATAATCACGGAGTAACCCAGCACGAACGCCGCATCCGTGTTCACGAACAAGCCCGGGTTCTGCTCGCAGAACGCGTTCGCGAAGCGCTCGATCATACGATCGATCTTCTGGGCCTCTCCGGGCAGACGGAAACGCTCCAGGAAGGTTCGAATACCCATATCGAAGGTCAGGCCGTGGAAGTTGATTCCGTTCGCGTAGGCCTTCAGCACATTGAGGTTGAACTCCTTCGGCTCGCCCATGTAGTCTCCGATCTGGCGCTTGTCCAGCTCGTCGGCGTACTTGTACAGGAACTGAGCCACCGCCTCGGGCGTGTTCTCCAGACGGCCGGCCTGCACCAGGTACTCGATACCCACGCGAGGCTTCTTGTTGAACTTCTGGATACCCGTCTGCATGTCCTCCTGGAACTTCTTCTTCTCGTCGAACTTCTGCAGAATGTCCGTAGCCGCCTTGATCTTCACATCGGTGTCGCTGGCCTGCACGATGGGGGTGAAGCCGGGCGTCAGCTCCTCCTCCTCCTCCTGCTTCGACTTGATCATCGTGTTGTTGTTCTCCGCCTCGGTGATGTGGCACTTCTCAGCCAGCGGCTGCAGAATGTGCGCCAAGGCGTCCAGGGCGATGCGCTTGGCAGGGAGCAGCTCCTCGGTGATCACCTCCTCCTCCGGGAACACGTCCTCCGTCTCCACCACTTCCTCCGTCTCGCCGTCGTCCGTCTCGACCTGCTTCTTGGTCGTGACCGTGTAGCGACCCTCCACCACGTGGGACAGCGTGCGCACCACGTCCTCGTACATCGAGCGCGAGTTGATATCGCAATCGTAGTTGATGAACAGCTCGATCATGAAGTCGGGGTCCTTGTTAATCTCGTTGAACGCCTCGATGACCATCTCCTTATGGCGCATCGCAGAGTTCGTCGAGTTCAGAATCACGAGGAAGATGTTGATGATGAACACTTCGATCTCCTTCTTGATGAAGATGCGGAACTTGTTCACCACGGCCGTGAAGATGTGCAGCGAGATCTCCACCACGTCCATGTTGTTCGAAATGAAGTTCTGCAGCAGGTTCTGCAGCAGGTACTTTCGCACCAGGTACACGTACGCCTTGTACTTGTTGAAATCGTCGCCGATGTTCTCCATGGCGGCATTCAGAGCCGTCAACGAGATGATCTTGTGGTTGTCCTCCGGATCATCCTCGTCCTTCTCGCTGGCGATCGAGCACAGCTTGCGGAACACCAGGTAGATGTCGCGATGGCGCTGCGACGGAAGACTGTCCAGCTTCTGCTCATCGCACTCCTCTTCCTCCTCGTTCTCTTCCTCCGTCTCCAAATTCCATCCCACCGCGCCGTTGTCGTACTTGAATCCCAGCTGCATCTCCACGCCCGTGTACATGCAGTCGCTGGTGAATCCACGCACAACGTCCTCGTCGTCGTCCTCCTCCTCGTCGGGGAAGGGAGTCGGGGTCATCGTCGCCGTGTTGCTGATCACCTCGACGTCCTTCGTCTTGTCCACATAGTCCATGGACTGCATCAAGAAGGCCATAATCTCCTTCAGCGCCGTTTCCGCAGCCTCGCGAGTGTTGCCAGAGGTAGCGTCCATGTAGATGTGGTAGCAAACGTCAATCGCGCGCAGCAAGAAGTCGCCATTCACAGTTCCCATCTTCACCACCTCGGAAAGACTTTGAGCAAGATAATATTTCATGTTATCGTCCTCGACATCCTTCTGGTCGCACAGATTCTTGGTAATTTCCTCCATCATCGTATAGTCCTCCTTACCCGGCATCGGGTTCAGGGGCTCCGCCTCACCAGTGAGGTAACCCTCCTGAATCAGCGTAGTAATCGCATCCATAGCAGCAGCCTTCACGCCGCCCGATTTGTTTCCCAAGGCCTGAAGCAAACATCCCCAATATTTATCTGCATCTGTGTCCTTAAACTCCACTCCACGCTTCTTCAGACGCTTACGTTCGTCCTTTAGAGCGCTGCAAATGTTATCGATGGTGTCTCGAAGATCCTTATCGCTACGCCACGACGTAGCTTTCTTAACCTTCGAGAGACAGCGAATTACGCATTCATCCATTCTAAAATGCCGTGAGCATGCAATCCCATCACGAAAACAACTAGATTCCTACCTCAATAAAGATTTTTGCATTTTCCATTTAATGGCGACAACCGCGGTTTTCCAAGAACAATCCCAAGTGTCCTCGCAACAAACAATACACAACAAACCCAAACACTTAATCCTCTTCCGCTGGCGCTTGTGACTGAGCACCCATGTTCCGACCTGCACTCATCACCTCGTCCACCAATAGCAGCTGGCTGGCGATTACCGTGCTCAGCTGGATAAACTGTCGTTTCACGCGGTAATTATCCCACACGCCCTCCATAGACGGCAGCATCACCTTTCCCGTCACCACATCAATCCCTCCCTTCATTCCCGATTTCTGAATCTCCTCCTGCACCTCCAGAATCGTATCCTACACATCACACCGCCTCTCCTTCCCCACCATCACATCAAATCCGCTATTCTCTGCCAACGTCTTCGGGATCACCAGCAGCGCCTCTGCGAACGCGCGCACGCCCAGCTTTGCCTTTCCCTCCACCGTTCCCGCCATCTTCATCAGATCCTCGTACGCCGCCAGCTCGAACGCGCCCGCTCCGGGCACCAGCCGGCCGTCCTCCAGCGCGTTCTACGCCTCACCATTTCCGCCCTCCACGACCTTCACCGCGCGGATTCCGTCGCGCGCCGCGTCCTTCAGCTGCGCCACGACCTGCTGGTTGGGTCCCTGGAGCAGCAGCGTGCAGGAGAAGGGGTTGCGGACGTCCTCGACGAAGCAGAACTTGTCCTCGCCGACCGTCTGCTCGTACACGTGCCCCGCGAAGCCCAGAACCGCGGGGGAGAGGTCGTCGACGCTGTTCATGGGGATGCCGCCGCAGGCGAGGGAGAGACGCTCCATGTTGCGTCGCTTGGCGCGTCGCAGCGCGAGGATGTCTACGCGGAACTCCAAAAAAAAGGGGAAAACTGGCCTTGGCGAGCATGTCGAGGGAGAGCGGATCGATGCCTTTCTGGTTGATCACGACGAAGCTGCGGTCGCCGTCCGGCGGGCAGAGCGTGTTCTTGAAGTCGATGATCTTGCGCACCTTGTCGTCGGTGAACTTGCGCTCGGCGGCCACGAGCTCGTCGCGCTCCTGCGCGGTGCTGTACACGAACGACGCGTTCGTCTCGCTTTTCTCGTACTCCAGAGACACGTTCAGGATCAGGACGTAGCAGTTCTTCAGCGACTTCGGCATGTCCGGGTGCCGGGCGCCGTGGTCCAGCACCAGGCCTTTCACCAGGCGACTGTCCAGAGCGTCCTTCGTGATCATCTCCATTTGCTCGATCATCAGGATGTCCAGCGGTTTGCCAGGACGCTTCACGGTGAGCACCGCGTCGGTGACCATTTCGGTGAGGTGGTCCGCAAGCTGGACGTTATGCAGGGAATGATGAGAGAGGTACGGTTTCTTCGAGCTTGGTGCGCAGGGAGGTGCGGGCCACGCTGTAGAGAAGCTCGTGGTCGTTCTCGATGTCTTCGATAGGCTCCTGGGATCGAAAGAGAGACAACAGAAAAGTACAGCGAACGTGTCGAGGAATCGGAGACATTCCGTCTTGGCAATTTCAAATCCATCGGTCAACAGACGCGGATGCACGCCCTGCATTGAGAATGAGCAACGCTGCACCTACTTCGTTCACATAGCGCGCTGCCACCTTCATGAGTTCACCAATGAACAGAACCGTCGATGTTGTGCCGTCTCCCTAGAAAAATAAGGCGATTCCTTTCAAAATGAACAGTAATATCGTCCTGAGCAGTTGCCGTTCTAGCAATCAGCGAAGCGGTAGGATGCTGAATTTGCATTTCATGGAGCAACACGTTTCCGTCTTTTGTCAACTTGATTTGCCCAGAACTCCCCACGAGCATTTTCATGGTACCTTTCGGTCCTAGAACGATTATACAGAGTCTCAATAGAGCGCACCCAAGTTTGTTTTGAGAACTTCCTGCATTCCAGAAGCAGCAGTGATCTGAACGGCCATTGCCTGCTGCTTTTTTATGTACTCTGCCTTTGGATTTAGCAGGTTAAGACTCGACATAGTAACGACTTTTCTATAGTATTTTCAACAGAAATCGCGGGAATAATCGATTCGAGTCAACTCAAAAAATAAACCATGACGAAAAAGACAAAGACGCGTCGCTATGCGGTAAAGGCGAAGATATTGTCAACCAAGGACACTCGCATCGTTGCAAACCAGAAAAAGGAGGAAGAGAAGGAAAAGCAGAAAAAAGAGGCGTTGGTACGTCACGTTGAGCAGGTACCGTCCAGTCTGTTCTTTAAATACAATACCGCGCTCGGTCCTCCATTCCGAGTTTTGATCGATACGAACTTTATCAACTTCTCGATTCAGAACAAGCTGGACATTATGAAGAATCTAATGGATTGCTTGCTTGCAAAGTGCATTCCTTATATCACGGATTGCGTTATGGCTGAGTTGGAGAAGCTGGGCTCTCGCTATCATGTTGCTCTCCGTCTGGCGAAAGACCCTCGCTTCCAGCGACTCACCTGCTCTCACAAGGGAACCTATGCTGATGACTGTATTGTTGAGCGTGTTCGAACTGTAGGCGTGATGGGTTGCTGTAAAGGGTAGAATCGTTGCTACATCGTTGCCACCTGCGATAAAGACTTGAAGCGTCGGATTCGGAAGATTCCGGGTGTTCCGATCATGTTCATTGTGAATCATCGCTACACCATTGAGAGACTTCCGGAAGCTTTTGGTGCTCCGAAGTAACGCGGCTTCGAAGAGTAGAATCCGTCATTGTTTATTTAGTTTGCTATTATTGTCATTTCATTCTTGTTTTGAGTCGGATTGGGGAGAGTTTATGTAATGTACACAATCTTGCGTGTATTTGTTTGGAAACAGGAGTCTTTTGAATTGGTGTTGCATTCCGTATCGATTGAAAGAGAAAATGAAACAAAGAATGGAAAATACAAGGACTTACGTTTTATATCTTTGATTCCAGCTCTGACACACGCTCGCTCATGCGGTCCAGTCTCTCATAGGTGTCCACACGGATATCGGCAAGAGCCTGCTCCATTTGGTGTGCACTATTCCAAATCTGTTGGTACACAAAGAAATAACCAGCGACCATTGCAAAGGCACATCCATAAAGGAAAGGTCTCACCGTCGAGCGTTTTTTCTTGGGTTGCTCCTTTGCCACCTTCGGAGCCATGGGCTGTATCTTGGGTTGTTCAACTACCATTTTCATAGAGGAATCGGCCGCTTTTGCAGTCGATACAACAGCTTTCTCTGCGGCCGGTGCAGCTGCGCTTGCTCCCTCTTCTACAATATTTACAGCGGGTATTTCAGCAAAGAATCTCCGCACTAGCAAATCACACAAAGAAGAGAGAGAGTACGAGGAGAAACGATGCGATAGCCTCTTCGAATAGCGTACATTATGATTCAAGTAAAAAAGGAGCAAAATAATGGAAGTGGAAAAATGTATGTATTTCAAATATAAGCAAATCATCTAAAATAGATAATGTGGGATAACACAGAAAGTAGTGCTATTTGATGTTTTGGAGAGATAGGAAAGGTGGATTGTTATTTGGCTTATGAATAAGAACATGACATTTTTTAAAGACTGCACTGGTGGTTAAATGCTATATTATCGTTTTTATGAGAAAATAGTTATAAGAAATCATCACTCAACTTGGAATGGTAATTTGCTTGCTCAGAGTAGCCTAATAACAAATATCACTTGACATTCATAGAAGGAATATCAAAAATATCGAATTCTTTCTCAACGTGTGTTCATAAATTCCGCCCTGGTATTACGATAATTCGATGAATATCTTTGTATGTTGTTTTCTTATCGTGTCCAATAGAACCTTTCTTTTACTGATGATTTACCAAACTGTTTTCTTAAAGTCTCAATCGCCTGATTGCAAGATATAGAAAAGAATTATACTTGCGTCTCATTCATACAAACTTAATAACTTGTTATTGGAAGTTCCATTCAGTAAAAAGTATTTCACACTTTTTAGAGTTATGGCTAGGTATTATGGTTATTGTATTTTCTAATAATCTAGAGGAAGATCCTATAGTAGAGTTGCACTTCTGTTCTGATTGTAGGTTCTCATTCCCGCTCGTACTCTACTCGATCTTCGAGACCTAGAGTGTATGTTTCATATGTTTTTATTCCCATATTAGGAGTACAAGACCATCTTCAACTGCTTCGCACAGTGCGACCCACCGTAGTGCAGGAACGTCGTCCGCCTCAGGGTCGAAAGCATCGACTACTTCAAGAACGATGCCGTCGACTTCATCATCGAACAGAGTTGGAAGTTCAACTTCGAGCTCATATACGGCGTCGAAGCCCACGGCAACTCCCACTTCCACAGCTAAACCGGCTGCTCAGACAACCATGCCTGCTACGGCCAAGCAGCCTGACACAACCAAGCAGCACGCGCAGTCAGCTCAGCCTACGCAGACAACCCCTGCTGCTCAGCCTGCCCAGCCTGCCCAGTCCGTGCCAGCTCCCAGCGCGACAGTGAGTACAGCTCTCTGCAATTTCTCGATGTTCTCTAGACATCCGTGGTCCCGGTTTCTTCGGTTCGATTCTCCAAGGCTTCGGCTTTGGCGCTGGAAGTTCGCTCGGCCACGCGTAGAAGCGAGTCTTCGATTCGATCGTAGTGCTGTGGGGGCGATGCTCGGAGGCGCTTCTTCCAACGCTTCGCAAGAAGAAATCCAGGAAGAGCCTGTGGCCGCTGAAACGCCCATAGAACCTGCTGCTGCTGCCAGAGAAGAGGAGAACTTTGTTTGGATTGGATGGGACGATCATGGGTAGAACGATGTGTGCAGAGTCCAATTGAAGGACTTCCAGAGCTGCTTGGAGGCGTCTGTGAGGGATGGGAGAGAGAGTGAAGTGTAGAACCAGCAGCTTTCTGCGTGCCAGATGTACTACGAGTCGCTGAAGGCGTGCCAGGACCGAGCCAATCAGATGAAGGAGATGTTTTGGATTGTTTGATTGAACAAACACGCGATTGTTTGGAGATGTCTTTGCGTTCGATCGGTTTAATGAACACGGAGGGCTCGCTCGCACTACGCGTTGCCTCACGAAAACAAATCGATACTCTTCCTGCTTCCCGTTCTCGAATAGATAGGACGAAGCAATCGCTAGATACGATCCGTCATGGTTGAAAGCCAGCGAGGAAATCGAAGAAGGAAACGAGTGGATCTGACTGACCCTCTTCTTCGATTTGTAGTCCCAGAAAAACACATTCCCATCACTTCCTCCTGTCACGAGACACGGTTTTCTAGGAGTGATTGCTCTGGGAATGGATCGACGATGGGTGGACTTCCAGAGCATTGACCGGATAGACCAACGATGTTCCGTTCTCGTTCTTCCGATGGCATTTGAAGCAGTAGGATTTGCAGGTCTACGCTTGACTCGATCACAGAAACGCACCGGCGTTTCTTGGGAGAAATGAACACTCACTCGGCCTTCGATGCACCCAACCACGTAGCCTAGAGAGTGGACACTCCAAACTCGTACCTTCTTCCTCCTGTAAACAGCGAATACAACGCAGATTGTAGCTTAGATTACTGTTTTCGATGCGGAGAGACTGATCAAGTTTCCGTAGATCATAGATCTCGACTTGTAGCATATTTGTGATAACGGCAATATTGCTATGTGCTGAGTAAATCAAACGGAGTACTTTTCGCCAAGAAAATCAAAGCTGTAAGCTTTGGCTTTGTTGGAAAGATGTGTTTGGTTCAATGGAGCGGTGAGAGATGTTGCATGCGCGTCCCATAGCGTGATGGACCCATTCCAGTTTGATGAAATCAAGCAATCTGGGAGATGAGCCACTTTAGTCCGATTACCTTTCGATTTGCAATAACGAACGCAGCTAATCGTTCCCTCCTGATTGCCTATCACAAAAGCACACATTTGCATCAAGTCATATCTGTGACTTATCAATTCGAAACTATTTGCACGATCTTATATCTCCATCCAACCCTCCAGAGCAAGCCCATGTATTTGAGAGAAAATCACAACTAAGTATAGCCCCGCGCGATTTATAAGTTTGAATGCAATCCTTAGATTCGATAGTATACAGGTATAATGTCTATTACTTCAGAAAAGCAACCAGAGATACAGAGTCCCAGGATGACACAGCAAGCGTGTCTGAAGATGGAGCAAACCGAAGGCAGGAGATTCCATCCGTGGGACAGTTCTGCAATTTGAACATTTTTGAACAAACATACGTCCTAACAAAATTCATCTCAGTACAATTTATATTTATAGATATAGATATAGATATGTATTATTAAGAGCAAAAGGCAACCAAATCACCTCTTTTCGCTTTTTCGTTTCCAGAGATCCTTTTCGATTTCCTGGGACATCACCTTCTTTCCAGCAACCTGAACAAGGCAATGGAACAGCGTGCTGTTAAAGAGCGCAACTAGAGAGACATCAAAGGATATCACTTCTCGAACGCTCCAAATTCCGCAGAATAATGCGCTTTCAGAGCATGCAAAACGGTAGGCGTAGGCACCTCAATATCCACCGACCTAGCCACATCGATCCACTGGTTCTCTGTGATATTCTGCATTCCTCCGCATTCCAACACGGAGGACAGAAGAACGAACGAATTCACCTGTCTCCCCGCCACATCGAGCGTGGCAAACTCTCCGTGATTCGAGAACGCCGCGTACTACCAGCTGAAAACAAAACAGAACACAAACATAGTTGAGTAAAACGTCCGAATTTCGGACAAACGAATCGTAATAATTCTTTTCGACTCCGTTCACAAACTCCAGCTTCGCGACGCGTCTCAACACACGGCGACGAATCTCTCTCTTCTCCTCTTCCTCCCTTCTCTCCACCGAACTCATCGGTTTGGGTTTCTCCGGTTTCCACTCTTTGTGTTGTCCGTAAACCTCCGATTTCGCAATGTGTCCCACCACGCCGTGCGGCTTTTCATTCCTCTGATAGGAAAGATCCAGTCTGTGCTGTGCGTGCTTTCGAATCGCTTCGTATCGTTCTGCTGCCATCAACGCAGTGCCTCCTAACAGAAGTCCGCTTCGGCGATCTGTTTCGGTGAGATAAAGGCCTGTCAAATTCCCGATCAGCGACAACGGGAAGATTTTGATCGATGTGGGAGTGATGTTTCGATAGTCGTTGTGTTTGTTCACGCAGCTAAACGCGTCGGGAGGGTACGGACCGAATCCCCAGGTCCATTGGCGAGGGAGCAGCGCGCGAGCGCAGTTGCAACCTAAAGGAATCGACGCGATTTCTGTTGATTCCAGGCCTCGGAGCAATGAATCACGCGGTGGAAACGTGGAAACCGAGGCGGAATGGGATGGGTCGAAGGAAAGATAATCGACACACACGAAATACCACGACTGGATGCGCAGATCCCCGCGGGAGACTTGCTGAAGGACGGTTTGACTTGTCAAAAAGCGCGTCAAATAGGGAAACAAATCGCAGTTGAGCATCAATTCCCCGCTTCGAGTCAACACCATGAGCAACGTTTGCAGAAGCCGAAGCAGCTCGCTGAGCAGCGCTTCGTTGTTCATTTGCTCCTTGATGAAGCAGAGCGATAAGTCGATTAAATCTTCCAATGGAAGGAAGGAATGCAGTCCGATGCGAAGCAAAAGATACGAAGACAGAAGCAGCACGCGAAGCAGCGCAGCGGACTCCGATGCATTCGATGTTTTGTCGATCATTTGGAGAAACACCTGCTGAAACGTGGAAATTTGGGGAAGCAATTCCACGATTTGGCGTTTAAAATCGTGGAAATCGCCGGTTCGTTCCATGATTTCTCTGGAATAATGGGATAGGAAGGAAAGGGGCTACAGAAGTTGGATTAAGTCAAAACAGTTTTGGAAATCGTCGAATGAAGACAGCGATACGGGCTTGTCCAGCTCCGAGACGAGATGCTACATGGAACAATGTGTGCTCAGATACATCGATGGAGTAGTGGAGAAGGCGATATACCGAAGAACAGAGCGGATATGTGGCTGAGTGAGAAATCTCAGAGAGAATCATGATTAGCTGGGTAGCAGCATAGACAGAGACGTGTTCCTGGCTGAATAGAGAATAAACAGAATCATGCAAATAGGAGTAGATACGTTTAGAATTCCCCTCTACAGTAAAGATACGACCTCATGCTAACGGAGCAAGGAACTATCGTTTTCTTTGGGTTTATCGTACACGGAATGTTCAATAGGGTTATGAGTCAAGCAATCATCACAAAACCAATCACCATCACCAACATCTGCCTTCTAGAACTCATCACTCTACACTATTTTTACACGCAGTTTCAAGCAACGGAAATGGAAAGCTCTTCTACAAGGACCATCGCACAATAGAAGATTTCTAGATTAAAATATCAAAATTGGAACTACCCGGGAGTCTTACAAATATAGCACACCTCGTCAGTCTTGGAGGAAAGGATCCTGTCCTCTGGCTGAATTTGGTTTTCTAGCCATCCTTCTGCAGTGATACTCCCTTGATAGATCGAGGACATCTCACAAAACGAGTTATCCGAAAAATCGCGGTTCTTGTACTAATCTAGCTGCTTGTTTGGTAAGCTTGTCTTTGAATTTTCTCGCTAAATATACATTTTGAAAAGACTTTGATCGTTTTTTCCTATATACTTTTCATTCTATTATAACGCAGAATGGATGAAGACAACGGGGAGCAAGTTCGGAAACTCATCCAGACAGTGCAAGCGGATCTCCCTGAAGTTGCGACCAGCAGTATCATGAGTGATACGAGCATCATTTCGACGCTTAATGAGACAGAACTAGAGAAAACCCATAAATCACACGTATTTTTAATTTTATTTATATTATTTTATGGTAGCTTTCCTATCTTTCTAGAAGAAATACAATTAAAACAAAGGAAGCAAAGAATGAGTCACTTCCAGAAACACCTAAGCAAGTATTCAAGAGAGCAGGCGAATTTCTACCTTCTGTTCCAACGACTCCGTCCATTTCGACAGACGAATCGTTTGTAGTGATGAGACAGCCAAACTTGGGCAGTGGCTCGGATTCGTTTCTCAGTCCAGATTCCAATCATTCTAGCTTTTTAAAATCGACCGAAACTTCCTTCGTCGCATTTCCTACGAAACGTCGGCGTTCTATTCGTCGATCGGATTATGACTCGCTTCTCCTCTCTGAGAGCAAGCGTCTTTCTACATACTCGAGTCTCTTTCAGCCATCAGAAATGAAGCAGCTGTCTCCTGACGTTCTTCAAAGCCTTCAGACTCAACCCAAACTGAACGATTTGTCTCTGAGTTCAATTTCGGGGAGTCGCATGGATTCGACTCTTCAGGAATCCGAGATTTTAGCCAAGGAACCGAAGGAGAAAAGCGAGGAAAAGAGGGAAAAAGAGAAGGCGGAGGAAATGAGTCCGGGAATGGACGAGGGAATGATGGGAGAGGAATCGAACGGAGGGGAAATGATGCAGCCTTCGATGGAGATTCTAAGCGAGAAAGAAGAGGAAGAAGAAGAGGAATCAAAGGAAAAGAGAAAAAGCGAAGAACCAAAATCAATGGAAGAAGAAGAAGAAGAAGAGAAAGAGGAGGAAGAAGAGGAGGAGGAGGAGGAAAAAAGTGAACAAAGAGAAGAAGAACCTGAAGAGCCTGAAGAAGAAGAGAAAAGTGATCAAGAAGAACAGGAAGAACAGGAAGAAGAAGAAGAAGAAGGGGAATCGCAGCACAGCGTTGCCTCGGTTGCCTCGATTGAATCGGCTTCGATGGGGGACATTCCGTTCGCCAACTCGCAGGAAGAGCGAACGCTGCGCGAGCTTCTGATTCCCTCGCAGCCCAGCCAATTGGGCGAAGCAACCTCGCTGCTGGAACCGTCGATCATGCCGCCGCCTTCGTCTTCGCTTTCGTCGCGCCTTCGAATCCCCAATCGAACCAAAATCCACACGCATCGCAAGTCCTCCGAGTTTCTCGCTCTGCGACTCGATTTGATCCATAGAAGCGGAGAAATGTCGCTCGCATTGATCAAGAAACTCGTGATGGCGAACTGCAGTCGGAGGGTCGGGAAAGAAGTCTTCGAAGAAGTCAATCAAATCACCAGCGAGTTCTTCGATGTTTGGGCGGAGGGTTGGAATGAAGTCTAGTCCATTTCGGATCGCCTCGTTGATTATTGCAGTCTGGGAGAGCGAAGGACGGTGAACGTGGACGATGTGAAGCTGCTGATGCACAGACAGCGCCTCACGTCCAAGCAGAAATCGTTCGAAGATTTGGTGCGGGAGAATTTGAACAAACAGCAGATCGATGCGTTGATCAGCGTGCCGGAACATGAAATGGAAGTGCAGGAAGTCGGAGATTATCTGTAATATGAAGTGTTTTGTAGTCAACAAACAAACAAACAAACAAACAAAAAGCCAACAATCGATCAACGTTTATAAGTTCATAATGTCGAGTAATCGATTGATAAATTGAACGAGATAATCCCGATGAATGAGGTTCTGAGCAAGCAACTGCAGATCAGTCCACCCCACGCAGTACCCACGGGAGCGCTTAATACCACTTTGTTTACTCCTTGTTTCGCACCAATCAACGCACCGACGACGAAGCTATTTGTGCAGCTATTTCCACCCTCGATGAAGATCTTGAAGAATAAAACCCCGATCAATTGCCTACACGCATCATCGCATTGATATAAGGATAATCGTAGACGTAGAAGAACGCTGCATACAAAAAGCACTCATAGACTTCCCCTCTATATTTCAAATCCACTAGAATCAGGCAAAGATACAATTGCTTCTCTTCGATTTCGTTGCGAATACTCAGCAAATCGCTCCAGTCGTCTTTCACTTCGAGAATCCGCTCCATAATCGCTTGGTCCTTCTGCTCTTGGAAATACTTCTTCACATTGGAATATTCTTCCTTCATATATTGACATCGTGTTTGGCTTGTGGGCTCTTCTTTGTTCAATTCTATCGCATGATTGATTCAATAAAAGCAAACCTGCTAACGTGTGACACAAAACGCGAGCTAAAAGCAGCGAAATTCCGATGCAACGCAAATCATACTACGATGATCAGCTCGATTCTATCAATCCGAACATGCGTCGTTTTGCAGCAGCCAATCACATTCTCCGTTATTCGAACCGAATCATCAAAAAACAAAATCTATTCGATCGATCCACACGAACGATTCGTACAGGAAGCAACATGGAGTGAGGAATGCATTGGCTTTCCAGATTCATTTCATTACTCTTCTCCCACACCGTCTACATTCAACCTTTCTTTTTGTTCATCTCACTTTGCTGCATTCCGTGGGAGCGTGTGCGAATTGCTCCGTGTTGGCCAAAATGTTCAGCGTTTTGATCAGTCCGAATCCAGCCTGATCTTCAAACAGTGTAACGCCCTGGATGCTGGAAGCGAAGATTCAATTCTACTTCGTATTTGTAGCGAGTAATGATATCTGCAAATGCGTATTCGTTGAATTGACCCGTTTTCATCACAGAACTCAACAGAAGCAACATTAAGTCGGTTTTCTCGGACCAATCGCCGTGCTCCCAACGCACTACAGAAAAGGGGAAACGTGGAACGACCTCGATGACGATCGGTGATGAGCTGCGAGTAATCGATGTAGTGATGAATGAGTTGATGTGCTTTGTTTGTTTCCTTTGCGATCTCATCGAAATGAATCAATTCCTGCTCGTTTTGGTAATAAAACTGAACTTCGGTGCGATTCATAAACTCGCTCCCCAAACAAATCGCATCGCCAATCGCAGCTCCATAAAAAACACCAGCGATATGCTGCTGGAGCTTCTACTTTTCATGCTTCCTTCCACGATTCTACTTCGACGTCGAGTCCTTCTCGATTCTTTGGACCAAACTTCACTTCGCCGATCGTTCCTCCAGCCAACACAAACACCGATAAAGGAAGCTCCACCATCTCAATCTCGCTCTGCTGCCGCCTCGCCATGGTAAGCAGATCTTCAGCATGCGCTGCGCTGTCCTGCGATGCGTTTACGCGCGTGAATATTTTGATATTGGGTTGTGGATGTTAAAAAAAAACAATGCTTGATGGGGTGGATATCGAATAATTGCGGTTCGCTCAATTGCTTTGGAGGTTTAACGGGCTGGTAATTACTCACCGTGCTGCCCTTTACAAATGTGTCATTGTAAGTCAGTGCGATTCTACGAAAGAAAAACGAGACCGGATTGCTACGGAGAGACGGCTTGATCTTCATCGCTGTCTTGATGATTTCCCGAGTACAAACGAATGGTGGACAGAAGAGCTTCTGCAGAGAGACCGCACATGTCTTGCGTCACATCGCGGAATGGATTTCGCTGGCAGACAAGGATGGAGAGAGAGGGAAGGTTGCCAAGAAAATAGGGGAAAAGAGCCAAGCGGTTGTCTGCGATGTTGAGATATTGTAAACCCAGGAGGTTTGTAATACTCTTTGGAATGGTCATCAACAAATTCCCACTAATATCCAAGTATTGAAGACGACTTAACTTGGAAATCGATTCAGGAAATACTCTATATCTAAACGAATAGTTGAAAATAATAACGATAGACAGTTGTTGTGAAGATCGAGCGTTTCTAAATAGACAAGACGCTCGAGCTCGCCAGATATGTACTTCAATCTACTATCACTAAGATCACATCCATATTACTTATTATCAGAGCAGCGCAGAGTACGCAGATTCTGAAGACATCCAATGTCATCAGGAATCTCCACCAGAAACTGAAACGAAAGATTTAGTTCTTTCAAATTCGTGTAGTCAATCACAAAAAGAGGAAACTTTTCGAGAATTGGTTGTTGTTCATCCTCATCATAGAAATCTATTGGTTTATCATTGCCACTGTTTGCAATGTGATAAATATACTCTGTGTAGTCAATGTGACGACTCAAATCCAAACACTGAACTCCAAACTAGAATACAGGAAAATCACCAAAATAATACAACTAGCGCTTCATTTTGCTTTCGATGAGAAACGGAAGAACAGCTATTCCCCATTCACCAAAAAAACTATTGCGGTATGTAGTATATGTGATATTTGAGAGTGGATAATCATAAAAATCTTAGAATAACCTTTGTATACGCAACTCCATTTTTCAAACAAAGCAAACTCAAATCAGTACTAACTATATAGACTATGCGGAATTAGGAGTATTAGATTTTGCAGGCAAATCGTTGGCGTTTTTGAACCTAACCAATTAAACAAAATTTACTGTTGCCCTACATATCTGCATATAAACAGGTCACATCCCAGGCAGTTGCTATGGTTCTTTGCGTTTTTTGTGCTTGTGTAGTGAACCGCAGCATTTCATCGTGCAACTTGACAATCTTCTCAGACAAAACTGAGTAGAGTTCTTCTTTGGAAGACATTGTTTGAGTTGTGTGAATAAGATGGGCTATCTATCATTAGGCTTATGATGCATGTCGAATTCGAGCGACTATAGCTCAGTGGTAGAGCATTCGATTGCAGATTGAGAGGTCGACGGTTCAATCCCGCCTGGTCGCTTTTTTCTTTATCTTCTGTTTTTGATTTGGTATTGTGATTCATTGTTTTTAATTATGTAATATATATGATTATGGAGAAGAAATATATATATATATATATATATATTTTTTTTTTGTAGTTTGTAGTAGCTGTTACTCTCAATCACAGTTGCATATAAGTAGATATTATAGTACATTCTCTGATTTCATTCTTCCTCTTTTTATTATTTCTATATACCTCTATATTATTAGTTTCTTCTTTTAACATTCCATTTGACAGAATGAACTGGGTACTTATCATACTAGATACAAGTGCTGAAACGGAGCGACTATAGCTCAGTGGTAGAGCATTCGATTGCAGATTGAGAGGTCGACGGTTCAATCCCGCCTGGTCGCTTTTTTCTTCTTCTATTATTTTTTCAATCAAACAAAGAGGAAAATAGAAAAGACCATCAAACTAACATACTCTTAATTTTGGAAAATCTCTGACAGAGAGCTTGGTCATACTGATTCTTTTGGACAAATTCAGATAACAGAGCAACCATCTCCTCATCTAAGTGCATAGTAATATCTACGCATCATCCCCACCACATATTCCTACTCAGATGGAGCATATAATACACAGAAATCAAGCAGTTTTGCATAATCACCACATTACACCGATGCGTGACCATAATGAGCTTTAGCAAGCTAGCAATATCGAAACGCTCCGAAAACATGTGAAACCCATCTACATCGAAGCCCCTCCCATCCGCTACAATAATTCGAATAGATCGCGATAATCATTGAGATTTGCGTGGCAATTTCTTCGTTTCCCAGATGGCTCGGAAGCACCGGAAGCAGCGTGTCGAGCAATCGAGACGAGGAAACCATCTCCAAGTTCTTCTCTACGCATCAGAGCTCCATTTCTTCCCGACCATTCAAATCGCTTAACGCAAGTAAACATTTCACGATCGAAGGAACCAGCGCTTCCTGATCCGGGCTCTTCAGCAGCTCGATCATATTCTGCACCAGACACTCCATATCGAACAGCTCTCTCGACACGCCTACGCCTCACTCGCCCTCTTCACTCCCACCGCTCGACTCCGCCTGCTCGCTGATCAGCGTCAGCACTTGCTGCAGAAGCTCGCGAGTCACCACAGGCTTATCAAGCCGTTGATTGTACGCCTCGAAGGTATCTCGATCCAGCAGCGTGCAGAGCAAGAGCAGTAAAAGCGGCTCCACGTCGTGCGAGCTCAGAACATTGTTCGCGAGCGTTTCTACCCTCAACGCCGCCTCCAACAACCACGAGAAAACACGATCGAGTTCAAAATGTCGAGCGTCTGCAGGATGTTCGAGAGCAGCGACGCGTTGTTCGTCAGCGAGACCAGCTTCTGCAGAGAACCGAAGCCGTTGGCCTCCACGAACGCGAGTTGGCACCAGCCTACGCCTCACGCTGCTCGCCCGCTGCCCACTGTGATGCACGCACTGCTGGAGGAACTGCACCACCGTGTTCAGCAGGTAGTAGATCGTCGTCACCACGTCCTCCGGGAGCGTGGAGTCGCCCGGCCGGTTCAGCACCAGAATCCCCATGTCACGTGACAGGTCCAGAAACTGCCGATGACGCGCGCTGATGTACGTGGCGACGTCGTAGCCCTCGGCGCACTGGCCGTTGTAGCACACGCTCGACGTGGTGCTGTCCAGCGAGTCCTCGCTTTCCCCGCGGGGATAGGCGGCTTGGACGGGGAGAGAGGGCGGCAAAGCCACGTTGGAGGGCGTTTCGGAGTTGGGATTGGCGACGAAGACGGTTTGGGCGGGGAACGAAGCGAAGGAGTCCCGATTGAAGGGCGTTTCGGCGTTGGACTCGACGGCGAAGACGGTTTGGGCGGGAGAGAGAAGAGAGGAAGTGCTGGAGGGCTGAGGGTCGCAGAGAACGACGGAGTTGGAGTCGTCGTCGGCGGGATTGGCGGTGGCGTTGAGGATGGCGACGAGCTGATTGACGAGTTGGAGACTGGAGGGAACGAAGTCGAGGCGCGCGATTCGAGCGAGGAGAACATCGAGAGATTAGGGGAGAGAGAAGAGAGTACGGTTGGCCGAGGCGGTTTTGAGGATGTAGAACATGTAGAAGAAGATGTTTCGGATCATGAGGCTGTCTTCGCGCTTCGCTTTCTCGCTGGGCGATTCGTTGGGAGGGCTTTCGTCGATCGCGCAGTCCAGGAAGTCGTAGTACTGCAGCTGGAGGAATTGGGAGAGGTAGTCCGAGATGAGGGTTAAGCCTCCTTCTTTGACGAGCGTGCGGCAGAAGAGTTCTATGTTGGACATGATTTGCATGCTCACCATTCTGGTTCAGGTAGAATAAAAGCGCAAAAAGGTCACAGATGTTGCTGTGGAGCGAGTCTTGTCGGTCGAAAAAGTACTGGAGTACGGAAAGAAGAGTACACGTGCCATCGTTCTCTATAAGTCGCTGGATGTCCTTGTTAAGGTTCTCGCAATTGATATAGTAGAAAAGAAGAAGACGAGTCGCAAGAATGGTACAATCGGAGTTACTTCGGGAAGAGTATAATATAGAAACAAATGCGAGTTCCGATGCATGCTGATTCATCAAATAATAAAAGGAATGAAGAACTAGAGTTAAACACTCCAACAACAACAGCTTACCATAGGCGTCGGTTTCTAAAACCACAATAGAATAAAGCATATTGAGCAGAGATAGCAAGTCAGCTGACGTTTCCGCTTGCTGGCTCAATTTGGAAAACCCATCTAATGACCCGTTTAGCGCATTGATTTTGTCTTGTTTCGACAGAGACCAAAACGAACTGGGAAGCTGGTAAGCCTCGAAGGGATTATCGGGAGATTCCAAAGGACTTATCGAGTTAGAAGCATCCGGCAAACTGTTGTGGCAGTTCGAAGGCTGCTCGCTGTCTTGATCAGTTACATCAGCAAATGAACTCTCGGAAGAAAAATCCCTTTTGGGCTCCGTTTGTAGAGTATTTTGGTCGATGGTTATATTGCTTGATGCAATCTCTTGCTGTTGAGGAAGAGATGGATTCCTTGAAAGCGAGTCAATCTCAACTGGACATTGAATAGGCGAGATGAGTGAATCGGATTGATAAGTAGGGGTTTCATTTGTAGGAGGGACAGAACCTTTGTCAGATATGTCCAGAATTACACTTGCTTCACTTCGCTTTTGCCGAATTGACTCGATCAGCTCCTCTTTCACAGAAGATGATTGTTGATCAATTTTCAGTTCTACCAATGGAGTAGAATCTTCTTCTCTGCATTCTGCAACATCGGCTTTTGAACTGGTACAACCCATTCTTTTAAAAAGTGAATAATAACATACTTGCTTGTTTATCATAAATCACCGAACGCGTATCCAACAAACAAGATCCTCTAGATCAAGAAAGCATCTTTTCTGCTTGCTTTCCATAAAGGAGAAACAAAAAAACAGCTAAAAGCAATATAATAAACGAATGCAGTGGAAGAGTGAAGTAAAGTAGCGAGATCAACAAGGAGACCAAGAATATGCGAAGCGTGGAATCAAACGACTCAGTCACATTGGATTCCGAGATTTCATTGTCCTGACCCGTCTCCTCGGCACTTACATCTGGAATGGGATCTCGACATGTTTCTTCCTCCTTCGTTTCCTCTCTCTCTTCGACCACACACTTTTCCACTCCATTATCACGGGTACAATCCACACGATCGGTACTTTCTTCGCAGGAGTTCACACCAGTCCCCTTCATGGCCTCCCGGTTTCCCCGTTTCCACTCATCCGATCCAATCAAATCAACGGAATCTGTGGAGTCCGCAGAATCCTTGGAATCCATAGTCGTTCGGTCTCGTCGAATCCCTTGTTCCCGAAGTCCGTGCTTGTTTTTGTCTTTGTTATCTTCGTCTTCGTCTTCGTCTTGCTTGTCTTTTTGACCGGTCAAATCGGCGCTTCGTTTGCCCCCTTCCGTCGTATTCGCCACTTTCCGATTGTACAGCGACGATCCCTGATCTCGGAGCATCGGCGACGCCGACCGCGACACCGAGGGCGACACCGAGGGTGACACCGAGGGCGACACCGAGGACGAGGAGCTGGCGAAGAAACTGTCAACTCGTGGAATTCGGCGAAGCGGTCGATCGGAGTAGAGCGGGTGCTTCTACGTCTCAGCGAGGCGGAGCGAAGCCACCTTGGCGGTGAGGGAAGCGAAGACGTCCTGGTCGGTACAAGCGCGCAGCTTGGCTTCGACTCGCTACGCATAGCGCCAAGCCCTCATCGCTACCTTCAGAAAATGCTGCTGGCAGCCCACCACGCTGCCCGGACGGCAGATCCGGCAATACCCGATCGCCTGCTCGGCGGTCATCCCGTACTCGTAGATCAGATAGGCGCAGATGAGCGTGCCGGTGCGGCCGAGGCCTGCTTTGCAATGCACGGCCACGCCGCAGTCGTGGGTCTTCAGAATCGCGATGAACTTCAGCATCTGGTTGACTGCCCGTCAAGCATGCAAGCGAGTCGTACATTGCGGGAGACCGCCGTCGGGGAAGTAGAGGTCGAAGAAGGCGATGCCCCGCGAGGAAAAGCGGGTTTTGTCGTAGGCGGGTTTGTTGAGGCGAACCACCACTCCCACGCCTAGCTGCGCGAAGAGAGGGAGATAGTCCTCCGGAGTGAAGGTGCGCACGTCGTTAATCACCTCGGGGATGTCGTGCGGACCGGAGAACGCGAGGAGACGGTTGATGATGATCCAGTTCATGTCACCGTTCTCCACGCGATCGAAGAATTCGTATTGGGAGGAATCGAAGAGGCTCCACTCAAAGATGTGCTTGGAGATCGCGATCGACAGCCCTTCGAGGCAATGTTGCCAAGTGAGCTCAAAATCACCTGCAATCAAGCGTGCAATGAATGGTTACATTCGTAAGGGCTGGCGTCGTGAAAGCAGGGAAGGGTTTGCTCCCTGAAAAGCTGTTCTATGTCATCGCAAGAATAACCTTGTTTAATTAGCTAGATATTCAGAACGGACAATCTCGATTACCAAATAACAACTGAGAAGTAATATACTGTTAACCTTAAATTTGGGGTCCTGACGAGAATAGTAATAGAGCCTCTTGTTTGCGAACTTACGGCTCTTCATTTTTCTAGGCATCAACAAAACGCAAAAAGCCCACAAATCAACAACAGTACAAAAGCTGTAGATTTGGCAAATACTAAGTGGGCCAAAATCCAGGAAGTAGTTATAGTATCTAAACACTTCATCCGTGCAAAAGAAGTGAGCATCCTCCGTATCTCTCGGGAGACGCGTCACTCCCATAAAGAATAGCTTATTCGGGATAACCCTAGTCAATTATGGAGTTTCGGCTTACACTACTCGATAGCGCTTGCAATCTCTTCCTGTGACATCTTTTGAACTATGTAATCGATTCGATCTCTATCCCTAATTATAGAGATACTCAGTTATCAACTTCTATGTAGTTGTCAGGAGTTTCATTTCAACGATTCGGAATACAAACTTCTGTATTCTAATTATTGTTATTACTATTCTTTTCACAATCAAAACACTTGTCATATTATTAATTTGTCATTTTTAAACACTCCTGCATACAATTACACGTTAATTCACCTTGAATAAAGTCGATAGTCTTTGTTAAACCCATCTTTTCACCCACTACTTTGGCTGGAAAACAATAACTGTTTGAATGGGAGAAGTATTACTTCCCAACATTAGTCTTACACAGTCAAATGTTCAACAGAGATGCATATCTGTACCCAATCCTGATAGTAAGCTAACAAGAGTAACAGTACGAAATCTTTTGTATTTTGTAACTACTAGATTGAAAACCGTATAGTGAATGCATCCGGTTTGATTTCTGTGAGGCAATTACGTTTTTAGGATTAGAACTGGATAATCAAGATCTGGATGGTTTTCTCCAACTTTTATCTCCGGAAGACACTGAAAAGAATATAATCGAAATAAATCTATCGCGTAGAGAGTATTTGCACAGCTGAACCGTAGACAATAAAATTTCGTCAGATGGAATACTCACTCTCTGTAAACAACTAGCTTCCCACTTTCCTTGTCTGGTTCGGCTCGATGTTTCTTGTAGTGCTTGGTTTCTCCGTTTTATACAGATAATCCAATTGGAGACATCGGTGTTACCTATTTGTATAAAGCAATCAAATCAAGAATCGAGACAAGATTTTCCATCCTCACATTCATCAATCTTACAAGTACCAACATCTCTCAAGAAGGCGCCAAAACGATTTACAGCATGATCCATAAATCCAACGGCGCTCTCATCGTATCCTTTGAAAGTTTTTTTTCGAATTCGCTTCCATGCAGACAACGCAATCAACGGTGAAGGAATCGGTTTCATTTTCGCCTCACGATACTGGGAGTCCTTCACTATCAACAGTCCTCTCTTCTTCTCCCTCTCTCCCCACAGATAACACGCTGGACGTCACATTCCCGCTCTTTCTCGCGCAGATCCGCCCTCACTCCTACATGCTCAAAGAGCTCCGCATTGCAAGTAATCCCCGCGGTGAACTCCCAGCTAGACAACAACCTCTCCCCCTCGACCGCGCAGCAGCTGCCGCAAGTGATCGCCTCGCTGGCGCTGCCGTCGCTGCGCGTTTTGTGGATCGAAGAACGGCTGTGGGACGAAGGCGTGCGCAGTTTTTTCCGCAGCGACGCGATTGTGAACCTGGTGAACCTGGAGCGACTCAGTTTAGTGAGTAAACGGAGAAACGGGGAAATGAGGGGTAGACACGTGCTTGAAGGCCAACGCGTTCGCGTCGTTTCTGCAGACCTTTCATGAAAAAGTGTTTCCGAATCTGAAGGAAGTGCAGATCAAAGGTAGAAACGGGGAAACTGGGGTAAGAGGAAGAGAGTAATCGATTCGACGTGACGTTTTCGTGCTCGCCGAACGGACTCGTGAATGAAATCACCGAAGTGTCAATGGAGAGTTTCCCCGTTTCCCCGATTTAAGCGTAGTGTTCAGCCAAATCGACTATTCGTACTACTTAGTCGCGCTGTTTTGCATCGAAAGCCTTCAAAAACTCGTGCTGAAATGTAACTACCACTTCAGCTCGTTGCGCGGTTTTGCCGATGCCGCGAAGAAGGGGTTTCTCCAAAACCTCGAAACCGTGGAAGTGTGGAGTGCACGTTCGATTCGAATTCGATCGTAGATTCGCTGTACTATTACAAGGAAGTGTATTTGATGTCGCTGGTGGTCCTTCCGAAGATGAAAACCGCGGTTCTGAGCGGGGCGAATATCGTGGATTACAGTACATCGGAGCATATTGAAACGGTCGAGCGGTACCGAGGCGTTTTGTTCGATGAGTCAACGCATCGATCGGCTTCGGAGGACGCGAAGCGCAATTTGGACTCGGTGATTCTGCAGAGTAGGGAGTGGAAACGTGGAAATGAGGGGAAGACACGCAGCTGGGCGATCGGGTTTTTCCTCTTTTCGTGGTGCCGCTTTCCGCTCATTCCTCGCACATCGACATCCGGAGTTGGGTTGGGTGGCGAGCGTGAGAAGTAGGGAATGCGATCACGGATGCGGGCGTTCGGTATTGCTACAATCAAGTCCGTGAGCGAGGCGAGTCGATGATGAAGACGCTGCTGGTGGACGTGGAGTCGCTCTCTCCGCTGAGCAAACTCTATCTTTTCAAACTCACGCATTGGAACGAGAGCAGCGAGGTCGATGCCCAGATCCGCGAGTTGGAAGCCAAGGAGCCGCTCGATGACGCGGCGAAGGAGGTAATGCAGCAGCTTCAATTGCTGGAGGCGTCGGAACCCGTGGCGCCCGAGAAGCCGGAGCTTCCGCGCGGCTGTTGTTGCCGTGTGTTTTGTTCTGTTTGTCCCAAACATGATTCCAAGAAGATTGAATTTAGAACGAACGAATGGATGAATGGATGAATGAAAGAACGAATTTAGAACGAATGAACGAATGAATGGACGAATAAACAAAATATCAAAATCGATCCATACAAAATTTCGATTCTTCTTTCTTCTTTCTTTCTTCGATCCAACGCTCGGATTGGATTAAATCGAGTACGAATCGAAGGCGATGTGGGGCTTCAGCGCCATATCCCAGAAGAGCAAATAGAGCATGGGGATCGGAATGGAATAGACCAGAATCCGCGAGATGATCTCCCAAGCGCGCGAGCCCGTGCCTCCGTACGCGTACACCACTCTCCCTCCTCCGAACTGCGCGTTACTCGCTCTCCCCATCGCTTACCATGAAGTACAGCAGCGTCCAGAGCGCGAAAAGCCCCAGGAACACGCCCCAGCACCACTTCACGGTCGTCGGGAACGGCGCGATATTCGGCCCATAGAGGATGTTCTACGCTCGATCCCGCGCGGTTTCCCCACTTCTCCCATCTTGTAGTCGATCAGACACTCCGTGACCACGATGCAGATCGCCGTCCAGAAGTTCTGCCCCAGTCGGTGCTTGTTCGGATCGTGGAAGAAGTCGTACGCCTCGCGGACCGCCGGCAGCGACAGCAGTCCCCAGATGATCAGACGCACCGTCACCAGGTAGTGCTACTCGTCAATTCCCAGCACGGTGGGCACGTCCGGCTCGACCCAGAGCACCGACTTCAGGAAGAAGGCGTTCATCTCGGCGATCTCGAAGAGCACGCAGACGAAGGCCATCTGCAGCATCGATTTGAAGGAGCCGAAGATATCCCAGTCGTACACCTTCCAACTATCTCTCACGTCCCCGCGGGAGACTCACTTGTAGGGGGAGAACTGCTTGAGGAAGCGGCGCGCGCGGCCGTAGCTGTCGGGAATGTCGCGGAAATCGACCCAGTCGTACTCGCGGGCGGCGAGGATGCGGTTGATCCACATTCCGACGCACATTCCCGCGAAATTGCATCCGAAGACGTCCATGATCATCTTGTCCCACCAGCACTCCTGGAAGTTGGGGAGGATGTGCTGCGCGGAGACCTCCAGGCACTCGAACCAGACCGAAATGAACCACAGAACGCGCCAGTCGCGGAAGATGAACGCTTTCCAGATCCAGCCCAGGAAGTGGGCCAGGATGAAGATGTCTCCGAAGACGTCCTTGACGTTCTTGAAGTGGTTCGGGTTCTCTGGAATGTAGATTCGGCAGTCGGAAGCGTAATCACGGTAGGTCAGCGGGGTGCCCAGATTGGAGTCGAAGAACTTCATGAATTGGCGGGCATCGTCCGGAGAAAGCGACAGGATGAACAGAAGCAGACATTCGTAGAGGACGGCGATGGCAAGAATGATCTTCCAGACCACGGGGTGCGGTCTCGAAATTGGGCCTTCTTGGAACTGTGAAAATCAAGCAGAGAGTACAAAAGTACTTGGTTTGCTCCAAATACAATAATGAACAAACAGACAAGGATCACACCCGAGCGAATGTTATTCACCTGATCACCTAATTCCTAGTGTTATTTTACCAAAAGATACTCGGAGTCTTTATAAAGCACGTATAGTATATAACGATCAACATAAACAGCACCAACCAAGTGGCCGTGTGGGGTTTCGTGACGAGATCATACCCATTTCCAATAATAGAGTAGATGACATCCTGTACTCTTCCCCAAAACGACTTCTTGATCGTGTAGAGAGTTTCTTTTCCCTCTTGCACACTGTTTTCGGGGGAACTCTCCTGGCTCACAGAATGGTTTTCCATCTTTTCCGAAGGGTGATTATTCCTAGTATGCAAGATCTTAAACGCATGTACTTTCGCTTGCGCAGTCCACTTTCGTGTTTCATTTAGAATATCGAAAATATAATGAACGCTGCATGGAAGTTCTACAGATCAACCTTCGTTTTCTACGCATCCATCCATCTATTCCAATCGCAAATTTGACATTCGACTTTCCACGATTCTCGAAAACGAATTCTGAGTTGCTCGAGACGAACTCCGCGTTGCAAAAAACAAGAAAGAAAAAAACGAGGTAGCAAGGAAACGCATGTCCGTAAATCGACTGTATCGCACAAACAAAAGAGTTGTAACCACACCATACAACAGAGAACGAGTCAAGCTTAATCGTCCTGAGCCTTCTTGGCCTTGTGCAGAGCAGCACGACGGCCAGTTCCCCAGATCTTCTTCTGGTGGTTCTTCTTTTCCTTCAGCATCTTACGACCCTGTCTGGTATGCTCCTGAATGCCGAACTACGCGTGACCCAACTCAGATAGCACCATACACGAGCAAGACGATACTTAGCCTCGAACTTCTTCACGTCATCGAGCGAGTCATAGATCAAAGCAAAGCCAGAAGAACGACCACCTCCTATGCAATCAGAACACTACTGCCAATGCAGTACCGAAGGCAATTTGGAATCCGAAGAGGATAATGCACTTATCATCCTTCACGTTGTACTTCTTGGAAAGGATGTTCTTAAGCTCATCCTTGGACACGGAGGCACGCTTGGGATGAATCACCTCGACGGTCTAGGCTTTACAACGACTCTACAAAAACAAACCATCTGGCGACGCTTCAACAGAGGGTTTCTCATAAACTTTCTCACGCGGACGGTTACGGCAGCTTCAGACATTATTGACAGTGCAGTTTAAGTGCTACTTGGGTGGTGATGGTGATTACTATCCATACTGCTTTTATAATCAAGGAATCACTGTACGGAACGGGTAAAATCGGCCCGACTTTTGGAATTATTGATTTCGCAACAAACAATTAATACTTGTTTCAATTTCGTTTTCTTGGAAGCTGGGGCTTTCTCGTTGTCGGGGTTTGAAGGAGAGTGATTATTTCGCTGAGTTTTACGCGCTGGAGGCTCCGGCTCCACATTCTTTATGGAACCTATTCGCTCCACGAAACCCGGAGTGTTTTCCAACGTGTCCATGATCGTCTCAATTGTTTGGTCACTACGGATTAGGCAGGGTAGGAAATGTGTTCTTTATCACGGGGTTTTCGTTGAGGGCCTTGTTGATCACATCGGGAAGAATATCCTAGATGGTAGAGAGAGATCGGAAAGGGTACAGGAAGGGTGCGGAAGAGGTGGAGGTATTGTTCCATGGGGAGATCGACTTCATCATTCGGTTCATATTCCTAGTTGTGATGGATCGACAGAGCTACTTCGTCGTTATTTTGTAAAGAGGAATTCTCCGTGTCTCCTGGACTCGAGGGAGTAGTAATAGAGGTAGTTGGTTGCTGGGAAGGAGTTTGTTCTTTTGGAACGGTGGGAAGATTTGCGGAGTTTCCCACACCCAAAGAAGTTGTAGGAGCCGAGGGATTTGTAGGATTTCCAGAGTTTGTAAAACCCATCGAATTTGTCGGAGGGATCGCGTTTGTCGAATTCATAGGACTCACAGGGTCCATAGAACCTGTAGGCCCCATCGAGTCCATCGGATTCGCAGCACCCATCGAGTCCATCGGATTCGCAGCACCCATCGAATCCATCGAATTCATAGCACCCATCGAATCCATAGGATTCACAGTACCCATTGACCCCATCGGATTCATAGGGTCTCTTTGATCCACAGGCACCTCCAACCCATTATTATTGAATTCAAAATCCGTATTGATTCGATCGATCTGATTCTCAATCATTGAGCGATACTCAGCATAGTCACCTAACAAAACCTGTGCGTTGAACTACCAATTCCTCATACCTGCATATTTCTGAATACTTGCTCTACCGTTGGACCCATAGATAGCGAGATTTGATGCGAAAGTGACTGTCGTGCAATCTCCAGTTCCTTTAATCGGAAATAATCATTCAGAATCCACTCTAAATCATGAATCGATTCCATCTATATCAAACATTCTCTTCAAACATACACTTTCATAGTCAATGATCCTAGAACTGTTTTCTTTCCTGAACAGCTTTGCAGACTTGGCATACCCATTCTCCTACATTCAACGGAGCATGACTTTCAAACTTCCAGATATTTTGTTATGAGGATGATGATTTCCTCTTCTGTTATTTTTCTCCGTTGCATTTCTGACCCCCGCAATACGCTTATCGAAGAAAGTATTGTTCTTGTAGAGTTCCAAATAACCGCGATTCGGATTTATTCATCTTTTATCATCATATTTTTAGCAGGCCTTTATTTAAGGCTATAAAAGGGATCACCTTAAGAGAAGTTTGTAGTTTTAGTTCTATTTAACTCTCTTTCTGGTAATACATCGTGTTTTTCTGTTTGTATTGTTATCATCCTTGAAAAATTCTCTATGCAAGATAATTCAGGATCGGGTACAATCGTGTGGACACGTGAGTTAGATGAAGTTGGAGCCGTGGAGTTTTTGTTAAAAATTTAGATGATCCGAGAGGCTGTAGCAAGATATGGGAGTAACGACTGGTCTAAGGTGTGCCAAAAACTACGTACCCAGCAAATTACTCCAGAACAATGTCAAATGCGTTGGGAGCAAGTTCTACGTGATCAAACAGTAAAGGTAGGGATAGTAAGCGCAATCGCGACGCGTAGGGACCGTGGAGTGAAGAAGAAGATAAATTGCTTCGTTCTTTAGTTGAAAAGCACGGCCCCAAGAAGTGGTCTACAATTGCGTCTCACATAAACGGGAGGATTGGCAAGCAGTGTCGTGAACGCTGGTTAAACCATCTAAGCCCGGACGTATCAAAAGACGTTTGGACAGAGGAGGAGGACGAGATTCTGATCAACGCCCAGTTCCAGATGGGTAACAAGTGGTCCTTCATCAGCAAGCTCCTCCCCGGTCGTTCCGAAAACGCCGTCAAAAATCGCTATAACTCCATCGCCAGCCGCAACGGTGTCCGCAAGAAGCGTCTCGGTACCTACGTGAATCGTTCCGCGGCGCGAAGCAATCTTCTGCGCATTCCGGTGCAAAACAAAAGCGACCCTCCTTCGGAAGGCATTTCTCCACGTGGGGTTTCTCCGTTTCCACGATCCCTAGTATCTTCCACGAGCTTTGATTCGACCTATTCGGAGCTTCTCAAGAAGGCCTCGGAAGGAGCGCGTGCGCCGTCTGCGCGCCACTCGCGTCGCGGCGGGGATGCCGCGCAGCCCGCCAAATCGCCCGTGACGCGAAGCCACGGCAATCTGGGCTTGGGCTTGGGCATGGGCATGGGCGTTTCGGAGCGACTGGGCATGGAAGAGTGGGTGCGAGGAGGGGCTGTGAGCGTGTAGAGCGACCGCCGCTTCCGACCTCCCCAATGGTCCCAATGGTCCCAGCGGTCCCAGTGGAGTCAGCGGAGTCAGTGGATATAGCGGGCCCAACGGAGTCAATGCGTCCAGTATGCCCAACGGACCCAACGGACCCAACGGATCGGCCGCCGAGCTGGGCTTTCCCGGGTTTTCCGGGTTTTCCGGGTTTTCGGGGCCATCCGGGGGCTTCCTGGACCTGGAGGGCGGGGCGTTTCCGCTGGACCCGCTGGAGTCGTTTTACTCGACGCTGCCGCTGGACACGTCGGAGAGCAACAGCAGCTACCTGCAGGCCATCCAGCAGGAGCGCGAGAATCTGCAGCAGATCGACACCTTGCTGCTCTCAGGAGTGCGATCCCCGCGGGACTCTCACCTCTAGAACACCATCATGGGGAACCAGCCGTCCGACTTCTACGGGGGACTGGACGACAATTATTCGCAGTTCTCCTCGGCGCCCAGCGGCGCCTTCCTCGCTCCCGAGTTCACCTCCACGACCTCCCAAACCGAGATTCCGCCGGTGCGGCTGCGGCCGAACGCACGCGTGGGGACGCTCAATCATGGAGTCTATGCGTCGTGGGATCGCGATCCGGAGGGAGAGAGAGGGTCGCTGTCCGGGTCCCTGCCGCGTGGAAGCTTGCCGAAGCAGAAGTACGAGTCGCTCGATCTCATGAAGCTGCTGTATGACACGGATGGCGAAATGAGGGGAAATGCGTCGCTGGACGCGGACTTGATGATGGGGATGGATGGAGGGAAGGAGTCGTCGCTGGCGACGATGGATAGTGGATTCTGATAAGAGTAGCTCTGTGAGATGTTATTTTGTATTCTCGCGTGAACTATGATGGTAAACATATAAATGTGTGTGTTGTTTGTTTTTTTCAGAAAGGTGGAAACAGGGGTTCCGAGTGTTCGAAGGTTCTACGGTTTAGGTAGTAGAATCTTTTCGATGAAAGCTTTTGTGACTGCTTTGGTTTTCGCAACACTCGTGTTGGCTTCTGAGTAAACTCTCCGGCCAGGCTTTCCCTCTAGCATTCCTTCTCATCTGTGCACTTTCGAGGAGATATTTGTGGAGGCGGACAACTACTATGATGCTGGATACCAGGTATACTCGTTTTGGGTCTGACTCACCTCGCTAGTATGGTTTGAAAACAAAGAACACCATTCAGGAGAGATATCGTATTGACACCGTCCTGCAGAACACTTTGATTCCTTGGAGCCAGACCAAGGAGGGAAGAGCCGCTGTTGCTCGTGTCATTTCTATTCACGTACCCATTTCCGCGTTCTTTGCATCTCTAGGATAAACGATTCCCCGATTACATGAACGAGCTGCGCGGAATGGCCGCTGGAGCCGATGTCCCCTTCACTGTCGCTCTGATGTACACGATGGAAGAGGAGTTCAGCTACCTCGTTCCTGAAGCGCTTCGCTACAGCCTTGCTGATCACTGTTCCGATGTTTTGATTATGGAGGACGACCAGCGTTTTTTTCCTCTCATCCTCTCCCATTTTAGTCGTTCTGGCGCACAACGAAGACGGCGTCGACGTCGATCGCAACCGCACCTTCCTTCTGCACATGAAGATCACGCGAGGTAGTTTCCCCGTTTCCCCTCTCCCGCAGACAACATCGTTCTCTCCGACTTCACGGCGTACGTGTACGCGGGTCAGCTGGCGACGAGCGGTAGGTTCGATGCGTGGAGTCGATGGCAGCGTTCGGCTTCAACCGCTTCGTCGCGTTCTCGATGAACTACCTCAAGACGGAGACCGCCAGTCCCTTTTCTCGCCTCTCTCTACGGTCTAGACGTGGACGGCTGGGGCCGCAACTTCGTGACGCGCCGGCTGCTGGAGGCGAAGTCGCTGGACGAGGCGCTGGACGTGATCATCGACAAGAACTGCTTCGTGGGACACAACTACCAGCTGCTCTCTCTCGCGCAGCGCCGCGCGTACGACGTGGAGGTGGCTCCGTTCGGCGTGGTGGGTCGCGGAGGCGGCGGGTGAGCGGTAGTACGGCGTGTTCACGCCGATGGCGAAGCGATCGCACTTCCACGCGAACATGTTCAATATCGCCATGGTCGACGACGTGGAGGACGCGTCTTCGCGCCATCGCATGAACCGGGCCGCGCAGCTCATGCCCGCGAGAACGAAGAAGGAGGCCGTCGCGATTCTCGGCGATTTGTAGGGAAACGGGGAAACTTTGAGGGTAGCGGTGATCCCGACTTCCCGATCTATCAGAACGGAGGATGCTCCACGCTCTACACGCTGCACACCGTGGTGTATGACTGGGAGAAGAAGACCGCCACCATTTATGAGGGAAACCCCATGCTGGGACAGGTCCGACTGCAGATTAACCTTTAAGGCGTTCTTTGTGTTGTTTGTTGGAATCGGGTTTGAGAGAGATGGGACATATCGAGTTTGAGCCACAAGGTAGGCCGCAGAGCGGAGGGAATTCACCATGTAGAAGAAAAGAAAACTTCCGAAGTGTATTCGCGTCGGAGGGGCGAGTGAAGTGTAGAAAGCAGGAAAAAAAGAAGGAAGAGAAGCAGGAAAAGAAGCAATCGACCGTAACGAAGGAGGAGCCGAAAAAGTAGTTTTCTATGCAATTTCAATGAAGGAGGTAGGCCAAAGCGAGAAATCGACGAGTCTAAAACAGTGGTATGTATTTGGCTCCGTTGCTGTGACGCTAGACTGTATTCCTCGGCCAGCTCGCGTATTCCACATCCGAAGACCAAATCCGCGAGTTGTTCGAGAAGAATGACATTGGTTGGTTTTGCCCTCGTTCTATTCCATGCAGAGGTCCGTCAGATTCGAATGATGCGAGAGAAGGAGACAAACAAATTTAGAGGTATGAGTGTGTGCTGCTTGTCACAAAGGCATGGCGTTTGTGGATATTCCCGACGGCTCCGTCTGGAAGGCGCTGAATCTGCACCGAACGTACTTCAATGGTCGACAGATCAATGTGGAGGAGACGAAGGATGGCGGGAAGCACAGTGCGGTACGATGGCCATTCGTCCTTTCGAATCATAGAAAAAGAAGGACTTTATCAACCGCATGCGAAAGTTGCACAATTCGCGGAATCTCGCGGAGAACGTTTGATTGAGTTCTTCTTGTGACCAGCAGCACAAATATATCTTGCAATACCTCAAGTCGAAGCATTCCAAGTTGGCGTGGGAAGTAGGCTTGGAAGCGAGCTGGCATGCTTAGGAATTCGACCAAAAGTCGCGAGACGCCGTGGCAACGTTCCCGAAGGATGACATCAAGAAGATTCTTGACTCGCTGATGAAGGCAGATTTTTCGAAGGTGACGAAGAAGAACGTTTATTTAATGGGAATTGTACGGAGAGTGCGAAATGAAGCGACGGGCAAGGCGACGAAGATGGAAGAGGAGGCAGAGTAGTGTTTTTATTGCTATGTTTTCTGATGAAACACGAAGATTAATCGAGATTCAATTTGAAAAAGAACTTCTAATTTGTCCCCCTTCTCTTTCTGAACGCATTCTGGGAGAGAACTGTGAGGATCCCATTTCCGTTGCATGGGGTTCTCTCAAGTGGTTTGAATCGATTTGTGCAATAATCGAATAGTCATAATGGAAAGAAACCAAATCAGGACCGCGTACTCGTGTATTCGGACATGGAAAACGAATACTTTATTATTGGGGTATTTGATGGCCACGGGAAAGACGGTCACTGTGTTGCTTCCGTCATTAGGCAAGAGTTCCTTCTTTCTTTTCTTCAATCGGGTACTTTTCCCCAGAGTGAAGCGTCTCGTGTCATGCAACACGCTCTAGCTCACGCCGAGCAAAGCCTGATTCAGAACAAGTCAATTGACTCAAAGCGCAGCGGCTGCACAGCGAACATCGCATTATTTAGTCTTCATTCAGAACACCAACTTAGTCTCACAAGTCTTAATGTTGGTGACTCAGAGTAGGAACCACCCCTAAAATGTAAAGCTCAGACTCATCATGCTCTCAAAATCGAACGACTCGACCGACATTTTATCCATTAACCAAACCCACTCTCTAACAGCTGTTGAAGAGCAGCAGCGAATCGAAAAATCGGGAGGATTCGTCTCCGTGTATCAAATTGTACCATACGTTCCTCCAATCCCCCGTGTGTTTGCAAATAAGGAATGTACACGAGGAGGTCTGGCGATGAGCCGATCGATTGGAGATGAGCTGATTCATCGATACGGAGTGATTTCGGACCCCACATTCGAGATTCTTGATTTTCAGCAATCTGCGAATCATGACGTGATTCTTCTGTTTGGAAGTGATGGATTTCTATCGTACATGGAGAAAAGCGAAATAGTAGGTTATTTCAAGAGTGGAGAAGACCTTGGCAATTGTCTGTCACATGCTCTGCAGGCTGCCCAGACGCACTTGCTGGAGCTGACGGGGAAGAAATACGCGGATGACACAAGCGGAGTTGCTGTTTGTTTGTATAGCAAGATTCTCAAGAGGTCGAGAATAGTTGCCGAATGAATTGTTTGTTGGATATGCATTGCTATGGAGTATTAAATCGTTCAGAATTAGACGATCAAGATTAACTGAATGTACAGTTTCTCATAATAAATCATGAACACTGCCTCGATGAAAGCAAAGCAGGCCAGGAGACTGGCTAAGGTAAACTAGAATCGTGAGATACTATTCTAGGAACTGGAAAATGCCCAAAAGTGCACGAACCCTTATATCTGGTTCCGCCCTCTTCCTGTTGAATGATCCTAAAATTGGTAATATTCTAGGACAACCAGCTGATTTGGCACTTTACCATTCGTGGTCCCGACAAATCTCCTTACGAAGGAGGTGTGTATCATGGTCGCATCGAGCTGCCCGATAATTTCCCGTTCTCTGCTCCGAACTTTTATATGATGACTGTAAAGTCGTATTTTGGACGCTGATCTGGTAGGAGAACGGCCGTTTCAAGATTAATCAGAAAATTTGCTTCAACATTTCTGCATATCACAACGAGTCCTGGCAAGCTGCGACCTCCAGTGATATCTTTGATTTTTATTGATGCTTTAGTTGAGTCGATGGTGCAAATGATTCAGGTAATGTTGGAGGACAAAGAACAGAATGGTATCAGTTTCATTCGAAGTTCTGATAGTACTATTCGTGATTTGGCAAGGAAGGTATTGATATCACTGCTTTTTGAATGTAGTCTGTAAGTTTCCGTTGCCCTCAATGTGGTTTGATAAAGGATTTGCTCCCAGGCATGTTTAATGTTTGTTGCAATCAGTGAGTCACTTACAATTCAATTTATTCATTGGACCAGTGCTCCCTCCTTCGCTATTACTCAAGTAATCGATTCACTTTCCTACCTTCTTTCCTATCCCTTTCTCCCTCTTTCCTTCCTTTCTCTTTCTCGAACAAACACAAGACATCACAGCACACACTACTCTGAGCGCACTCTCTCTCCTCCTCCTCCTCCTCGTCGTCGTTCTCTTTCCGTCTTAGAGGAGTCCATCGAAGAAGTTGTTTCCCTTGTCGTCGACGAGCAGGAACGCGGGGAAGTCGACGACGTCGATCTTCCAGATGGCTTCCATTCCGAGTTCTGGGTATTCGAGGCACTCGACCTTCTTGATGTTTTCCTTGGCGAGGACGGCTGCGGGTCCGCCGATGGATCCGAGGTAGAATCCTCCGTACTTCTTGCAGGCGTCGGTGACTTGCTGGGATCGGTTTCCCTTGGCGAGGGAGATCATGGAGCCGCCCTTGGCCATGAAGGGGCCCACGTAGGGGTCCATGCGTCCGGCGGTGGTGGGTCCGAAGGATCCGGAGGCCATGCCCTTGGGCGTCTTGGCGGGTCCGGCGTAGTAGATGATGTGGTCCTTCATGTACTGGGGCATCTCCTCGCCGCGGTTGAGGCGCTCCATGATCTTGGCGTGCGCGATGTCGCGGCCCACGATGATGGGGCCGCTCAGGGAGAAGCGCGTCTTGACCGGGTACTGGCTCATCGTCTTCAGGATCTCGCTCATCGGGCGGTTCAGATCGATCTTCACCGCGCTGTCCGTCTGGCTCTGCTTGTACTTCTCAAGGAAGCGGCTCGGGTTGTGCTCCAGCTGCTCCACGAACAGTCCCTCCTCCGTGATCTTCGCCCAGCACTGCCGGTCCGCCGAGCACGACACGCCGATTCCCACGGGACACGAGGCGCCGTGGCTGCGTCTCAGCGCCCCCCGCCTTCCCTACCGCGGCATTCGGATCACGCGCACGTCGTGGCAGAAGTACTTCCCTCCGAACTGCGCGCCGATGCCCATCTTCCGCGTCATCTCCAGGATCGTCCGCTCCATCTCCAGGTCGCGGAACGCGCGGCCCAGCTCGTTCCCGCTCGTGTGCAGGTTGTCCAGGTACTTCGCCGAGGCCAGCTTCACCGTCTTCAGACAGGTCTCCGCCGACGTGCCGCCGATCACCACCGCCAAGTGGTACGGAGGACACGCCGCCGTACCCAGACTCTTGATCTTCGCCTCGATGAACGGCATCAGACGCTCTACCTCCCACGCGACACACACAACCCACCTGGAGTCAGCAGCGCCTTCGTCTCCTGGAACAGGTACGACTTGTTCGCAGAGCCGCCGCCCTTCGCCATGAACATGAACTTGTACTCGTTCCCGGGAATCGCGTACAGATCGATCTGCGCAGGCAGGTTCGTCTTCGTGTTCACCTCCTCGTACATCGACAGAGGAGCGTTCTGGCTGTACCGGAGGTTCAGCTTCGTGTACGCGTTGTACACGCCGCGTGAAAGAGACTCCCCGTCGTGCTCGTCCGTCCACACGTACTGACCCTTCTTACCCATGATGATCGCAGTACCCGTGTCCTGGCACGACGGAAGCTCCAGCTCCGCTGCGATTTGCGCGTTGCGCAAAAAGTTCATCGCCACATACTTGTCATTGTCAGAAGCCTCAGGATCCTCCAGGATCTGAGCCAGCTTCTCCAAGTGCGATGCACGGAGGTAGTGGGACACCTCCTTCATGCAGGTTTCTGCCAAAAGACTAGAAACTCACACAGACACAACGAAACCAACGTCAATCCCTCGGGGGCGACCTTCAGAATCTTTTTACCATCCACGTTCATGGTGGAAACATAGTCGCCGGTGATCTTTCGGTATTTGGTTGTATCAGGCTTCGCGTTTTCAAAAATATCCTGATAGGCAAATGGCTTATCAGCGAATGCGCGAATAATCTAAAAACTTAGATTAGCACCCTGTACCTACGTTCATGGATCTGCGAGTTGTCGCACTAGCAAGCTAAACTTGAGACCAATATGATACACCCAACTCTTGATAAGTGAAGCATCGAAATTTATTTTGTAGAATACAGAAATCCATTGCACGAAACGCCCTGCCACTGATTCCACTTTCTCTTGAAAAGGTCCGATTCTTTGCGCAAGACAGGTTGTCTCTCGAAATATGGATTCTGCAAAATAACAATATTGGACTTGAGAGTGTAATAATCAAACAGAATAGATATTCAACAAATATTGAAGTAATGCAGCGACTACTGTCACGTTTAAGCTGTATTAATGAAGGAACTACTAGTAGCAGACCACAAGGATATATTTCCAACTAATTTTACTCTCTGGTTTTCATTCATCTCTTCAGGGAAGGTAAACGATTCGGGGAATCCATGAATGCGCTTCATCTCCATACCAGAAAAATAGCGAAGACGTAATGAACGTAAATTCTCTATAGAACGCTCAATCGGAGCGTTCTGGTAAGGCTCCGCCGTTTGGAGTAAAGATCCTGTTCCCGTGTGATATTTTCTGTAGGATTTTGTAAAACAACAAGAGAATTTATCATCCGGAGAAACAATATCCAGATTGCTTCCAGACTTTTGCAAAATCTTATCCGGAACTAAAAAGGGAGTGATGTCTGTTCCAATTTCAAGAACGGAATCTAGATAGTCGCGTAATGGCTTGCACTTTGCATTTAGCTCGTTCCACAACTCCTGCGATTCTTTTGTTCCCATTTCAGCTGTTCCGTTCTTATATACAATGTTCTCGCATCTATTTTACAAAAAGGGCGAAGAAATACGTAGCATGTCCTGGAATGACTCGCAGACACGATTTTATTCGAGGCGTGTCTTCAGGGACCGCAGGGAATTCAGTTAATCGTGCAACAAGGAAGTATCGGTCACGCTGGTTTGGTATTTGAAACTGGTTAGGGGAGAGGATGAACTCCTGATAAAAGTAGTGCCGTTCCTTTAGAACTGCTATAAAGCGATCTCGACTTTCGCTGCTTTCAAAGCCTTCTACGTTTTCCAGTAAAATGAACTTCGGAATGTTCTTGATTACCTGCAATAGGGAAATAAGGTGTAATAGTCCATCCGAGCGAGTATCTGAGCAGTCCAACTTCATACCCTGCCGAGTATGAGGCTGACATGGAGGACTAAGCAGCCAAACATCAGCATTGAAACGATCAAGCTCATACTTTCTGCAATTTAATAGAGACATCGAGTAATACGTTATTCCAGTAATGTCTCTCTGAAGATAGGGAACATCAGGAAAGTTGTGATGATAACTACAGGTTGACTCAAAATCGTTTGGTTTACACGAGGTAGGCATTTGGATTTATATCGAATGATGAAATAACGGTAGCATCAGGCTGTACTTCTCGGAGCGCACAATGGAGACCTCCGATTCCACTAAAGAACTCAAGTGCTCTTAATGGCATGAAAACAAAATAGAACTAGGGTTTGGTGGATTTGCAAATCGATATGAAACTCCTCTATGCAAAAAACGTCAATATCTCGTCTTTTAGAGGATATATATATATATTCAGGTCGTCTAGTACGTATTACCGAAGATTCAATAATACGTGATGAGAATATTTAGTAAGATGGATGTGTTGTTGCGTAATTCCGTAGTTGGTGGATTGGTTCCCAATATTTCACCAGAGGACATACAAAAACGTTTTTCTCTCAACAACAAAATTGAGATAAAGGCGGTAGATGTGATCCGGAATGAAAAGGGCCAATGTAAAGGATTTGCGTAATATTTTATTAATTTATTGATTTTGTAGTTATATAGATATAGATGACAAGAATAAAGATGCTTTTGAACAATTGCGGTCATTGTTTAATGGAACAAAGTGGAAAGGGAATATTTTGAAGTATTTTTATATCGTTGTCGTATTACAAACAGAATTGAATGCGCCAAACCTTCGTATTTAGAACTCATCAAAGAGGAGAAGGAGAAGGAGAAGGAGAAGATGAATACGGAAGCAGCCGATTCTACAAAGAAAGAAGAATCCGTAGTAAAACTAGCTCCTCCTTCAGGAATCCCCAACACTTTGTTAATTCGCAAGAGTAAGAGAAAGTTCTTTGTGGCTTCGATAAACCCGGTATATAAAGACGAAGAAGGAAACGTAATTTCAATGGAGACGGAATCGAGCACCAATGAACCTCATGATTCATCTCTCCCTGAAAGCGTTTCGATACCTTCTACTTCATCTGATTCGCACGTTGTATCAACGAAGAAGTGCGTTTTTCCTACTTCTCTCACGCCTAGACACCGCTTTATTCAACCGGAAGTGCTCTGCTTCGATTTGCCGCCTGCGGGCACACGAAAGAATTTGTGGGATCCCATCCCGAGTCCGAAGCGACGAAGGATCCAGACGGCAGTCCCAACGGAAGAATTCGTGAAGAGCAGCATTCGATTGGATGATTCTTCGGATGATTCGCAGCACGAGGAGTTTCTGCGAGAGCTTGAAGAAGAAAACCAGGGAAACCAGGGAAACCAGGGAAACCAGAGAAAGGAGAGAGGGGTTATTTCGTTTGAAAGTGAAGACGAAGATGGAGAAGAAGACAAGGGAAAGCAAAGAGGTTATGTGTCGTTTGACAGCGACGAAGACGAAGACGAAGACGAAGACGAAGATGAAAAGAAGGAGAACGGAAAGAAAGGAATCGAAAAAGGAGTTGTGTCATTTGAGAGTGAAAACGAAGAGAATGAGAATGAAAGTGAAAGTGAAATCGAATCGAATCATCATTCAAGTGAAAGTGAAAGTGAAAGTGAAAACGAAAACAAAAACAAAAACGATAATGAAAATGAAAATGAAAACGAAAACGAATCGAATCATAGCGAAATAAGCGAAAATGAATCTCATTCAGAATCCCATCCATCTTCATCCAAATCCAATGTGAGCACGCTCCCCGCGGCTCTTCTCGCTTCCCTCGAGAACTACGAGGAGGACGATCTCCCCGCTCCCGATTCGTACGTCGAGGAGCAGAATTCCGAGGAAAACCAGCAGGAAAAGCGGGAGAACGCCGCCCAGGCGTCTTGCTGCGAGATCGATGAAAAGAAGGCACAGAAACGTGCAAAGCGCGAAGAAGAGCCGAAAAAAGGCGCAAAGGGTGGAATTCCAGAAAACTGGCTGATTTGTAGGATCCGTCGAACGAGAGGAAAAAAGTGAAAAGCAGGACGAAACGAGTGAAACGCCCGTGTCCAAAATGGCCAGTTTATTCGACGAAAAGGCGGCCTCTTCGTTTTCTCTGTTTAATTTCTTCTCCCCCAATGCCGATACCGCCAAAGAAGGCGAGGAAACGCCTGCGAAGGAGGAAACTCCTGCTAAAGATGAAACGCCCGACAAAGATGAAACGCCCGACAAGGAGGAAACGCCCGCGAAAGACGAAGAATCCACGAGTGAAGAATCCGCGAGTGAAGAATCTGACGAAACTCCCGAGGACACTGAGCCCCCCGCGGGAATGGAGGTGGAAGCGCTGCGCGCCTCTCCGAAATCGGCGTCTATCCCCGCGGAACCTCGTTCATCTGCGAAGTATTTTTGTGTTTTTGGCGTTGAACGGCAGCGCGTTGGAATCGCTGGCGCCGACGGAGTGGTTCAACGAGCGGAGAGAAGCGAAGGTGTCGATGCTTTCGATTCCGATCCGCGTGGATCGGAGCGAGGCCGCCGCGAAGCCGCGTTTGCCGCGCGATTTCGGCGAGTTTTTCTATCGGACGGTACGGGAGGCGAGGGATTGCGACGTAGCGAACGATGGAGGACGTGCAGAAGGAGTGGAGAAATTTGCGAACCGCGGCGGTGAGCGACTTCGAGAAGAAGAAGCGGAACGCGAAGCGCGCGTGGAAGCGAAAGCCGAGCGAGAAGGGACGAAAGAAGGCGGGAATGAAGAGCAACCGAAGGTGATTTTAGAGCGTGATTGTTACAAACACGTGATTCCTCGTTCATTTCGTTAGTGTTCTGCGAATCGCTTGAATCACTTGAATCGCTTGAATCACTGGATTCACTAGATTCACTGGATTCATTCATTTCGTTTCCCTTTCGAAGCTTTTTGGACTTGTGCGAGTCCATCGAATCCATCGGATCCATCGCTCCCTTTCCTCGCTTTTCTTCGTTCCCCGCGCTTTCTTCGCTCGCGTCCTCCGTGGCTTCCGACGCTTCGGTTCCCTCCGACGCCTCGCCGTTTTCTTCGCTTTCTTCGTTTTCTTCTTCTTCGCTGACTTCCATCGCTTCGTTCTGCACCAATTCCTCCATTTTCACCCTCCGTTTCCCCTTTTTCCCCTTCTCCACCGCTTCCCTCTCCCGCTTCTTTCCCTTCCTCCGCTCTCTTCCCTTCGTTTCCCCAGTTTCTCCAGTTTCTCCGATTCCCAGATCCCTCTCTTCGTCGACTTCTTCGCCATTCAAGTAGCGATTCTTCAAATTCCCCATCCAAAACGCGTCTTCGGCTCCCGCCTTTTTCAGCGTTTCGCGGATCAAATAAATCAACTGCTCCAGCTGCTTCTTGATCTTCGGCACGTACGCCAGAATGGCGGAATTCCGCGTGATTTTGGCGTGGGCGCAGAGGCTTTGGATCTGCCGCGTGCTTCGCTGCACGATTTTTACCGCGAAAACGACTTCGCCGCCCATCGACACCAACAGACTCTTCAGAAACGCCCAGCACGGACCCAGGAAATAGCTCAGAAATTGGCCGAAAAAACGGATCGTGTCCGACAGAACCGCGGGAGTCTCGTTCTTTTTGGTGACGGAAACGAGCGACTCGAGGAGGGAAAACGATTGGCTCAGCTCCTGGAGTTTCGCCCGGCAGGCCGTTTCGTCGACTTGGAGCACGGTTTCCACGTTGAGTTCGGATAGAATTCGGAGAAACTCCCCGCAGGCGGATTGGAAAAACCACCGAAACGTGTCCGAAGAGAGCGAAGCCAGATTCCCGCCAAAACCGTCCGCTTCCTTTCCCGCCTTCTTTTCGAATTCCGCGTCGTTCCACTTTTCGATTTCCTACGCATCACATCATTTCCCGCCATCGCAACTTCCACGATCCACGACAGGCGTTTCATCGGGTTTTCGGAATAAACCACGGTTATCCGCACCAAAAACTCCACGTGTTGCTTCGCTTCCGCGGTTTTCTCGCGGATCTGTTTCTGCTCCAGAACCGCGGAAGCCGCGTCGCTCAGCTGCACGAGCAGGTCACGTGCCTCCCTTCCAATCACGTCGGTCGCTTTGAGCAGCTGGAGGTCGCGCACGTGGACATCATCGAAGTCGATCATTTCCCGCCTTCCCGCGAAGCGAAGCGAAAAATCCGCGAATGTGAAGAGGAGCGTTTCGCACGTTTGGAGGGAAGACACTTCCGCGGGGAAGGCCTCGATCAGCGACAGGTTCGAGAGAAACGTGGAAACCAACTGGAGAATCGGGGAAAGCTGCGTCGCCGAGTGGAGGGAAACCGTCTTCGCCTCCCTACGGAACACAATCCCGTCAATCCCACTTCCCGCGGGGCTGCAGCACAAAATCCGATACGGGCGTTTCGCTTCCAAAAATCCCGCCAATTATGTCCATGCAGCCGGCTTCGTACACCGAATTCCGGAAGGGCGCGGAGGCGAAGATTTGGCGGTAAATCTGCATGATCAGAACCACGATGGGCGCGATCGTTTCATTCCGGAAATCGGGGGTATTTTCCACGCCCTCGTGGTCGAAGGACTGCTGCAGGAACAGTGTTACCAAACAGTGGTAAATCGTGGAAACCGCGTAGAAGAAGTCCCCATTCAGCGTCTTCGCGAGGATTCCCAGCAATTCCCGCGGATCTCCCTACTTTCGAGCATTCCAAAAATCGGCACTTTCTTCGTCTTCGCGTTGAGCGCGGCAAATCGCTCCGTCCACCGCGCCAAATCGGAGAGAAGCAGCCGCAGCGTCGCGAGCGACACGAACGGGAATCGCATCGATTCTGGCGGCAAAACGCGAAGCACGTCGTCCTCCCGCACCACGTGCAGATTTTCCCACCTACTTCATAACCGCGGGAATCTCGCTACGTCAGCAGAACGCACACCGACGGCGGGAACGGCGAAGCGCGCGGCGCGCTCTTTTTTTCCCGCGGTTTTGCGTCGCTCGGTTTCCCGCGGTTTCCGGCGCCCTCCATTCCCGCGGGGAGGAAGGGGAGTCCGTAGAGCGCCAAAAGCGGCGCGAGATTTCCCTCCAAGTCGCGCAGTGCCGCCAAACGCTGCGAAATCTTCGCTCATTTCCCGCCAAAACGCCCACCTTGAAACGCACGACGCTCTGCGGACAGTCGGCGAAGACCTCCACGACCGCGCGAAGCCACAGCGAAGCCGCCACGCGGGAAAGCAGCACAGTTTCGCGGTTTTTTCTGTCCAAACCGTCGAGCGACTCGGCATTGCTCAGCAGAATCGGGCATCCCGCCATCGCTCCCACCTGCTCCACCCATCCCTCGTTTCCACTGTTTCCACTGTTTCCACTGTTTCCACTGTTTCCACTGTTTCCACTGTTTCCACCATTTTGGCTCGCACCGGATTGCTCGCTCGCCTGGCTTTGCGATTCCCCCGCGGTTCTGCGCTGCGCCGCCGCGACGAGGCGGAAAAGCGCGGGAAGAAGAAACGGCTCCTGCTGGAACCGCTGGGAAACCGCGGAACACAGCGGCAGCAGCGCCACGCAGACGTGCGCTTTCTACCAAGAACCGCGGGAATCGGAGCCTACCTCCCCGTCCAAATTCATCAGTCCCGCGGGATGCAGCGCCTCGACGTTCTGGAGCAGGCGGCTCCCCGCGGGGATGGGGAAATCCTCGAGGTAATGGGCGTCGAACCAGTTGGTCGTCGAATCCCGCACAAACTGCTCGTTATCCCCGCGGTTCTCGTACCTCCAACACCTCCCCGCGGATCTGTCCGGCTTCGATTCCCGCGGTGAGCCGTTCATAGAAAAACAGCCGGATTTCTGGAAAGTTCCGCGTGGCTTTTCCCGCGAACGCGAAGAGGTTTTTGGCGCTCTCGGGATCCCCGCGGGAGAACCGCAGCACGGCGCAGCATCCCAAAACGCCCATTTTTTTGTGTCCCGCGTCGCTCATCTGGAGATATTTGCGCACCAAGATGAACAATTCGTCGAACGAATTCCCGCTCTCCCGCGATTCGGACGCCAGCCGGCACAGCACGCCCAGCAGCGAATCCGCCTGCGCCACCGACAGCCGGTCCGCGAAGTCCAGCAGCCCGCGGATAAACAGCGAAAACCGCGAAAGATCGTTCGGCGCCGGCGAAGCCGCCAGCGTTTCCAGCACGTGGAGGGAAACCGTCACCGCGGGACTCTCGCTCCCGCCGCCTCCCGCCATCGGCGACACCGTGGAAACCGTGGAAACCGTGGAAGCGGCGATCTGGGCGATGAGGCAGGACACGAATTCCTGTTGGTGGAACGGCGAAGAAAACTCCCGCCACACCGCCAGGAACAATGTTCCTGCGAGTTCCTGGCAGCTCAGCGCGGGGCTGCGCGCCAGCACCTCCCCCATTCTACTTCGAGTCCCGCGGGAATCCCTACTGCAGCAGGCTTTTAAACGCGGGGAGCAGCGCCAGCCGCTGTCCCGCGATTGCCTGGGCGAAGATCGCGCTCTTCCCGGGGAGCCGCGCAAAACCGCGGGACAGGAACCGCTCGGCCTGGTAGGTCTGGAGGTTTTCCCGCCACAGCACGAGCAAAACCCAGACGTCCAGCGGGACCAGCTCCTCCACCGCGGTTTTCTGGAGAAACCGGAGAAACGCCCGCGCGAGGTCGGGCCGCTGCTGGAAGCAGCTGCGAAGTTCTTCGAACACGGCGGAACCCACGTGCGGGTCGTCTGCGAGGGAGGGAAAATGGGCGGGAAAACCTGTCCAATGGGCGGGATGGCACGTGCTGCGGATCGTGCGGAAAACCGAATCGATTTCCTCCGAGTTCTTCGTCCCCGCGGTTATCGGACTCGTGCGCAGCAGAAAACGAATCTACGGTGAACCGCGGGGATCGTTCCCACCAAAACAGGAAGGTCGGCGAGGGAAACCGTGGAGAGGGTTCCCGCGATTATGGGCAGGTTCTCGGCGAACTGTTTGGCGGTAAGGCGAAGATTCTCGAGCGCGGTCAAAATTGGCGCGCAGAGCGAAGCATCCGAGCGAAGAAACGAAAATAACTCCCGCACACAGGTCTAGATGAAACGCCCCGCGTCCCGCCAACTTCCTGCAGGTCGTCGTGCGTCAAATCCGGCAGTAAAAGAATCAGTTCCCGCTGGAGGGAAGGCGAGCAGATCTACGATGGAGAACCGCGGGGATCCGCACCGCGAGCGTTTCGAGGAGCCCGGAAACGAGGGCAGAGGCGTCGGCGAGGAAGTCGGTCCAGCGAAGCTGGTTGAGGAGGGCGTTGAGGAGGGAATTTGACGAAGACGAAGACGAAGAAGACGACGAAGAATAATTTGGCGCGATTTCTTCGTCGGAGTGCTCCGTGAGCTTGCTGAGCAAAAAGGACACGAGGAGCGGCTGGATGGGCTGCACGCGCATTAAAAGGCGGCAGACGCTGTCCTGGCTCACCGCGGGGAGCGAGCTTTCTGGAGAAACAAACAATTGGAGAGAGGTACGCTCCTCCGAGTCGGAGAGCTCCCGAATGGGATCGAAGAATCGTTTGAGATCGGTTTCAGAGACCAAGGTAGACTCGATGCCTTGAATTTCAGTGACGCATCTCAATTCCTAGTACTTTTCATGACTTGCATCGCTCGCAGACTGTCGTCGATTTGCTTGCGAAGAATGCACAAGGATTCGAACAGACTGGGACAGACGTAGCATCCTAGCCATCAGCATCTAAAAATCGATTCGTGCCATTCTCCAATGTAATATTTGCTTCCGTCAACAGCGAATGAATCTCAAGAGGCGGATTCTCCGTCTTTTGCGTCCCCTCCGGCGATTTCGTCTCGAGGGGAGCTGGACTACGCTTCACACTTCTTCTCTTGGTGAGTGGAGGCATTTCTAAAAAACTAAAAGTTGCCGCCAAAATGTGTCTTTCACAAACAAACAAACAAACAAACAAAACTCTAGTGAAGCATTATTTTTTTCATAGGTGCAGCCATGTTTCCATTCTCATCCTGTACCGCAACATAAAACAACAAATCATTCTTTACCGCAAAACACAACATAAACTTGGTATTTCTCGGGTACTGTCGATTCAGCCGAATCTTCAGCATCGTTCCTGCCAGCGACTCCACTCCCTTCCGCTTCTCCACTATAACCGTATTTATCACATCCGAATCTCTGTCCAACACCACATTCCTTTTATATTCTCGAGGCAGCAAATCCCCTTCGTTACAGAAATAGCAAGAACCTCTCTTTGTCTCAAACCCTAAAGTGCATTGCAGTTGATTGCGGATTTGAGGCACGGCGTTCTCTACCTGCAAGTCCTGCGTGCACATCGCCGCTCCCTGTGACACGCAGTAGCTCACATCGACTCCCTGGACCAGCCGCTCGCCGAAACAAGCGTTCATTTTCTGCTGGCAGTAAAAAAACGCGCTGCTCCCGCCAATCATCAGCACGTGATCCACGTGATATTGCTCGTCGAGATGACGAGCCTTGTTGATGGTGGCTTGGACGTGGTCTCGGATGTCGTTTGTGAGGATGGAGAGTTTGACAGATCGATTTGGAATTCCAAAAAGCGATTGGAAATCGATTGTAATTTCGCTGCTTTTCGCTTGCTTCTTCAGCTTTTCGGCTTCTCTTTTTAGTCGAAATCTCTCTTCGGGGGTCAGTTGGGAGTTTGGGGGCTGGATTCCGTTCATTTGGCGGACTTGCAGCAGCTCGTTCAAGATGCTGTTTGTGATGTCGTCACCGCCCGATTTCGCGTCGCCGCACGTATCTTCGATTCGAAAGATATTGTTCTCCACACTCACGACGGCGGCATCGAAGGTGCCCCCACCATAATCGTAGATTAAAAACTTGCCTTGGCTAATGTGCTTCCTCTTGCAGTAGGCGTACGCGGCCATCACGGGCTCGTATTGGAGACAACGGACATTGAATCCTGCGTTTTGGGCAGCTCGATATGTCTCTTGTCGTTGCTCCCAGGTATACTGCACGGGAATGGTAATTATAACATCAGTAAATGTATATCCAGAACTTTCCTCCGCAACTTGCTTCACCTTTTTAAAAATCTCTGTGCAAACATCAACAGCTGATATTGTCTTGGAGTTGGGCAGCCGATAGCCTATCTCATGGATACAGCTATCCTTGTACTGGTCTGAGCATGGACCCATCTCACAAAGCGGAAGCCCACACCCATCTCGAAGAGTTTTAACAAAGGAGTTGTGGTATGATCTTCCGATTAAACGCTTTGGATTTATGGCTGTGTCCTTCAGAAGCGCATTGTTCATGTTGGGACACGCCGTGGGCTTGCCGTTCTTGTTGAACTTGACAGCTGAGGGGAAGAGACCACCGTCATACAAGATCTGCTTGAGTTCTCCAGTCCCACTCTGTAAATACGCAGCGGTTGTATAGGTCGTCCCAAAATCAATGCCCAGAGCCACACTCATCCACTATCAAAATAAACTGAGTAACTCGACTATTTTTTTTTCTTTTCTCTTATTTCTCAACAAACCCACTAACAGAACAAAAAACGAATTCCACCGCACTCCGCTTCTTTCCCTCACATCTGCACATCGTACGACCCGCTCTGCAAAATCTTCGACACCGACGACGTCCAATTGTACTCTCCCTTCGTGCGCTGCACGTTGATCTTCCCCACTCCCAGTCCGGACACGTTTCCCTCGGGCTGCACGAACCCCACCTTCGCGCAGATCGACGATTCTACCTCCCAGCGCGCCCCAAAACCCCACTCGGAACCGCGGAACCCGGCTGCAGATACACCGGCCCGCGCAGCGTCAGCACGTCTTCGCGCCGCAGATTTCCCGCCACCCACAGCAGTTTCTTCTCCTCCTGGTCGAACATCATCTTCCCCGCGGAAGTCGTCAGATTCGCGCCCGACGTGGTCGGCGGGAGCACGATTTCCACGGTTACTCCCTGCACCATCACCGGGTTGCCCTCCTGTTTCCCCCGTTTCCCCGGTTTGCAGCCCAGCGTCACTTCCAGCGTCCCCCACACTCCGCCTTCCCCGCGGGTCCACGACAGATTCGGGCGGCAGTAGAAGTCCAGCGCGGCGTTGTCCACGCGCTTCACCGCGTACGTCGCCACCTGCATCGCATTCCCGCGGGGATGATTACATCGAAGACGCCGTCGAGCGGAACGAACTGGAGCGTCTGGGAGGAGCGGAGGCGCGCGCGGTCGACGCAGCGGTGCACGCGGAGCGCTTCGATGGAATTCGAATTCTGCAGCGTCAGCGCGACTTCCGGACTCTGCGAGAGATGGCTGTCCACGCGCAGCACGCCGTACGCAGAGCAGGAGGTGAGAGTGCCCTTCCTGAAGGTGAGAGGAAGGGAGAAACGGGGAAATACGAGGTTACTGTCGCATTGAGGAATTCGATGATGCTGATGCGGATCTCGTTGCGCATGTAGGACAGGTCGGGGCGGCGCCAGCTGACGGCGTTGTTGGTGCTGCCGGGGAGCCAGGTGTCTTCCGTGTTGAGGTTCTGAGATTGGAGAGGAGGAGAGAAATGATTACGGCGACTTTGGTAACCAGGGCGGAGACTTTGTTTATTACGGTAGGGATTTTGATGATGGACGACATAATCGAGGGCTCGGTGATAACGGGGATACCGAAGTCCGAAACTTCATCGAGAAGCTGTGGGTGAGTAAAGCAAAAAAATAAAGGAGGATCTTACTTGGTAAACGATAGAAAAGTTCCCTCGTATTTTCACCTCGTTCACTGTGCCAATATACGTCTTCAACACAGAAATGATCTGGGTTATGAAGTCCACGATTAACAGGGGAGAACATTCGCTCTTCACCACTGCAATGAACGAAAGATTATTCTCTTTTACGACAATGAGCGCATACTCGCCACTTTCCAAAACGGGAGGAATGTTCTAGATACGTAATGCCAACTAAAATGGATCCAAACATTACTATCGACGTATTTCGCCAAGGCAGCAAAATAGGGTTCCAACACACTTCTCTCAATTGTCTGCTTCCAATGCTTCTCAATGACGATTTGTTTATCCTCGCCTAGTACAAATAGGGAATCAATCATGGCTTTGCTTCGAAAAATGCTATTCTCAGTTCCTACAAATTGGCCACAATGTCGCACAAATATCCCCTAATTTGTTTGATTCTGTGAAATCGTCTTTGCAGTTCATTCCGTTCCTTTCTATTCTTTCTATCAAACAAACCATGAATAAACAAATATATTCCTATACATGTATAAAAATATATAAACATCTTTATCTCTTCCTTGGTTTAGCAAGAGGATCCACCGCTAATCTTGGATAAAACATACCATCCTCCACTGTCGCGTTCAACCACTTATACTTTCTCAACACCAGCCACCCTCGCATCGCATCATCAATTTCTTCGCACGTTGCAATGGGATGATGGTTCGGCACCGTCTTCAAAAACTCCTCACGCGACGTCTCAAATTGTTTCCTCAATTCTGGACGTCTCTGATTCCTTCTCACTGTGTACGAGTCCACTCTACACATGATGTCGTCCCTTTGCTTCCCACCCGACTCCCTCGATTCGGAAGAAGAAGTCATTCGCCAGCATTCCAATTTTCATGTCTACGTCCCATTTCCTCCGCATCCCCCACTCGCATTCCGAATCTTCTCCGTATACTCCACATTATCGAACCCGCGTTCCTCGATCTCCTCATCATACCGCGGGAGCTTCTCCGATTTCTGCAGCACGAACACTCTACCCATCACCCATCATCATCATCATCATCCCACTGCTCGCTCTCCCTATCCATGCACGTCATCGCGCGATAACTCACATACGTGAACCACCGGAACTGCTACACCTCACCGCGGCTCCCCAAACCCACCATCGGGATCGTCGCTGTCTGCAGCGGGCGGCATCGATACGTCTGCAGACACTCTTTCAGCGACTGCGGGCCGTTCACCGCGATTTGGAAGTTCCTACCTCGCATCCCCGCGGGAATCCTACCGGTAGGAGGCGGCCGCCTCGCTGTAGAACGGGGAAGCCCACTCATACACCGGGATGACGCCGGCGAAGCTGGAATCCCGCCAAAGATACGCGGGAGTGCGAAGCAGCGTGCCGTAGAGATTCGCTGCGAGTGAGCAGAACCGCGGGGAAGGGAGTACTCGTGGGGGAGAGATTAGGCTCGGCGACGAGGAAGTGGGACGTGGAAACGCGGTCGATTCCCGCGTTTTTGATTTTGTTGAGAGGGACGCGGGCGTTTTGGAGGAGAAAGGGGAAACAGAAGACGCGGTGGAGGGAGGCGCACTTGGATTCGAAGGCGGAGAGGAGGGAGGTTTCGTTGGAGCGGTAGAGGAGCGCGATAACCGCGGGACTGGGGTTAAGGGAAAGAGAAAAAATTTAGAATACCCGTTCCAGCGAGCGATGTAGGAGGTGAAGATATCGTGGTCATTGACACTGAAAGTGAGGAGAAGAGAAAAACAAAACTCGAAGTACGTGACCAAGCTCACATCGAAATTCATGTTGGGGAAAACTAGGAAACAAAGAGGAGTTGAAAATACGCTCGTAGTTGTTCTCGATTTGGAAGGGGTACTCGCTCTTTGGATCTTCTGTTTTGAAAGGAACGTTCAACTTGAGATGGGTTGAGGGAACGATCGTTTTTTCCACAGACTGTAAGCTGTTTACTCCTTCCGGAGTAGAAGTTCTCTTTATTATACGGAAACTCGTATCCTGTCGACCCATAGACGTTAACTACACCCTGACAAAAAACAACGAAAACAAACGGTCCCCAATATGATATAAGTAGTACACAGAATATAGCCACACAGAAAAACAGTAATTGCAGATCTTCACATAAAGGTACCAAACTCACACTCCTACCTTAAATTAAATGTTCTGAAATCTAGCATCATCATCATTGTTCATACGGCAGACTCTGGTAAAAAGAAAAAGTGTGAAAACAAACAACCATGTTCAAAACCGTGTCACATTTACTTTGTTTCTGCAGTCAACTCATCAGCCAACCAGTCAAATCCGTCTTTCAGACCAATGCCATTTGCAGCAGAACTTTCAAAAAGAGTCCATTTTCTATCTCGGATTTCGGTAAGACCCAAAGCTTCCGATATCTTTGCTCCGTTCAAGGCTCCAGGTAAATCTTGCTTGTTGGCAAACACCAGCAGCGACACGCCCTTGAGCTCGTCCTCCTATTGGCTTACAGATCCACGCAAATGCACACCTTCAGAATTGCAGCCAGTTCTACTTTAGCGAGGTTCAGACGATCTATATCAGCACTGTCGACTACGTATACGACAGCATCTACTGTTTACATGCCAGTACACCAAGAACCTGTGTTATGGAAGTAACATCTCCAATAGGGACGAATACTGGTTTGACCGCCAAGATCCCACACTTGGAACGTGATATTCTTATATTTCAAGGTCTCCACATTGAAACCGATCGTAGGAACGGTAGACACCACTTCATCTAACTGCATACGATCTACAAACATGTGAGTACAGAATCAACCTCATAAAACCCCTTACAAAGAATGGAGGTCTTTCCAGCATTATCGAGTCCCAGAACCAGGATTCTCACTTCTTTGTTCCCAAAGTACTGGTTAAAAAGCTTCGAGATGATAATGCCCATCAAGATTAAGCAAAGTTTGCTTGATCCCGAAATAACTCTATCGACCCGCTCATTTTCATTTTACGTGGTTTGAACAAACAACACAGAACAATGTAGAGGGAACAAAAAACCTATTCAATCAAATGACTCAGGCTTTTATAAAGACGATTCGTATTCACTAAGAGCGTTGGCTAACAGATCAGCAAAAGGCACAGTACTCTTTTCGATTGTTTCTCCCTGGCTTGGGGGGCAGACCTTGATATGTACACCTACGATCGAGTGAAATTTAAAAAGTTCTACCATCAACTTTATCCAATATACTCTGAATGCCTACCTTTCAAAACTTTACACAAAAACACCTACGATTGTTAAAATGAGATCTCATATCTTGTTCATCGAAGCGTCCACGATTTGCACCCATCATTCCGGGAACTTGGTTATAGAACCCGCCTCTAGTGAGAAGACGTGGGTAGGGGATATATCTCGAACTTATTCCACCATGACAAAAGGTACGGCAGTGAAGGTTTTCCTGCATCAGACTGATTCATGTTTAGAATTGGAGCGTAAAAGAGAAATGTAAAACGAGGGAAGTCAGGGGGAATAGATATTGTGACAATAAGAAAAACTTCACTTAGCAGGAACACTGGATTATTTGAAAACGAATTCCGAATATGCTGCAGAGACTCGAAAATAGAGTAAGGACGTTGCCTCTTTCCGCGGTGTGCGTTACAAGTGTATGGATCTCATTCAACAATCGATTGAATGAGTAACTCTCTCCATCTAGGTCCTACCCTAGTGCCGATATTATTTGTCACACTTTTCGCTTCCGTAATGGAGCAGCCATTTGTTTTTGTTCATATTACCGATATTCATCTTCAAAGAAGGTCTGCTGAGAGCAGCTACAGTTATTTCCGCCACTTTGTGAAGGACATTCTTCCCGTCATTCAGCCGTCGTTGGTGGTTAATACGGGAGATATTACTCAAAGTCAGCAACTCGATTTGAAAGGTATGTGCTTACTGGTCATTTTTGATGAATAGAGAATTTAGAGCACGATGAATGGGTTTTGTAGGCTGAGAAATGTGTAGATCACGCAATAGGTATTCGTCGGTGCTGAAAGAATTTGGTTGGTTTAATCAAAGCAAGTGGCTGGATGTCCGTGGGAACCACGACGCGTTCGTACACTATCCAGAGCCCCATCCGTACAAGCTGCACATGGTTTACGGAGTTGCTGGGAAATCGTCCGTTTATTCGCATACCGTCACGACGTCTTCCGGGAAACTTCGTTTCATCGGAATCGACGCGAACGGCCCTCTCTTCCGCCACTTCAACGGGTTCGTCACTCGCGAAATGCTGGATGCATTAGAGCATCTCTTCCAAAGCGAATCGTACGACGCACATCTTCCCTCCTTTCCCAGCCTTCCTACCATCTTATTCACTCACTACCCTCTTTTCACCATGGATCTGCGTGCACGATCCTCCCAAAACCATTCCCTCAAAGACCTCATAAAGCAGCATAAACCGCGGTTCTACCTATGCGGTCACATGCACTCCGCGTTAGGCGGAATGATCGTAGCCCCAGCCACTCCGCTCAACCGGCGTAGACTCGCCAGTTCGACACAATCGAGGCCGAATTGTTCGACTTCAAAATCGCTCATCAGTTTCGTTTGTACTCCTATTTCCGCGGGGAACTCTCCTTCATGACGTACAATCTCAACATCGACGACAAGCCAATCATCTTAATCCACTCGCCCACCGTTTCCTTACCTCCTTTCTCTCATCTAGGACCATCGATTCCAGCAGAATTCCCGAAATGACGGAAATCGGCTCGTTTTTTTCACCATTTACAACACCAAAAATCCAAAAATCGCCCTGTTTTTTCTCTCTCACTTGTCCCGCTCACCTCCAGCCAAATCGATGGTCGCGATTATTCTGCCTCTGCCCAGCAGGCCATGGAGATGGGTTCCGCGGGGATCGACGTGTATTTTGAGCCGGAATTGGCGGAGGGATTGCACGAAATCCGCGGGACAATCACCAACGAGTTCCAAAAAACGACCCGATTTCAGCGCGTGTTTGCTGTGTCGAATTCGCTTTGTGCGGGATTTGCGATTATTTCACGCATAGTACACTCCATGGGAGTTTCATCATCATCATCATCATCATCATCGGGAGTTTCGTTCAAGTCGCTATCGCACGTGGAGCTGGGCGAATTGGAGAGTTCGTCGGTAACCGCGGGATTCGCTCTGGAATATCCGACCTCCTCGGGCGTTTCGTTGGTAATGAAGACGGACTGGTCGTCTCTGATGCTCTATCTGAATCCCCTCATCTGCCTCATCATCCTTCTCTTCTTCTGGGGATTCCATCGCTTGGCCTTGTGGCTGCTCCAGCGCCAAGCCGCGGTGCATCTCGCCGATGCGCCCGTCTTCGCGAGCTCCGCGTTTTTCGCCTCCGACCGCAAGCTGAAGCTCGCTCTGCTCGAGAAAGCGCTGAGTGGCGCGCCCTGGGCGGTTCGGTGGGCGCTGTCGCGCGTGCTTTTGGTGTGTTCGGACGAGTGGATCGCGTTCGGTGCCATCGCCAGTCTGCTTTGCCGGTGCTTTTTGCCGCGGTTTTATCGCGATGAGAAGGTAGGAGAGGAGGGAGGCAGTGAGCCAAGGGAGATCTGTGCGTGTTTGTGGTGTCGGGGTTTGGCGATCTTCGCACGGGGGAGTTTTGGCGGTATATGGACAGTTATGTGTTCGGAGCGGCGTTCTACTACGCGATGTTGGTTCTGTTCGTCGTGTATTTGCTCCTCTTCGCCGCGCCCTCGACGGCCAAATCGCTGCCCTTCACGCTGGCGAGTTATCTGCTGCTGAGCGTGGACGTGTGGATGTTCTGGAAGTTCTTCGAGTGGGGGCTGCGCCATCGCCAACGCCGCTATCTGCGCTCACTGGGCTCGCTGCTGCTGCAGCTCAACGACTCGGTGAGCTTCGTGCTGCTCTTCGCGCTGATGGTTCGCGAAAAGTGCTTGGTTTCGAGTGTTTGATCAAACACGCCACAACTAAAAAAACGTACAACCCCCGCAGCAGCCTTTCGAACTTCCGATGGAATTCTCCATAGAATTTCGATTCGAAGCTCTGTTCGAAGTTCGATTGCAAGCGCCATGCAAACTTCCATACGAATCTCGATTGAAACTCCCCTTGGAACAACATTGGGAACAATAACAACCGGAACAATAACAACCGGAACAACAACAACATTGGGAACAACATTGGGAACAACAATCCTCCCAATTCGCCTCTTCCCCTTCCGCTTCGTTTCCCGCGCTTTTCTGCTTCGCTTCGCGCGCTTCTTCGTTTGCCGCCATCCCCGCTTCCGCTCCCGCCAGTTTCTCCACCAGTCCCTTCGACCGCGAACTCAGTTTCTCCGTTTCCACGATCAGCTTCGCGAAGCAGCGCACGCGGTTTTCCCGCGCATACTGGTACAACGCTTCCACCGCGCCGTCGCTCAGGGCGTTTCCTACGCGTCATCCCCGCGGGGAACGCGCACCCGACAAATCCAAAACCCGCACATCGGAGAAACTCAAAAGGAGAAACACCAGCAGCACCACGTCCTCCGCCAGCGAGCAATCTGCGACACACGTTTCCACGGTTTCTACGTTGCAACGAGAGAAACTCCAGGCGAAACGCCGCCGGACCCAGCCTCCGATAGCAGTTGCTTTTTACCGCGGTTTTCGTCGCGCGGCGCAGCGCGTCCGTCACGAAGAACGCGTCCTCGTCGTAGAAACTCCCGCCTCCGGACCGGATCTCTGCGAGATCCGCGGGAATCCGGCAGATTCGCGTGCCGTCGCAGCCGTGATCGATGTCCAGAACCGTGAAATCTGCGCTCGAATCGTGGAAACGGAGGTACCGTCCAGGGCGAGGCGTTTCAGGGAGGTAGGTAAAGCGATGAGGAATTGTTGCAGCATGGAGTACGCGATCGAGACATCTAATTCGAAACGCCCATCGACCCTCACGACTCAACGAAATCGACTCAAAGCGACTCTGCGAGCACCCGAACGACCGATCCGCGAACAAAATCGACAGCGAGTCCGACCCATCCCCGCGGTAATTGATCGACCGCACCTCCGGATCGCCGAACAGCAGCGAAACCAGCCCCGCCGAGTCCGGAGGTTCCCCGTTTCCACCGTGCGGTGCGACTAGGAGGAGAAAAAAACCGCGGGAATACGCTGAACGTCGATGGACTGGGCGTGTTTCCGCTGCGAATTCGAAGAGAACGTCCCGCGGAACCAAAACCGATCCCTCTCTGGATGAAACGCCCGCCAGACTCCCACCCTCGACCTCCAGATCGCATAACCGCGGGAATGCGCCGCCGAGAATCCCGGAATTCAGCGCGAAAACGGCGCGCGAATCCAAGCCGCAGTCTACTCGCAAAAAAACCGCGGTTCTACTCAGCAGGGACAGCGACTTCAGCGAGGAAACGCCCGTCTCGAGCCCCATGCGGAGGAGCCTGTCGATTCCCGCGGGGAAAAGCGGTTCAGCGATGGCGAGCGTCTGGAGGGAGGGAAGGAAAAGCTCCTTCAGAAAGCCGTGGAGGAATGAAACAGCGTCCGGGAGCTGGTTGTGGAGGACGGCGAGCGACTTGAGCTGCACGCAGGAGTGAGAAACCTGATTGATGAGCTCCTGGAAGGGACCTTGGAGATCATTATCTAGATGGGAGGAGGTGGGGGAGAGGACGGTTGATTTCGAAGGACTCCCAGTATTTGGAGCGGAGCAGGTTGCTGAGACCGACGCTGGAGATCGGGTTGTCTAAAAGGGAGAAGGACATGCGAAAAGGTACTGGCGAAGCGAACGGAAAAAGAGCCATTGCACAGCGAAATCCACTTAGCGAGCGAAAGAGCGCCTTGGTCAGTGAGCAGATTGCTGGAAAAGTCGATCAAACGGAGATAGGGACAATAGGACAGAATATGAAACGAGGCACTCAAGTAGAGGGCAGAAACACCGGTATCATCGATATCGTTCCCTAGTTCACAGGGGGGGCCCAGAGGTACCGCTCAGATTGATGTACCGGAGTGCGGGAAAGCCTCTCTGAAGGATTCGAACCAACACGCGAACACTCTCGCCGGTCAGTTGGTTCTCTATGTTTAAACTGTCTACCAAGAGGGCAACGGGATAGATCTATTTCGGTTAGCTCTTTGCGGACGGAGGCATAGGAAAAAAGCTGACTAATCTTTGCTAGATCGTTGTCTGTGAGAAGATGGTCTAGAGGAACAGCAAGAGAGCTACGTCTCACTCGAAAGATTGATGGCCGTTGGGCTATCCTAGGAGAGAACCCCAGAGAGGAATTCCTACTTTAATGCAGATGGTGAAGGAAGGCAGCACAAGTTTAAACGTGCTACTTCTAGTATCAAAATTCAACTCTCCCTCGGCCATTCTAGGCAGGCTTCCACCCGAAAATCAAGACTTTCAAAACAAACATGCCATTACAACAGAGCAAATTTATTTATCATAAATTAAATTAACTAGTTGAACAGATCCTTGACCTGCTTAGCGATCAGCTGCTTCTTATATCTACGATCAACCTGACCCCTCACATCCTACCCCGTAATCTCGGCGGCAGCCTCCTTTCCGTTCTTGTAGAAGTGGAACGAAGGAATGTGCTTTACGCCGTAATCCGCCGCGAACTTCTCGAGCTTCTCGTCGGTGGTATCGACCGATGCGAACACCACGTTCTTGTTCTCCGCAGCCATCTTGTTGTAGAACGGCGCGATCATCTTGCACTTGCCGCACCACGGCGCGTAGAAATCCACCACCAGCTGCTTCGATCCGTTCAGCAGCTCCTTGAAATGCTTCTCATCGCGCACCTGCACCACATCATCGCCCATCAGGTGCTCATCCTCCTTGCTCTCCGTCGCACCGCTTCCGAAATACTCCAGACTGTTGTCTCCCTTGGTGTTGATCGTCTTTTCACCGGGCTTCCAGTTGGCCGGGCACACTTCGCCGTGCTCCGCGACGAATTGGAAGGCCTGCACCAGACGGAGCGTTTCGTCCACGCTGCGGCCCACGGGGAAGTTGTTCATCGTGATGTTCTCGATCACACCCTGAGGGTTGATGATGAACAGACCGCGCAGAGCGATGCCCAGCTCCTAGGAGTGAGGGGGAGAATGCATGGCGACATTGTGCAGAACGCCGTACTTCGAGGCGATCTCCTTGGTGTTGTCGCCAATGATGGGGATCTTCATGTTGCCAAGACCGCCCTTCTTGCGGGGAGTCTTGATCCAGGCGAGGTGCGATTCCACAGTATCGCACGAGCAGGCAATCAGCTCCGTGTTGATCTTGCGGAACTCCTCAACGCGGTCGCTGAAAGCGATAATTTCAGTGGGGCAGACGAAGGTGAAATCCTTAGGATAGAAGAACAGCACCACGTATTTGCCTAGGGATAAGAACCCTGACGAGAAGAATAAGAATACCCTTGTAATCCTCCAGATTCACAGTGGTGATGTCGTTATCGACAACAGCGGGAGCCTTGAAGGTGGGAGCAGGCTTGGTGACGAAGGCCTGCGAAGGACCATACTAGAACTTAACTCCATATCAGTTTGCCTACGGTAATCTGCGAGAAGCAGCGAGCGAAAGCAGCGGGAGCAGCGAAGCGTCTTCCAGCAGTGGCAACAGCCTTTGAAAACTTGGGAATCATAAACATTTCTGTAACTTAAAAGATTGTATGAGATATTTACCATTTCTTCACCTCTTTGACTCCAATGGATACTGGGAGTTTCATCTCCGATCATTGATTTCGAAGGTTTAGGATTTCTTGCGGCTCAAATTTCCTTCGCGATACACAGCAAAATAGAGAGGAGACAACGTACAAATTCCAACGAACTCAACAAGCTTTTCACTAACATTCTATGAGCCATTTCTCAATCATTTGTGGTGAAGCGCTTCCATTTTCTCATTGATGCAACGCAGTACGATCGAGATTCACAATTCCATTTGAGTGGTTTTCCTTTTGGACCTTTAACATGCCACTGAACATCACGAATGGTAGCGTTCACGAGACCAGAGTCGAAATTTAGGTAAGACTCCAGTGACGCAAATTCTTCAACTCTCCTCCTCCGTGTTGTATTTTCTGTTTCGAGGAAGTACGAACTGGTTTTCATCGCTACTCACCATAGATGTGTATCGTCCAACCCCTTTTCTAGTACGAGCATTCCGATTTGACGGGTATGATTCAGAGAGAGGAATAAGTCATGGATAGCCTCATTGCGTTGGGATGTTCGTACTATCTTCTTCATCTCCTTCGAGTTGTGGAAGTGATTGTGGGGAGCAACCAATACGCGTCTGTTCTACTCACCCTCTTCTGTTTTCTGCTTCCCGTGAAGTATGCCCTGATTCACTTTAGCGTTGGCTCCAACGGCTTCTTTTTCCTAACTGCTGGATTGACAGCATACTATATGCGTATCTGTTCCTGTCGTTTTCAATGCCAGGTACCATTCCTCCAAGCCGACTGGACAGTATTCCGATCATGAACGGCATTTCGATTTCTTCCAAGCTCTTCTGTCTGTTCATTCTCCTTCTGAGCACACTTGGCTCTCGCTACGCGTTTTTGGAGGCTGTTTTGTCGTATGGAATCGTGTTTTTCATTTTCCCTCGCTTTTTGAACCCCGTTCCGCTCATCCGATGTCCTACGAAGCTCACTCGGCTGCTGTCTGTACCGAATTCTTTGGTGCGGTGGATGTAACAAATAGGAGATGTTCGAAGAACCGACCACTATGCACATTCGTCGTGATGGTCAGTATGGAATGCATCCGAGGCAGAGTGTGCAGAATCAGGGAGCCGTAGAGGCGAACGAGGAATTGGTGAAGGAATTGATCGTTTTTGTCTGAAGGAGATGTGTAATGTAGGATATGGGGTTCAGTCGAGAGGACAGTATTCGCGAGTTGAAGCGATCCAACAATGACGTGTCGATTGCGCTGAACAGACTGTTAGCTCCGATGTAGAATGGGTTGTTTGTTGCACACATTTTTCTTTGTTCGCAATGGATCGAAGTAAAGAATCTGTAAAGTTCCGTATCCCGAGATACAAGATATTCCTGTCTCTTATAATCTTCGTAATACAGGGTTTGGGCAATTCTATCCTCTAGTACACATTTTCCTATTTCTACATACTTTTCGGACCTGTCTCGCGTGTGATCGATCCCAACGTGGTTCTTCTTATCGAATGGGCAGATTTTTCTTTCATTTTGTAATTTGCAGAGCCCGGTCATCGGAGTCTTCCTATTTGGTGTCTACGCAGCGGTCACGATTCTGGGGAACGTAATTCGTCTGAAGAACTATCCGGAGGAAGCGGAGAGTTTGCTTCAAGTGCTTTTTCCCTGCTTTGTTTACGAATAGGACGTGGCTGAAGCAAAGGAGGGACTGCGCAAGAGAGGATACAAGTACGACCTTTCGTGTGTTTGTTCTCAAACATGATATTTTCTGTGTTTGCTTCCATAGTGGCTTCGGCTTCGGCTTTGGTTTTGGTTTTGGCTTCGGCTTCGGCTTTGGTTTTGGTTTTGGCTTCGGCTGCGACTTCGGCTGCGACTTCGGCTGCGACTGCGACTCTTGCTCCGATCTTTGCGACTCTTGCTCCGATCTTTGCGACTCTGGGAGGTTTCCTTCTCGTTCTTACTTTGCGATGGTTCCTTTTCACTTCGACTCTTGTCTCGACTCTTGTCCTTTTCTTCGCTCTTCTCCTCCTTTCGATTATCATTTTTGCTCTTTTCTTTCCCCTCACTTCTGCTTCTGCTCCTGCTCCTGCTTCTGCTTCTGCTTCGCTCTCTGTGCGATCGACTGGCATGTCGATGATGTCGATGATGTCGATGCTTCTCCTCCTTCCCCTCCTTCTTCTCCTTCTCCTTCCTCTCCTTCTCCTTCTCCAGCCGCTCCTTCAGCCCCTTCAAGAACTCTCCGTACCACCGCACGCGGTCCGCCTCGTCCCCGACCGCCTGCCATCGCTTCTTCCCCTTCAGCTGCGGCTCCACGTCCTCGTACGTGTACTCCAGATGCTCCGGATCGTACAGATACTCGTCCAGCAGTCCCAGGAACGCCTTCTTCACCGGCGAGTTCTCCCGCTCCGCCTCCTCGCGCTGCAGCCGCCGCTGCATCCACCGGAACGCGCAGCGCGCCACGCCGGGCTGCTTCTCCACGAGCTGCTTCCACGCGGGCAGGTACGAGAACACGCTGTGGTACTGCGGGTCGCTCCGCTTCTCCGACTGCAGCAGCGCGTCCACCGCCTCGTTCAGCGCCTCGAACGACGTCGCCGACGTCCACGCCACCAGCTTCGAGCTCTGGAACTCCAGCAGCGACTACATGAAACCCTCGCGAAACTCCCACCTTCTCCTCGAAACGCACGCGGTTGTTCACCTTGTCGATGAACTCGTTCAGGATCGGCTGCGGCGCCAGCTTCACGTCGGGGAACCGCGGTTTTTCGTCCTCGGTCATCACGGCCTCGACCTCCTCCCAGTGAAACTCCGGTCGGATTCGGTTCTCGTTGAGGAGTTTCTCCAAAACGTCGAAGAGAAACTGCCGGAACTCCTTCTGCCGCTGCTTCTGCTCCTTCTCGCGTTTGTCGCGCAGCTGGTCGAGATAGTCGTAGAACAGATCGCGCAGCGCCTTCCCCGCGATTACGCTTCCCTGGAACTTGGCCTGCACCTCGGCCTCCTTGTCGCTCCACCGCGCGGACGGCTCCAGCGCCATTCCGTCGAACACCGCGTACAGCGCGTCCAGCTCCTTCTTCCGCCGCGCCTTTTCTTCGTCCCGCGCTTTCTGCTTCACGCTCTGCAGGTAGAACCGCACCTCCGTTTCCCGCTCGCTCCGCTCCAGCCCCGTCCACCGCGCGTCCGCGCCCACCAGCTTCGCCAGGTCCTCGTACGTCGCGCGCGCGTCCGCGCCGCTCGTCTGCAGCAGCGCTCGGAATTGCTCGCGCGCCTCCGCCTTGCGCCGCTGCTTCGCCTCGCGCTGCTCCTTCAGCAGCTTGCTCGTGAACTCGCTGAACTCCTGCTTCCGCTGCCCCGCCGTCGGCAGTGCCTACCGCTCAGCAAAGCGCTCCGAAGCTACCGTGTAGCGGATGTCGCCCGTCAGCAGCGGGACCGCTTCCTTCCACGACATCGACGGATGCGTCACCACCTCGCGCAGCAGCGACTGGAACGCCGCCTTCGCCTCGCTCGGCGTCGACCACGTCGCTACCGCGGGAGACGCAGAAGGGCTCCCCGCGGGGGACGGCTGCGCCGCCGGCTCCGCGGCGGGCTGCGAGGCGGCGGACGGCGGATTGGACGACGCGGGAGCCGACGCGGCCTCGTTCGTGGAAACCGTGGAAACCGTGGAAATGGTGGCGATGAAGGGGGAATTGCTGATCGCGTGGGGAGTGAACGTGGCCGCCGGCTGCGGCGCCGCGGGGGCTAGGCGTGAGTCCCGCGGGGAATCCGCACTCTGCTGCTGGAGCCGCGCGAGCTCCGCCTTGTAGGCCTTCAGTTCCCGCGGTTCCTCCCAGACGGAGATGCCGGTGTGGATGTTGCTCCAGTAGCGTTTGCCGTCGCCGGTGCGGAATTCCTTCCAGGGACAGGGCTGTGGATCAGAGAAAAAGCAGGGAAAGCACTTGCAGCTGCCGTTCCGCATCGCTCTTTAATTCATCCGGCTTCTCGTAGGTCGTCGCGCGCGTGCGCTGGTTGTAGTAGTACTCGACGCCTTCTGCGGTTTTGAAGACGCTCCAGTCCGAAACGGCCGTCGCAGGCTTCGGACGCGATGTCTTCGAGAGAGACAGCGGGAGAATGGGCGGGGCGGCGGTCGGCGCGGCGCGGAATGCAGGGACGGACGATGTGGGAGCAGCGGAGGAAGAAGAAAGGACACGCTTGTCGATATGGCTGGGAGGAACCGGGTTCTCCTGGAATCGCTTTGCTGGAGCCCGGCTCGTCTCTTTGGACGCGCGGACAGGTTGAACGTTCGGTGTACCCATCACAGCGGATAATATATTGTTTGTTTCTGAGTTCCTGCGCAATGAAGAATAAAAAATGGAAAGGTACGTCGCCGGTCTCGGAAGCGATCCTGCTGAAGGAGCCGTTGCTTGCTGGCTCGACATATAGGACTGGCGAGCATCGCTATTTCGATTATAGGGGGATGATTCGGGGAGAGAAGACGTCTACTCGTGATTTTCTCTCCGGCTACAAAAACCGATGAGCCGTTTGCACCAGCTCCTGACGTCATCCATGCAGGCAAAACGGAAGACTTTCCTCGTCCGATCATCACAAAATTGAAACAAACTCGAAAACCGCGGTTCCAAGCGTGTACTGCAACAAACAATTGTACGTTCAAATCTATTAATCCTTCTCGCCTATCGTGAATTTCTTCTTCTCCACTTCCTTCTCTACACGTTCACTCCTTCTCCTGTCCGAACCTCCCTCCAGGATGCTTAACACCACTCGAATAGCGCCGAGATGCTCTCGACTCACCGTCGCCGCTACGCTCTTGCCGCACAAATCATTTTCAAACGTCAGTCTATGCATCACCCACAACTCTCCCTCCATTACGTGCCAACCAATTGCGTTTTTGTTTCATTAACGTTCTCTGTATTGTCGTCTTTATTTTCATGGTCTTTGGCTTCGCGTCGGAACTCGAGCATCATCTCCTTGGTTGCTTCCTCACACTCCACCACTCCGCTCTACCATCAATTCTCCTCCCAATCTGCACCGTTTCGCACTTGCACGGGAACGGAACTCCTTGTTCGGCGATCATCATCTCCCACTTCCCTGCGCGCACCACCAAGCTTCCCGCCAGCTGCTGCAGCACGGGCAGCGACTTTTTCACTACGTTCCAGCACTCCTCAGCCCCTACATCGGAACTCTTCGCGGTACTGCGCCTGCACGCTCGCTCCCTCCGCCGCCACCTCCAATACCCGCGGGAAGAACACCATCTCGGGGCCTCGCAGGGCGGCCGCGGTCCTGAGCGCTTCCTGGACGGCGGGCATCGCCGAGCTGCGTGGAAAACCGCGGTCAATCCCCACCATCCCCCGACGACGAAGATCTGCGCGCAGTCGTCGAGGCGGCAGCGCCGCGCGCGCAGCACGCTCTGGATCTCCGAGCACAGCCTGGCTGGGAGGGAATTGCCGATCCGTACTGGCCCAACGCATCGAAAGCGAGCATGGCGAGACGCGACCGCGACACCGAGAGCATGAAATCGGCGCCGTCGAAGAGCGACTCGATCGCCACCGCGCTGGTCATCGTCGACGACAGCCGCTCCTTGCACTCCGCCACCGCGCGCCGCAGCTTCCGCACCGCCTTCGCGGACTGCGCCACCTCGGGGCCCAGCTTCCGCACGGCCTCCTCTGCGTGTTATAAAAAAGAGGGGATCCCCCACGCGTGGCGAAGGCGAGGAACCGCGCGTCGAGCGCGCTGCCGACCGCGGTGGCGAGGCGGTGCGACCAGAGCGTGGAGTAGAACCCGCGGGAAACGGAGACGAGGGAGAGAATGGCGGAGTTGGCGGGAACGTCGAGGACGAGGCGAAGCCCGTCGGCGGGAGGGGCGACGAGCTCGCGCGCGAGCAGGACGGCGAGGTGGGAGGGGAGCAGAGAGGGGTTGGGAAGTTCTGAGTTGAGAGAGGCAGCAGGGAGGAGAGTACTGGCGTGGTGCAGACAGGAGAGGAGGAAGGACTGGCTGGACGCGCTGAGATCGCTGGGGACCGATACTACGGTGAGCGTGGGCTTCGAGTGCAGGGGCAGGGCGGACAATGCGTACAGCTTCTTGAAACACTCCACGAACACGCGCTCCAGAGTGACTCGCTCGGTTTTCTTCGCGAAGGGAAGGTGGAACACCGGATATCCGTTCTCCAGAGTTGTTTTCTATATACACACGATTGCCACACCCCATACGATCGATGTGTTGCAGTCAGGACTGCAGCTGCGCCCGTCCAAATAATGCAGAGGGTGGTTGATCACGTTTTCGGGGAATGAACTCGCCAGCTGACTTGCCGAGGAACCCACGATTACTTCGTTGTCGCGAAAGCATATGCTGGCGTTTAGACTAGCAGATGATCGCGGATTCCATTTCCTTACGAACGATTTCCATGCTCGTCCGATACGATAGACCGCTGTCCATTGGAATACACAAACGCCGTCCAATAGAACGAGCCGAAATCAATGCCCAAAACGGTTTCACTACTCATGGCGAAAAAAACTATAGTGTATGGGATCAAAACAAACAGGAAAGGAACCAAAGTAAAACAACAAGTAAAACGAAGTCAAGAATCCCCCTATTGTAACACGTTGCTGTTCTTGAGTCTGTTAATCTGCAGCTCGCTGTAGCCACGTCGGCGCAGCATGTCCGTCTGCCTTCTCTCCGCCTCCGACGCAAGCTGGTCACGCTCCAACTACACATGACTTCCGCAAGCCACCCTGACTTCCAGGAAAAAGGGTACTGCCGTGATGCAAAGAATGGAAGCGACCGTCCAGGTCGTGACACCGATAAAAGTACCAAACTAGCCATTACTTCCACTTTTCGACGAACCCTACCTTCCATGTATATCTCACAAATCTATTCACCGTTCTGACGTATCTCTGTACAATATCCGAGTTCAAAGCCTTGTTCACAGCGATCTTGATTTTATCCTACTCCTCACCACTCCTTCCCTTCCCCTACGCTCACGGTCTTGCCCTTAGTGTTCGCGCTCATGGCAGCAGGTACAAAGTGAGAAGCGAGAAAGAAAACCTTCCGATTTTTGGAGTTTCTCAAACAAACAAACGGACAAACCATTTTACATGAAAAAGTCAAGCGGCGGGTTCTTCGGCATCAGTCCGCGCACCGTCACGGGTGCAGCAACAAAAATCTTCGATTCCATCTCCACCCTCAATCCTACCTTAAATTCACATTGCAACGTCTCATCGACCTCCATAATCGACGCTACATTTCCACACCGATAGCAGTAGTTCGGGGCCGACCACACCGCCACCAGTTGCTTGTCAAACATATACTTGTATCCCTCCATTACCAATTGGTGCGACCTGCAGATCAAATCCAGGCCGTTCGTCGTATTGAACTACCCTCACACACTCTACACATCCCCACCTCCTTCACGCTGTCCTCTCCGAAGATAAACCCGCAGCCTCGCGAATTGGATCCCCATCCCGTCATGTTTTCCTCTGGATCGGACCACAGCAAGTCGCACATTCCGCCCTCGTGCGGTAATTCAATGAATCGGTCGATCGTGCGGATCTGATCCAACGTTTGGATCGATGGCGACAGGCCTCCGTGCACACAGAAAAAACGATCGTCCACGAGCGCAGCAAGCGCTAGGCAGTCGAACACCTCCATGCAGTTCCGCCACACGTTGATAGACCCGTATTTCCGAAGACAATCATCGTAAAAACCATACACTTGACTGATCTGGCGACTCTCATGATTGCCGCGGAGAAGAGTTATGCGGTCTGGGTAGCGGACCTTGAGGCAGAGAAGCAGCAAACACGTCTCCACGCTGTAATAGCCACGATCCACATAGTCGCCCATAAAGAGGTAGTTTATGCGGGGACAGTTCCCACCAACACTGAAAAGCTCACGGAGATCGTAGAACTGTCCGTGGATGTCGCCGCAAATCTACCTTGACAGAAGGAGAGTGGAACTACGGTAACGGGCGATTGAACCGACCGGATATTCGGTTCGTTCCGCAAAAGATCCTTTGCCTTGTCACATAGCACTTTTACTTCCAGCTCGCTGATTAATTTGCATCCTCGCAGCTATTAGTCAAAAATCCTTTTTGCAGTTTACTAATTCAATGTGACTATCCAACACCTTATTATAAGACATTTCGCCTCCTTCCAATCCTTTTCAATTTTGAATATATTTCCAATAATGGAGTCAGTAAGGAGTTCGCTAAAAATCACTCCAAGGAGATTTAACAAATGTCTTTTTAAATTAGTTTTGAAATGAATGATGTCTCCACGCGAAAAACGATTCACAACCGCCTTCTCGTTCCATCTCCAACAAACAGCATCGCTATTTTCGTAAAAACACTTCCATATTCTTCACAGAAAAGCGCTCATTGCCAGTAAACACGATATTTCCCTTTCCCGTCGGATCCACATACGACCACGGGAAGTTGATCGTGTGCGATTCGCCAAAGTGACCATCGTGGCCTCGCAGCGTCAGATCACCATGGTCGCCGAACGAAGGCCCGTAATTTCGAACATAGGCAAATGCAGTCTGGGGGAACTTCGTGGCGAACTTGGTGGGCGCGATCCCAAATGGGTTTTTGAGGGTGAACAGAAAGTGGCGATCGTCTCGGTAGACCATTCCGTTGCCTCCCCGCGTGCTGAAACCGACAGAAGTATACGCACCGAAGATGTTCCCCTTCTCATCCTCAATCACAAGCAGACACTCGCCTTTGTCATCCACAATCGTGTGGAAAGCTTCCGGAGTCAGTCCGTCCCGAGTTCCGGAATAGAGGAGATTCCACTCCGTTTTCGCATTTAGCCACTCACAAAGTATAGAATCGTAGGCGCTAGTGAGAATCTCCGAGTTTGAAAAATAAGCCGACTAAACGTATTGACACTTCCATGACAAGCCCTACTGGATTCGACTCTGACATTTTTGATGAACAGGAATCCTAGAGATAAAAATAATGAACAATCCGTACAGCCCAAGGAAAAAGTGAGGTCCGACAAACTTTGGCTCCCACTTGCTCGATTGGAGAATCTAGATGACACGGTCTTAGAGAACTCACCTGATAGTTTATTTACACGTTTCATCTCCATGAGCGAGAGAACGAAAACAGAAACGCACACGATGATTGCGATCAGCGGAACGACTTTGTAATACCCAGCCGCTTTCATCTGCACAATATTTTGTCACAACAAACAATCACGAAATAAGTTATGATACATTGTCTTCGATCGTTTCCAGTGGGTGAAGAAAGCAATCCACGAAGAGCGGAGATTCCGCATCATCGTTCAGCAAGTGCTGCATACACACGATGCCGCGCGCGTTCACGCGGATAAACGTTTTCATGGAGTTAGCCAGCGCCTTTCCGCAGCGAAGAAACAAGACGCGGTTATACATCCAACTCTTCTCGGCTTTGCAGGAGAACTCGGACAGAACGGAAGAAACGTTGTCCAGAAAGCCGTCGAAGCTGGAATTCATGCGAACCACAGCAAACGCTCACACCAAATAGGGATCGCTGCACGACACACACAATCCGCCTTCCGGATGGAAGGCAAATTCCACGTCCGATGCGCTCTTCATGTTCTCGATATCGGTGAGAGCGCATCGGAGAGCGGTCGGCTTCACGATAGCGCCCATCATCGTATCCTCTTCCGAAAACAAGGGACCGTAGTCGATGATTTCGTCGATCGACGCCAGCGTCCGAATGAGACATTCGCTGTGCATCCTAGATTCAAGGAAAAAGGCGGGAGTACTCGTTCTCGTCCAAAATCAATTTTATCGACTTCTCGTCGGAGGAGTACGTCATCTGCAGTGTGGTCGTGAGGAGTTTGCTGTTTCCAAAGATGGAGACACACTTGGCGAACGGCTCGAGGTTGCAAGTGACGGAATCTGTCTGTCCCTCCATCGAGTATTCGTCAAAGAGGGAAGCGGCCACATGACTCGAAGTTTGAAATGCCTTGGTCTTATCGGTGACATGGAATGTGATCCCCGTATCGCTGAAGTCGATCCGCACTTGCTCCGACTTGTCGTTTCCCGCTCTACGCATCATCCCTCAGCGCGGAAGCTACAGTACATTCAGCACCGTAATCAGCATCTGCGCCGAGAGTAGCTTACACTTCATAACGGATTGCGCACCTTCCGAGCTCATGGCAACAAAAAACTCGCTTTCCAACAAACAAGTCAGTTCAAACCGGATTCCACACTAGCAAGCAGACGCTTCTTGTCCGGTCCCACGCTTTCCAAGACATTCTTAAATCTTGGGCTTCATGATGGTGTCCATGTTGTTCACAAGGTTCGGAAGTCGCACCCTGTCCCAATCGATCTTTCGCATGTAGTCAATCACCTTGTCCAATCCCTGGTCGAGCTGAACCTTCGGTTCCCATCCGAGTTCCTCCTCTACGATTACCGCGATTATCCGCCCCTACTGGCTCGCGTGATGTCCGGCCTTCGCTTGCACGGATCATCCTTCGGCAGCGACATGTACACGATGCGACTCTTGCTCCCGGTCTTCGCCACGACCTTCTCCGCCAGCTCCTTCACCGTGAATTCCACGGGATTCCCGAGGTTAAACGGCCCGGTAATGCCGTCCTTCTCCATCATCAGGATCATTCCCTACGCATAACCGCGGTTCTCCACATTCACGTCAATGAGATCATCGATGTACTGGAAGCTGCGCGTCTGGCTGCCATCGCCGTAGATGGTGATGTCCTCGCCGCGCAGCGCCTGGCGGATGAAGTTGGTGACCACGCGGCCGTCGTAGGGGTGCATGAACGGTCCGTACGTGTTGAAGATGCGGATCACGCGGATGTCCAGATTGTACATGCGGTAGTAGTCGAACATGATCGACTCCGCAGCACGCTTGCCCTCGTCGTAGCACGAGCGAGGACCGATCGGGTTCACGTTTCCGTGGTAGTCCTCTGCATGATTAGAATTCAGAAGAAACGCGCACCTCGCTGAGGATGGACGGACGGATCACCGTAAACCTCGCTGGTACTCGCGTGAAGCAGGCGGCAGCCCGTGTCACGCGCCAGCTGAAGCAGATTCATGATGCCCAACACAGAGCACTCGAACGTCTTGATCGGGTATGTCTAGCCATCGAGCAAGAGGAGAAGTGCGACCTGGTAGTGAATAGGAGCAGCAGGGCACGCAAGATTGTAGATCTCGTCCACTTCGAGAAAAATAGGCTGACGAATGTCGTGAAGAATGAAATCGAAGTTGGACTAGCGTTAATCAGCGCAAATGATCCTGCCTTGTTCATCAAATGACGGATGTTATCCTTCGAGCCCGTCAACAGGTTATCAACGCAGATTACATCATGACCCTACGAGATCGAACCACAAGAACGAAAGAAACCATTTCCACTAGGCGAGTGCAAAGATGGCAGCCAATGAAGCCTGCACCGCCGCACACCATAATTCTCTTCTTCCCTGAAATAACCTTATGCTGGACACTATCCACAGGAGACACACTCATCTTTTTTTCTCCTTCTGTAAGTTAACGGAGTTTCACTGGTTTACACAAATTTGAGGAACAAACACCCAAATAGATTAGCTCTTTATGTACTGAATGATCAGGAAGATCAGAATGATTAGAAGCAGCAAGATCGTGCTGTAGTACTTGCACATCCCCGAATTCTTCGCCACCTTCTTCGTTCGAATGCTCTCCTGCGCCATTCGGTTCTGCGCGTTGTCTGTATTGCTCTCCATCTCGTCCAGCAACTTCTACCCCTCACGCCCCCATGCCTCGCTCACCGTCTGAATATCCACTTCGTTGCCGATTGCCGATCCGATATCGTGCAAGCGACCCAGCGTATCACTGATATCTTCCAAAGCCTGCTCCTGGACTACAACATGGTAACATGTCTCCAAAACGCACCGGCAAACACTTGTTCCTGCATATTGTGCAGATCCGTGTCCGTCTGCTTCGTCAGGTTCTCGGCATCGTAGTTCACATGCGAAATTAGCTGGTTCCTGCACTTTTAAGCTACAATTTTTAAAAATAAAGTACTTGGCTTGGAGATTTCCTCCATTCTTCACAAAGGTGTTGTCGCAGTTCGTCTACCATCAACTTTGAGACGACTGCTTCCTACCTTCTCACGCTTCAAACCTTCGATCATATTCTGTCGTCGCTTCACTTCCCGATCGTTCCTGCACCATTACAACACCCATCCACAACAGAGTACAGCTTATATTTGGCACTCTCACCGGCCATTGTGTCCAAGTCATTCTGCATCTTGTTAATGTTGTTCGCTATAATGTTGAGCATCGCCTGCACTCGCGAGAACTAGGACTGAAGGAACGTCACCGAAAACTACGTCTTTCACAGCTCCGCGAAGATCCAGTGCTCCTCGCACCTTCTACCAATAGAACAGAAATGCAACCCCTACGCTGATCAGCTCCAACGTCTTGTTGTATACTGAGTCCCACTCTGCAACACTAGGCATATTGGAAAGGATTCAAAACAGTGTTTAGAAAGTGTAAGAAACACGGGAAAACCGGTTATTCAAGAAAAAAAGGGGGCAGAAAAAATGTGAAGCAGAATAAAAAGGGATTTCTTTAGCTAGTGCACCCAATGAGCAGAAAAGGGACGAAAGGTTGGAATATATCGAAAGGACAAATGAAAACAACGAAAGGATGCAACATGGGTTCGAAAGGTGTTTGCCTATTCAAACAAACGCTGCGAATTGATTAAGACGTACAGTTTACGAATTGCACAACAGGCTTCAACCCCTTCTTTTATAAAACCCAAAACCCGATCATTTTGAAAAAAACGAGTTTGGTTCCTAAAACTCTCTTTGCCTTTGACTTCTGGCCGAACCTTGTGCAAAATCGATGGAAGAAGATACTCAGCAGTACATTGAAAAGAGAGAGGAAGCAATTACTAAATTAACCAAGTCCATTGCCGAAAACCTCGTTGGCTTTGACGCTCTGATCGATGGCCCCTTCGAATCTCACAGACAGACGTACGTTGACTACGCTGCGTCTGGAAAAGCCGTCAAGTTTATCGAAGATTACATTGCGAACGAAGTGCTCCCCGTGTACTCGAACACGCACACGTCCTCCTCTTTTACGGGCATCCAAACCAGTTGTTTCCGGGAAGAGGCGCGCGGCATCATTCGCGATACGGTTGCGCTGATTTGGTGAATTTACGGATAGTACCGATGCACGGACAGCGACGTGATTCTGTTTGCCGGGAATGGCTGTACGGGTGCGGTGAACACCTTCGTTCGCATTTTGGGCATCGAGCGAAAGCAATCTGCCTACGGCACCTCCACCCCTGTAATCTGCTCGCCCCTCCTCCTCACATTTCTAGCTGCTCCCGTGCAAGTTCCCCGGTTGTCCGCTCTGCTTTAATGATCCTGGTGATCTCCGCTTGCACCAGCGAACGCACACGGACGGCGACGCCAGCTCCTGGACGACGGACGTGAGCACCTCGACGGGGCGCCAGGTGCATCCGGTCAGCGATGATTCGAATCGTCCGATCATCTTCATCGGTCCGTTCGAGCATCACAGCAACATCCTCCCCTGGCGCGAGGCCGACGTGGACTTCGTGCAGCTGGGCGTGAACGCCGAAGGCGGGCTCGATCTGAGCGAGCTGCGCGCGCTGCTTCGCCGGTTCAAATCGCGGTGCGTCGCTCTTTTTCTCTCTGACCGGCAGCCCTCTGCGCCTCGTCTCGCTGTCTCACGTCAGCAATGTGACCGGCCTCGTGACGGAGATGTCTCCGGTGAACCAGCTCGTGCATGAGGAGGGCGCATTGATCTGCTGGGACTGCGCGACCGCGTGCGCCCACGAAGCCCCCGCGATGAACAACACGTCCGTGAATCCCCGCGACTACTGCGACGCGCTGTTCTTCTCTCCGCACAAAATGGTGGGCGGCGTCGGCTGTCCCGGGCTCCTCATCCTCAAAAAGAAACTCCTCGTGAACGAAACGCCCAACCTCCCCGGCGGCGGGACGATCTTCTTCGTGGACGCGTCGACGCACCGGTAGGGCCGAGCGGCGGGGCTGATCTGCAGGTACACGCAGGTGCTGACGGAGCGGGAAGAGGGCGGGACGCCGAACATCGTGGGCGCGATCCGATTGGGCCTCGTGCTCCACATGCACGTGCGTTTTATTCTTTCGGAGGCTGACGCGTAGAACCAGCTCGGATGGGCCTGGATTCGCCAGCGCGAGCAGGCCTATTACGAAGACACGCTGCGCGTTTTCCGCGCGCATCCGAACATCGTGGTGCTCGGCGACGACAACGACCAGCCCAAGTCCCCCGTGATTTCCTTCCTCGTCAAGTTCCACGGGTACACACTGTCGAAACCGTGGGATCCCACGTAGCCGCTACCTGCACTGGAACTTCGTGAGCATGCTCCTCAGCGATCTCTTCGGCATCCAGACGCGTTCCGGCTGCGTCTGCGCGGGTCCGTACTCCATGCAGTAAGCTCGGCAATGCCCGGTTCCCCGCAGATTGCTCGGCATCGACCCCGCCAAGGCGCGCATTCTCGACCAAATCCTTCTCGACAAGAACGAGATCTTCCGTCCCGGATACACCCGTCTGAGTAGGCTCGGCATTGCCCTCCCACGCAGGCCTTTCCTACGTGCTCACCCCCGAGGAAGTCCAGTTCGTGCAGGACGCCGTGGTGTTCGTCAGCGAATTCGGCTGGGAGTTTCTCCCCGAGTACGTGTTCTACGAGGACACGGCGGAGTGGCGGCATCGCTCCATCAAGAACAAGAAGCCCTTCCGCCGCTGGCTCAACGACGTGTCCTTCCTCGACGGCGCGCTGCGCTACGAGCCCAAGGCGAAGCAGGTTCCCGGGCTCACCACCGATCGCTCCTCGCTGCAGCCGCTCTTCGACGCCACCTTCCAGCAAGCCCGCGCGCAGCTGGGCAAAGCCGAGGCCGCCATCCGCGCGCCCAACTACGTGGTCAGCGAGTACAAGGCCGGCAACGTCAAGAACGCGCAGTCCGCGCTCGTCGAGACCTACCGCTGGTACGTCACGCCTATCGAGGCCTACAACGACGTGCGCAGAGGGTACCGCCCCGCGGGGGACGAGGCCGTGCTCCCGCAGATCTTGATCCACGTGCGACCGCGCGGACAAACCGGGGAAACCGGGGAAACCGGGAACCCAACGGAGACACCGGAGGAAGAATCGGAGAACCAAACGGAGAACCAAACGGAGAACCAAACGGAGAACCAAACGGAGAACCAAACGGAGAAATCATCGGAGAACCAAAAGGAGAACCCATCGGAGAAACCGTCGAACCCATCGGAGAGCGCGGAGTCTCTGAAACGCCCGTCTGCGGCGTCGACGAAATTCGCGGTGAAGTTGGGCGCGAAGAAGGCGCGCGCGGCGAGCTGCGCGGCGAGCTGCGCGGTGAGCGCGAGCGGTCGGGAGATCGTTCCGCTGTCGGTGGTGGCGATGGTGCAGGAGCCCGGCGTGGAGTTCCGCTACCGCACCGGCGTGGACGGGTCGCTGGAGTTCACCGCGGTAGTGCCGGGAATGGAGTTCGCGGAGCGCGTGCGGTACATGAAGGCGCACAAGGAGCTGTTCCCCGCGGTTCCGAGCCGGCTGATGAAGCTGCTGGGGCAGGCGATCGGGCACTTCGAGATGCTGAAGGAGGGCGACCGCGTGATGCTGGGGCTGAGCGGCGGGAAGGACAGTCTGACGATGCTGCACTGCCTGCTGCAGCTGCAGCGACGGTCGCCGACCAAGTTCGAGCTGGCCTGCGTGACGGTGGACCCGCAGACCACGGGGTTCGATCCGAGGTGAGCGAAGCGGGCGGGAGTGAGGCGTAGTCCGCTGCGCGATTACTGCAAGGCGCTGGGAGTGAAGTACTTCTACGAGTCCCGCGCGGTGATCGCGCTGGCGAAGAAGAAGCTGAAGAACGGGTCGATCTGCAGCTGGTGCAGCCGCATGAAGCGCGGAATCCTCTACAGCACCATGCGCAGAGAGAAGTACAACGTGCTGGTACCCGCGGGGGAGCCGCGTGAGGCGTAGGTGCTGGCGCAGCATCTGGACGACCTGGCGGAGTCGTTCTTGATGTCGGTGTTCCACAACGGCGTGCTGCGCACCATGAAGGCCTGCTATCTGAACAAAGAGGAGGACATCCGCGTGATTCGGCCCTTCGTCTACGTGCGCGAGAAGCAGCTGCGCGAGTTCGCCAAGTCGATGAATTTGCCCATCATCGATGAGAATTGCCCGGCGTGCTTTGAGGGGTCCGGATCGCGGTGGAGGCTGAGAGATAGGCCCAAGGAACGCTACCGAATGAAGACGCTGCTCGCCGCCGAGGAGAATCTGTTCCCCAACGTGTTCAACTGCATTTTATCCGCGATTATCCCGCTGATGCGGCACAAAAGCGCGATTGGCTGCGCCATGGAGTCGGTTTTTGGGGAAGGAGGTGATGGGTAGGCGAATGACCCCGCGGGAAATGCGCGGCCAGCTGCACACGATGCTGAAGGAGCATGGAATGCAGCCGGGAACGAAGATGGATTTGGAGGACGGCGATGGCGATGCTGTGGATGCTGTGGACGACGTGGACGACGAGGATGAGGGCTATGAGACGTTTGAATGAGCGGATTTTGTTGTTTAGCGTGTGTTTGGCAAGAAAACAGAAGCGAAATCGAATGGAATCCGATGGAAAACAAACAAACAAACAAACAAACAATCAATCAATCACACGGAGAAAAGGGAAAAGAGAAACAGAGAAACAGAGAAACAGAGAAACAGGGAAACACTCACAGCAGCCCGCCCAGCAGCTGCCGCCTCGCCATCATCCGCTTGAACAGCAGCGCGTTCTGCACGTTTTCCGCGGGGAGCTGCGCCTTTTCGCGGTCCTTCGCCGCCTCCGCTTGCCGCAGCATTTCTTCGTGGATTCGGTTCCGCGGCTTCACTTCCGCGGTTTTCTCGAACGGCCGCGCGTAGAGCGCCTCCCACCCCTCCAGATCCGCGGTTTCTTCCCCTTTTCTCCGTTTCCCCGGGGGAGCGAACGGTTTCCGCAGCGCCGGGCTGCACGGCAGAATCCCGCGGGAATCCGAAACCTCCTCCTCCCCGCGGGAATCCGCGGCTTCTTCGCGTTCCCGCGCGAGGGCGTTTCGTTTCGGCGGGGGCTGCACGTGACTCCACTCCCTCAATTCCCACGGGAATCGGCTTCGCCTGGGCGGCCATTCGATAGAACTCGACGACTCTGGAGATAACCGCGGTTCAGGTCGCTACTTTTTATTGACGCGGACGCCGCGCAGCGCGAAGTTTCGGAGTTTCATGCGGTCGGCGGCAACCCCGCGGGAAAGCGCGACATAAGTCATGCCCGCCTCGAAAACCCCGCGGAGATCGACGTCCAATAGATCGATCGTCATGCCCTGCGACTTGTGGATCGAGATGCCCCACGCCTACTCACCAGTCCCGCGGGAATCCTACCAGTTTCAGCGGCAGCTGGAGGCGCTGCGCCACTTTCTTCTCGCCGAGTTCGATCGAAAACTCGCGCTCCCCGATCGCCCGCACGATCTCACCGTTCCCCGTGAAAAAACGAACCACGGGGATGCGCCGCGACCGCTACACTCCAGGTTCCACGTTTCCACCCTACCGCATGCACAGACCGCCGCCGAACCCCCGTTTCTCCGTTTGTTTCTCCGTTTGTTTCTCCGTTTGTTTCTCCGTTTGTTTCTCCGTTTGTTTCTCTATTGGTTTCTCCATTCGTTTCCCCATTGGTTTCCCCATTGGTTTCTCCATTCATTTCCCCATTCATTTCGCCGTCGTCTTCCCCGGTTTCCACGAAGGCTTCCACGACGCCTCGGCTTCCGTTCACGAGTCCGGTTTCCACGTCCAGGTTTTTCAGCAGCATCACCTGCGCGCCCGGCTTCAGCACCAGAACCGCGGGGGCCTGGCAGTTCTTCTGCAGCTGCCGCAAGTAGAGGTCCACGCCCTCGTCGCGCGCGCGGAACTCGACGGCGTCGGCGGCGGGCAGCTGCGCCAGCGCCTCGGCGTTGTACGCGTCCACCGCGTCGTTGAACGCGAACAGTTTCGTCGGAAGAACCGCTCCCCGCGGGAGAGAGCAGCGCTCCATGCGCTGCAGCAGCGAGCGAGACGACGCGGACACGTGGCCCTGTGCATCAGAGAATCGTGGAAACGTGGAAACGTAGCGGATGTCGCGAAGAAGGGCCTGGAGCGCGGAGTCTTTCTGTCGAAACACGCGGTGCATGACGATGCTTTTCTGCGCTTGATTTGCTTCTTCTCTTCGTCTACCTGGATCACTGCGTTCCAGCTCGCGCTCTCGAAGCAGTAGATCACGCCGTTCTTCCCCAGCCCCACCGGCGGCAGCTGGAAGAAATCCCCGCTCACGATCACTTGGATGCCCCCGAAACAGCGGTCGTCCCCGCGGATACGACGCGAAACTGCCTCCAGTTTGTCGAAGAGACGGCCGTCCAGCATGGAGATCTCTGGATTAGGAGGGGGAAACGGGGAAACCGTCGATGATGAGCACTTCGCAGTTCTGCCAGCGTTCTTTGGCTTTTTTGTTTTGGAGGATGCGCCGAACGCATTTGTTCACGTTGTCGTCGCCGATGCCGATGCCGGCGAAGGAATGAAGGGTGGTGCCGCCGATGTTGCACGCAGCGATTCCGGTGGAGGCGGTCACAAAGACTTTGTCCGCTCCGTAGCGAGAACGGAGTTCCGTTACGATCAACCGCAACACATAACTCTTTCCCGTTCCCGCGTCTCCGGTAAAGAATATATTCTAGAATGGTGAATCGAATGCAGCTAGCACATAGCCATCAATTGCGGAATTGTAAACATCGAGTTGTTCTTCTGAAAGGGATGCGAGCGGATTGTTTGGATCGATGGCAGCTTCCTTCTTCCGCTCTTCCAAAAGACTTTGCTCCTCAATTCGGTCAACTTCATCTCTACGCAAATCAAATTCGTATTCGGTTGCTACAGGATGTTCTGAGACATATCTCCAAACAAATCCTCGTCATCAAACACCGATGTGGAAGAATTCAAGGTAGGTGCATTCATCTACACGCTCAGCAAAACTACACTCGCCGTACTCAACCAAATCAATGCGTCTAAAATCAATGCAATTCTGAAAATTGAATTTTGGCGGGAAAGGGAGTTTCAGATTGACCAAACAACAAAAACAACGAAAACAACGAAATGTAGGGATGGAAAGAGGAGATTATTTTAATAATTTCTATGGTGATGAAAAAACACGGGAGAGAGGGTATATGCACAACAAACACTTCATTCGAAACAGCAGTAACCATATATAATAACAAAACAAGGAATTCAAAAACGAAAAGCCATCTTTTCACTTCTTCGGACTCTACACCTTAATCTCTTGAAACAAACACCACAGCCGTAGAACGAAGCTGCGACACCAGCGATTTCTGTCCGCTCAGCGGTCTTTCCTGACTCGTTCCCACCTTCTTCACAGGCGAACTGAACCTCTCCGTCTGCCGGTCCGGAGCGTCTCGCCTACCTCTCATCTCCTCTCTCCAACCTCACTTGATTCGCTGCTCCGCCGCGCTAATCCGCTCCTCCAGCGACATCTCCTCCCGCTGATTCCTCCCCGCATTCTCCGTCCTCTGCACGGGAGGTTCGGTCATCATCTCCATCATGGCTTCAATTCGCTCCACCAACGCGCTGACGCCAGCCATCTGCGCGAGCTGTCCCGCCTTCTTCAACGCCGAAAGCGAGTGCAACGATGCGCAGAGATGCTCGGCTCGCCCAAGCTGGTTGCTTCCAATCTCCAAATTCAATTGGCGCAGTAACATCTTGTCGAACTCCTGCAATGCGCGCTTCTGATCGAACTCCCAATCAGGGTCACGTGTCTGCTACCAATAAACGACTCCGTTCAAAAAAACCGCGGCTAACTCGTAGGATTGCAGGAGAAAATCGTTTTCGAACGCAAAATCGCCGCTTTCTCGCCCCTACAATCGATCCAGAACCGCGAGAATACGCATAGCGGGAGCTGGACGTCGAGAACCGTGAGGAAGGGGCGAGGCATGGTGGGCGGGGAAGTGACAGTGGCGGGAAGAATGACGCCTTTCACGGTTTTGAGGGACAAAGCGATGATCCAGAAGAACGGCTCTAGAATGCAATGGAATTCGATGGAATACGCGCATCGACCATGCTCTGCTTCTCTTTCATCGCACGTCGAAGACTCATCAGAAGCACCCACTCCATCTGCGAGTATTCCAAACCCGATCGCTGCGCCGCCAGCCCGCTCAGAACGCGAAGATGCTGATGACTGTCGCACGTCGCCACCAATCCTTCCCGCGAAAACCCGATCCAGCGAAGCGAGGACCGCGGGGACAGCGGAACCGGGCCTTCGAACACTCGTCGGAACGGCGACGTGTGATACAGCCGCATTTTCAGATTGTGGGACCCTGCGATTCAACCCAAAATCCATTTTTAAAAACCATTGATCGGAAGCGAATCTTCGAAAACGAGCGCCAATCGCTCCGCATCGCCCACCATCGTCACCACGCGATTGCACGGCGTCAGCACGCTCTTCTGCAGTCCGCACACGCTCCATGATCGCAAGAGCCCGCGGGACGAATACACGAACGCCATCGAATCCGTGCACGCCACCAAATCCGGCAGCTCGTCGCCCGGCAAATCGGCGCGCCACGAAGAACGACCCGACCACGCGTTGAACGCGCGATACACCACAAAACCCGACACTTTCCCGTTCTCCTCCTCGATCACCCCGCCCAAAATCGCTCCCGCGGGACTCAGTGAGGCCACGACGATGTCGCCAGTCTCGCTGAAGAGAAGTCGCTTGCGATGGCGGTCGGTGAATTCGATTTCGATCGATGAAACGCCCTCGGCGAAGCGTTTGATAATGAGACCGACTTCATTCCACGCCAGAAAGCAGCGATCCTGCACCATTTCCGACGCACAACTCATAAACATATCGTGGAGTTTCAAAGAACGATCCGGCTCGAAAAACGGATCTGCTACGGGCGTTTCATCGGCGAGAATTCCGAAGTCTTCGACTTCTTTGACGGGGTCCAGCGGCGATTCGCGGCGAAGTTTTCGAACCACGATGCGCTCTTCTTCGTCTTCGCTTTCTGCCGCCAAAACGGTTTTTGCCGCCTTTTCGCTTTCAAACAAATCGGCATCCATCGATTCGTTCTTCGAATTCTCCTTTCCATCGGAAACTGTCGATGATGCAGCCGCTTTACCAGCGGAAGAATTCATAGAATTCACAGAATTCGAAGAAGGAGCCGGAATGGGAGCGATGGATTCGGTGCCAGAACGCAGCGAGGAGGGAATGAACTGAACGAATTTGGTGAGTCGGACCTCCTTATCGAGCAGCAGAAGCGAGCGACCATCTAGTGAGCATTCAAAAACGCATCGTACCCTCGCTCCAACGCAGAGAATTGAACTCGTCCGCGTCCAGATCGACGTGCTTCAGCTCCTGCGATGCGTTTGTGTCGATGACGCCGAGCTACTCATCAAACGGAAGGCGTTTTCGATACAGCATAGGCGGAATGTTCGCCCAAACACACATAGGCGACGTACAGTCCGTTCGGAGACACGGAAACCAATTCGATTGGGGAAGAAAAGGGAGTGGAAAACGAGCGCAGAGAATCCCAGGAATCGCGCTACAATGTAATAAAAAACAAATGAATCCAACGCGAACCAAATCGATTTTGCTGTTGAACGGAACCGCCAAAACGTCCCCAGAGTCGCTCCACGAACAAGACAGCTTGGAAGAATAGTCTCGGTTGATGTAGGGCTTGATTGACACGCATTTGGAGGTTTCCATATTCCAAATTCGCAAGGTGCCGTCGCAGCCAATACTGCTCAGATACTTATCTTTCGGATCGAAGGTGACGAAGTCCACAGCTCCTTGGTGGCCCGCTAGAGAAGTCACAACTTCGCGTTTTTCAAGCGCAATGATATCGATTCGACTGTCATTGGTAGCGACCGCTCTATTTCAGAAAACGAATGCAATCGGATTACAGATATTTCGAGTCGTGACTTACTGACAGACATTTAATGGGTTGCGTCATTTTTCCTACCACATCGACAAATTCAAAAGAATCGAGCTTGTAGGATCGAATCACGTTGTCGGAACATCCGACATAGCATCGCTTCAGAGATGAGCTTGAAGCGCAACACAGAGGTTCAAAAGTGAGATCGAGCACTTCTTTACTCTCAATTCCATTTCCGATAAATGCGTGTTTCACAACCTACACCCTTACGCCTAACAAAACTCCTTTACTCGAGCATCTCCTCCGATTGTGAAAATTGCATTGGATTCTGTGGCCATGCAAATGCCACACGTTCCCTGTGAATGAATCTGTTGAGATTGCACTTCCATTCAAATTCAATACTCTCTCCCAATTTTGGAGGCAAATGTGAAAATTGGCGGCATTCCCGTCAAAGCTATTTTTCTTTTTTTTACGAAGGAAACATCGAATATTAGTATGCTCAATTTCATATATATTTAAAAAAACAAGCAAAGATCAAAGCTATAAATACATAAAATACACTAAAAGGCCAAGCTCTCATCACTACAAGAAGTACGTCTCCCCCGCATTTTTCACACTCCTTCGCTTTCTACATCGGATTCCCCTCCTTCCCCTACTCTTTCTGAAGTTCGTCTATGCGTTGGAGCAAATCGCGATTCAACTCCACGATTCGATCGAATTCTTTTTTCTGTTGATCAAAAACCGAAACGCACTTCGCCAACCGCGCATCCCGTTCGTTCAGCAATTTCTGCACTACACATCGTCCTCCTTTCCATTCCCCACATTCCTCCACTTTTCCCGCGGTTTCTTCCTTCCCTTTCGCCGCTTTGGCCAAAATCTCCAGCTTTTTCCCCATCTCCTCCACGCAAGATTCCCGCGACAAACCCTCCGACACTTCTCCCTCCATCTTCATTCCCTCCATTCCCGCGGTTACGCGTTCCTACCTCGCATTTCCCCGTTTCCCCTACAAATTCCCCGCGGAAAGCCGCATACAACACATCCCACGAATTTTCTTCCTTCCCGCGGTTCTCCTCCCCGCGGTTCTCCTCCCACTCGCGCAGACTGCTGGTGTGTGTATGTTGGAGTGCATGTCGGACCGTCGTCTGCATGCGATGAAGCTGTTTCAGCGGTTTCGGAGCAGCTTCGGCGCCTTCGATAACCGCGAATAACTCTGCGATTTCTGATTGGATCAGCGCGAGATAGGGCGCCTCGAGCACGGAGCGCTGCGGATCGGATTGGCGGCGCACGGCGGCGCGGCACCACGCGTCGATGCGTCGACAATCGCGGGGAATATCGTCGGAAAGCGGGGAATTGAAAAGAAGCGTGGTGAGGCGGGAGAGCCAGAGATGCAGCTGGTCGAGCTGGTCGTGGAGCGCGGCGTAGGATTCTTCCTCTTCGGAGAGTTCGGCGACGGCAGGCAGAGGAAGCGAGGAGGAATACGACAGAGAAAGATGATCGGAGGTCACTGCATCGAGCTGCTTGCGAAGCTCGGCGATTACGGCTTCCTAAGAATTAGAATCCATTTAAAAAGGCAAGGGAATTACGCTGTTTTGCTGAGCGTGGATGGCGAAATCGAGCTGGGTTTCAAGAGTGGAGACGGTTTGAAGTCGGCTTTTCATTCGCTGGATTTCTTGGTCCGAATCTTCGCGTTCCTCCTATTTCTCAGAGACAAATAATGAGGAGTACGCGAAGCTGCTGCATTAGCACCTGCGCTTCATCCAACATTTCGTTCTGACTGTCTATAATTTGTTGCTGTTCTGCAACTCGTTCCTGAAGATTCGTGTAATCACTCAATAGTTTTTCATCCGATACACTACTCTTCATCTTGTACCGACAATTTTACAATCCGTTGCCAGCATTTCGCAACGACTTTTCCAAAAGCTCGTTTCGCACCTTCAAATCGGCAATTTCCCGATACAGCTGTTTCATGACTGTGTCCTACATTCCAGATTTTAAATAGACTCTTACAGAAGCCGGATCAGCATCAGTGAGCGGTTCCGTCGTTGGTTTGGGCAACTGGGAAACGTCAAGTCTGCTCAGGACAGATAGATTCATAGTATCAGTCGTGTGATATCTGTTCAAAAATCTCTCTGTTTTTCCCAATTCCAAAAAACGATTTCCTGTCCCCTTCAAAAAACTTTTGAGTTTTATTGGTTTTACTCGTCAGGCTTGCTTATCGAGTATTCCTTCGATCTTGCACAACGAAATGATTTCTTCTATATCGAAATTGGTACGATTCCAAAACCTTTCACGAGTGGCGGTGAAAGCGATTTCCTGCCATACTGCGGTGTCGTCAATTCACGGTATTTGCGATTCGCTAACACCTTATAGATTAGCTCCTCTTCGTCGTTTTTCTTCCACGGCTCAACCCAGAGTCTCTCTTTCTTCTGGCAATGAAGGCGATTTTGTGTTTGCCCAGACCGCTTACAAATTCGACGTTTTCTGTTTCGTGTTGGCTTGACGCCTAGGAAACCATTGCGTCCTTCAATGGTCCGGTGAACCACTACGACTCGCTCGTCAAGCGAGGTCTCATAATCGACGATCCGTACCAAGTACCCCTCAATCCTTTATTTTCATGGCAGAGAGAAGTCGTTAAGATCCTCCAGGGCATCTACAACAACCTTCTCTCCTACTACTCCAACCCCGCCAATCTCGCTTCTCCGTCCTCCACTCCCGCCCCCGCCCCCGCCAAAAAGTCCTCCGCCTGGAGCTGGTTCAAACGCGCGTCCTCCTCCGCGCCCCCCGCCACCGCCCTCAGCGCGGTGGAAGAGGTCAAGAACACGGGCACCAACTACGCATTCACGTCCAGTCCCGCGGTTTCCGCCCCCCTCCAAACCTTCGCGGCCCCCAAGGGACTGTATCTCTGGGGCGGCCCCGGCTGCGGGAAGACCTACCTAATGGATCTGCTGTACAACTCGCTGCAGACGGAGACCATCCGCAAGGCCCGCGTCGACTTCCACTCGTTCATGCTCGAAATCCACATGAAACTCCACCAGTTCCGGCAGAAATACGGTCGATTTTTGGAATGATGTTGATGGCAGGCGCGCGCAGCGATCCGCTGCCCGACATCGCGCGGAGCATCGCCGAGCGGACGAACGTGCTGTTCTTCGACGAGTTCCAGGTCACCGACGTCGCCGATGCCATGATGATGAAACGCCTCTTCTCGAGCTTGTTCTCCAATAACGTCACCGTCATCTCCACGTCCAATCGGTAGCGCTTTCCGCGGGGATCGAACGTAGCGAGCCGGATGATCTGTATCGCGATGGTGTGCAGCGCGACCGTTTCATCCCGTTTATTTATTTGCTGAAGGCGGTAGGCGTTTCGGGGACCGGATAACCGCGAGCAATGCCCGGTGCTGCATCTGAATAGCGGGAAAGACTATCGTTTTGGCGGTCGAAAAGATTCGCGGACGTATTTCTACCCGTTAACCGCGGAAAACGAAAAGTCCGTCAACGCCATGTTCGACTTTGTCGCGGGAACCACCTCCTACAAAAGTGGAAACGTGGAAGTGGTGCAGGGGCGGCAGATCTACGTGGGGAAGTACGCGAAGTAGGGATTCCCGCGGGGATCGAGGGTAGCGGGGTGTGCGAGTTCGACTTCGCGGAGCTGTGCAAGAAACCGACGGGCGCGAGCGACTACATCAGTCTGTGTAGGTGGAAACGTGGAAACTGGAGGGTAGGCAGCCAGTTCCACACGATGGTGCTGAAGAACATCCCGGTGTTCACGATGGACTCGCTGACGGAGCTGCGGCGCTTCATCACGCTGGTGGACGAGCTGTATCAGTACAAAGTGAAGCTGATTTGCACCACGGAGGCGCCGCTGGTGAAGCTGTTCCAGCTGAATCGAGAGTCGGCGTTGGACGAGGTGTTCGCGTGCGATCGGACGCTGTCGCGATTGGAGGAGATGCAGAGCAATCATTATCTGCAGACGCTGCATTTCTTGCAGAAGCCGAAGCTGGAGACGGTGTGAGGAAGGGTGTGTGTTTGGGATTGTTGTTTGATGTGTTATTTTTGGATTGTTTGTTGGAGGAAAGAGACCATGAAATGAATTGAAATGAATTGAAATGAATGGAGTGGAGTTACAGAGAGCATGGACTCGCAATAGAAAAAAGGAAAAGAGCAAAAGAAAGAGTTCGTCGGAATGCCAAGCGAAAGCAAAAGTCGAAAAGACCCAACCCATTCATTCATTCATTCATTCATTCATTCATTTATTCATTCATTCACTCACTCGCTGACTCATTCATCGTCCAGAATGCGGCGGATTTCTTCGTCGCTGGCCGACAGCGCGTCCTCGCTGTCCACTTCGTAGCGCGGCTCTCTTCGCCCTCCCTTCGCCTCTTCCTCCCACCAATCTTCGTTCTCCTCCTCGTCCTCCTGTTGAAACAAACGTCGCACCGGTCCTTCCTGCTTCCAATCCGATCCTTTAAACCCCGAGAGCGAGGCGCTCAGCGAAGCCACCGGCGTTAAAAGCAGCGAACTCACAGCAGACTTCACGGCCGATTTCACGGCCGATTTCGCAGTCGATTTCGCAGCCGATTTCACTGGGGTTTTGATCAGATTCTTGACAAATGGTTTCACGGGAGTTTGGATGGGCGTTTTGAACGGATTCACCCACCTCGCACTCGCTGATTTCCCCGGCGAACTCACGGGCGTTTCAAACTCCTCGCAGTCGCTTTTCCCGCGGGACGAAACGGATCGTCGCCGCTTCTTCGCACTCCCCGCTTTTCTGCCTCTCCCATAGAACCACACCATTCCCGCGGCCAACGCTTGCAATGTCAAAAATACCCCCTTTTTCACGGTTTCACTTTGACCCCCAAAAGCCCGCCAAACCCATTCTCCCGCCATTTCCGCGATGATTCCCGCGTACAAATACGGACGAACCGCGGTTAACTACATAAAACCAACTAGCCATTCTCACTCCCGGAACCGCGGTTAAAAAATAAGCCGCCAAAACGCGCCCCGTGAGACGCAAAAGCGCGGCAACATCGGAAAGCGAAGATCGCAATCGATCTTGCAATCCCGCGATTGTGTCGAGTTTGTCGCGCGTCCAGTAGAAGGCGTTTCGCGTGGAATCATAGTAACTTTCGGAGGCGTTTCGCAGCTGATCGAGCGAAGAATGGAGGGAACTCTGCGGATTACTAAACAGACAGAACGGGTGCTACGCGAAGATCCGAGAATTTCTCTCCGGTCTGCGATACGGTTTCGAATACGGCGCGACTCTGCTGGAGCGAAGCCGTGTAGAGATGCATGTGCTCCTGCTGCATCGAAAGCAGCTTCTCTTCCTTGGAAATGGAGGTATCTCTGCATGTAAAGGAGAATATACGGAGAAAACAAGAGTTGCGAAGCTTTCTCGGCTGCCATTTCGAGGTGCTGGATAGAGCGGTCTGTTCGCTCCTGCCATTCTTTACTCTCGCGGTAGAAGCACATGCTATCGGCGTGGTTGTAAAACTGCGTGTAGATATTGAAATCGCTGCTTGGGAGCGTTTGAATGCAAACACGAATGGAGTCGCTCTGGCACTCCGGAAGGATTCTGCCTGCATCATGGTAGTAGCATTGGAGCACTCGCCACGAAAAAAGCAGCTTTTCGTCCCGCGTCATATCTAAACAACTTCCCTTCACTTCGGAATAGGCTGCCTAGAGTGAACCAAACAATCAGAAGGAACGGCCCAACAGTCCGGATTCCCGTCGATCGATTGTAACATGCTCCACTTGCGATATCCTTCTTGTGACAGTTTTGCTATCTCCTGGTTGCGCTGAGACGAGTAGTATATGTTTTCTACGAAGCTTATTTCGGCGTCTCACGTGGTACTTGAAAAAGTGCACTGGCACATCAAAAGCAACACGATATGGAGAGTACACATCCTGGGCACTCCAACCATCCTGTTCAAAAGAGAAAAAGAATCACAAGACAAAGAAGAAATGACTCGACTCGAAGTCACACCTACTAAAAAGGCTCTTCTTTCAATACGGAGTGATTGTTTTAGAACGAAACGTGAATATTATTACTAATATTATTATTCCACAAGGCAACTAGACCCATTGGAGTATACAACAAACAATCGAGTATTGAATCTAAACACACATCCTTCCTTCCGATTTCACTGTCTTCCTTTTCTGAACCGTCTACCATCATCACCCAAACCCATCCCTACCTTTTCTTCTCCGCCACTTTCTGCTGTTCTCCCTTCTTCTTCTGTTTATTCTTATTCAGCGTGCTGTCATACTTCTCCTTATCCACATTCTACTCCTCATCCTTTCTCCCCATCCCTACAAACTCATCCGCGCCCACAGAATGGATCATTTCCTGCATCTCTTCCTCCGTGATCTTCGGCAATCTGCTCATTACACTCGTCCTCCATCCCCACTCGATCACCTCCTCGTTTTCTTTTTCGTTTTCTTTTTCTTTTTCTTCCTTCTTCGGTTTCTTCGATTTCCACCCAATCGCTTTCTTCATCGATTCCTATCCCTTAAATTCCACGTTTCCACACTACCTCACTTCGCAGGTCCACCGGAGAAACGCCCAGCAGCTCTTCCACCGTTTCCCCTTTTGCTTCTCGCTTCACCGACTGCCGATTGTCGCGGGAATTCGCGTATTTCTCGCGGATCGATCCGATTGGCTCCGGTTTCTCCGTTTCCATCGCCGATTGCCCGGTTTCCCGGTTGACCCGGTTGACCCGGTTGTCATCTTCGCCGTCATCTTCGACATCTTCGTCTTCGTCTCCCTCCATGTCCCCATTAATTAGGGCCAATTCCCTCAATATGGTCTCTAAATGGAACTGGCTCTGCATTTCCTCCCGCCGTTTCTCTCTTTCCACTTTCTGGTTCTCCGTTTCCACCGTCTGGGGCGTTTCATCGTCCCTCGGAATCGTGGAAATGGGGACCATGGGCGTTTCACTCAGAGGCACGCTCGGCCGGCTAAAATCCGCTATCCATTACCACGTTTCCACGTTTCTACGATGAAACGCCTTCTGCAACTGCGCGGCTCCCTCCTTCACCAAACCGTCCAGTTTGCTCTTCTCTCCCGCGATTTTCCGCGCGCTCTTCACCGCCACCGGCTCTTCCCCGCGGGAATCCTTCGTCTTGGCTTCGATCGAAGGTTCCGCGGGGAACCGAACCTGCCACACGGCTTCGCGGATCGCCGCCTCCTCCAGCGAAACGCCCTCCAACCCGCGCTGCACCAGTTCCACGATTTCCCGCGCGTGGCTCCGGATAACCGCGGGGACCGGCTGCAGCAGGCGGAACAGATCGGCGGTGTTCCGCGGGAGATTGTGCGCCAGCTTCGAGAGGGAAATCTGGGGAAGGATGAATTGCGGGGATTCGTCCATTCTGCCGGTTACCCCGTTTCCACGATTCTACTCGCGCGCGAGGGCGTCCCTCCAGAAGAACAGCAGCGCGAAGACGCGCGTCTGCGCGGGGTTGAACGTCAGTCGCTTTCTACTTTGAAACTCCTCCCCGCCAAAACTTCTCGATAACCGCGAATACTCCGTCCAGCGTGGTCTGCGGCTTCTGGTAGCTCTGCCGCGTCAGCTGCGCGCTGCGCTCCAGGACCTCCCGGATCTACCGTGGAAACGTGGAAACGTGGAAACGAGGTTGTGGTCTGTGGACTGGGACTGGGACTGGAGAAGCGCGCGAAGCTCGTCGGCGATGTAGAGCAGGAAATGCGTGTCTTCGCGCGCGTATTTCTTCATGTCCCGCGTCAAGGGGCGGATTCTGCCGTGAATCGAGGAAGAAACGCCCACCGCCAGTCCGCGAGTTGGAACTCCTTGTTGGCGGTGACTCCGCAGAATCGCTTGAGCAGATAGGCGAGGCCGAAGGACTCGAAGCCCAGCACGCGCGCGGCGCGGCCCGTGTCGAAGAGATTGACCTAGGAGGGAGCGGAGGGCGGAGCACGCACGATGTAGACGCCGAAGTCCTTCTGGAGCCACTGGACGTCCATGTCGGCGCCGTGGAGGACTTTGAGGATCGACGGGTCGGTGAAGACTTCGTTCAGCTCGCCGACGAACTCGCGGATCGCCAGCACGTCCACCAGATAGTCCGTCGTGCGCGTCGAGATCTGTATGAGAGCGCTGCGGAGAGCCTACCTGGATCAAGCAGGTGAAGCCCTGATAGCTTCGGTAGCTGTGGTGCTCCAGATCCACCGCGATCGCCTGCTCTTGCTTCAGCGAATTCACCAGTTCGTGCATCGACGCCTCCGTCTCCACCAAGATCAGCGGCGTCTCGTTCTCCGGACGCGGCTTCTCGATGGTAGCGGGGGCGTGCAACTCCCAGTCGGGGTAGACCAAGTCTAGAGGTGAAGACGCTGCCGCAGACAAACGGTCGATTTCGTAGAGATAGGGGTTTTCGTGGAGACCCGATTCGTTGACGTCTAGATGAGAATGGGGAAACGGAGAACCCACCAGACACGTTCCATTCCACCATGGCGTTGTGCTTCACTTTCAGACGGGGAACGAACGGGGCTTCGGAGTTATCGACGAAGTCCTTGAAGCGAAGCTGAGGCTTTTCCACCGCGTCGTTGTACTTCACCACGTTGGCTTGCGCCGCATTACCACGACTAAACTCCGCTTTCTTCGTTCCTGTCTACAAAATATAGAGCACCGCTAGCAGTCGATACGTCATTCAACGGGTTTAGGAGTCCTTTGTGCATATCAAGAGACTTGGCCAAATCCTCGTAAATCGTGTCCATAAGCGATTCAACTGCGTCGTACTGCTGCTTTTCATGCACAGCATCGAACCCTTTCAGCTCCACAGTCTTCTTTGGCAAATACTACAATCTAAACCGCAAAGAGCGCAAGCCATACATATTTGTAAACGCTCTGGACTATCTCCAAACTTTGCGAGTTCACCTGTTCAGCGATCTCGGTAAAGTCTGGAAACAAATTATAGTAGTCAAACTCCCCGGTCCCAGGAATCTTTCCAGCATACTAGAACATCAGAAATCGATCAAATCAGTGAGTACAGCGAAAGCGTTATTTACAAGTTCCTCGACTTGTTTCAATGAGGGAACCTCCTTGTTGTCGCTCATTCACACAACAAAAAGTAGAATATCGACACAACAAAGGAATTAGTGGTTCTTCTACAATTAGGCACGGACTCTATGTAGAGCCTATGTCTGCATAGTTGAATGAGTAAGAACGTGTTTTCAAGTGACATTTACAAGATTCTCCTTCTATTCAAAACGGTTCTATTGCAATCAAATCAGCACAGCTCGACTTCACCTATACGAAGTGTATTCGCCAAGGAATCAATAAGAATTAGATGGTCCCTATTTATCGATTCAAATTGCCTCGAATAAAGGCCCATTTATCCCATAATAACCCGTCTAGTGTTTTTCTGCTTTTCCATAAAATATTTGTAGCAGGTAAGTTTTAGTGAGATTGGTGATCCGGGCCCCCACTTCGGCTGAATGCAAGTCATTCTTTCGTACAATAAGGTCCGAAAAGATCTTCGGATAACGCTTTTGCTAGTATCATGGTTGCTAGTGAAATGAACGCTCTGAATAAATGCTTACGTTTTGTAGATCAGCTCGTAGACTGTAGATAGGTAGGTTTCTGACCAATTCTCAGTCCCTTCTAATCCAAGGAGTGCTTTGTGTGCTTCTTGGTTCGCTACGGGACAATATGGGGAGTGTCATAACTTGTTTTGAATAGTCTTCTTTTACTGTCAAGACATATAAAGCATTCGATATCTAATGGTTGTATAGGTTAGGTTTGTATATTATTAGTCTAATTGTTTGTTTAACAAAGGAAAGTGCAGCTTGCTTACTTCTTCTTCTTCTTTCCATTGACAGCAGCCGCTTTCTCCCTGATTCTCTGCTCCATCTGTGCACGAGCCTCCTCTTCCTCCTTTCTTCTTCTTGCAGCTTCCTCACGCTGAGCACGGATGCGGGCTAAGCGTTCCAAGGTGGCCTTCGCTTCAGGCTACGGATGAATCAAAAAACACAAAGTCCTAACAGTCTTTCCCTCGAGAGTTCGCTGGAAATACTCCTCTTTCTGTCTCTGCATCTCAAGCTCGCGCCTAAACTCACAAAGCGGATCTGTAACTACTTTTGCTTTCCAGAGATTTCCACTTGTAACTGGCCATTGCTATTCACCGCAGCTTTTCTCTATCCATCACACATCTGTTGGGTACTCACACCTTGGCGATTCAGATTTCCGTTTTCAAACGCAATTGTCATGGGCTTGCTCTTTTCAAAGACCTACACTCGATCTAGGAATCAAAGAAGTACTGGATGCTTTGGCTCTTCCTTAACAGGCGGTCTCTGAAATGGCTCATCAGCAGATTCATTCGCATCCGACGAATTCTCAGATTCCTCATCATATTCCTCTTCTGAATCTTCATACTTCTTTTTCCTATTGTCAGCTTCCTCCTAGAATTCAGAATGCGCAGAAACAACCAACCATCATGTTTCGAGCGATAATGTCGTCCTCATTCTCCACCAGAATACGTTCTCTTCCCTTGTGTGATCCCTTTTTGCCTCCTCTCATTATATCAACTGTATAGAACAAAAAAGTGATTACATTGGAACATTCCACCTTCCTCCAAATAAAATCTTCTCTATTCCTCACCAAACCACTCCGCTCCTTACCGAGAGGGTGACGAAGAGTCGGCATCTTCTGCTCGAGGTTCAACGGATAACCAAGCGCCATCACGGCACTAATCTGGTATCGCTTGGGGATCTTGAAAGCCTCCTTCACCTTCACATCATCATATCCACCCATGATAATCGAATAAATGCCCAGACTCTGGGCAAGAAGGGTGATGTTCATCATGAGGAAGCCACTCTGCTGATAACTCCATGAAACGGCCATTCGGCGAGCGCCCGAAGCACGGAACCAACGAACAATCCAACGGCAGAAATCATTAATCCAACCAAACAAAAAGTTGAAAAGCGTATTCGAGTAGAAACTGAACGCAGCTGGCTGTTAGATTTAGACGATTAAACTTACTATAAATGCGAATCATCTTCATCTTTTCCTTCCAGCTATCTCCATAGATGCACTCTCCATAGTCCTTCACGCACATACCCATGTCTATTCTTTGATACAACACAACTTCACAAACTGGTGTCGGAACAGATAATCAGAGAAGCGCTGCTGGAGTTTACGATCGCGGCATTGCTCTTGCTCATGCAGGAGGCCAGTAAGTTGCGTTTTTCCTCATTACGGACAACAATAACACGGTAGGGCTGGAGGTTGAGGGAGGTTGGAGTTCTCTAAAAGATAGGCGCAAAACGGAGAGCATACAAGAGAATATCCGAGAATGGTTTCCAAAACACCCTCAGGGAATGGCTGCTTGTTGAACATACGTACAGACCGTCTCTCCAGCACAATACGCTTCAAATTCTCAAAGTCTTGGGACATACCAAAAAATGTTTAGAAGAAACAAGAAAACAAATCTCAACTCGCTTATTCGTTTCTGCTTCCTTTTCTCGCTCTCTTTTCTGTCTCTCCCGAGGATCCAACACCTCGACACAATCATCCTCAATACCATCGCTATCTCCACTTTTTTCCTCCTCAACACAATCGCTGTCCCCACTTTCCTCACTTCCTTTGTCTTTCTCCGTCTTTGTCTCCTTCTCCTCTCCATCTCCTTCTTCCTTCGTTTTCCGAATCATCTCGATGGCCTCTCTGTTCAGAATCAAATACCCATCCTCGCTATTATCCACCAACACATCCTTCGGCTGATGATACACCGTGATCGACGCATGCTGGTTCGTTTCCAGATCCCCCACCTCCACAACGCTTCCATGCCGAATTCCTCCCCCCGCTACGCTCAACCAATCCCCGCAACTCTACGCAGCTCCCACAGGTTCGTTCGATACAGCTGCTCGACCGCTTCCGAGGGAGTTTCGCCCTCCTCGGGCGTTTCGTAGATCAGTTTGGAGTCGATCGCAATCATGGGCGCGGTGAACTGCAGTTGCCCCTACATGCCACGCAGAACCGCGGGAAAACCTTCACGATTTCTTCCAAAAAGCCGCGGAAATGCGCTTGGAAGACGTCCAGAACCACAATCAGATTGGTGCCACAGCTGCACGTGAGACAATTTTTCTGCGGCGGGAGCAAGGTCACCGACTGCAAAATTTGGCTCTATTTCTGACAGTTCCAGAAATCGGGGACTTTTCTGTTTTTCACTTTGAGTAAGTACGAGTAGCGCATTTGTTCCGCCTGCTCCGCCTTCGATTTCCCAGACAACCGCAAAAGTTTCAGCGTGGTTAACACCTGCAGACCTGCCACGATCGCATTCGTGCTGGCGACCGCGGGAATAATATTTCCCGCGATTTTCTTCACTGCAAGAAGAGATCCCGCGGGGATATGGAAGGAGAAGCAGCGCAGGTGTGTGAAGGAAATCCATTCCAACAGCAAACACAAGAAAGAAAGAAAAAAGAAAGAAGAAAGATATATTCGTGGCTGCCGCGATAATCGCAACATCCCCGCGATTATCTTTGTCAAAGGATCGGAGAGATGCCGATTTTCCATCCAGAAAGTACCGCCAAACCCAGGCAGTCAGGATGTTGACGGCATTCTGAACATCCCAAATGGATTCGAAGTTTCCACTTTGCTGGAAGTAATGTTCGTTTCGAATTCCTTCTCGATCCTATTTCTAACGAGAGTTGAAAGACTCGGTACGATCCAATGTCGAATCTGTACTGGTGTAGGTGGCTTATGAATGGTGGTGTAACTGCCTATTTGGATTCGTTTTTCGATTTCCTTGTCGAAAAGAGCTTCCAACAAATCGATGCAAAATTCGAGACATTTGGAAGGATCTGAAAGCACCTGCTCGTTTTCTGGAATTAAGGAATCCATGTACACAGAGTCCACTTCCTCGTAGAGAAGACTATCGTCTCGTTTGCCAAAAAGAAGGACAAAAAGCTCTTTGGCCCACACGATGCAGTGTTCCAGCTTGTCTGGGGTACTACGAATGGTGCAAACGGCGTACTGTTCGCCTTCATTGCCTCCACGCGGCTTGCAGTTGTAGCACTCTGTGTAGTGGGGAAGGATCGGATAACTTTGGCCGAGCAAACCGGTCGATCCTCCTTCCACCAATGGCACATCCGCTAAAACGCACATCGTATTCACATACTGCCTTGCTTTAACATTGTCCAACGCGTTGATCACTACATCAAACGATTTGAAAAAGAAAATGTCAAATTTGGGGTGCATTATGTTTTCATGTTCAGCTTCAATACGAACATTGTCTCCATACGCTGACGCCTTCAAATAAAATACAAAAACCAAGAACAAACAGCTTTTGCTGCGACAAGCGCTTTGGACTGTCCAATATGCTCTTTCCGGAATAAAAACTGCCTATTTAGATTTGACATTTCAATTGTGTCCAAGTCGATGACCTTGATGTCTAACACTCATCAAACACAAAACAGTATATACGGCGAAATCCAGATAGGACCAAGTTCTTCAATACTTCACACCCAATTCCTCCCGCCCCCACAACCAATATCTTTGCTCTTTCAATTTGGCTATTGTCCTCGCTGTCCCTTCCTAACAGCGTAGTCTTATTATCTAAGTCCATAAGAGGTCCTAAATAACAAAACAGGCAATCAATATAGAATCCTAAGTACTATTTTCGTCCATTTTTTTCTCTGTCAGACTTTCTTTCTGGTTTGAAATCAACAGAAATGAATAGGATGACTCTCCACGAAACTCGTTGTGAATCCATTTCTCACAAACGAATGTGTAAGAATGATCGAAGTCAAATGAACTGTAGATCGTGATCTGGAAGAAAGGTGCGAAACACACCAGGAACGGGACCATCAAGTCGATCATTGTGAAAGAAAAGTGCCACGAATTGAAATTCCACACAAGTTCTTGAATAGCGGAGACAGTAATATGTACGTTTAATCGGAGAGAGTTAAGAATAGTAGTGATTTGTCGTTTGCATTAAGGCAAATTGATAAACCGGTTTTGAGCCATAGCGCGTTTTATGAATTGGACAAAAGCAAAGAATGCGGTGTCTACATCAATCCTTTCAGAGTGGTCAATTTTTCTGTTATTCCTTCTCTCATTCTTCAAGAGCTGGAGTCCTATCCGATCTTGACTCAAATTGCCATTCTAAGTAACCCTGAGATTCGTAAAAAGTATTTCCCCCACTGGAAGAATTAGGGAAAACAGATTATTCTTTTGTAAATTAGTAGTGAAATTAGATTTCGCTGTTTGTTTTACAGAATGGATGAATATTTATTATGAAATGTAAAGGTATGGGGGTTTGATTTTCTACTCAGAAGCGATGTGAGGGAAAATCTACCCCCTGGGTTCAAGGAAAGGAAAATCAGAAATTGGTATTCATTAAACAAAGTATGTATTGGAATCTTCCATTGTGTTGTTGTTGTTTCGGAATGTGCGGCATTGGAGAGCAAATTGACTTACGTTGGGTAGGATGAGAGCTAAGTGGGCTAAGAAGCGTATGCGACGTCTGAGACGTAAGAGAAGACAGATGAGAGCCCGTGCTAAATAAGCTGCAGGTTTTCTCGGCTTTAATGGTTTAATGATTCCCTGAACTTGTTTGTTGAAAGTACTGTTTTCTCAGTGTCTCGGGTCTCTCTGCTGTGTTATGCATCAGCATTTTTGTCGGTAAATTGTGATGTCAGTCACGTAGTGTGTTTTTCTGCACACTGTTCAACAAGTGGTGGAGACGCTATTTCAAATATGGATACAGAAATACGCTTTTACAGATGTACTATCTTTGGGGAAATACGAGATACGTACATGGCGAACCTGCTTTTCACAGTGTCACTGATTTACCAAAATTCAAGAAAAACAAATAGCGTTAAACACAACAACTTGTTTTGAAACTCCAGGGTAAACACAACTAAAAAAAGTGATTTTTACTGCTCAGAAGAATTCCAATTAAGGATCTTTATGAGCTCCTCAACACGTCCGGATTATTCGAAGCCGGCTCTGCCGTACAGTTACATAGTGAACGGATACGGTGTTGTAACAAAACATGAGGAGTCCACGAAGAGAGATGCAAAGCAAATGAGTGGTAATAGTCCTCAAGAACAACAGCAAATGAGGATCAACCCTCAAGAACAAGATTTTTCGCGTTTTCCGTCTACCTCTGGTGCTCAGAAACATATTTTGCCTACCGCGCAAAGTGTTTTTCAACCCCATCCTCTGCGTCACGGTTTTCCCTTACCAAAAAAGTAGTATTGCGTTTGGCATTATATATAGAAACAGATTTCCTCCAAGGCAATATCAGAATCAATGTAATTTGCTATCTTCGGGAATGGATGTTGTTGAAGTAGGACAGAATCTGTTTTCTAACATTAAGTATCAATCAGATTATCGAATTTACTTGGATATGCCATCTTTTAAGCGAGAATCGATCCGTATCCTGGTCCAAAAAGGAGGTCTACGGATTGAAGGGAATCGACAATTGTTTTACGAAGGGTGTGAAAAGGTTTTATCTCAACATCGTTTCACTGGTCATTGTAGCATTTTCATTCCTGTACGATCGTTTATGGCCGTTTAGTGTAGTTTGATAGTAACTTGGTTAGCACAAAGAACGCAACTGCAACTTTTGTAAATGGAGAGCTGTGTATCATCCTGAAAAAGAGATCTGCAGAAAACCTTCCAGTTCAGTTGGCGTCCCAATCTGGAGTCGCAAAAGAACCTGTGAGAATTCAAGACCTCCATTCTGAAAAGCGCATTTCAGTTCAAAATTAAATGTCATCCTAGCTTGTATATTAGGCACTGTTTGTTCGTTTGTTTGCTCAGAACACACACAGAAAGGGTGAGGAAAAAACAATAATAACAACAAGTAGTAGCAAGATGGAGGGCGAGAGAGTCAGCGAATATCCAATTTTCTTTTGAACTTTTTGGGGAACGGGGTTGAGCTAGCTGCAATAGAATCATACCCTCGGTATGAATGGTGTGCGGTTCATATTTTCACCTATGGAATACTATAATGTAGTAGGAATGAATACAATTGAATCTTGCTGTATGCTGTTATTTAGAGTTTTTGATTAACAATAATATGTTGTTTATCACGTTGATATAGTGTTAATCAAATGCAGCCAAGCAGGCAATGTTGTATTGAGTTACTGCAAAATAACCAAAATAATAAGAATGAGAATATATAGCGGAATGCATAACAATGACGATATTGAATCATTTCATTATAATTCCAATGTCATTTATCGATTCAAAAACATAGCTTTACTGATTTCTAATTTTAGGCTGTTATGGTTACTGTAATTGTCTTACAGCATAGCTTGGTGAAAGGATATATCCGATAATAACCAGAGTGAAAACAAAATAGACGAGCTTGCAAACAGTTAACACTCTATTTCTTTGTAGTACATTTTGAAATTGAGTAATAAAGACACCCAAAACATGGATTTATCAATTTGATAATAATTGAATCAAATCGGATGTGTTTGATACTTGATAGTTGTAGTTAGTAGTAATATCAATCGTGGTTTCACAATTCGATATTTGGATGGAATGTCGTATTCTTCAATATCACACAAACCACTCACTCACTCACTTAATCAATCAATGGATGAAAGATAGCTGATTCAAAATGCAAATGAATGTTGAATATCGTAAAGAATCAATTCATCATTCACACTCAATAATACTGATAAGAATAGAAAGGCTATTCAATCCATTGATCGATTGAATGAATGATTGAATGAATGAATGGTGTGTATTTGGTTAGTTTTCGATCTCCATTCATCATCATCATCATTATCATTATTGTTATTGTATGATCATCCATATTATTCATCGGTCTATTTCAGCATATTGAATACCATTAGATCATTTTGGTATTGTTGATCATGAATAGAATGATTGGATAGGATCGATCAATCAGAATCAAAATCAGATTGATGATGAGTATTCAACCATCAATCCTCGTGATTATTATTATTATTAGTAGTAGTAGTAGTATTTGTTTTTGTATTTGTTCGATTATCAATGATATAGAATCGATTGAATGATTCATTGATAGCGATCCAATCGACTGATAGAATTATACAATTGATTCGATCGAATCCAAATGGAACAATCACTCAAACACATTGTAGTCTCAATGGTTGTTTTGCAATTGAATCGATCGAGATTCATGAAATCGTTATGTTCGATCATTGTATTAGCTGGAATCTATCATTGTGCTGTATTGCATAACAATACTCTTATTTCTTTCTTTCTTTCTGATCATTATCATTATTTCATTATTATTATTGATATTATTCAAATCATTAGATCCCATTCGAACAAGTCAATATGGAATCAACATTTGATAATCACAATACAATAATAAGGCATATTGTGAGAACCATTTGTGTTGTGGTTTGAATATGAGTATTTCGATAATGGCCTTTCTTGGAATCCATTATTTGATTGTATATTCAATATGCTGTTTGTGATTGTACACCGATGAATCCACAAATCACATATTTCGAATGAATCTTGATCGAACGATTTCAATCGAATTGTTTTGACAAGATTCATTGCACTTAATCGAATTGAATCAATAGGAATCGACACAATCCATATTTGTTTGTTGAGATAGTAATAATTTGGATAATACTCAATGATTCATTATTCTTTTGTTTTTGTTTTCCACTTGTACATATTTTGTTTTTCTCTTTTTGTTATTTTTATTGTCTGTCATCGATAGATATGTAACAATCTCAGTGACTCATATTATTTCTATTCAATTCTTTTAATCCATGTTAATGATAGTGATACTCATTATGATCACCCTTAGTATTATTATCATTTTTATTGTCATTGCTTATATTCCCATACAAATTATATAGTATTCTTTCAATTTGGTATTGACTCGATAGCGGAAACTGTACTGAGTTGGCAATCTATTAATTTGGATCATTACTCATGTTGTAGTTCATGTTATGTTATGTTGCTGCTGCTCTTCAATCTATTTATTTCTGTTTAATAAATGATTTCAAGTACTTTATTCTTTTCTTATTATTATCAATCAACAATTATGATGTTGATTCACTTTTTGCCATTATTATTGTTGTTTCAGTATACGTGCTCATTGTTGCTATTATAACATGTCTTGTTTGATAAATAAATATTCAAAAAGAGCAAACAAAATAGGCATCAATCCAATCTAATTATCATACGTAAAAGCTCAATCAAATATAAACAAATGACTGCATGATTGAACGAATAACAGTCAGCCTTTATCAACTCCCATTTGGCCAAATTTTATTCAACCAACAGTTATCGAATTCTTTTCCCGACCTCTGATTGAGACTTGAAAAGGTTCTCTTATTTTTCAGATCATTAGAATTCCCAGTTTCTCAAAAAAAGACATGAATCAAACAAACAAAACCAACTAGATATCACCACTCGCGTGAGTGTCGGTGCATTGTGTAACAAGTGGCCATATCATCACACAACCCGAACAACACCCGCAAATCACTTGATCCCCACAAATCTCCACTGTCTTACAGTCATCATTCGCTTGATACACGGCCAAAACAGAAAAATCGCTAAGAATATCCCACACCACCACCAAGCCGTCCTCTCCCGCAGAAGCAAGCTGATCATCACCATCATTCCTAGCTAGATCTTACCAGACAACCGTCCTCCGATACAAACAGCGCTTGAATCTTTGCTTTGTGTCTTCTCAGCTCCAAAATCAATTCTTCATGAAGAACATTCCACACGCGAATCACTGCATCGAACCCGCCCGAAATAAGCAGATTCTGCGACTCTTTTCTCCCGAACGCTATGCAGCTAATTGCTCTATTACTAACCATTTCCCTGTTTTTCTACCCATTATGTGCTTCCTCCTCCTTCCAACGCCGTCTCAACAAACCGTCTCGTACCGAATAGACATTCAGCGCATAATCCATGCCTCCCGAGGCGAGCAACACATCGTTCGGAGAGTGTGAAAAAGCCACACAAAGCACAGAGCCTTCGTGATCATTGACACTGGAGAGAGGAGCAAGGCGAGCGAGTTCCATTTTCTCCTCCGAGGACTTCGAATACTTCGAATTCTGCGTTGAATACGCGAGAGAAGCATACGAAAACAAACTTAATCCACCCTACATCGCATTGAAGACTTTGCTATACATCGTCAGAACCAGCTGCAAGCCATTGCGCCGGTTCACACAGCGTAAGACTCCAAACCCGACCGATATTTCCCTCCATCACGCCAATCTGCACAATCTGCGGTGGAGTCGAAATGTCTGTTTCACTTGATGCGATAATCGGAAGGCTTTTATTGAATGCGAAGCAGTGGGTTTGATAATCCCCTCCACCAACAAACAGGCGATTTCCCGCGGTGCAAAGAGCGTAGAGTGACATATTGGTCTGAAAAAGGAGCTCTGAAGTCTGCGTTTCGCTGTGCAGCAGATAAATACCACCATCTTTAGACACACAGAGAATTCGATTCGAATGAGTGGCTGAAACTCCATAGACCGCCGAATTCGGAAATGAAAACACGCGCAAAACCTCGAATCTCGATAAAGCAATGAGGTACAGTTGTTTTGAAGCGATCACTGCGAGGATGCGTCGCGAAGGCGCAAAAGAACAAGAAGAAATCGAACTCTACACATCAGCGACGGCTTCATTTCTTACAGAACACACAGACAACGAACGCTCCAAGTCGTCAAAAACCGTCGAAAACTTGGAGAAATCATCGAGCTGCCCAGCCATCAACGCATCCAAATCCATCCAATCGTCGTCGGCCGTGTTGGTCTCCGATGGACAAACGGGATCTTGTGGCTCTTGCTTGACGGAATAGAGACGCAAGAATCCATCGTTGGACATCGTTAGCAGTTTGCCTTCTTCGAACGATGCAGAGAGAAACACAACGTCGCCTTGCGGATTGTTTTGCTGCTGCACCGTTTCGATGTTCCGCACAAATCGCTCGTTCTCGATGTCCCAGAGTCTCACTACGTTATCTGATCCGCCGGAAAACAGAAAGCGGCCGTCTTGCGAGAAGGCGAGAGAAAGCACATTCCCCAAATGCTTATCGAACGAACAAACGAGGTCCAGAGAAGCAGAAGCAGAAGAAGCAGAAGCAGAAGCAGAAACTCTCCAGAGATGAATCATATGGTCTCGGCTGGCGGATGCAATTCGAGATGAGGGTTGGTGATAGCAGATTTGATTGACAACACTGCGATGCGTATTGACTTTGTCGACAAGCTTCAGTCTGCAGGTAAAGAAAGAAACGCTCTATTTCTACCCATTGGATGTATCTAACAAAAAAAGAGCCCCATCCGAGGCACCAGCGCAGAGAAGCGCATGATCAGGTAAAAAACAAAGGCACGTAGCCTTAAAAGACGGGTCGCTGCAGGGTTTCCACTGGGTAATACATCTCCCTGTGGAATAGTCCCAAGCGAAAACCCCCTCAGAACCACAGGAGTATAAGAATTTCATTGTTGGATGAAATACTAATCCCAAAACAGGTTCTGTGTGAGCGACCAACTTGTGGGCTAGCTCAACCGAAAAGTCGTCATTCAATCTGTAGATATTCAAATTATAATTACTGTTGACAAAGCAAAAGCTTCAAATCACAACCACCAATTCAAACTTACAGCTCTTGATCTTCTGACCAGCAAAATGGTGATTTTGATTGAATCCCTATATGAAATAACTCCTACGATTGTCAAGTCAATCCAAATTCCAACTGCTGTACAAAGACTGACCGGAAGCTCATCCACGTGATCTAGAGCAAGGGCTTCATAATCCTATCATTCAGAAATATCAGGACTTGTACTTCAGGAATGACTTGAACTGGAGAACTATTCCTTGAACGAGAAATCATATAAACGAATCAGTGTGTGCGGTATAATGGAGAAAACCCAAGTCGAAACGAATAAATATGAGTGTATAGTAGTTCTGCCTTTATTATAATGGTTATTTGCATTGGTAATAATGGGTGTTTGCAGGATTTGAGAAAGCGATTTAAGTGTATATACTATGAAGCCATACGCGCAGAGAGTAAGACCTTATAGCGATTGAGTTTTGTGACATTGTGAGTGGATTATCCAACTGAGGACTTTTTGAAATATCAATCTGACCCTCACATCATCTTCTATAGTACTTTCAATAAAAAGTGACTCATTTCGATGGGTTTACAACAAGAATTCAAAATAGTGCAGATTAGGTTTGCTGGTGAATATTTGTGTCATTAATGCATATTCATTACATACAAGTCGATTCATTATACCTCCATATAAACATGATGAAAGAGAGATTGCACTCTAGGCAAAATGGACTCGGTAATTTGTGAATTACTAATTACATATTATAAGCAACTATCGAAACAATCCATTCGTATATTTTCATAGCTGTATTGCCAGAACAAAACCTAAACAACGAAAAGCGTACATAAATAGTAAAAAGCGATTCTTTAATTAATAAACCCTGCCTCATTAACCTGGTTTCGATTCATACACCTTACACCTTCATTAGTACATTTCATTGTATCACCAACACACCATTTCACTGCCCTTCAGTTCCATATTATGCTGAGTTACAAAACATTTTGAATAGCAATTGTATAAAGATAATCCCCTAGATTTTTGGACAGTCTTTTTCAATCAAAGTGCAGTTCTCTCATGTCTCGTGAATATGATGAAAGAACCACGACCTTCTCACCGGAAGGACGTCTTTATCAAGTAGAATACGCCATGGAAGCAATCAACAATGCTCCTTGTGCTATTGGCATTCTCACAAAGGAAGGAATCGCCTTTGGGATCGAAAAGAAAATAATCAGCAAATTATTGGCAAAGATCGGAGAAAGTGAGAAGGTTTATGCTATTGATAATCATATTATGTGTGCTGTGGCAGGACTGACTTCGGACGCCAACATTTTACTACAGAATGCCCGGAAGAACGCGCAAGAGTATTTGTACAAGTACGGCCAGCCCAAGCCCGTAGAGGAGCTTGTTGAGTACATTTGCAGAATTAAACATTCATATACCCAAGTGGGAGGTCTCAGACCGTTCGGCGTGTCGTTCCTCTTTGCTGGATGGGATAAAATCCACGGATACCAACTCTATCACAGCGATCCGAGCGGTAATTTCAGTGGATGGAAGGCGCATGCGATCGGGTCAAACAGTACGGTAGGTCTGTGTATGCAGAGTCACGAGTAGCTCGCAAGAGACATGCTGAAAAAGGACTACAAGGAGGAAATGACTTTAGAGGAAGCCATGATGCTTGAAGCGCGAGTGTTGTTCAAGACGATGGATGTCAGCGAATTGTCTACAGACAGAATGGAGTTCAGCGTTTTACGCCGGTAGGGCTGTGTATCGAGTTTTAGGCTAGACTGGAGTCCGGAAAGATTCAGCAGCACGTTCTTACGAAAGAGGAGACGCAAAAAATCTTCGACAGCATCCCTGCGGAGTTGCTTCATAAGGAATGGCTTGTTTGTTTCTCACACTTTCTGTCGTTCTATCTTTTTACTAATAGCCAATGGGTATTATTGAAAAGATCAAGGAAATCGGTGGGGGTCGAGAGAAATCAGGCTCATTGTCTAGAAGCCGAGATGGCTCGAACGCAGAAGAACAAGGCGACGGAATTCCACTTTGGAGTGATGAAGGCTCGTCTTGCGAAGTTGCGTTCGGAAGTTTGCTGCTTTCTCTGTGTTTTCATTGTAGCTTCTCGACCCGTCCTCGGGCGGTGGTTCAGGTGGTAAGGGAGACGGCTTTGAAGTCGCCCGTGTTGGAGATGCGCGCGTAGCCCTCATCGGTTTTCCATCGGTGGGAAAGTCTTCGTTGTTGAGGTAGAACTCACCTTGCTGAAAGCCAATCATAGCCATCTTACGGATACAAAGTCCGAGGAGGCTGCCTATGAGTTTACCACCTTAACTTGCATTCCGGGAAACGTGTACTACAAAGGGTGTCGCATTCAGCTTCTGGATCTTCCCGGTATCATCGAAGGAGCTGCTTACGGCCGTGGTCGCGGTCGTCAAGTAATCGCGGTCGCCAAGTCTGCCGACCTGATTCTGATGGTTCTGGACGCTGGAAAAGAGGAAGAGAAAAACCACCGCGAGATTTTGGAGCGCGAGCTGGAGACGGTGGGTCTTCGTTTGAACAAAGAGCCCCCTCGGATTTATTTCAAAGTGAAGAACGCGGGCGGCATCAAATTCAACGCGACGGTGAAGCTGACGCAGCTGGGCGACGATCCGTATGACACGGTGTACAAGATTTTACACGAGGTAAGGACGACTTGCAGTAGTGTGTTATCGTGTTTAGTATCGAATCCACAACGCCGAGGTGATCTTCCGCGATGATTATGGCGTGGACGAGTTGATCGACGTGATCGAAGGCAACCGGAAGTACGTCAAGTGTCTCTACGTGTACAACAAAATCGATACGGTCTGCATCGAGGACGTGGATCGGCTGGCTCGTCTGCCGCACAGCACGGTCTGCTCGATTCGCCTCAATCTCAACGTGGACACAGTCCTCGAATTGATCTGGGAGTACATGGGACTGCTTCGAATCTACACCAAGCGCCGAGCCGAGCCGCCGTCCTTCGACGAGCCCGTCGTTCTCAGCAAGTATCGAAACGGCCTCACCGTGGAGGGCGCCGTCGCGCAGATCTCGCAGGACTTGCTGGAGAAGTTTAACTATGCGTTGGTGTGGGGAACCAGCACGAAGTACAGCCCGCAGCATTGTGGGCTGGCGCATGTGCTGGAGGATGAGGATGTGATCCAGATTGTGAAGAAGACGGTCAACCAGGAGAAACATGATAAGAATTACTCGCAGCAGTGCCAAGCTGTGTATGATAAGTACAAGAAGAAGAAGAAGAGTGGAAAGAGCAGTTAAGAGAGTGGAGAGAGTGGTTAGGAGAGGGATAAGAGTAATTAGGAGTGGAAAGAGTAATTCCACGAGTGAAACGTTACGATTCGGTGCAAACCGATTGCTACTGGAATGTTTGTTCGAGAATTCGTTGGCGCTGGATTTTGAGGAGATACATGGTATCGTTCAAGAACCAGTCAATGAGCATCGTTTCAAAAATATACTGTATGCTACTTGTGAATTCGCACTCCAAAACACTCTGCAGAGTTTTTTCCTGGTCTTTCTAGAAGGTTCGATTGTGTTCCTCTTCTCAGTATTTTTTACATACCGACTCTATGAATTGTCTTAAGAGATTTCGAAATGACTTCGAGGAGCCTTCTTATGACAATGTGAGATGTGGCTCCCTAAATGGACAAAAGCGATTACGAAGGTAGTAGTTTTGTTTCTCCCTTATTTTTTTTAGAGATATCTCAGTTGATAATTCCAGCTGTTTTTCACAAGCTAATTCCTTCCCCTTTTGTTTACTTCCCTCCTTATTTATGAAATACTATGGAATCGAGGGTTCCAACTTCGAACGGTTCGTGAACGAACTTGATTAGTGGCAATGTAACATATGAAGCTATTTTGTTTGTTTGTTGAACAAACAAACAAACAAACCATATAGAGTTAGATTAGTGTAAAACATAGTCTTCCCCATAGTAATTGTGGTAGTAAACCTCTTGTTCAGTTTTATCATACAACATTGTCTTCTTGCTCCTCTCTCGGTGAGCTATAAGGTACTTGCCTACAGAGGGATCGACTGTAATACCTTTCACTCTATATTCGCCCCCCTCTCCTGGAAGTGGAAAATAATTGATCTTTTTCTTCTTGTTTCCACATAGAATAATTTCACAAATCAAATACCCTCCAATACCATAGTGTTTAATTATAGTCTTTCCTCTCTCTAAAAACTTCTTCGTTATAATATGTCGCTCGTTCCCAATAAGGCAAGCCAAATAGCTACCCCCATATCCTTCCTCGAAATTAAAGAGTCTCCAGGGGAGACTGGTACCATCTTCGTTCTTGTCGATTACACATTTGCCGTTCTCTATACGAAGTCCATTATAGCAATCACGGAAAGAGATTCTTTTCCCATCAAACAACATACAACTATCCTGCACATTTCCACTAAGCTCAGCAAAACAGTGATAAAACAACGTCCCCTTTCCTTCATACACGAATATTCCATCTCTTAAAACAACCCCACCAATGTATTTTAAATATCCCTCATCCGTAAGCTCAATCGCACTCCCCCTCTTTCCATTCATATTAATAACATTTTGAATAACGCCATTCTGATAAAACAAAATGTACTTTTCTAAACAGTTATCATTATACACCATTATTTTTTCAATATGCCGTGTGAGTCTAAAGTTGACGCATATTCCGTTCAATCTCCCATTCCTGTACTCCCTAATACTAGAAGTAATGAGTGCTTCTCCTTTAAAATAGGTTCGAAATGTTCCATGCATTATGTTTTCTGAGTAAGTTCCAGTCTCTTTAATTTGTTTCTTATCAAAATCATAATACTCCGTCCATTCTCCATCCCTCCTATAATTCCTGAAATAAGCGGTGATCGTACTTCTCCCCGTCTGACGATCGTATACATCAAATTTCCCAGTACCGTTATTCGTAAACACCACATACTTCGTTTCCTTCTCATCTATAAATACCGCATCTTTACTGGGTAGAAATCCGATATCAGGAATCGGACTCTTGTTTGTGTACATACTAATTCGATTACAACAGGAATAACTATCGTTATTCAAAATAGGGAAGCCTTGATGTTGGTATCGAAAGCCGGGACATCGGCAGTGGTCCAGTGTGGGATACTGACTAATCCTTGCTTTTTCTGCGATTGAGCTGAAATCATGATCGATTCCTATTTCCAGATTCTCTCCTCCATAAATCGAAATACAATTTTCCTTCTGCATTCTCACACGCCCATGTCCAACAACCATGAGATTATGCTTTACTGATCGCTCTCCAATTGAATATTCAAGCAGCACCTTTTGTTCTTCCATTGCAAGCGCATTAGTCTGCATCATCCCGCCCATTAAGGCTATTCCGCGAGCCACAGCATAAATATCAACGTCATATTTTACATGAATAGTGAAGAAAACAACAAATAGCATATATGAGATAAAATACATTCAATTCAATTCAATTCAATTCAATTCAATTCAATTCAATTCAATTCAATTCAATTCAATTCAATTCAATTCAATTCAATTCAATTCATTCACAATATCATTATTCAGGATATTTCAATCCTTGAATACTGTTCAAAAACAGATTGTACACGCTGCTGCAAACACCAAAGTCGCATTCCTCCTCCGCACAACCTACACTTAGAAATCTCCGAAATCTTAAAGTTGTTCTTGCACAACTCCAAAAAGGAATTTACAAAGTTTGAGAAAGAGTCCAGCAACTGCTTCCACTCAACTTCAATCACTTCTCGAGATATCTCAAAATCAGGCTCAGTCGCGAATTCTTCACTTCCTAGCCAAAAGTAATTATCTGCAGAACTGGATGAGAGAGCTATCTTCACAGCCTCCCAATTGCTATATTCTTTCCAGAAGGCACGTAGCGAACCAGAACTCGACGCACTTTTCTGGCGTAAATATTCCCCCAGACGAACTGTATAGTCATAGCCACCGATCAAATCTGTCTTTGAACTAAGGATCGTAATCACTTTCTACAGTGAAAGCCAAGCAAAAATGAAAACGCTTTGATACTTGACAAGAAAGCAAGTGGTGGAGTGATGTCCCATGTGAATAAATAGCACAGTTTTCGGGGGTATTGCATTCTTGATGTTCTCATGCCGGTAGCCATAATAGAAAGCAATGGCCACACTATCTTTTATAAATACGCTCTCTCCAAGGTTCTTGCAGTCTAGGGCTAGCTGAATTCCACGAATGTACGAATCGGTTGCGTAATCAGGGACCTTAGAGCGAAAGAAAAACATAAAAATCTTACACTCAAGAAAAGCTGAAATGAACCCTTCTTTTTCCCAATAATTCTTTCAATTTCATCATAAGAATCATCAACGCTTTTCACCGACAAATAAGTGGCATATTCCAAAACATAGGAAAGCAGATATTCAGCGTCGTAGTCTTTTGCTTTACTTGAGAAATAACCAAAAGCATGTTGGTCGCGTTCAGGTGATAGAGTCAAGTAGGGTTGATGCCTTGATCTTTTATGGTTAACTAATGAAGCAAATATATTTGTACCAATATAGGACTTGAGATCATACAGAATCTTGTTCCCTTGAAAACTGTTCTAAAATATTAGATACGTTCTATACTCACTTCCCTCTCTGCCATATCACACACAAGAAAACCATCGGTACACTTTGCTAAACATACACTACAGAAACATACAAAACAGGTTGATACCTTGTAACATCTTTTTGACATTCGTTATCTATTATTGTTTCATAAAAATCGTGCTGAAATTGCCCTTCGACCAAACAAGTAGCTATCTTCATTGAAACCGCCCCTAAATCAATTGCAATACAATGAAACGTCATAGGCAAATTTCCAACAGCTAATAAATGACTTTGTGAAAAACATCTGAGCTATAAATAACTCTGTACGTATGTCATTCACGAGATTTCGAGGTGTTCTCATAGTTGGATTGAGTAAGGATTCGATTTGTGGAGTGAATTCTAGTCCTTTTTTCGAACTCAGGATATGCAGTAGAAATTCAGAAGAATACACAGGTACATCGTTTACAAGGCATTCTATTCAGGGAAATAGTTTTAATTCCGAGAGTGTCGACAAAACACTTCTCTCTGGTATCGATATGATATCCTTTTTTAATAAAACACTGAACCGATACCAATTTACTTCATTTGATTTCGTAAAGGCTAATTCCATTTCTTTTACATAGATATTGAAATCGTCGCTTTATGGAAACTTTCATGATTTGGTGAATTGTGATTCGAATGATCCTAGGGATGGAATCGACATTGTAGTTGGAAGTGACAAGGACTTAGTATACAAAATAGCGTCAAACAATCCACACCATATTGTCATTAATTTTGTAAGGTCGAAAGACATCTTGTCGCTTTTTAACCTGTAATTCACTCTGTAGTGATGTTTATCGTATTTTGGATGATCTCTACCCCTCGCTCAAGGGTAGTATTCTTGTCGCTCTCCTCCCATTTCCGATTTCAAAATGTTTTTTGTGATTATTATGTTTCAACCGTAGTGCATTCCTTCTTTGAAGAAATGGCGGCTATTCAAGTCAATGCTGTGTACATAGCTGATTTGGATTCAATCGCATTCCCCAACAATTACGATGAAGATTCAGTTATTCAGAGAGTTGACTTTGAATCGATTTTAGCTGCCTTTGCTTCATTGGCCAATTTATTCTTTATTCCTTCGAATAACTACTACGCAGGATTCTATGGATACTATAAAAGCAGTGAGATTGTACGCTTTCCTAGCTTGTTTGACATAGCTTCTCTCCGTACTCAGCAAACGCCTCGAAGTCCACAAGGAAATCCAGTACTTCAAGCGATACAATTTGTAGAACTTCCCAGTTTCTCCAGTGTAGACTGATCCACGCCTCGGACGAACTGTCGCCCTGCCTTCCCTTTTCAGCAATCAAATCGCTGGACCTGCGAGGTGAGGACGTGTGGGGACTCGCGTATCGTCTGAGCAATCTGGAAGAAAGAATAGTCTCGAACGATCTCTGCGTGTCCGGACAGCACGTTTATATGAACGAGAGAGCCTATTCGCCCCGCTATACGCTTCAATATCCGTTCGAGCCGCTCAAAATAGAGAATCTGGAGAAGAAACCGACGAGCTATTTTTCGTATCCATCCAGTTCGTCCAGTTCGTCCAGCTCTTCCAGCTCGTCCAGCTCTTCCAGTTCTTCCAGCTCGTCCAGCTCGTCCAGCTCGTCCAATTCAAGACCTTTAGCTTATTCGAGCTCCTCGACACAAGACTCATCGGACGATGACATTTTCAGCCGAATCGCGGCGCAGACTGGCGAACATCGCAGACTGGCGGGGGTCGAAACGCTCGAAAACTTCAATCGGTTCTTTCCCTTGCTGAGTTCGCAGATCAACTCAAACCCCGAAACGATCGACGAGGAATATCTGATCGACAAGCTGGAGCAGAAGCGATTGGATTCGGAGATGAAAGAGATTCAGCAAGTCGTAAAAGAAGGAACCAAAGCGAACGTTCCCTATTCCAATCTTGTCGAAAGCACGATTCGTTCGCTTTTCGGTTCCCCGACTGATTTTTAGTGCCTGCTTCCGATCGCTTACTGACAGATCGCGTTCAGCGAAAATGGCTGAGCTATTTGAAGGAATATTCGGATTGTTTCGCAGGGGATCGCACGGTTTTGGTTCACGGAAGGCATCGCTTTTCTATCGGATTTATGCATAGAAATTACTGGCAATTCGCATCGAGGATTGCGGCTCTAAACCAGCGAGCAATCGTCGTGCATTTGAGCGAACCGTTTTACCACCCCACCGATATCCATCCGCACGTGATCGAAACGAATTTCACGTGGGATCTCACCGCGATTAACTCGGTCAAAGCGACGATGGCGTTCGCTTCGATTCAAATTGTACCGATTGAATCGACACTTCGTCTGCTCTCGCGCCTGTCGAATTCGATCGATGCTTTGGAGGCTATTGCGAATGTGCTTCAGTTAGCACGCGTCACGTATGTGGAGATTCCCTGCACTACGGTTCTCGATCCGATTGAGCAGATCGTGAACGAAACGCCCTTCGATTCGAACTATGAAAAGTTCTTCGAGTTGTATTCCACGAAATTGTGCGGCGTTTGACCCGATTTGACAACTAGACGCGAAGCAAAGCATCCCTTTTCGAAGCTGATTTCGCTGATCAACAGCGAATTGGAGACTTCGAATTTGGGTCGGTTGCGCGTTGTTAAGACCCGACTGTCGCTCCGGCCAAGTGAATTCGGGTGGTTAGATTGAGTTATAGATACGAAGGTCTATCGCGTTGAATTGATCCCATTCGAAGTTTGGGTTTGGGTGGGATGTGACGTAGAATAACGAGGGAGTTTCGATCTTCGCGCTCCTTCGATTGGGCATGGCGAACTCCATGAAACGCAAGATTGTCGAGAAGTTCTTGAAGCTCCCCATCTCTACGATCCAGCACGACGCGAAAGTGAGTTCACTGGTTCCATGGAAAGTGTTTGTGGTCCTCGACGCATGGAACGAGTTCGATGTGGTGTCGGTTTGGATGGGTGAATTGAGTGCAGATATCGAGATGGAGACGAAATCGAATATTCGACCAGCCAATTCGAAAGCGACGCGTTCGCTTACGTCAGCAGTGAACTCGAAAAGGAACAATCGGATCGTCGGGTTTTCTTTAAAGCGATTGAATCCTAGACAGCCACTTTTCGTTCCTTCGATGGAATTCGGAGTCGGGCGAAATGGAGCTGCGATTGGCCGAGAAATACGACGAAGCTTCGATCTACAGCGTCGGCGATTTGCAAGCGCAGAGCGACGATTTCGTGAAGAAGAGCGCGCAGAAAGGCGTCAAAAACGCTTGGCGATTCAATTCTTTCCTGCGCGAAGGGATGATTTCCGCGTTCACGCACAGTCCAGAGTTTGTTCGCTATCAAGTATCCGACGCATCTCGCTCTCGATTCGCTCTAGTTCCTGGAAATCAGCGCCACATCGCTCTATCCGCGCTCCATTTCGATGACCCAAGCGGCTTCGATTCTCCCCGGCGCTCTCACCACCTTCTTCCACCTTCCCTCCGCCACGCTTCTCTCCATCGCCTATCAGTTCCTCTTCCACGACAAGGCCTCTCAGCCCGCCTCGTTCTTCCCCGACAGCGAAGCCCCCGTTCTGGACGAGAGCTTGTACATGCTGTCGAGCCATCCGCACGCGCTGTTTAAAGACTATCACGTCGCGTGGATCGAGCTGCTGCGAGCCGAACGGAAAGGATGGGACGTTCAGTCCACTGAGTCCAGCGGCGTGTGGCTTCGGTGCGATCTGCGAGACTTCTCGAGGACCGTGCAGCACCACTTCCTCAGCGAGGTCGACGGGCATCAGCGGACGTACATCTTCCGCGTTGAATCGCCGGCTTATCTTTCGAAATTGTATCAAATGCCGGAGAGTGCGGAGGAAAACGAAGCGCTCCCGCAGCTCCCCGCGCATTTCCATCTCAACAACCATCGGTACTCGTCTGTGTGTCTCGTGCGTGAGTCGGACGGACACCTCATTCCGTATGAAAGCATTTGGGGAATCACGCTCATCATGGCGTTCCGAATTAACCTGGATGACAGACTTCGCGACCGAGCGTACTCTCTGTTCCTTAAGCTGCCTCTTTATGAAGATATGGCGCCGTGGAATATTCTGATTACGGGCGAAGAGCTGACGTACATTGATCATGACACAAAGACGAAGGTGTTTGATCAGGATATGGTGCGAGTCTACTATGTTCTGGAGGCGATGTTTAACTACAAGCGAACGATTGAGGATTTCAACCACTGTGGAGACAAAGCTGGAAATCCGGTATACAACTTTGATATTATTAGTGATTGCGTATCGAGCAAGTTTGACAATCACTGCACAGATCCCGCAGCTCCGATTGCCTGTGGCGATGGAACTTGCAAAACGGATTACATTAGTTGTTTGCGCGACATGAATCTGAAAAGGGAAAAGGGTACATTATTGGATAAATATATTTAGAATGGCTTGTTCTAAACACGTTTTTTTCCTTTGCATTTCTGCGAATCAGAATCCGTTCCACGTTTCCCCCTAACTCTCACAAATTGTTTAGAAAAAGCGATACTATGGTAAGCTTTAGAAAACCCACTCACCTATAGTCTTGTTCCAACTGTTCTTGCGGTAAACCAAAATAGTGTTCTCTGAGATTTGTAGCAACTGAAGGAGAGCCTGCTCCTGTGAATAAGCCGTTTATTTACCAGGATATCTTTGAAACGGCGGCTCCCGATACTACTGAATACCGAAAGATCACCGGCGACTATGTTTCCACCATGAACGTGGATGGTAAAAAGATTCTGAAGGTTGCCCCCGAGGGATTGACGTTGGTTTCGTTGTGTCTGTGTGAGTTTCTAGTCTTTTGGCAGAAACCTGCATGAAGGAGGTGTCCCACTACCTCCGTGCTTCCCACTTGGAGAAGCTGGCTCAGATCCTGGAGGATCCTGAGGCTTCTGACAATGACAAGTATGTGGCGATGAACTTTTTGCGTAACGCGCAAATCGCAGCGGAGCTGGAGCTTCCGTCGTGCCAGGACACGGGTACTGCGATCATCATGGGTAAGAAGGGTCAGTACGTGTGGACGGACGAGCACGACGGGGAGTCTCTTTCGCGCGGCGTGTACAACGCGTACACGAAGCTGAACCTCCGGTACAGCCAGAACGCTCCTCTGTCGATGTACGAGGAGGTGAACACGAAGACGAACCTGCCTGCGCAGATCGATCTGTACGCGATTCCCGGGAACGAGTACAAGTTCATGTTCATGGCGAAGGGCGGCGGCTCTGCGAACAAGTCGTACCTGTTCCAGGAGACGAAGGCGCTGCTGACTCCAGGTGGGTTGTGTGTGTCGCGTGGGAGGTAGAGCGTCTGATGCCGTTCATCGAGGCGAAGATCAAGAGTCTGGGTACGGCGGCGTGTCCTCCGTACCACTTGGCGGTGGTGATCGGCGGCACGTCGGCGGAGACCTGTCTGAAGACGGTGAAGCTGGCCTCGGCGAAGTACCTGGACAACCTGCACACGAGCGGGAACGAGCTGGGCCGCGCGTTCCGCGACCTGGAGATGGAGCGGACGATCCTGGAGATGACGCGGAAGATGGGCATCGGCGCGCAGTTCGGAGGGAAGTACTTCTGCCACGACGTGCGCGTGATCCGAATGCCGCGGTAGGGAAGGCGGGGGGCGCTGAGACGCAGCCACGGCGCCTCGTGTCCCGTGGGAATCGGCGTGTCGTGCTCGGCGGACCGGCAGTGCTGGGCGAAGATCACGGAGGAGGGACTGTTCGTGGAGCAGCTGGAGCACAACCCGAGCCGCTTCCTTGAGAAGTACAAGCAGAGCCAGACGGACAGCGCGGTGAAGATCGATCTGAACCGCCCGATGAGCGAGATCCTGAAGACGATGAGCCAGTACCCGGTCAAGACGCGCTTCTCCCTGAGCGGCCCCATCATCGTGGGCCGCGACATCGCGCACGCCAAGATCATGGAGCGCCTCAACCGCGGCGAGGAGATGCCCCAGTACATGAAGGACCACATCATCTACTACGCCGGACCCGCCAAGACGCCCAAGGGCATGGCCTCCGGATCCTTCGGACCCACCACCGCCGGACGCATGGACCCCTACGTGGGCCCCTTCATGGCCAAGGGCGGCTCCATGATCTCCCTCGCCAAGGGAAACCGATCCCAGCAAGTCACCGACGCCTGCAAGAAGTACGGAGGATTCTACCTCGGATCCATCGGCGGACCCGCAGCCGTCCTCGCCAAGGAAAACATCAAGAAGGTCGAGTGCCTCGAATACCCAGAACTCGGAATGGAAGCCATCTGGAAGATCGACGTCGTCGACTTCCCCGCGTTCCTGCTCGTCGACGACAAGGGAAACAACTTCTTCGATGGACTCCTCTAAGACGGAAAGAGAACGACGACGACGAGGAGAGAAAGAGAGTGCGCTCAGAGTAGTGTGTGCTGTGATGTCTTGTGTTTGTTCGAGAAAGAGAAAGGAAGGAAAGAGGGAGAAAGGGAAAGGGATAAAAAAGAAGGAAGGAAAGTGAATCGATTACTTGCAAGTTTTTGGATAAGAATGGCGAGTCATTGCTTTCAATCCTGTTTAAATCGAATCCCATGGGTATGAAGATCGACAATTCGTCCAATTCGAAGGCCTTTTATTCTTTTTCAATCGATTTCTATGTGCTTGAGACGCCTATTGAAGCTCCAATTGGCTTAGCTGGCATGCTCCAATACTTCAATTATCGATGTTATGTGTGCTGTTATGTATTATTATATAAAAAAATACAAATAGTACTTGTCAATTTGTTGCCTGCCTATAGTTCCAAATTCAGTGGTTACTAAAATACCTGCACTTAGATTCAAACTAGACATTCCGGGATTTCATTTAGCTTCTTACAAAAATGACCATCCCATAGTCATCTTCAGCCTAATATCACAATCATTACTTGAATGACTCAAGTAAAATGGGGAAATACATACACTTCAAACAATAATCATGTCTCCCAATCGAATGATTGCAAGTATCATCGATTCAATTTACTTGCAAACTACTAGATTCATTTTTAACATTATTACCTCTCCACCGATTCCTCTTAATATCCTACAGCCGTTCTCCATTTCAAAATCATTTTTCATATGCTGCATTCTCTCTTGTCTCAAAATCATAAGTAATATCCCCATATCAGACTAATACTTCTCATTCCTCACTCCCCCTCCATTTTAACGCATCTGTATAAACTACAGTCTCTGTCTCAAACAATTATTCAAAAACCCACCTTCCATCATCCATCACTTCTTCCTTTTTACCATTTTGCTTGTAGTGCCCAAATTTCTAACTGCTATCTAGTCCTCGCTCTAACCCCAACCAAATGATTGTAAATAAACACTGAACAAGAATATGATACAACTAGCGAATTTCCATTAGAAAATCAAAAATATCCGTGTGTTTGATCGTATCTAAGATAGATTTCTTTGTGAGTACTAATCGCTCGTTATCATACTCCGCAAATTGGGTCGCACGAATAGTAATGTCCATAATGAACATTTCACAAGCGCGTGCAAAGACTACGGGAGTTTCTGCTGAGATCATTCGTACGTCTTGATCTGACTTCATAATTCGCTTTATTCTTGCTATCGGAAGGTCATTGTGCTTTTTAAGGTCTTTCTTGTCACCTAACAAGCGTTATACAGGAGTTAGGGAAGGTTACCTGATATCGCCTGAATGCTCTCTAATTGAGTTTTCCACATCCTCTCTAGTTCATCATCCATAGAACTTCTTCCATCCGACATTTGATGAAATAATCTTTATCCCGATTTTATCTCTTTCCTCTACTGTGTAAGTGCTAGAACTATTTGGTAGAATGCACGAGATCCACTCTTCTAACTCTCGTTTGTTAAAAATCGTTACACATAACTGTGAAGCCTATACATGTACAGCAATACATTTCAACGATGTTTGCATGTAAATCCGCATTTGTATCCGAATAAAAAGACGCTTCTTTTTAGAGAAGAATTTTGCGAATTTGGATTTTTTACATCATGTCAGATAGGTATCTTTCTAATAATACTGAAAATGACAGTAGTTCAGGAAACCGCCTTAATGATCCTTTTTTGTTGTTTTGTCGTTTCTGTCTAACTTTTAGAAATAACAGTCGAAATCTATGTGGTTCGGATGTAAATTTTCGTTCTTCCGAGTTAGAACATAGATGTCAGAGAATTATGAAGAAATGAGAGATCGGATCCGCAGTGCGTCAATAAGCATCCCAGCTGTGTACAGTAAGTTATAAATTAATTGGATTGAGTGTAGCTTCCAATCCCCTAAGTCCAAATCACATTAGCCGTATATTCACTAGCATATTTGTATGAACCTAGGTAAAAATTGTATGTCCCCTGTTCTTCCAACTCGAACAAATCCCATTAGTCTCTTTTCTCCCTACAAGCGCCCTTCTTCCGCTTCTCCTCTTCTCTCTCCCAAGTTCAAATCTTCCGGTAAACGAAACTAAGAACAGGTTGAATCCGTAGAATTCGATATTGACCCTTTTACGATTGTCCACGCTCAAGTTTGAATTGTTTTAGAGAATGTTATCTGTAGTGTATGTCTGTGGAAAAGACTCCACCACGCCGTTCTCGTTCAAGTAAGAACTCTCTTTGAACTCCAAGCGCAGACTCCGTAGGATCATCGAAATCGCATCGTCTCGGTGCTGCGATGCCTCGTCGATTATCCAACTCTTTTATTTCCAAAGTGGAATGTAAAACGAGAAGCCGCTCTGTGGATCTAAGTTCCCTCTCGCGTTCGTTTTCTTCCTCGAAGCCTCCTTCTCTGTCGCTCCTTCTGGAATTCCAATCGTTTGATTAACGAATTCTCTTCATTGTAGAGAGCGGAGAGGCGTCATCTTTCAAGGCCACACCCTCGAAGAGTTGCAAACCCTCATTAATCAAACCTTCTTATCTCTTCCTCTCGTTCATGTGTGTGTCGAACACCCCTCAATCCCTGGTCGTCTGGTCAACATTACCGACATTGACCAGTTGTATGATAATGCAGTTATTCATTTAGTCCCTGTCTCTCAATAATGCGAAAGTAGGAAAGAATTGAGAAACAAACAAGCAAACCATTTACTTTATTATTGTTATTTTACTATCATACTATTACTACTTCAACTATTAATTGTAGCACCAGTTGTTGTTGTAATAGTAGTATGAGCACTTTTGTTTGACTACACCTACTTTTACATATTCACATTTCTTTTAATGCTTTCTTTAATTGGTTTGTTAAAGATACCATGGAGTTATCGACAATCCCTCCTCTCCCCATAACTCGTTTTCGAAAATGGGCAATTCTGAGCTTTTCCGGATTAACCATTTGAGGGGAATGGGCCCCAAAACACTCATGAACCAAACACGTCCCTTCGAATCGTTCCCATAAAATCATCTTGATCTCTTCCATTCCTGTCGAAGTGACGCGATAGGTGTATTCCGTGAGTAGATTTCCGTCTCTCAAATCCTCTTCTCTCCTCCTCAAATCATTCTCCTGGTTTGAAAATCGAATCGTCTCTATCTACACCTCATCCTCCCTTCCTTTTCTCACATAGCCCACTTCGATCTCCGACTTCCCCACTTCGTTGATTACCTTTTTCACAGAGGATGTTTCACTGTACAAATACTCGTCCACATCGCACATTAGCAACGCTTTCGCCTCATTTCGATATCGATAATAACACGAGCTAATCTGCGCATGCTGATTATTGATGATTTCGGGCACTTGACGATTAATTCGAGGCCACGAAAAATCAACGAGGCGAACAAACCCTGTTCGGATCGATTTCGAAAACAAGTTTGTGAGTTTTTCCATGCAGCACGATGCATACAACACAACAAAACTCGCGTTTTGCACTTTCTGGTAGGCTACAAAGCTGCGAAGTTCTGCGTCGCTATTCGTATCGCTCACATATGCGCAGACAGCAAAGTCAACCTTTGCAGGGAGAGGAGTTTGGACACAAGCAACCAATGAGGGGAAGGAACGACGGAGATGGTCGTCGACAAGTGAAAAACGAAAGAGGTCTCCGTCTGAAAACGATTTTGAAGTGGGAATCAGAAAACGAAGGGTAATCTGCCCATGCGCTTGGAGAGAACAATCAAGCGTGTTGTTGTACCACCTGGATCCGTAGCGAACTCGGTAGTTGCAGGTCTGATAGAGAGGATAATCTATCAAGTGCTGGATGCTCCAAACCAGTGTGAGTTCAATGACTCCTTGTTGATATGTGGCAATCATGTCCACCAAAAAAGGAAGACAAAAATTGTAGGTTATTGATTTGAGATAGGAGGTCCGAGAGGAGCAAACTTGGGACTCTGGAAAAAACGGGTACGAAACCTTTCTTCAATGGAAGGCATTCACAATATTTACGGCACAGACTCATTCCAGTGCTTGGGAACAAAATGCTTGAATTTCCTATTATTATTACTACTACTATGTCTACAGTTTATAATTTCGTCCGAATAATCAACCCAGCTCTACACTTTGCAGCGTCATCCACAACTTTAAGGAAGGGATACGATCTTTCGCTTTTCAACTCACTCTGATCGATAGAGTACGCTGAATCAATGATCTACTCACAAACACTCTCGTTTCTATACGCTGAACAGAAAGGAAACGAAAAACACCGCCTATGGCTCATTGTGAATACTAAAACAAACAGCACAGCATAAAATGAAAAGAACAATTTTAGACATGAACAAAAACTACTCTACTTCCCTAATCTTGTCGGAACCATATACTTTCCTCCTGGATTTCTACTCGATGAGCCAATCTCCCCTATTTCCATACGAATACAAGTGCAGAAACGCGCAATCCTTCCCGCGATTACACTCCGGTTTTCGATACTCGGAACACAGACCATACTTCCAGCAAATCACAGATTCCGGCAGATACTCCACCTCCAGCTACCCCTAACGCACGCTCTCCACCCCTACACGTCTACCCGCGTAAAAACGTCCCTGCAGCTTTTGCAGCGCCATTTCTCCGATTTCCCGCGATTCCCACACCGCATACACGTTCCCTCGCAAATGGGGCGCCGTGTTGGATGAAACGACGCAGTATAAAAGCGGCCCGAATCGAAGGAACTCTTGGACAATGTCCTCCCAGAAGTCTTCGAAGGCCTTCCGATTCTCCTCTTCTGAGTTCTATAGAATGAGAGCAGGAAGAAAAAGCAGACATCCAGATAGGAGTACGCATCTTCACTTTCATCATTATGACTCTCTTCTCCTGGAAGGCGGAACATATTCTATGCATCACAGCAGACACAGACCTTAACGTGAATCAGAATACCGCGACTTTTCTTCGGAACCAAGTGAATCAATTTACATCGGTTTCCAAAACGGCAGCAACCTGTTCGCAGATAGGATAAGCAGTTCTCCTTCTATTATTCGATGACGTTCAGTGAAAACTACAGGTTTAGGAGGCGCAGCAAGCGAGGAAGAAGGGAGGGAATCGGACGAAGACGATTTGCCGGCATCCCGCTGGGCAACTTGCTTTCTAAAGTTTGGAGGAGCTACAACGACATACGCAATATTCTTTAGATAGGCTCGCTCTTTGTCTTCGGCGACTCGACGGTCCCAACGGAATTTTGCTTGCATTTCGCGAGAATAATTGTCTTCCTGGAGTCAACGAACAAAGCCACGACGCCTACATCCATCATATTGTTTCGTTCTTCCCAAAGACGTTGTTGTTTTGCGTGAAGCACAGGATCTTCTTCCGGTGGGTTTTCCTGCTCCTTCTATTGGTAAAATGCAGGAAATGGCAATACGGCGACTGGTTCCAGCTTTGTCAACAACTGCCGCTTCTTTCGATTCCGTTTGTTCTTGATTAGCTTTCTCTTCTCCTTCCGACCCAAGTGATCAAGTGTGGACCCCAGTTCCTCCTTTACTTCTTTGAATGACGGTACTGGAACTGCGGAGTTACACGGATGCGCAGCATTGGATTGGTAGGTTAAGGGTACAATACCAGGGAACGCTAGTCCAGCGAATACACTCTGCGGTGTAAACGGCTGATAATAGCTCATAAAAGATGGATATATTCCGCTAGAGTGACCGTTTCCATTCATTCGTATCGTATTTAAAACAAAGAAGAAAAACTCTATGCGCCTTATTCCTAATTTGGATGAGTGTCGGCAGATTCGCATGGAATAGAGTCAATTGTTCAGATTCGAGTTTTCCACCAGAGCATTAGCGCCTTCTTTCTTTTTCAGTAACGGCGGGCTTGCAGAAATTTTAGCAAAAATGGAGTTACAAACAGGCAACAAACTATTGAAGAGCAGTCCAATGAGTCGAAGACACAGACATGATTCCCGGTAATCAATTGGATCCCGCAATTTCAGTTCAGGCATATTTGTCTCCTTAGTCAGTGAATTAACGGCAACTAAAATAGAATAGTAAGCAAGAGTTTCAGGAGAGAGTGACATCGATTGTCGGCCTACACGTAATAATAAACAATGATAAGAAACTTACGCGTCAGAACTAAATCTAAAATGACATTTGATAAATACTCAAACTTCGGCTGGTTTATACTGAGTAACATTTCGCGCACAAGGGAATAAGGACATTCGGCGGTAAGTGCCATATATCCAACGGATAGAATAAAACGAATGGAGTCGTCTACCCACTGAGTTGGCCGATCAAGTGTTCGCTTTGCTTCTACAACCAGAGATTTCTAGACATAACAATTGCAATTATTATTGGTACATAGGAGCAATTACAACTGAATCTTGAGAGATCCAGTTCACTGCGCGACATCACAATAAAAAGACACACTTTTCTCACAAAGTAAGCATATTCGATGCTCACTCTGTATCGAGATAACACAATGTCAATCATTAATTGAGTTCGGTAAATGATTGTTTTCGGTAGCCCGTAGTATTGAGCCATCTGCGTGTGATCATCACCAAAAAGGCTTACTTCCAGCAGCATACTGTAACTACTTTCTCTAAATTCAGGATATTCATCCCATTGTTGCACGATGGTTTCATAATCAGGTCTTAGGGTGGGGTGATCAGTTGCGGCTTTATTTCCTTGAACTGATTCAATATTGCAAACAGAGGGGGCTTGTTGGTGCGAAATCGAGTTCATCTGATTCAAAATAAAAAACTTCTTGAAGGTTAGTGTCAACTTGTCAAATAATGGCCGTCACTTTTCAATATTTGCACCCTAACTTCAAATGATTTTGGGATAATGCGTTCTGTTGTTTTCTATTCGGAACAATCGAATCGACGCGGGACGCGCTCTTCTTTCAAGACGCATCCTGTTCTTTCAAAGCAAGCCGTTCTCCCCCTTTTCCCAATCTCTTGCCCATAGTTCCTCGTTGAGGTCCTTTACACCCATCTGCTTCAAAACGAGTATCAGGATGTTTTGAAAAACCAATTTGGTCCACTTCCAAAAACTCCTTCATTCAGAATATGGGAAACATTTTAGATTGTTCAACTGCAGTACTGCCATCCATGTGCAATGCCTAATTCTTTAGGAACCTGCTCAGGCCGAACCTACGATTCAGGATGGACCTCCAGTGGACACGGAGGTTCCCATGATTGAGGATAAGGTCCCCTTGATGGAATCTAAAATATGGACATATTTGCGAGATTACTACAAAAGAACGAATCCGGTGTTCAATGCGAATCCGGAGACTCCGACGTTTATTTCGAACAGTAGTTATATTGCAAGCGTACTTTGCTTTGTGTTTTGCTTTGTAATTGTGTAGAGCTACGCAAACTTGATAATTAAGTTTGTGAATGACTGGTACAAGAACGAGAGTGCGGATCCGAACGAACCTGTATATATTGTCGAGGTTGGAGCAGGCCAGGGACGTTTGGCTTATCTGATTCTCAAAAAGCTGATGTCTATGCGCCACTTTTTCCCCAAGAACGTTTCGAGACCTTTTGTGTATGTGTTCCTCAGCCTGTGTTTTGTAGTTATGTAATCACCGACTACACCACGGAGTCAATTTTAAAAATGAAGGCACACAAGTGGTTCAGCGATTTCGTTTCGGAAGGCGTCGTAGACTTCGCAGTGGTCGATTGCGAGAACATTCCCTCCGTACCTCCGCCTCTCTCTCCTCCACCGCCTAGATCAAGCTGGAGCTCAGCAACAAGGAACTCAAGGAAGAGACCTTGTCGAACCCGCTCTTCGTCGTGGAGAACTACGTGTTCAGCAATCTCCGCAACGACGCGATCCGCGTGGAGAACGGCTCTCTCCAGCGCGGCCTGCTCTCCATTTCCTGCAGCGACTCCTCCGACACCGCCAACCTCATCCCCCGCATGCAGTTCTCTTGGAAGTTCGCCGAGATGCCGGAGGCCCTCGTGGAGTCCTACGACCCCTCGCTGCAGCAGGCCGTCGCCCTCTACCGCCAGTCCGTCAACGTTCGCTTCGCTCCGCTTTTTCTCCCTAGAACGGCACCGTCCTCCTCCCCATCGGCGCCGTCTCCATGCTGCGCCAGCTCCTCAAGCTCGCGCGCCAGCGCCTCGTCCTCCTCGCCGGCGACATCGTCGGGTTTCCACGTTTCCACGAAGCATAGGGCTTCCGCGATCTGGCGCGCGTGGCGGGCCCGCGCAACCCGTACATCAGCGTGCACGGCTCGCTCTCGATGCCGACGAACTTCCACGCGCTGGATCTCTTCGTGCAGTCGCTGGAGGGAACAGTGTTCCACTCGCCGTATCTGGAAGGGTTCTCGGTGCGGGAGGAGGGAGAAGATGACGCGTAGAACACGGTGTACGTGGTGGGAATCGACGCGAAGACGCTGCCGTCGATGCGCTGGATGATCCACCACGAGTTCTCGACGTTCATCCCCGAGTCGTTCAACGTCACGCAGAAGTGTCTCAAGGAGGAAAGCTCGCCCTCGCCCTCCGTCGCCTCCGTCATCGCCGTGCTGCGACTCTCCCATTTCGACACTGACGTCTTCATGAAGTTCAAGCAGGTGCTGATCGAGCGCGGAGGCTACGCAGGGTCCTCGTCGGCCACGCGGAAGGACATCTTGTTTGATTTGAGCGCGGTGCGAAGCCAGTACTATCCAATCAAATCCACCTATGACGTCTGTTTTGAGCTCGCGCGCATTCATATGGGAATCAAGGTGAGGCAGCGGGGGGACGTCAAGGGTAGGAGTACGATACGGCCATCGCGCTTTTCGCTGATTCCAACGAGAACTGCGCGGATCATCATGTGACGTGGCACAATATGGGAATGTGCTATGAGTACAAGGGAGATCTGGAGAACGCTAAGCGGTGCTATCTGAAGGTAGGAGTGTGGGGGACGAGTGAGGAGCAGTCGCTGGAGATTAAACCCTCCTACAGAGAGTCGAAGCTGAAACTGAATAAATTGACGAGTGAGGTGCGTAGCGAGTCAGCCGCTTCAACCGTGTAATGCTTGTGATTTGGACGTGTTTGTTTTCCAGTTTCTCCCTTGATTTGTGCAGCCAATCAGCTGCGAGCACTTCGTTAGAAAATCTCTATCCTCACTAGATTATGGAAGTTGAAACAGCAAGCGATAAAGACAAGCGAATAAAAGAGCTCGAAGTAATATCGGAGGAGCGAGGTTGACCATTCTAGAATGAACTCGCTGCCGAGAAAGCAAGATCCCAGTCCCTCGAAGAGAAGGTCCAAGAACTGAAGAATCGAATTATTGAACTTGTATCTCGCATTGTTGGTTTTTTAAACGTAGAATAGGAAAGCCGAAGAAGAGGAGGAGGCCATTACGATGAAGGTACTTTATGCACGATGGCGCATATGATATCTAGTTAATGCGCAGAATGAACGAACTCCAAACAGAAAAGGAAGAAATCCAACAGCAGGCGAGCGCCGAAGAAAGCCATCTGACGAGCACGTTTCTCAAGAGATTGGACGAAGTAAGCAGTCATCCCTCTCGTCCACTGTGTAGCTACAAAAGGAAAAGGTTCAACTGGAGCAGAAGCTGGAGTACGAGCAGGAAAACATGGTAAACCGCCTCCAGCGTCAGATCCAAGCAATCCACCGCGAAAAGGCGTACTTGCAATTTTCCTTTCCGCTCACTTGCAGCGAACTTCGCAGCCGTCTGCGTGACGACACCCACGTCCTCCTAAAAACCATCCGCGACACCATCGATCTGCTGCAGCAAGCGCGCAGCGCCTCCGCCACGCCCGCCTTAGGGTATTCTGCACATGCATGTCTCCACCGTAGCCCCACGCAGGTGGACCTTCGCGAGGAGATGGAGGAGGTGAATCGCCGCATGGAGAACTTCTCGCTGACGCCCAGCGCCATTCCGTCGGCGTCCTCTCTCTCCGCAGAGCCGCTGTCCCCGCTATCGCCGAGTCTCATGGCGCAGCGGAAGGTGATGGAGGTAGGCGTGCGTGGAGGCGTCGAGTGCAGGGAGAGAGGAAGATGAAGGAGATGATCCCGCTGCTGAACGGAATGGACCGAACTCTGAGCAGGCCTGCAGAGCCTTATGAGTTGTCCAGCTCGCAGCCCATGCAGTTGGGAGGAGTCATTTTGGATGATGCTTCAACACGGCTGCGCACGGGGAGCATCTCGTCGTCCCGGTCCCGTTCGAATAGTATTATTGGAAGAGAAAGATCGCGTCATGCGAGTATAAGTGAATGAGTTTTTTGCATTGTTTTTTCTAAAAAAAAATTGACGTGATGAGGTGCTGGGCTGCGTGGATGTGCGCATGGACTGCAATGCTCTCGGTGACTGTATGGGCTGCCACGGCTGGGTCGATCGATCAGTGGACGTTTGTTGAAATCATTTCCGTCCCTGAGGCGAATCTCCTCTACTTCGACTTTTCGCTTGACAACAAATATGATATTGGAAAATCTTGCAATGAATTACTGCGCACCGTGTTCTGGAAAGAAGAAGCTGTTTTACCTCAAAACAACTTGACAACTCAAGATATTGCAATTACCAAAACAACGAAGAGCACGTACGGCACCTTTCTATCTTCCAACTGGACATTATCAAAGTCGTCAAAGTCATTTCATGTTCTTTCCTCCAGGAATCGCTCACTCCTCTCTGTGAATGACTGGAATATGGACACGTTTGTAAACATGTCACTTGCATTTCCAGAGAGAGGGGGATTTCACAATGAACTCCATATTCACAGCAACTCTTCCTTTTTTCTATTTCTACCACGGGGTGTTTATGTCGATATGGATGAGCTACGAACAGACACCGATTGGGAGTTCCAGACAGTACCATCGATAATTAATACAGAAGCATCATTTGATCAAGCGAGTGCCATAGTACTCCATGTGTCACGAAAGCCGGCGATTTCGCAGCAAAGTCAGCAATCGAGGCTCGATATTCATCTTCCTATCCACCTACGATATATTCTTCCGTTTGATGCGGATTCAACACATCATCGCTCCATTACCATCCCTCCTCCGTTCCTGCGGCAGGATTCACATATTCTGTTGGTCCATCAAAGTGGGGTGACTCTCTCTATTCCATCAGGAAGAGATTCTGATGCTGCTTTTGTCTTTCCACTAACGACTCTTGTCCTTCTGTCTTCTACCTACCTCCTCTTTGTCAAAATACTGAAATATCGCACATCGAATCCTTGTTCAACAAACATTACACGAATATACCACTTCATCGGACACTATCCCTTAATCAAGGTTAGCAACTTCCTTTTCGGTATACTTCTCTCCAGCAGCACGGCTCTTGCGGTCCAGAATAGCCTTGCGGTCCTTGCTCAGCTTGAGCTCGATGATCTCCACCTTGGAAGCATCAATGCCCACCTTCGCGCTGGATCCGTTGACCTTGTCGCGGTTGATTCCCTCGACGTGGATCACCCACTTCTTTCTGTAGACCTCGGTGACCTTTCCCTCCTTACCCTTGTAGGAACCACGGAGGATCTTCACCTTATCTCCCTTCACAACGGGCATAGCGTTGACCTGCCAAGTTAGCCAAAAAGAAGCAATCGCTACGTTGTACTTGTTCTTGAGCGCCTCAGAGAGAGGAGAGGACATCATCACACGGCGGATGTGAGAAGGGGCCGTGAAGTGAGCCTTGCGGGTAGTGCGACGAGAAGAAGACACAGAAGGACTACAAAGCGATTAGAAATATTCTACAAAATAGACTACACCTAAATGAGTCCATGCCATAAAAACGTAGCAAGCATGGCTCGTAATCTTAGGTGAGTCGTCAAATAAGGCCGAAACTGTGTAGTTTCTTTTTTAAAAAAGAGCACTTACTTGAACTTCATCTTGCAATAAATGAACTGGTATATTTTCTGATTAGCGATGGACTTCATTCTGGATTAGAAAGGGAGCGGTTTCATAATAGAATTGTACTTATATTTTCTAATAACCTTCCACCGAAACCGGTCATTTATTATTCTCAAACATTTCTCACTCTATTCAAATTCTATCATCTCCCTCTCCACGCCGATAGAAAGTGCTTCTTTTGTTCGTCTGGGCACAGCACAAAACCCTGAACTTTGAGCAGAACTCACTAATGTGGCTTCTACAAACTCACTGATTGCAACTCTGTATTCCTCTTCCTTCGACCCGACAGGTCGACTGCAAAACACGCAGCAAACTCCAAAATTGGGAGAGCCCAAGTGGCACTAACTCATCAGAGCGCGAAAGGCACCTACTTTTCCTCCACTACTTCCAAACGGAATATTGTTATGCCCAAATCCCTCCAGACGCAGGATGGTATCTGCGGGGGAGAATACTTTCGCTAATTCCTAGGTGAGCAGCAGACCCTATTTCTACTCTCTGCGAGTTTCGGCGATTAAAGTGATCCAGCGACCCGTAGATTAAAAGCTTCGGGCATATCACATTCTGCAAGTAGTCTACACAATCCAGCCCGCGCAAGTTTTCCCTCTGTTTTTTGGTCAACAGGCAAGAAAATACACCTGCCACTGCAGAGATACGGGAAACAGGGCTCTCCACGATGAGTCCAGCGATCGACGGATATTTGGCCGCCAGATAGGACGCCACCACACATCCCAGCGACCTCCCGTAACTAGAGTTAACGAGTAAGCAGAGAATTACACAAACAGAGGAGTGGATTCGTAGCGTGCTGTCTGAAAGTAATTCAGTGCAGCTTCTGCAGTTTCAAATATTTTACTGATAGTACACTCGCCAACATTGACTCCATATCCTGGATATTCCACAACTACAGTAGTCAGCGAAAGCTATTATTATTAAAAATGATGCATATTTTTCAATACATTTTTAGAAAGATACTCCGCTCTACATTTAAGAAGTTTGCCTAATTGTGTAGAGTTGTTGTGAAACATTAACAGAACTCCACGCGCACTATAAGAATAAGTCAAGAGTCGAGGGAAAACGTAAGGTTATCGATTTGGATACACGAGAAGGTATGATTTCCAAAAGAGTACTTGTGAAAGCAACTCTGCTCAGTAATGTATAAGTTATCGAGATCCCTAGGTTGAAGATAACCAGGGACACAATTACCTTTGTTTGGCAAGGCTCTTCGATGGATATGCTCCTCGAAATACCTTTTTTAGACTCATCCTTTTTCCGAATGATTATGCCAAATAAAAAACACTCTACACGAAAAAGAAAAAAATACATATTATGACCTCATAGGATATCATATGCGGGTAACAAGCGATTGGTAGGGGAGACTCTGAATAGAATAAAGTGTCCAATAATTCAGAATAACTAGATATTGGTGATTATTGTTGGATGTTTCTGGTTTGATTTTGGCATTAATCTGTTTATGGGTGTGTTAGGTTATGCGGATTTGTATCATCGGATAGTGTTTTCTTGATGGATTTTTATGGTATCATGAAATGTACTTTTTTCGCATGATTTATAAGGTTTATATATTGTATGAGGATTTCCCTATTCGTATTTAGTGAAATGGTTCGTGGAAACAATAACAGCTGTGTATTGCTTAGAAACGGGCTAAATATGGATTAAGTGAAAGGACTCTTTCATTGCAGCTGTATACTATTTTAATAGAGTTGTTGTTTCCTGTGAACCTTCATATTCCTTTTAAGGAATTGCTATAACAGTTAAAAACAATAACAATAACAACAACAACAACAATTGTAATAAGCTGATTATTAGATGTATTACACCATTTTAAAGAACGATTTGTGTTTGGATTATGCACGGTAAACACTGTAAAAAGAAACAAGTCACATTAGTTATTATAGAGAATAAAAACATATTCTTTACTTATCTTTTAAACTTATTTACTTGAAGAATATCTTATTTATCGTATTGATGTAGTACTATTTATTTATTTATTTATTCTATATCCTGCTATTATGCAACAAATCAACCGATTCCGATTCTACTACGCTCTCTATCGATCCCCAATACTCTTGCCCATGTAATCCTCACCCACTTGAATCTTAAGAGTCCACACACCCCTCCCATCAACAACAACAATACCTCAAATCATTGCACCCCAACTCGTTTCCCAACAAACAACACACTACTGCACACTTAAACGCGAATATCCAACAAATAAACCTGCGAATCGATCGTGGCCAAGCTCAACTTCTCCCCACTACCACAGAACTGCATATCATAAACACTGTTCCCCGCCTTAAACCTCCTCGCCACCTCATTCGACTATCCCTCACTCCTCCTTCTTTCTCCCACCGTCGTATCGAACAAAATCACTTCGCGGTCCTCTCCCGCGCTCGCCACAATCTTCCCAAACTCCCCGTTCGACTGCGCGATCCGCACCACCGCCGCTCTGCCCTCAACTCCTCTCTCTCCACGCGCCTACTCATGCTCCGCAAAGCTCGAAATCGCGCTCGCGCTCGTCACGTCGAACACTTTCACGCTTCGATCTCGACTGCATCTGCTCCTCACAAAACCCGATCAATCCCACGAATAAAACTGACTGCTCGCCGTCTTCGACGCCACCACCTGCATCACCTCGCCCTTGTGGCAGCTGTACTCGAACACTGCGCTCGCCTTCTCATCGTTCCACAGCTATTTCTGGAATTCCAAAAATCGGGACTACTTTGATCAGCCCGTCCTCGCCGCCAGACACCAATACCCGCTTATTCCCGGTCCACGCGATGCTGTTGACCTCGCCCTCGTGGCCAGGAAGCACTTGGATGTGCGGCTTTCCGGAGGCGGGGAGATACACGTTGATGATTTGATGTTTGTTGTCTAACAGAGAGAAACTCCCGCTGTCGCGCCACACCGAGTCCAAAATCACCGCTGTTTTTCACACTCCCCCAGCAGTCCTACCGTGCGGCTGGATCGCCGTCTTGCCGCTCCGCTCCGATTCCAGCCGGTTCAGCGAAATTGTGTCGAATTTCTGGAATTCACAAAATCGCCCCGATTTCTACCAGACTCCACCCCGTGGCCGAGGGCTCGTAGACGTACACGTAGGGCAGCGCGCCGGTGACCAGGATCGAGTTGGCGGGAGAAAAACTCGCGGTTAAAACGGGGTTTTGCAGCGTGCAGATTTCCGCGGTTAGGCCGCCTTGGCGGTCCCAGACGCGCACTTCCCCGTCGTAGGAGGCGGTGAGGAGCGATTCCCCGCGGTTCTATGTGAAATGGAGGGAGAAGACCGACGGACCAATCGATGGCGGAGATGTAGTTCACGCCGTTGGAGAGGGCGGTGTGGGCGCAGACGGGGCCTTGCGATACGGAGAGCAGCGAATCAGAGGAGGAAGAATTCTGAACGAACCACAAGCGAGCGGTCGAATCGGCTGATCTGTGATGTGAGAGAGGGGGAGGAAAAAGCTACGCGGTGGCAAGAACATCACTGTCTGGACACCATTTGCAGAAATAGACCTGAGATAAAGGGAAAGAAACACGATTACAGATTTCGTGTGGCCTTCAAGAACTTCGATTTTGGATTGGGGAATTTCTTTGGAATCGGACTCTTCCACTGCCATTGCACTCGTTTCTACGCATAAACTAATCAACAATCACGATACCCATTTCTCGCTTCCCAGAAACACACACATGCGGCGCAAGAAGAGAAAATGGAGCAATACAATCCACTTCCTCGCCATTCTACAAAGGTAACCACCATTTCAAATTCCATTACATCGTTCACATGTGCTTCTAATTCCATATATTGCAAAGACTTCTGGAGCAGTGATATTAGCGCTCCTGGCTTCACCTGGTCATCCTCCACTTTAACTTGATCAATCATGCTCTCATGTGAAAATATAAATGCTGTATGCTCGAACCCTATAATAAATAGCTGAAAAGAGCCACCTACCACATTCTACCAAATACCGATAAATCAAGTAGTTCACTTCGTCTGACCGAATTGACATGATGAGTTCTTACCAACAACAGTTGGCTTTATAGATGAAAATGGTCAATAATCCTATTTTTGGAATTCCATTTTTCGGTTGTTTTCCTATTTTTGTGTACCTTCTCTTATGATTGACTGCGATTCCTATTTTATGAGCTTGGTAACGGTGTGTAGCTTTGCATAAAAATCCATTACGCTTCACTCCACTTTCCAACAAACATGCCTGCAACCATTATAAGAATACTTGTTATTCACACTCTCAATTCTTTGCCTGACTCATACTTCTCCGCTTTTTACCACTTTCATTTCGATTCTCCACTCCCTTCTCAAACCCTTTTTCCCTCCGTTCCGAATAAAACCTCTTTCCCTTCTCTCCATACCCGTTCAAATCATCCCACAACATCTTCAGCGTCTTCTGCGACGAGTACACCGTTTCGTACTACACAACACTTCACTCCCTAAAAAACAAACAAGCGACCTGGACGTTTCCGCCAGATGGTCGAGCTGGTTGCCAATATAAATACTAGCGCCTGTCGTGTTTCGAAACGAGTGATCCGACTTCAAGGCCTCAAACGTCGAGGAGCCCAGTCCCGAAACCACCGCTTTGGACGCGTCGATCAGATCGCGAACCGTGGAATCGATCGACCATTTGCTCAAACACGACTTGAGCAAATCGATTGCGCGCTGCAGCTGCGATCGGCGTTCCTTCGAGAACTCGCTTCCCTTCGCCGCGCCGCTCGACTTCGCCGCTTCCGCGAGTTCGATGACTTTGCGCTGTGTTTCCGAGAGCTCGGAGAGCCGCCTGATCTCCTGCTCCTGTTTCTTCTCCCGCTCTTTCAGCTCTTTCAGCTCTTTCAGCTCGGCGAGCTCGTTGAAGTCTCGGCGCTCTCTGGCTTCTCTGGCTTCTCTGGCTTCTCTGGCTTCTCGCAGCTGCTTCGATTCATTCAGCGACTTCTCGTGCATGCCCGCCTTCCTGCAATACGCGACCTTCCCTGCCTCTCAGTCCGTTTCCACAGTTCCACCATTCACCGTCACCACCAACGTGCTAATTTCCTCAAACGACGCACGACTCAGCACCGTAAGCACGCGTTCCTGCAGTTCCGGAAGCACCGTGAAGCGCACCAACTCAACGCAGCGCTCCGTAGCGGCAATCCACTGCACGATCAGCGCTGCCCAGTCCTGCTCGGCCACAAAGCTCCCTTCATTTCACGCAATTTTATCAACAAACAAGGCACAATCACCTCCGACACTTCATTGAGTGCGGAGTTTTCAGCACAGCGGACGCTCGGAATCACTTCCAGACGGTTCGTTTCGTCTACGTCACACAGCTTTCTCGCCTCTACCCGACACCCAAATCGAATGGAAACTCCCGCCACATTCTTTGGCGAACAGAGAGAGCAGCGAGGGAATGGATGAGCTGTCTTGCAGCGTGTCTAGGAACGAATAACCGCGGGAATGTACAGCGAATGCGGATCGAATGGAGAAAACGCGGATTGTTCTCGAGAAGCATGCTGTTGAGGACGTGCTTCCCCGTCTCGAAAGAAACGTCGCTGTACTTCAAAATCTTGCGGAAGACGGAAGGGATGAACAGCACAAAAACGTAATCGCCATCTTGCAAGGAACAGCCGGACACCGTGCTCATCGGAGAAAGAATGCCGTTGCTGTTGAAAAGAACAGGATCATAGTCGTTGTGGTATTTTTGCTGGCTATGAAAGAGAAAGGGGAATCAAACTCGAATGTTGTAAAGAATGCTCTGGATCTTTGTTAAACCGTTTGTTTGTTGACTGAACATCTCCTTCGATATAAGAGAGATGATGTATAACTGCATCAAAACGATTCAAATAGAGGTACTCGTAATAGTTGCGAATCCGCTTGTACAGCTTGCGGAAGGGGTTTCGACTGCGGAGATGAAAACGGATGGCGCAGTTTGTCTTTCTTTGCTTCTGCGTCTGTGAAATCGATAAAAATAGGCTTGTTTGGGTGGGATGCGAAAATATCTGTTGACTCCGTTAGAGGAGTGATTTTGTTATCGATTTTCACCACTGCATTTGCTTCGATCATGTCGGGTGTGTGCTTCGAGCATTTCTAAACGGTTATCCTTCACAAAAGAACTCACTCTCAAAAACTCGCGAGCACAGTCCCGAATTGTCTTGCACGACGCTAGATCCACATCGGTGAATTCTCCCTTATAATAGAACTTCCTCACCTGCTCCATGATCAAACCTAAATTGTAAAGAGTGTGCGTAAACGCACCCGCCCCTCCTCCCAATCCATTCGAGTATCAAACAAACACCCGATTCCGCTAATATACACACATTAAAATATCTTCAGTGGATGACATTCCGTGTTAAATACGACCTTCTCAAAGTCCACCACGGGGTTCGGATTGAACAGCAGATACAAATACTTCAGCGTCTCCGCGGGGAAGTAACTCTCCATCTTGTCCTGGGGCAGCAGCTTGGTTTTCGTGACGTCCGGATACTCTCCATACCCGAACTGCGTCTTGCATTGCTTTTCGATCGCTCGGAAGATATCGTACCCCCACTCCCTACCCATCATGCATCGCCTTCTCTCCTACACATAGATCGGGTCCTTCGTCACCGTGTACAGCACATACAGCGTCTCTACCACCTCGGGCCGCAGCAGATACCGCTTCCCGTTCACACCCACCTCCATGCCCGCATCATCCGCGAACGTTACGTACTCCGGCGACAGCCCCGTCGGCGTCGCGTGGTACATCTCGTAGCACGTGTAGCTACGTCCCACCGCACAGCCATGCCTACGCCAATCCGCGCGCGCGCTCCAAATCACGTGATGCCCGCAGGGGGTTTCGCTCGTGGTGCGCGCCCAGCGCCAACATCCCGCCCACGAAGCAGGTCAAGTGCTGCATCTGCTTGACCTTCCGGTTTCCACGTTTCTCCCCGACGAACATGTAATGATCGCGCTTGCTGACTCCGAACAAATGCTTCAGCATCCCGTCCACGCTCGCGTCGTACATCGCTTTCAGCCGCTACGCCTCACCCGGACCTCCAGTTTCCACGGTTTCGCGCTTGCCGCCCTGCAGCCAGGCCTTCAACAAATACTCGTAGAAACTGTCGCCCAGCGCGCCCAATCCGAACGAATTCCCGCGGGACGCGTTGGTGACGCGGTCGAAGTGGGGTGAAGGTGTCCATTTCCGCGGGGCAGGATATGATGAGGGGGTAGAGCCCGTCGGTGGCGTTGAAGGCGGCGAGGAAATCGTAGATGCGATCGACGAGCTGCGCGTAGGAAGGATCGCCCGTGTGCCGACTCAGCGCGCGGAACTCCAGCGAGAGCGACCCGAATTCCGCGAGCATGGCTTTGTTTCCGTCGCTGGAGAGGCGTTGCGACGGGTTCACTTGCGACTACGCGTCAGAATCGCGGGAAAACCGCACGGACGGCAGAGCGGCGGTGGCGGGGAAGGCGACGCGGAGCAAGTCTCCGACCTCCCGGGCCTTGCCGAGCAGCCCCTGCTTCCCGCTGAGCTCGTAGGCGCTGAGCAGCCCGCCGAGCAGCCGGATGTTGTACTCGAAGACGGACACGTGGGAGTCTGCGCGGAGCGTGAGGTTGTGGATGGCCCACTCCGCCGCCTCGTCGAACTCCGCGCGCAGGCCCAGCAGCCACAGCGTGTCCAGCGAGTCCACCAGCGTCATCCCCACGCCGCCCCAGTTGTCGGCGAACCCTCCGGACACCGGCTTCAGCTCGTCGTGTCCGAACGCGCGCGCTTTGTATCTACCTCGGAGAGAGGAAACGGAGAAACCCGCGCCAGAGGTGCTGAAGACTGCGCTTGACGGCGTCGGCGCGGCCCGAGTTGAGGAGACGGTATTTCTTCTCGACGGTGGCGGGAATGGTGAAGTGATAGGAGCCGGCACGAAGAAAGGAAGTGTCCTTCTGCCGGAACGACTGCTTGAACAGCTCCAGATCCGACTTGTCGTCGCGCAGACGCGTCTTCATCCGCTTCGAATCTGACCGTCAGGAACACTTCGATTGGCTTCTACTGTCCACGATCACCTTCTCGAAGTCCAGCGAGCTTCCCGCGCTCCCTGCGATCCCCGCGGGACGGTCCGGCGCGTCGGGCGCGTCGGCGGCCTCCTCGTCGAGCAGCGCGGACTGGCGCGAATCCGGGTTGCCGCGCAAATCGGCTTCGTCCTCCGGCTGGTTCTCCTCCTCGGCGAGCTCCTCCAGGTCCTGCTGCGTGATCTACCTCGCAGGGTTTCCCCGTTTCTACGGTGGTAACGCCCAGCAAGTGGACGGAGCCGGCGATGCGCTCGGAGAGCGACTCGGGACGCAGTTTGACGAACAATTTCTCGCTGGACTCGGCGTCGATCTGCCGGTAGCGCGCCAGATCGGCGATCTGCGTGCCGCTGAGCGCGTCGTCGAAGAGAACGATGCTGGCGATGGTCCCGACGAAGGCGTACTGCGCGTTGTAGAAGGCGCCCACGTGGAAGGGAACGCTGCTCTGCAGGTAGCGAACGTCCTGCGTGGACTGAAGATGCTCGCCGTTGAGGAACACGCTCAGCTTCACGGGGTAGCGGAGGCCCCGCGATTTCGTGTCGACGCGCTTGAAGACGACCGCGAGATGCGACCAGTCGTAAATGCTGCGGTCCAGACAGCCAACCAACCAAACTTCGATTCCACGCGCACAGAGAACTCGCGGCAGACGTCTTCGCCGTTCGAGTAGACGATCCCGATGTAGCTCTCGGTGGGGGTCACGGTTTCGATGTAGATGCCGTAGCCGTTCGTGTTGGACTCGCCATACGCAGCACCTCGGCATTTGGCGTCACGGTTCGCGATAAGAGTGTGCTTCCCGCGCTTTATGTTCTTTGGGAGGTAAAACCAAATAGATACCTAGCATGAGAAGCGAAATACGAGATTACGGTTTGAGAATAATAATCCATCACGGCAGAAGATTCAACGTACACGCTTCCGTCAAAGAAATAACCAAAGCTAAAAAAGTTAGGATCCATTCGTTAAAATACGCAGGATGGGTCTTTATCATCTCTGAACTCATGGAAGAGCCATACATGGACGATCGAAGACCTTTGCTATTGTTGATACGGGGAACCAATGCCAAACAAGGACGAAAACGAGCCCTCTCCGAATTTCGAACCCATCACAATGGTAAATAAAACAGACACTCCGATTATAATAAAAAACAAGAACAATCCCAGGAAACAAAGAATTGCTCGATCAAGAGTTGTTCTTCGTTTTCTCCCTATGGGTTATGCTTACTACTCGGTTCTACCCCTATTCGGCATCCTAATTTGATTCATAGCAAACGATTGAATTTTAGTGTACGCACCTCTAAAGTAAAGTGTGTTCAGAATGCCGACTCCAATTTTACCGATCCATCCCACGCTCTCCCTGTCCCAACCACCAACAGTGTATTCAACAAACATCCAAACCAGCAACCAGCAACCAGCAACCCACAACCATCTTTCCGCAATCGTCCTCTCCTTACAGATCCTCGTCGTCCTCAGGCTCCGGGAGCTCCACCGTGGCGTACTTCCTCAAGAACCGCTCCATTCCCTCGATGGTCATGTCCTCGTGGAAATTGACCCATTTGGTCTTCTTCTCCCCGTTCTCCGTCCGCGGGTAGAACCGAATCGCGGGGAAGTTGGCGATCTTCGTCGACTTGTGGGTGAACTCGTTGCGGTCCACGAAGGCCTGATAGAACGCGAGATCCTCCACTTCCTCATAATCCTCCGCGAACGAGAAGAAGTACAGCTCCACCTGGATGCACTCCTTGCATCGCTACGCGTCCATCCCCGCCCTCTCGCCCTACCGCGGCCTCGTACAGCACCATCACGTCCTTCGCGGGGTTCAGCACATCGCGCTCCCACGTCTGCTGCACGGTTTTCTACCGCTCGCTCCGATCTCTCGCCCCTACGTTGCAGTTCGAGTGGTTGTCGATCAGCTCGGGCACGCACTCCGACACGTACAGACGCGTCAGCGAGTTGTCGAAGCGCAGCGCCTTCTCCAGGAAGCGGAGAATGTCCTCCGACACCAACTCGCCCTCATACAGATATTTCCGCGGCAACCCGCTCTCCATCTTGTTGTTCTACGCTGAAACGTGGAAACTGGGGGTACGTGGACGAGGAAGGATCGCGTGGGGGTCCACTGGACGCCGAAATGCCGCGCCAAACGCTCGTTGTCCTGGATCGCCGCCTTCAAACAGTACGTTCGGCCGAGCGTTTCCTTGGCCACCAGGTAGAATTCGTTGAGAATGTCGTCGAAGCCGGGCTCGGACGCGTTGTAAAACAGAATCAGCTGGTTCGTAATTCGCTTGCTCTCGAAAATCTCGCGGACCGTCTGATCATCATTACAGACCTCCCTCGAAACTCTCCTACGACTTTGTCTTTGTAGTCAATCACCAAAGGAAGCTCGTTCATGTCGATGAAGTCGCTCATCTGGTTGAAATTCGTCATATCTCGCTAACAAGATCATAACAAGCTTCTACCTCCAGTGAAATGAATCATCGTGTTTCCGTCGCTGTGGTGGAAGGAATACAGCGCAGCCGTGTCGGACTAGATGTGTGAGAAGGTCGAGAACGCAGGGATACGGTGTGGATGATCTCAGGGTTGGTGGTGTAGAAAAAAACGGCGTTGTTTTTGCCCATCGCCAGTTTTTCGTACGTTTCGAATTGATCGCACTGCTTTTCACGCACAGAAAGCAGGACCTACCTCTTTGGTCTCGAACACGCCGAGCGTCGTGATGCTCAGAGAGGTTTTGTAGTCCTCCCATTCCTCGGGAGTCTTCACTTCGATGAGATCCACGTAATTACGGCGCAGGGCCTCCTTGGCGAACGTACTAACATCATAGTAAACTATTGCAGATGGTTACATATCAGTCTGAGCAATTTTCAGCTTCTCGGGATCACGTCCGAAGGAATAGACAATCATGTAGGTGGGATAGGAGGTGATATTGTATCGTTCTTCTAGCTCACTGCTCTTCTCGATATCCACTTCTCCCAGATACACCGGCTTCTCCAACTTTGCCAAAAACTGTGCAGCGCGCACATACGGCTTGCGATGATTAGAACACGCATCCGCATACTATGCATAAGGCAAGAGAAGCGCACTCCTACTCCATTACAGAACATCAGCATGATTTCGTATGTGGTATCCAGAACATCATCAATATTATCGTCGTTAACCTGGATGATGCCGTCAATCATGGGAAACTACACCCTGACAAACCCCACTCGCTCCCACATCCGTAAGCTCCTTTTTACCCAATACAACGAGCAGGAGAATTCCGAGCAAGAGAATCTGCTTCATCGCACTCAATGTACAGTTGAATTCCAAAAAAATGAAAAAAAACTCATTTTCATGCAACAAACACGGCATCTATTGATTGCTTGAATATATGTGAATATCTTTCATCAGCTTTCGAATAAAGGACTGGAAGGAAGGCATATCCGTCACCGTCTCCACCTCCCACAACAATCGCTCCCGATTCTCCTTCTGCAACCCGGCCAAGGAGTCCAAAAAGAGCGGCAGATCGGTTCGATAGAACGGCACAAAATCGGAGAAATTAATGGTGTACCTACACTCAACTTCATCTCCATCTCCCCACAACGTCGAGATCATCTCCGCCGTTAGCGTTGTTTGGTCCTTACTATACAAATGCTACATGAAAACCCGCTCTCTCCCCTACTTGCAGCAGCACGATGCTAATCATCTGCCGCATCTGCGCCCGGAACGCGTCCGTCTTGAAAAACGGCAGCATTTCCGGGTTTCCAAAGATCTTCAGCACCATGGAGAGCAGTTCCTGCGGCGCGGCGTCCCACACGAGGATCTTATAAAGGAACTGCGAGAGTCGCAGCACCATTTCCACGACGTCCTGCGCGCTGGTGAGCGATCCGACATGCACCGAGAACACCTACGCGATGAGCGCCGTCTCCTCTATCCAAAGCCCTACCGTCTGGCAGCATTGCACGAAGAGCGTCGGGATGTCGGGATTGGCCGCCTGCAGGATCCACTCCCCCACCTGCGCCAGCAGCGCCACGATCTGGTGCAGGAACGCGCGCTCCAGCCCGCGCTCCATCACCAGCTGCAGGACCAGCCGCATGATCTTCAGCGCGTGCAGCTCCACTACCGTTCACGCCTTTCCCCGCGGGTACGCAGCGTCGACTTCGGGTGCGCCGCCAGGCGCTGCAGAACCGCGGGGAGCTGCTGCAGCAGAGACGCGACCATGGGGAGGAACCGCGGATATTCGTCCTTGCGGGAGCGAAGAATCATGGCGGCGTAGAGCACGAAGTTCCATAGAATTCGGCAGTTTTCGTAGTTCGACGCGCTCTCGCTCTTCCCGCACACCTCGCTCAGCAGCTGCGCCACGACGCCCAGCGCGGGGAGCAGCCGCGGGTAGATCACGCTGCGCACCTGGCTGTTCATCGAGTACGAAACGCGCAGCATCGCCGTCACCAGATACGCGCTCCGCGTGAACTGCGAGTTCAGCACCACGCTCGTGCTCCCGCGGTAATTCACGCCTCGCCGCGCACCCGCCGCCCCCGACGGGCCCAATTGATTAGATGGGCCCAATTGACCCAATTGATTAGATGACCCCAATTGACCCAATTTATTGGATGACCCCAATTGACCCATTTGACCCAATGGACCCAATGGGCCCATCTGGTTGGACTGGACGGACTGGGCGGAGCTGTGGAGAAGCGTGGCGAAGAGCGGCGCGATGACGGCGTCGATGGCCTGCTTGAGCTCGTCCCCGCGGGAGTTGTGGCAGAGGAGGTAGAGGAGGAAGATGAGGAGCTGCTGCTGGATGACGAGCGGGCACTGCGCGGTCTCTTTAAGAAAGCCGGAGAGGAGGGGCGAGAGGACTGCGGGTGAGCGAAATAAAAAAGGAAGAGTGCATTGGAGATTGGCGAGGTTGCGGAGCGGACAGTTGCTGGCGATGTAGATGAGCACGTTGGAGATGGTGATGAGGAGAAGGTTGGGCGGAACCGTCACGGAGTTGGTCAGCGTGCTGTAGAGCAGGTTCAGGATGCCCTCGATGTCCGCCTCCACCAAGCGCTCGTTCGACAAGAAGATGAGCTGCTTGAAGCACAGCAGCGTCCAGATGTAGAACTGCGTCACGTCGTACCCGAACATGTACGCATTGCTCACATAGCACTCGCTGGCCCTCACTCTCTCCCCGCATCCCTACTGGATGATCTGGCTCAGCAGCACCAGCGCCTCCAGGTTCCGCTCCCGGAAGTCCACGCAGCTCAGCAGTCGCAGCACCGTACAGTAGTCCTTGATCACCAAGGGCGGCAGCTCCCCGCTGCCGATCTCCCGCGCGGCGGCCTGCAGCGAGCCGCGGCAGAGCTCCCAGACGGAGCCCGCGCAGCGGCAGTAGACGGAGGGGAAGAGAAGCAGCTTGGAGAGGAGGAGGAGCGAGCGGTGCAGCACGCGGCCGGCCTCGCTGAGATCCTCGATGGCGCTGGCGGGGATCTCGATGAAGTCGCCGGTGACGTCGTCGAGGAGGTCGGCCTCGCGGCAGCCCGGCTCGTCCTGCAGAACGTCGCCTTCTTCTTCGAGGAAGTCCTGGGAGGGGTCGCTGGCGGCGAGGATGGGGTGGTGGTTGGACTGCAGCACGAGGGACAACACGAAGTGGAGCAGGTCGGGGAACGACGCTTGCTCCGCGTTGTCTAGGCGGGAAGGCGGAGAGAAAATGCGAACCCCAGTTGTTTTGGAGGAGGTAGTCCAGCGCGACGCTCCAGATTTGAGACAGCTGCAAGTAGCAGCGCGGCTCGGTTTGGGCACGCGTGAATTTGACGAGGCTTTGCAGAAAGCCTAGGAAGTTGAATTCGGGGTTGAAGGCGATGGCGGAAATGTAGTTGCTCGCAAGTTGGAAGATCATGACATTAAGTCGCTTTACGTAAATGATGGGGATGTCGTCGGTGTGTTCGGAAAGAGTCTATGGAGAGAAGAAGAAAGGAAGAATAAAAACATCGATTATGGAAGTAATGGTGTTGATGATGAGATTGTACACGTTTCGATAGGAGTACGGGATGAGTCGTTTCATAAGCAACTCATTGATGCATTTGATTGATTCTAAACTGCAGGTAAGATACGAATGGAGGGAGGGAAAACCTGAGTGGGTTTGTGTAGTCGTAAATCAGCTTAAAAAGCGGTTTGATCACCGAAGGATCCAATACTTGCGATAGATTGTTGTGCGGGATCAGCAACAAGATGATCTGCAACGACAGCTCGATTGTGCTCGCATTCTATGTGAAATGAGGTAAAATAATGATAATGATGTACAGAATTGCTCTCCAATACCAAACTCACAGACTTGATGATTCCAGATACGCTTTCACTATGCAATAAATCGAAAAAATAAAAAGTAGGAAACCTGATTAAACGCTCCACGCTTTCCTTTCGATCCGTTAGAAGAGGAATCGAATCGCCCGCTTCGTAAATCTCTTCGAGCATTACAAGAAGAAGGAGAAGCTGCGAGTCGCAATTCATAGCATTCTGCAGACCCGTAGCGATGAAACTAAGGACATCTTGAAGACTCGCATCGCCTTCCATGACAGAGATCCATGCGATCGACTACAGAGTCAAATTCCGTGCAAATTCACACTTTTGCGGTCAGCTGCATAATACTGGAGGGATAGGAATTGTAGTGGCTTATATAAAAGGAGATCTCCTTCTCGTGAATTATCTTTCTGGACGCATCATCCAATTGCTAAAAATCAAACCACGTAAGCAGACTTACAAACCAGGAGTGTTTCATGACATATATAAACGTATTCTGAATCACCAGGTGGATATTTGAATTATCACTACATAATATCTCCAAATACGCAGGCAAACGTTAAATCCATCAACTCGAGACAGATTTTCCAGGCGTCCGGCTGTTTCTCGAAATCCATGAACGCTTGGTCTGTTTTTCATTGAAAACAACAACTCCCACCGATTGCATTTCGTTGGTCCTGAGGAGTTGCAGGATCGAGAAACTGCGTGAACGCAGCATTAAATTGCTCGAGGATCTGCAACGCGGCACTGTTCATCTCTCAACCAAAAAATGATTAACTGTTCAACAAACAACACAGAGAACCCGTTTAGACTACTCATTCTTTCGTTTTGTCGCCAATTCCTTCCCGTACTCATAGAACGTGATCATCATAGCGCAGGCAACCGCCGATTTCACCATTCTGGGTCCCACGCCCTTAAACAACCCCGAAACGCCCTCCTCCTACACTCATCGCCATGCATCATCACCTACGCGGTACACGCTGCCCATAATGCCGAACGAAGGCAGCGCCTTGCCGGAGCGCACTTGCTGCTGCGTTTTTACGACATCAAACGGATTCACGAGGAACGATGCTAATGCTCCCGCCGTCGCTCCACAAATAAAGCTTTTCGCGGGTCTTGGGAGGTTCGTCTTCTTCACCACGGACCGCGTTTGCTCCAGACTACATCGAATTCGCACTCCGCGACGACATGAGCCAATGCAGCGCGGAGAAGGAGATATCGCGCAGCAGGTTCGTGTAGACGCCTTTCCAGAGGTAAAGCACGCCGTGGATCGTGGCTTCGTGGCCTACGCGCCGAATCGCGCCGATCACGCCTCCGGGCATTCTAGCGAGCAGTTAGCGCAGCGCTGCGTACCTCGCTTGCGCCTGCGTCTTGAGGAACTCCAGCGGCTCCACGCAGACGACGGCCAGCGTGCGACTCAGACCTCCCGCGATCGCTGGAACCATCCAAGCGAAGCTAGGTGATTAGGGAGAAGGAGGAATGGAAGGGTACTGGTGGTTGAAATACGGCTCGAGGCGCCATTTGATGCCGTCGTAGGAGGAATAGTAAAGAACCGAGTTGGGAATGGCAATCATTAAAGTTGGCACGAGAGCGCTATAGAATGCACGAACACCCTGGAAATGAATAATAGGAAAGAGTGGAAACGCCTTCCATGTAGATATTCTTCGTGGAAGCGAGAGTCCTTCGGAAAATGCGAGGAACGTATTTCATAGACTTGCATTGTTCCTGAATTTCAAATCTAATACCAGATTCAATACATCAATCAACTGTTTTCTCTCTCGGATCGTAAACTCCGCCTATATTCAAATTGTTCACTTTGCGGATTACCTGAAGATACGTTTTCACGACATCGAAGGGTGTTACGAGGGTCTTGGTCACAATCGCACTTCCTCCAGAAGAAATCATGCGTTGAATAAGAGGAACCTTCTTTTTATCGTCGGCCATTGCTTTTTAGGAGGAGCGTGTGGAACAAAGAAGAATAGTGTTGCAATTGCAAACAATGGATGCTTGTTATTCACGATAATGATGACTTTTCCGATGTGAATCTGAGTCGGAACTATGACTTCGATGACTCCGATGGCTTCGATGACTTCGATGACTTCGATGACTTCGATGACTTCGATGACTTCGATGACTTCGATGACTTCGATGACTTCGATGGCTTCGACTTCTCGATCTCGATCTCGATCTCGAGTCGAAGGAAGAATCGGAAGCAGAACTGGACGATCCATGGGAATCAGAATCCGAATTGGATGAAGGGAACCCAACTTTCGGCCTATATAACGACAGCAATGAATAAAACACAGCTGATAGTTCGGATCGTCCGCAGCGGCAACGGCCTCGTCGAACCGCTTTCGCGTCGCAACGATCGTGGCACACTTGCTATATGCTTCTCGGAACGCTTTCGCTTCTTCTGATCCCAGGGACAGCAGTTCGCGCTTCAACAAACGCTCTTGGTCCTCTTCCGGGTTTGATAAAATCATAAACGCACGCTTTTCAAAACCATCCACATCCAAGTCTTTATCGCCTCTACCCATTTATTGAAACGAAGACTACAGACTTGGATGGACGGATTGACACTGTCGTTCCCTGAATACTCGCTCCATCTCTCTTGAGTGCTTTCGCTACTGATTCTCGGTCCTTAAATGTAACAATTGCGCACTGCAAAGTTAGAATTCTTTTACATCAAACACGTACAGAATAATAATCATCCAGACGAACACTATCCAACTCGCCAATTTCAGAAAACGCTTTTTGAATCACTCCCAACCTATTCATCACACAAGAGCCAACAATCCGAACGTGAGATCCACTGTTACTGGAGATACGATGACACTCCTTCTATGTGCTATACAATCACAAAGACACGAAAATCATACTCTCTGCATCCATAGAACAGTTTCTTTTGCGTATCATGGGATCCCCCAAATTAGCCTTCAAGATTCAACAAATCTCTACAATCATGGAGTACTGCGACACATTCATTCGAGAAAAACACATAGATTATATCATTAAAGTTGGAAATGAAAAAGACACACTCACAGCGGTAGTTTTTGCTGTTTTAGCTGTTACTGCTTAGATCGCAACCGAACACTTACGAATGAGCGGTGCGTACTGGGGGCTGTGCGCTTTGGAAATTCTGAATGCTGGTGATCGAATGGACAAAGAGGGACTTGTGGATTGGGTTAAACAGTGTCAGAATGAGGACGGAGGATTTGGAGGCAATTTGAATCACGACTCCAATCTTGTGTATTTTTAGAGTCTCGCAAAAACGGTAGGTACACGCTGAGCGCTCTCCAAATTCTTGCAATCTGCGATAAGATGGATGTAATCGATAAAGACAAGGTAGTTTCCTTCATTCTGTCTCTCTACCAACCTGATGGTTCGTTTATCACCGACAAGTACGGCGAATTAGATCTCCGCTTCAATTATTGCGCTGTCCAGAGCATGGCCCTTCTCGGCAAGCTCGAAGAACTGGATCGCGAGCAAATCGCCAAGTACATCTGCAGTTGTCAAAACATCGATGGCGGTTTGTTCTTGCTCTTCTCCTTTATTGCAGGGTTCGGATCCATTCCCGGAGCGGAAAGCCATTCAGGCATGGTCTTCTGTGCGATCGGAGCGCTCTCCATTCTCCATGAGATTCATCGATGCAACGTCGATCGTCTCTGTGCTTCGCTTTGTGCTTCTTTAACACTAGGCCATTGGCTCGATTATCGCCAGGTGGATAGCGGAGGCCTAAACGGCCGTCCCGAGAAACAGTGCGATCTGTGCTATAGCTGGTGGAGTTTGTCTGCGATGATCATTCTGAGTATAATAGCGATTGGTTCTGAGTGAATAGACCACGTTCCACTCGATAAGCAGGGATTGATCAACTTCATCTTGAAGTGCCAGGATCCGCGAGGTGGGTTGAGCGATCGCCCGATGGACGAACGCGATTTGTATCACACGTATTTTGGAATTGCTGGAGCGATCATGCTTGGATATTTGGATGAGCAAAGTAGATGAATGAGGGGAAGCGAATCCTAATGAATAGACATTCCTTCGACGCATATTCATCCCGCTTATGCACTCCCCATGCCTGTAATTGAAAGAATGGGACTAACTGCTGAATTGTTATACTTGTGTTTGTTTGGAGACAACGCAGAGTTTGCTTCTGTTGGTAGACAGAGGAGTATGCTATGAACTTGGTAAGAAAGGAAATCGCCTTTTTGCCACCCTTTTCAAAGAACCTGTGCAAATCTGCTTTTCTCTATGTATTCCTTCATAGCGATCTTAATGTGTAGGGATCGGCTCGTTGGATTGCCCTGCAGAGATCCAAACAGCGAATTCACTGTATAGCTGTAAAACAATCTCGAGTAATTGATTTTACTGTGACTAACGAGAAAGATTGATATCGTATTTAGTGAAGAAATCACTGCTTGTGCCTTTTTCGAAAGAGAGGATCTAGGATACTTACTTGCCTTTCATTTGTCTGGAGCGCACTCTATTCTTGAGATTTCGAAGGAAGGAAAAGTCAATTACCATCGAACAGGAAATCCATCGATATCCATTCCAACAAAACACTTCCGGAGTGTCTACTATTGTGAGATTCAATCCGAAGAAGATCAAAGTGAATTTATTCCACCCATTCATTTGCTAACAAAAGGAGGTCAGAGCTATGAATTTTATGGAGTCGATCTCATTAATCAAATCTGGCTGATATCCATCGAATTCGCTCCCTGTCAAATCCACCAATCTCTCTTCAGCACACATCCCACTTGGCACATTACATCGTTTACTTCATTTGGCCCGTTCCTCTACGTAGGAACCGACGAAGGAATTGCCTACCAAGTTTCCTCTCATGAGCAACGCTCTGTCTGTCATCTTCAAAACCGTTCGATTTCCTTCATTCGGAAAACGAATCATCGATTAATTCTCGTGGATTCGCTGGATGGGTTGTGGATAAAAGAAGAAGAAGAAAAATCACTTCAATTCTTTGAGAATCAAAATGGAATTCGAAATGTGTGGAATGATCGTGTGATTGGCTTGTCGAATGGAATGATTTGTGTCTATCCATCGCTCGAAACGATCTCCATCGCTTCGAATCTCATCGATTTCTTGTTTGTTTCGAATTCATTATTGTTGTGCTTGTCAGAATCGGGGTCGGTGACACAAATTGAAGTGAATTCTTCGATTTGGAATTCGATGTCCGAACGAACAATCGAATCTTCATCAGCGTTTCGTGAATTGAAGCGATCCACCTCCATCATATCACACATTCATTCTCGAAACATCGCGCAATTCAACCAGCTTGAGTGGGAAAAGGAAACCAATCGGCTGTTTTCGCAGGTTTCTATTTCACCCGAAGCCGTTCGGTTGCATTTAAGTGACTCCATGATTTTGTGCGAATTGAATCAATCGCTTCCATCCTGTGTGAGTTCTCTGCTCGTTCTTGTGGAGGATTTGCAGGGCGAAGTGAGCGCAACGATTCACTCCATTGTTTTCAATGCAGGATCGTCGCACACGCTTTGTATTGCTCACACAGAGGACAGCGTCGTTTCGAGCATTTGGACACTCTCGTTTGCTCTCATTGCGATGAAAGAGCAGAAGCAAATTGTGTCAAAAGCCATTTCCGTTGGCTGGTTTTCGTTGGTAGATTTGGGAATTGCACGAGTTCGAAGAGAACAAATCATGCTGGCGCTTCCTCCTCAGCCCATCCATTTGATTGGCTCGTGGAAGCAAAATGATTTACAGGAGCAACTCACAACAAGTCTTGGAATCGATGGCGTGGAGTTGGAGATCGTCCATCGAGAGAAAAACGATTTCGTGTTTTTGAAAGGAAGCGATGAAGAAGCCATTCAACGTGTTCGTGTTGTGCTTTGTCGCAAGATGCTGGACCGACTAAAGGAGGGAAACGGGTGGACCATCAATCTGTCGAAGGATTTGGAGGCGTTGGATGAACTGATAAGCACGGTGGAGGCTGTGAATCCTGGAAGAAGTCGCGAAGAACGACTGAAAGCCATTCAAACTGTGTTGGAGATTAATGAGAAACTATCGAAACTGATTTTGTGAAGTGTTTGTGAACAAAAACATCAGTCCAATCGCTCTCTCTTCTTTTTAAAAGCCTCGATTTGTTTGTGGTATTGGCCTCTCTTCTCGCCTGTGTTTCTCTAAACCTCATTTCTTGTAGTTGCATTCAAACCTCTTTGGTTCGCGGAGTATATGCGCTCTGAACGACATCACTTTCGTTCGTCGAAAGCTCTTGAATCACCTGCTTAATGGAATTCGTGATCGCCAACTGCGACGATTCCCTGTATTCTTTCTCTAATGATTCCAGAGAATCGAGCTTTAACAAGGAGCTCAGGGAAGATTCGGTGAGTTTGGAAGGCGTTGGTTTGGGTGATTCGACGTAGGAAGGCATGCGAGCACAGATTAAATACGCTTTTTTAGAGAGAAGTGTGTGCATCACTGTGATTACATCATCCGTTGAAGGTCGCATTGTGAAACACGTGTGAGCAAGTAGGTTGATCATCTTCATACAGTCTACAGTCAATCCATGCCATAGTTCATACTCAGATCAATCGGAATCGAGACAATTGGTAACTGCGAATCGCCATTGTCCCCATTATCTTCGTCATCGAGAAATCCGAGTTGAGTAATGTATAGAGTATAGAGAGAATACAAAAAAGCAACTGATCGATAAAGATCGAGTTCAGTGACAAACCTTTCTAAAATGAATTCAAGAAACTGTGAATCCCACTTAGTAGTTCAAAATAGCATTGTCTTAAGTATACAGTATATACAATCGTTTCAGATCGATTCTTTCCCATCGTTGCTAGCTTTTCTTGCACTAGATTAAACTTTCTTTCGATCCAAAGCTGCCGAAAATCTTCCCAGCAAAATGTCTTCTTCTACAACATCACAAAAGGTGACTCAAATCAGACTGTCGCAAATAACTCGGCCAGTACTTCAAAGTCCAAAATCATTTCCAACAAAAAAGTGACAAAGAATCGTTTACTAGTGCACTCAAACTCCTTGTAACCGCTTCTTTGAAGAACATTTCAACACGCCGGTTTTTACTTCCGATCGCAACCACGGTTTCGTCTAGAACATAGAGTAATGGTAACACCCACGCTTTCTCCATTTTGGAAAGAATTTTATCTTTTTCCACCCAACCGTTTCAATTTTAAAATACCAAATGTCATGATCCATGAGTTCATTACTCACACTCTACACTTTTTACTCATTTTTACACTTTTTTACCATGGTAGAACAAAATGAAATGAAGAACTGTGGCGTTTCTCTCACTCTCCAGGACTGAACTTGATCGTACACAGCTAATGCCTCCCGCGATACTGTGACGAACAATTCCTTCCACGATTTTGTTTCTCTAACAAGGCATGTTCCACACAGCGTGGATGCATAGACAAAGACCACTGGAAGGTCTCTAGAATCAATCAATAATGATAGCGTCCTCACTCAATTCCAATATCGGCAATCATCACTGGGATTCCAATGGGGATTCCGAGGGGAATTCCGACCGAAGTCCCAGCCAAACTACCTGGCTGGAACGACAAAGGAGCTGCATTGATCAGATCCAGCGACTCCTTGCTTGGTATTTCAATGTCATCTTCATTCATCACTTGAAGTGCATCCGTTGCTGAATCAGATGTCGATTCCTGCTGTGTAGGATAGATGATAAAGTAGATGGGAGAGAAATCGTGTCTGCGTTTTGATACTTCTCTCATTCACACTTACATAGCCAAGCAGGAATCGATCAGTTCGTACACATTCTTGACTTTCCCACACTCAATCTGCTTCAGAAGCTTTCCATACTCCACTTCACTGAGTTCCGCTTCGACCTTGACACGCGCTAAAAGTGATTGTAACGCACTATCGATGATTTCGACCTTTTCTTCCTCCATTTCACTAATGACATGTTGGATAAAGGGAGTATCATGCCTTACATAGCCAGGATAAGGTCTTTCTACCACTGTGGAGACTAAAACTGGTTGTTGTGTGTAAGTGGCGGATGGATCAAAGGAGAAAACCCCGCCTGAAGAATACTGTGCATTTGTAGATTCCGAGCTGTTTAGGAGTTGGTCGCTATCTGACACATTCAGATCATTCGTTTGAACACTGAGCGGATCTAGGATCACAGGCAACTCCCGATGTAGTACGAGGCGTTGGATGCCGAAAAACGTAATAGGATGAAGAACGAGCCCGTTCCCCATGATTCGTTTGAGACAGGTCAAATCTCTCTGTAGGCACAGACATCGTTTTAATCAAACAAAAGAAATCGAATAAAGAGATAAAATAAGATATAAGGTAAAAACACGGCCAACTGAGAAAAACACGACAATGATTACTTCGGCTTCTTTCCAAACAGCGAAGAAAACAGTTGATCCACATCAATATTCGCAGGAGGATACTTCTCCGGCGTGCAAAAGTTCTGCAATTTGGGATGGACCGTGTAAATCAGCTTGCGCCCTTTACTCGCCTTCCGCTGTACTTCCTTCTTCTTCGACTGTCGTTTCTGCAGCAGCGTCGCTGTGTTGTTCATCGAGAGAGCAGCGTACTGATTTAGCAAACTGTTGTAGAAATCTTGATCATCATACACGCTCCCGTTGCGACGTTGTCCATCATCCTCGGGATTGCTCTCCTCTCCGACGATCTGGTAATCTCCGCGGAGAACAGTGCATCGTTTGTGCCAACGGATATCATCTTCGAGGATGCTCTCCACTTGGTCGAAAATGCTGCGGTTCATCGCAGTGAGCTTCAGCGTTTTTCCCGACTGCACCTGGGCGCGCTTTTCCCAATGCTCCGCGGTAGACTCTTCCCAGGCGCGTTTGCGTGTAGTCATTGCGTTCAGACAGGCGAACAGATGATTTCCGTCGCGCGGAGTGAGCGAAGAGGCCATGGCTTTCACGCTCCCAAAAGTCGCGGGATTTCCATACAGATCGTCAATCCGCTCAGCGATTTTCATATCGCACTGAATCATGTTGTCAACGAGTCCAGAAAATGCTGGAAATAAGAAGGAGGGAACCAAACTTACAGGATTGAAGAGAATTCATCTTTGTCTTGATTTCTTCATTTCGGTTTACGAATTCGTTGCGCAGCTTTCCCTATAAATGACAAAAAGCAAAGCGATGCAACTTGAGGGAGCTTGTTCATGAGAACGAGAAGGCTCTGCATCTTGACTCTCATATCAACGAGTTCATCCAGCAGCTGTTTCTGTTTCTTTGCAATTTCGGTTCTCTGCTTTGTTCGCTCCTGAGACTTTCCATTCAGCAACTGCAGGCCATTGTCATCACTATCGCTCTCAAAAGACATTTCTATAATCGATTGAAATCCCGAAAAGTGAGTCAAGACAGAACACCCAAATTTGGCTGAAATACTGGAAAACCGGAAAATGTCGGAATTCGAACCAGTAAGAATATCAATTTCAAGGTTTCCTTGTGTCTCTTTGGACGTGAACGAACGGTTAAAGAGTTTTAATTAAAATGGCACCTGCTACATTGAACAAAAAGAAGGTAGAGCAAGCGGAAGACGTTGGTTTGTTGAAACCAGTCAGCTTTGCAGAGGCAGATACTGGATGCAAGGATGAGTGCGATGACACTTTCTCCCCTGTGCTCCGTTACTCCATTCTGGGTCTTATTTGCCTTCTCGCTTTTCTGATTCGTCTATTCGCCGTTGTGCGTTACGAGTCTGTAGTGGTTTGCAGCGGTCATGACGGCTAGGTAATTCACGAGTACGATCCCTGGTTTAACTATCGTGCCACCAAGTTCCTGTCGTGGTCCGGCCCGTACGAGTTCCTCAACTGGATGGATGATCGTTCCTGGTATCCTCTGGGTCGAATTGTGGGAGGAACCGCGTATCCTGGCTTGATGGGAACTTCCTACGTGGTGCACAAGATTCTGAACATGCTTCACTTCACAATCCAGGTGCGTAACGTGTGTGTGTTCATCGCCCCCATTTTCGCTGCCGCCACGGCCATCGCGTCGTATCTCCTGACCTACGAAGCGACGCGTCGCACGAACACGGCTCTGCTGGCCTCCGCGCTGGTGGGTCTGGTTCCCTCGTACATCTCTCGGTCTGTGGGCGGCTCGTACGATTACGAAGCGGTGGCTATCTTCGCGATGATCTTCACGTTCTACCTGTGGGTGAAGAGCGTGAACACCGGCTCGCTCCTCGTCTCTGCGTGCTGCGCGTTGAGCTATTTCTACATGGTGGCGTCGTGGGGAGGCTACGTGTTCATCATCAACATCATCCCGATTTACGTGGTTCTGATGGTGCTCATCCGTGCGGCTCGCGCTTCTCCTTGACGCCTAGGCCGGTATTCGCATCGTCTCTACATCGCGTACACGACCTTCTACATCCTGGGCTCGATTCTGGCGATGCAGATCCCCTTCGTGGGCTTCAACGTGGTCAAGCAAGCCGAGTGCATCATCTCCCACGGCGTTTTCATCGGTCTGCAGTGTATTCTCCCCTCTCTCGCCCTTCCTTCTAGGCTACGCCTTGCTGGTGTTCGCCTACGACCAGCTCCCCAAGAAGTACTACCGCTATCTCCTCTACGCGATCTTCGCGTTCGTCGTCTCCGTCGTGATTCTCCTCGTTCTGATCCAGGTCCTCGGGTGGTCCCGCCGCGCTCGGCTCATCCGTAGAGTCACTCGCTGGACGGGCCGCTCGCTCACGCTCCTGGACCCCACCTATGCCACCAAGTACATCCCGATCATCGCGTCGGTCTCGGAGCATCAGCCCACCACGTGGACCACCTTCTTCCTCGATCTCCAAATCGTGGTCCCGCTCGCCCCCGTCGGCATCTACCTCCTCTTCAAGGAGATCAGCGACGGCAACATCTTCCTGATCCTCTACGGCACGGTCTCGTGGTACTTCGCGGGCATCATGATTCGTCTCATGCTGACTCTGGCGCCCATCGCGTGTATTTTGGCCGCGGAAGGCTTCTCGGGGCTGATTCGGCGCTTCATGGCGTATCTCCGCTACGCGGGACAGGACGTGGAGGTGAATAAAGAGAAGAAGAGTGATGAATTCGGAACGGAGCTCATGCAGAGATCCCGACGCTCGCCACGCCGCCCGTCGTGAGCGTGCTGTTCGTCGTCTACGCGAGTCTGATCTTCTACACGATGCACTGCAGCTTCATTTCGTCGGAAGCGTACTCCTCGCCCTCCATCGTGATCGGTTGGCTTCTTCTTCTCTTCTCCCTTCTAACTCGCAGCGTCGCAGAACCGCGATGGCACGCGCACGATCCTCGACGACTACCGCGAAGCGTATTACTGGATGCGCATGAACACCGACGAGCACGCGAAGTTCATGTCGTGGTGGGACTACGGCTATCAAATGGCCGGCATGGGCAACCGCACCGTCATCGTCGATAACAACACCTGGAACAATACGCACATCGCTACCGTGGGTCGCGTACTTTCTTTTTCTCTCTTTGTTTTTTAACGCGCAGGCGTTCGCGTCCACCGAAGAGCAAGCCTATCCGATTCTCCGAAGCCTCGACGTCGACTACGTGCTCGTGATCTTCGGCGGCTTCATCGGCTACAGCGGCGACGACATCAACAAATTCCTCTGGATGATCCGCATCGCGTCGGGCGTCTACCCCGACGACGTGCAGGAGGCCAACTTCTTCAACGCGGGGCAGTACCGAATCGACGCCGACGCCACGCCCACCATGCGGAACTCCCTTCTCTACCGCCTCTCCTACTACCGCTTCAGCGAGGTGCGGCTCAGCTACAACCAGCAGCCCGGCTACGACGTCAACCGCCACGCCGTCGTCGGCGTACTCTCTGCCCCGCGGTTTTCCCCCTAGGAGAAGCACATCCACCTGAAGTACCTCGAGGAGGCGTTCACCTCGGAGCACTGGATCGTCCGCATCTACCGCGTGAAGCCGCGCGCGGCGACCGACCCCACGGCGTCGTACCAGGCGCAGCACGAGCCGCGGCTCCCCGCGGAAAGCGGCAAGGAGTACCGGTTCGTGGGGTGCACGGCGTCGGAGTCGGCGTTCTCGATCGACCGCGTGTACCTGGGCGGCGCGGCGGGCGCGTCGTTCGAGCTGGCGCGGGAGCACGCGCGGAGCAACAACAAGCGGTACTTCGCAGTGTCGAAGCTGGGGTCGGAGGGCCACGTGTTCGCGTTCAACGCGCTGGTGAAGGCGATCGGAAAGGGCGTGGAGGGCGGATGCGAGCAGCCCTGCGAGGACGACGCCGAGAAGTTCTGCGGGTGCATCGACAGCGCGTGCACGGAAGGTAGGAGTGGGGAGCGGCGTGGAGCGAAGACGCGCCCGAGGGAGAAGAGTTCAATCGACGGTGGGCCGTGTATGAGCGCGTGCGCGATGCCAAGGCGGCGAGGAAGGGGCGCAAGGGAAAGAACTAGAGGGGACGAAGGAAGAAAGGGGGTTGTATTGTGTGATGTGGTGTGGTGTTTGTTGGAGATCGGCAAGGAAATCCGGATTGCATAGTTTTTTGGTACTGTTGTCGGCGGTTTGCGGGAAATGAATCCGGAGAATACAAAGATTGGATTTATTGGAATTGGCGTGATGGGAAAGTCCATGTGCCGTAATCTTATGAAAAATGGATATAAGGCAACGATCGTGAGTATTTGGAGCAAGCTCGACTCTAGTATAATCGTACTGCTGAGAAGTGCAAGGAGTTGGCTGCTGAAGGAGCTGTGGTTGCGAATTCGCCCAAGGAAGTGGCCGAAAATTCTGATGTCGTGTTCTCGATCGTTGGGTATGCTTTTTTTTCACGCGTGCGATCTAGTTTCCCCTATGATGTTCGAGAAGTGGTTCTGGGAGAAAACGGCATTTTGGCCGGTATCCATGTATAATCTTGCTCATTCATCGGCCTATTATGTAGGAAGGAGGCATCGTTGTGGACATGACCACCAGCCAGCCTTCATTGGCTGTAGAAATTTACGAGGCCGCCAAGAAGAAGAATGTATTCTCTCTGGATGCCCCGGGTAAGCTCCAGCTCATCGAGTGTGTAATGCGTAGTGTCTGGAGGCGATGTCGGCGCTCGCGATGCGAAACTCGCGATTATGGTCGGAGGAGACCGCGAGATCTTCGATCGTGTCATGCCTCTCTTCCAAGTACGTGAATCTTCTCTTCATTTGATCGTAGTGCATGGGAACGAACATCCGATACATGGGAGGAGCGGGCTGCGGCCAGCACACCAAGATGTGTAATCAGATTCTCATCGCCACGAACATGGTAATGCTTTCTATGCTTTCCCTTCTGTCCAGATCGGCGTTTGCGAGAGTCTTCTGTATGGGTACAAGGCGGGATTGAATCTCGACGATGTGATTGCTGCCGTGAGCACCGGCGCAGCGGGCTCGTGGAGTATCAGCAATCTCGGCCCGCGCATGGTCAAGCGCAACTTCGATCCCGGCTTCTTCGTGGAACACTTCATTAAGGATATGGGAATCGCTCTGGACGAAGCCAAGCAGATGAATTTGTGCTTGCCGGGACTCGCGCTCGCTCACCAGCTGTACATGGCGGTGAAGGCGCAGGGCCACGGGAAGTTGGGCACGCAGGCGCTGCTGCTGGCGCTGGAGCAGATGAGCGGCTTGAAGGACGGAATTGCGGCGCAGAAGTGAGAAAATGTTTGTTTGACATGCGATGAAACGCCCGCTTCGATTCTATTTTGGAAAAAAAAAGAAGAAATGTCGAATACTGCGATACGTCGAATTCATGCTGTGAGGTCTACTAGGGTGTTGCTAAGCAATTAGGATATTCGTGAGCTGCAAAGAGAAAACAATCCAATGATTCAAGCAAAACCGTTGGAGGTGTGTTTTTGCAGGAAGACTAATAGCTAGGATAGTTTGTTCGAGTGGCATTTCACGATTCATGGAGCACCGAATTCAGATTATGAAGGAGGCATATATCATGGGCGCATTCTTTTACCTCCCGAATGGCCGATGAAGCCTCCACAGATTATCTTCCTAACTGTACAGGTGGGCGAATGGTGTAACGAAAAGGAAAGTGGACGTTTTGAGGTGAACAAACCGATCTGTCTTAGTTTTACTGCCTACCATCCAGAAGAATGGCAGGCTTCTTGGGGTAGTACGTGGTTTCTGTGTGGTTTGAGCGTAGTACGAACAATTTTGGAAGCAATCATCAGTTTTTTCCCGGTTGAATCGAGCGGAGCCATCGGCTCCATCACATGCAGTAGCACGATGCGGAAGCGATTTGCAAAGGAGGTAAGCGCCGCATCGGGACGAGTAACCCGCAGAGTCGCTCCTACTGCTGTCCGAAGTGTGGGCCGATCGTCGATCTGATTCCCCCTCTGACCAACGAGATCATTCAGAGTTACTACACTTCCCCCGCGGCACAAGACAGCGAAACTCCCCAAGACAACGAAACCGACCCCACCGCGGGGGAAGGCAGCGAGGCAGGCGAAGCCGAGATCCCGCCAAATCCCGCCCCAGGCGAAGACGGCGAAGCTGGCGAAGCTGGTCAATCTACGGACGAAGCGGGTCAATCCGGTCAATCCGGTCAATCCGCGGGCGAAGCCGAGTCCGCGGCGGTCAACGCGGCGAGTGCGCATCCCCGCGGGGCGACGGTGCGAATCAACGGGGAGGAAGTGCCCGTCAGCGAGCTGCTGCTCCGCAGTCGCTACACCCGGCCCCTCATCCCCGCGGAACCTACGGAGCCCACAGAACCCGCGGAACCCACAGAGCCCACAAAACCCGCAGAACCCGCGGGACCTGCAGAACCCGCGGGACTGGGTGTGTCGGGGAGCGGGGCGTGGACGGAGGAGGGACCGCGGGAAAGGACGAGACTGGTGCCGGTTTTCATCCCGGTGGTGGTGCCGGTGGAGCGGAGCGCGCGGAAGGAGGGAGAGAAGGGTAGGAGCGAAGGCGCGGAGCGAGGCGTAGGCGGACAGCAGAGTGTGTGCATGAAGGTCACGACCATCGGACTCAGCGTGATGATCCTGCTGAGCTATCTGATGATTTTCTTTTTGCAGATGTACGATTGGAGTGTTTGTTGCGAGGAAACACGGAACAGGAAAGGAAAGGAAAGGGGCAACAAAACTATTTCTTCTTGTCCTTCTTGTCCTTCTTTTCTTTTTTGTCCTTTTTCTCCTTTTTGTCTTTCTTCTCCTTCTTCTCCTTCTTTTCTTTCTTTTCTTTCTTCTCCTTCTTTTTCTCTTCCTTCTTCTTCTTCTTCTCCTCTTCCTTCTTCTTCTTCTTTTCCTCTTTCTTCTTCTCTTTCTCCTCCTTTTCTTTCTTCTCCTTCTCCTCCTTTTCTTTTTGTTTCTACAATTCACGACTTCATCGCTGATTTGCTACCTGCTCACGAAGCAGTTGCTCGCGTTTTTGACGCTCCTTCGCTTGCTTATCCTTCACTGCTTCAAGCACACTCCACACTTTTTCAACTATATTGCTGGGAAGGTGGCAACAGTTCTTTACAAAGTTGATAAACTTGGCTTTCTTACGAGGAACATTTTCCATCGACAGCAATTTATTCAGAGGCTCTTTTAAGGAAGGATCTTTGTTGTTCGCCACAGCTCCATCCAACATTCGCATCCACTCCAACTGTGGGTTCTCCTTCTTCTACACAATCATTCAAGCCATATGTCCCTCACTTTGCCAGCGTTATACAGCTTTCCCTGATATTTTTCCTCTTCAGTAATGCAAGTATTATGGTTACGAGCTGCTGTTAAAGAAAAATCCTTTCCACAGTCCACACACGAAAAAGAATTTGAACCACAACGTTTTGAGTGTTCGTCCACTTTCACCTTTCGGATTGTCTCCTGGCATCGATTACAAACAAAATATACCATTTTCGCAATAACAGCAATCAACTATACCTCACTATCCCTTCCTTGTTCTTTTCTGACTTTCGTTTTTTCACTGCCGCTCTTTTATAATTACTCTTTGGGGTATTATCAAACGATCGAACTTGTATGCTTTTAAATTGTTAATACTTCCGGTACGAACTATTCTCTTTTAGTCAACAACTTTGGCATGTTCAATCAAGGTTCGATTCGTGTTGTGCAATCTACCATTTATTGCATAATCCTCCTTTTGCCAGTATTGGCGAGTTCAGAAAGTGGATATTCGAAGGTAATTGACGTATTCTCTGTATTTTGCGATTTCTTGCGTAGATACACCCCGGAACGGATAAAACGATATGCATACCGGGCGGCTCCAACCCGTTGCTGCTCTTTTCTTATAGGGAGATCACTCTCTCGAGCAATTATGAAACTATCGACTATTCGGTGGACTCTACTGACTCGAGTGGATTTCGTTTCCTAGGGAGTTTCGCTGATTTGTTCCATATGTGACATCCCTCTCTTTTCTCTATTGTAGTGTCTGTATTGGCTGCAGTCGCGTGTTCTACGATACCTACAACCCGGAACCTGATCTGTCCATTCTCTATCTATCTCCCTTCAAGCGCTCGTGCATCACATTGCACAACACGCGCAGTCGATCCAACATCGCAATGCACATCACAATCCACATCGAAAAGAGTGCTATTTTTTTTATTTTTCCGAATCTGATTCTTAGAAACCTTTCTCTTCTATCCCGCTCTGCTCACTTCCAGCTGCATTCTCTTCTTCTACGCGAAATAGTATTTCTCTCTGCTTCTTTTGTTTCCAGTCTGTGCATCACGCAGACCTTTTACTACGCCACAGCGATGCTTCTCTCCCCGCTCTCCCCTTTCTTCCTCCTCCTCCACGCCGCCACCTCGCTCCTCCCTTCCTCCCTCCCTCTGCGCATTCTCAGCGTTCTATTGAGTCTTTTCGGGACTCTAACGATGCTTCTTCGGCACAGCACGTATCTCTGGCTCTCTCAGCGCATCATCGACCACCCTTTTCTTTCCATTCTGTACCACTCCTCCCTTTTCCTCCTTCATCATTCAGTTATTGCTTTTTCTGGATCCTTCTCGCCTTCTTCTACGCCAATCAAAAGCTCCAAACGCTCACAAAGCGCGGCGTGCAGAGCGTGTACAGCTGGACGCGCTGTCTCTGCCTCGTCGTGATGATCTACTGCACTTCCTCCGTCTCTGTCTCGCTCTGCGTCCTCTCGCTTTTCCTTTTTCTCGCGTTCGCCTCGGGGAGATTGCGATGGGACCACGCGTAAAGCATTGCGAAGTCTGCAAGCGTAGAAAGGAGGAACTGTGGAACCTGCGTGCAGCGTTCGTTCCCGCGGAAATCGAACTGAATCATGCGGAGATGAGCGATGTCCGCGACTCGCTAAACGCTTTGAAACGCACGATCCGCGAAGTCGGTTTGTAGAAACGGGGCTGAACAGTAGAATTCTGCGATTCTTTACTCGATGGACGCAGAGACGAGGAACCGATTTTTCCGCTTTCTGAACTCCGATGTGTTGATTCTCGTAGCGATTCGCACTTGGCTTGACTCTAGCCGGAGGCTCGCGACTTGGAGATTCTTCAATGGGAGCTGATAAAGCAGAAACGTCCGGTGCAGAGCGTTGGGGCATCGGATTTGGACACGTCCTCGATGATTTTGGACAACACGTCGCTCGACGCTCCTTTCTTTCATCACTCATCGATCCCTTTTCTGAAGACGCTGTGGGGGAAGAATGACAGGATTGAACATCAACTCATGGAGCCCATGGAGCCCATTAAAACGGTTTCACTTTCGCAAAACCCCTATAAGGCTCCAAGCTTGGATTCACAACTCTATTCGATGCCTGAGAATCAGTGGGTGGATCGTAGAGAGGTTCCGATAGGACCCCTGAGTGATTCTGTGCCAGAGAGATATTCAGGTCCGGCCTACCATGCATATCAGTCGATAGAATACAGAGAGCCACATTATAATGATTACTATCAAAGGTTCGGGAATTACCCCTCAAACAACTACAACCCACAGGGTATGATTCCCAGAACGCCTGGTAGAACTCTGTGTGAACATCATTGTACCTTCTCCTGTTTGTCACAAACACAGCAACTCAAGCAAGGTCAATGCATCCCATAACGATAACCTGCCTAAAAGTGGAGCTTCTTGAAGAGATAAGCAACACCAGCCTTGGTTCTCTCCTTTGTGATTTCATTCTGCTTCAGGTACCTAAACTAAAGCACAACCATAATTACATACGACTGCTGGAAGGTCTGAGCGATCTTCTTAAGAGCAGCCTTCTTCTCCTCAGGAGCAACCTCCTTGGCGGGGAGCGCAGAGAAGTCGAACTCGACGTTGTATCTAACGATAAGCACAAGGCAGGACACAAACCTAGTGGGCATAAAATGCTGGAGGTTCACGACCTTGGTAAACACTCTCATAGATGTTCTCTTGGCCACCGCCTTTTCCGACATCTTCGTGTACACCTTACGAGGAGGTCTCGCCACTCCACACACGACAGCATAAGGGAACTTGTACTTTCCGTCTCCCTCTTCGTTCACCTTCACAATGACAGCCTTCTTGCCGGCATATTTACCAGCCGTCAAGATGACCACTTTTCCAGACTTAAGACACTTGACCATCTACCACGTAACGTAAAAGCGAGCGTATTGCTTACTTTGCCTATACGAAATTCACTTGAGTATATATCTGGACCAACAGAAATAATCGAATTCCCGTGAAACTATCACACCTATGGTGAGCATTCCATGCGTACAGTAATTAATACATGCTCAATAGAGGGTTGAGAATTAGCAAATCGCTTATTATACGAATATCCGGAGCACGAGAAATTAGGGAAAATCATATTTTGAGTTAACCGGTATGTGGGAAAGGTATCTCGGAAAGATCGATCTGAGTATTGCTATGTGTGTATTTGAAATATGTGGAACTATGGGCAGTGTCATTTGGATGGAGAATATGGTATTTCAAATATGATCTATTGCTAATAGCAGTTTTGGTGAGAAAATAATAGAAAATGGTGTGAAAGTGACTTAGTAGTGAATGAAAAGTAGATGGAATGAAAAGTAGTACTGCTAGGTAGAGTTATCGATTGGCAATTTGTTATGTTCTTGCTCTGATAGTAAATAATGACAACAATAATATAATGAACTTACACACTCACACAAACAACCACAATTACACACACTTTGACACACTTTGTTCATTTTCATCCACATCAATTCTTGATAACAATCCAATTCATTCATCATTCATTTCTGATTTAGATTTCATATTATCAGCCTATTTCATGGGGGTAAATATCAATTACAGAATATAACCTATTATAATCAGTATATAGATGGAATCAAGGGGTAAAATAGTTTTCTTACTTTTCTATCACAGTATTGCCATTTGTCAGAATGTCTGAGCCGGTAAGAATAATGTGAAATGGAATGTGAATCAAATGAAATATGAAATGAATAAGAATGTGAAAAGTTGTTAGCGTTAGGTTGTTAGTAAATGGGAAGAGGCGAATAAGTAATATTTGTGTAGGTTGTTGGTGCTGATATGAATGTTGAACAAAAGAAGAAGCGAACTTTCAAGAAGTTCACTTATCGTGGTGTGGACTTGGATAAGTTGTTGGATATGCCTCTAAAGGACTTGATGGAGCTTGTTGATGTATATTTAATAATGTAATTAAACGAAAGGCGCGTGCTCGTCGTCGTTTCCGTCGTGGTCTTAAGAGAAAGCCTCAGGCTCTGATAAAGAGACTGCGCATTGCTGTATGTGTAAAATGGAATGAAATGAATGTTTAGAAGGCGAACACTCCTGAGAATGAGCGTCCTCAGCCTGTGAAGACTCATCTTCGTAACATGATAGTTGTTCCTGAGATGATTGGTTCTGTTGTTGGTGTTTACAACGGGAAGAGTTTCAACAACGTTGAGATCAAGGCTGAGATGATTGGTCACTACTTGGGTGAATTTTCGTTGACTTACCAGCCCGTGAAGCACAACCGCCCTGGTATTGGTGCTACTCACTCTTCGAAGTTCATTCCTTTGAAGTAAGTTTTGTCTGCACATTTTATCTTGGTGACGATGGTTTGTTGTTTGTTTGAACAAAGTGTAATAGAGTATCTAAATGCATCGAGTCGTTATTTTTTGACAATTATGCTGGTTGAGAGATAACTTGTGACTTGTTGCTCCAACGAACGCAGACCAGTAATATACTCAATCTCACTCAGTTGGTTATTGTGCCTTCTCTCCTGAAGAGCCAGCATTTCATTGATAATCCTTTTGCCATCTGGAGAGTACTCTGCGTGAATTCGAATATCACTAATAAGTCGATTCACGACTTCTTTGTTCTGTGATTCGTAATAAGGATTGGTGCTGTGCCATCGATCGTGAATCGTGGTGTAGTAAACCTCCTGATTGTTCACGAGAGCTCTGAAACAAAGCAGGCAATCCTTATTATAGCTCAAGATCAGCGTGATGCACACATTGTCTATCCTATCAGGATGGGGAATATTGATCTTGATGGTGCCAATATTCGACTGCCCTTCAAAACGTTCCCAGTCTCCCTGAAAGAGCGAAATTAAAAGTTCCTGTGCATAGTCATAGGATGGATAGAAATTAAAGGGAACTGTGACCTCCTCGCCGATCTTTGTGGTGCTGGGGAGCACCTCGGTGATGCCGTCTGTCGTTCGAATGCCAATTGGCTGCATGAGCAAGTCGACGCTGCTCCGGTTGTTCGCTGACACGCAGAACTCCCAGTGAGCTAGAGATAAAAGAGCCAAAAAAGAAACAAACCTTGGAGACAAGCTCCTCGGGCAACGGACATTTGGTCGATCTTTGAGATTTTGCATAATGGGAACCTTTCTTGAACCATTCTATCAAGACGCTGAATCTGTGAAGTTCCTCCTGTCAGAAGAATCATCGAGATCTCTCCACGCTTGAATTCTGCAGTTGTAGATATCTCCTGATACGCCATGTCGACAGCCGAGGTAAGAACGGGATCAATCACCCTGTCCAGTTCAGCTTTGCTGATAGTGATTTGAGCTTCTGGTACTAAATCGTCTTCAAATAGCTCAGTATTTCGAATTACGATTTGACTAGAATAGGCTAATGCCTTTTTTATACTCTCTGATTTTAATTTCAACTTCCACTCAAGCATAGGCGATATTTTCTGTGTGATCCTGAATTTCTCTTTAATGAGGTCGATAATGGCATTGTCAATATCAATGCCTCCCAAATAAGGATGGCCTCCGACGGCCAAAACCTTGAAATTATGGTCAGCAAAGTGGATGAGTGCAATGTCAAGAGTACTTCCTCCAAAATCAAACACTACAAACGTTTGGGAATTTTGAATGTGTTCCTTATGGAAGTACGAAAAGGCAGCCGCGCAAGGCTCAGAAAATAAGCGAACTTCATCAAACCCAAGGCACTCCACGGAATTAATGGTGGCAGCTCTTTGCTTAGCATTGAATTTCTCAGGAACTGTGACTACAACACACTTTTTCCCTTTTAGCTGATCATAATTCGGTGGTAATATACTCTTCACAATTTCCGTATACACATCTTCAGGAAAAATATAACTCTTATTAGCTTTATTCCCTTGGGGCAAAATTATGGCCGTTCTGTCTTCTCTGACACCCAGCTTGTAAGGAAAGTGGTCCTTATCATTTTGAGGAATTTCTGTAACGTCGCGACCAATAATTCGCTTCACATTATAGAGAAGGCACTGATTGTCAAATCTATATGAATTAATTGCATCTTCACCCACTTTTGTTTTCTTTCCTAGCAGCACAACTGAAAGAGTCAGCGGGCGATACGAATTGGATACACAAGCATCGTTATTACTCCATTGATAGCAGCATGATGTAGCCGTTCCAATATCAATTCCAAAATAGTTACACTCGGACGACATGAGTGTTTTAGTATATTGTTATATATAACTTTTGTATCCTTCAATTCGGTATTTGGAACTCAGTTTATTTATTGCACTTATTATTCCTTGTGATATGCTTGAAAAGGCTATGGAGTGTACAAAAAAGAGGTAAAAAAACGATTCGTTGTCAAAACAATTTTAGAGACACTGGAAACGGTTTAAATCAATAGAAATCCGTTTTTTCCTACAGACTTACAGGAGACAGAATAAAGCAAGTATGATCTTGACCCATCACCTTCATCATGTACATAGGTGTGTTTGTAAGGTATATGAAATAATTCATTTCGTGTTTGAACCGTATAATGTGAGCAAAATACATGCCTTAATGTTCCAAGAGAAGGCATCATATTAGAGATTTCGGGAATAGGAGCATTATGAAACAAAATATGTTGATTTCAAGATGCACATTCTATGGCACAATTACTAAGGAACGAAAAACATGTCATCTCGAGTTTTTCCACTCTGTCCTTTTCTCATTATTACTATTATAAGTATTAGATAGTGCACTCTACATAAATATGTAATCCTATGTATCACCAAAGCAGAGTTTCCACTTTGTTCTCCCACAGGAGGAACTAAATACTTCCACTTAATCAACCAAGAGAAGCATGATCATTCAAATGTATAACACGCAATCCATCTAAGTGATTTTGAACATCTCAGGCGATACAAAGTTTGTGTGTTCCCTCTCGCCCATCGTTTGAAGTACACTTCTTAAACAAGCAAATAGAAACAGAATTCATGCAAATAAAACTACGATATTCAAAAAGAAAATGCAGAGGAACTTGATTTACAACTTGTTTCAAAATGGTGAGTATTATTGAAAGTAAAAACTCAGCAATATGTGTTACCCTTGTAGACTCGTCCAATTCAACAAGAGAATCAAAGTATTTCCTGAGCGATTACACAACCAGTGAAAAGCAGATAATTGTTGTAAAGGGAGAACAGTATGAAATTACCAGATTTCAGGGCGATCATTCAAATGAATTTTTGGTGAGTGAGATGCAAGATGGTGAGATTGACGGTCGTTGCCAGTTGTTCAGTCATGGAATCTTGAGTCTTGCATGGGAAGTGAGAAATGGCAAACGAGTGGGAGAAGTCACGGAATATGAGAATGGAAGAGCACTACGAAGGGAAAGCTGGGATTCATTTTTTGGAAATGGAGAACGAAGAGTGACAGAAAATACGAAAGGGGGGTTGATAATGACAATCCGATATGGTCGCACAGAGGAAAATGAAGAAATCGTTATTTATCGAGGGGAATTTGGCGAGAACATGAATCGGCAGGGCTATGGAATCGAATATGATCGAAAGTCTGGGAGAGAGAAGATCGAAGGATATTGGGCAAAAGACCAGCTGATTCGAGTCATACGTGAATTTGATGTGGAAAAGAACATAATGATCGAATATGCCGAAGACCTTAATAACGTTGATCCTCTATTTAGAATACCTGTATATATGGGAGAATATTGCATTGACAATGGCGCATTTGTACGAAATGGGATAGGGTATTTGATTGATAAGAAAAGTGGAACAGCAATTCGTGAAAGTGAATGGGATCATGGCAAAGAGAAGGAAGGTGGAATTGAGTTGTATGATGGATGGTATGTGAATGGAATGAGGGAAAGTATTCGATGTGTACTGAAGAATGAAAAGCCCAGAAAACTAGAGACTCTACCCAAGATAAGTGATATTCCTGAAGAGCAAATGGTAATCCGAAATAGCGACGATTTGTTTGATATAAGCTTAGGAGTGACGCGTTTAGTGATTTCTTCGAATTGCGGTAATGAGTTGACTGAACTGGATCTGAGTAAACTCGAATCTCTCCGATCGATAGAAATTGGCAATGAATGCTTTCAGTCAGTGCAGACATTTTCAATCAATGGATTACATCGATTGAAGAGTGTAAAAATTGAAAGCAATTCATTCACGAAAAATCATAATAGCTATTCAAAGAATGAATCGAAATCATTCCATATATTAAATTGTGAATCATTGGAATCTATTGAGATTGGAGAATTTAGTTTCAGTGATTTTGCTGGGGATTTTGAATTGAAGAATTTGGAATCGCTGGAATCGATAAATATCGGTAAAATGGACAGAGAGTCATACAACTTTTGGTATGGTTCATTTGCAATTCATCGTATAGCTATCAGCTTGAATAATGAATGATAGATCTTCCTAAACTACAGCACATCACATTGGGTAATCGTGTATTTACTGACTGCAAATCAGTAAGAATGGAACGTATTGAGTTGTGTTCAAAGCTGTGATGCAAATAGATCTTCCATTATTACGATCCATTCGACTTGGTAAATATGCACTTTGTGGTTGTTGTGGAAAGAAGTCATCTAGTTTGAAAATGCGACGTACAAACGAATGGAAAGAAATGAGGGAATCTAGATCTTCCGAATCTAAAAACCATTATTAACTCGGATGGAAACAGCTTCCAATATATTTATTCAGTGAAATTAGAAAGTACTATAAGCAACCGAATAATGATGATGATGATTTAGATATTCCAAATCTTCGAAACGTCGATTTGCCTCGTTCTTTTATGTATGTAACAAAAAAAAGTGTATCAAGTAATAAAAATAGATTCCTTTTATTCTTAGATGTTTCTACCAAACTTGCCGATCTTTTGGTAATCACTTAGAGAAAGCCAACAACAACTAATAATAATCATAAACATGGGTACTCTGAGAAATCAGTCGGTTTATGGAATATTTCTATTGTTGTCTTGTTTGTTCATAGGTAGTGTATCGTATCAAGGGTAACTTTTTCACAAAATGAATGAGAGCCTGGAACATTGTGTATCAATCGTATTATTTCCAAACTTTAAAAGGATCCTATCAATTATTAAAAAAAACCTACGTTAGGCTGTTGAATGCAGATATTAGGTAATTGAAAAGAGAAAGGTGTTCTTGAGTAGTGCTCCACTAATCACCCGAAAATATATTTATTATAATTATTACTGTTATTACTATAGCATTATACATAGATACTCCAAAAAATTATCAAACTTCTATATTGATACAGTCGCTGTTGTGCTTTTTTGGACAAACACACACAATCTATACAAAATAGGTAAATACACTGTAGCGAATGTTCAGCAACAATATCCAATCGACTCACAGCAACAATACTGTTCCACTGTGTATCGAATCACTGGGAATGCATACTGAAGTCATACCCTATTCGAAACAATTCATAAATTCAACAAATGTAATGTACGATTTACGATTCCAGAATTATGGGGTATTCTGCTCGATTTCATTGATCTATTTTTCTCATTAAAAACGTAGATTGATCTATTGTTCGCAATAACGATTTGTAGTATCTCCATTTATGAGCGAGGAAATAGAAGATTTCACGCTGGTTCTTGATCCTGAAGTCGATGCGGCATTAAGTACCGTATTAATCGCAGTATTTTGATCACGATCTTAGATTCTTCAGTCTGACGATCCTTTGGATGCTCCTGACTTTGATCCTGTTGTTTATATTAATGCTCAGGTATTTTTTTGTTTTTCTGTGTGGATCTTATTTGACTAGTTTCCTGATGAAGAAGCAATGTCTCGAATTAACTCATATTCCTCAGAGCTCAAAGAACAAATCAACACATTGGAAGAGCAAATTATGCAAACGGTTCCTCTTGGCGAGTCGTTTGATTGCTTAGGTGAGAGATCAATCGCAGGTTGGTCGCTCTGCAGAGGACGATATTGAGGAAGCGAAGCAGACGATTAACGACCTGTTTGCTCGTATCATCGAAATCAAAGAAAAGGCGGCGCATTCGGAAGAGCTGGTCCAGGTGATTTGCAAGTATGCTATTTCATTTGATTTATTCATTTTATTTTAGAAACATCTCCAAGCTAGACGCGGCCAAGCGAAATCTGACCGAGAGTCTCAACGCCTTGGCTCGATTGCAAATGTACTTCTCCTTCCTCTCTCCCTCTCATGCAGGTTTGTCTCCTCGCTGGACGCTGCCGAAGAAATCCAAGGCACGCATCAGTACATCAAGGCCTCGCGCAGCCTGGGAGCCGTTCTCCAGCTCAGTTCGTTCTTCGAGAAATACCACGAGATCGAAAGTGTCGGAGCGATTCTCCCCTTCGATGTGTAGATCGCTGCGCTGCTGCAGCGCGTGCAGACGCTGCGCGACTCATTCTGCTCGCTGATCTTCGGCGATTTCGACCAAGTGGAGGACTTGGTGTACACGTTCGAAGAGGGATCCAACCAGCCGATCACCGAAGACATGCTGGAAGAGATGGAGAAGCAGGAAGCCGGATTTGATGACCAGCTCGTGACTCGCGGACGACTGCAAGCCGCTTGCTATGTGATCAACGCGATGGGCGAAGAGACGCGAGGCCGCTTGATCCAGTCGTTCTGCGTGAACCAGCTGAAGAACTACGACGCGCTGTTCATGCCGGGAAGTGCCGGAGAAGGGCTGGATCAGATGGAGCGACGCTTCCATTGGTTCTGGAAGACGCTCTCGGAGTAACGGAGAAACGGAGAGCTCACGGGTAGCTATGAGGCCAAGTACCAATGTCTCTTCCCGTTCAATTGGCACGTGGATGCGCACCTTCTCCAAGCGTTCTGCGAGAAGACCAAAGAGCACGTGGAAACGGTACTGAAACGCTTCGAAACGCCCGAAATGGTGGACGTGCCGCTGCTGGTCAACGCGCTGCGAACCACGATGCAGTTCGAGCGAGTTTGGCTTGACTTTGGACGCTAATCAAAATAGGAGCTGGTGCTGAAGATGGATCTGGGCATAAAGAATGTGCCGCCGGAGAATTTCCCGTACGAGCTGGACGAGGAGGGGCAGATCGTGGATAGCCAGAGTCCCGCGGGGATTCGGCTCCGCTACGAGCGTCTCCGAAAGCGAGTAGAGGTGGATGGGAGTTCTGAGCGGCAGGAAGAGCGCGAGGCGCAGAAAGCAGCGGAGAAAGAGCGCGTGGAGGCGGAGGGAAAGACGTACAGCGATCCGCTGGTCGAAACGGGGAGTGGATTGAACGATAGGACGCGCTGCCCTGTTTCCTGGGCTTCATTTCGAACATCTTCGACCCGTATCTCGCGGCCTTCGTGAGCAGCGAGAAGCAGAACTTCGATCGGTTGCTGGCGCGGCTGTCGAAGGGCGACGAACTGGCGACGGGAGGCGACTTGCCGGTCCTGCAGGGCGCGGTGAAGCTGTTCCAGTACCTGAAAGAAACGATCTCGCGATGTGCGACGATGAGCATGGGCGAGACCTTGGTGAGTCTGGTGAGGTGGGGACAAAGGAAAAGGGAGTGAGGCGTAGCGAGGTGAAATCGACGCTGGGCGGATACCAGAAAGCGCTGGAAGACAAACTGCCGCACTCGAAGAGTCGCGATAGCTTCGGCGACGACTGCGTGAAATTCAAGAAGGACACGGACCGCGATTATGTCTGCTATTGGTAGGCTCTGTCCCTTGGATCTCACACGCAGCATCAACACAGCGGCGTACATCGCCGAGATGATTCCGCAGCTCGAGCAGATGGCGCGAAATCTGGCCGAAGCGAAGGTCCGCGAGTCGATCGATCTGCAGAGCGACCTGCTGGACGCGTATTACAACACGGTGAGCCTGGGAATCAAAACGTTGGTCAGCGGAGAATACGCGAAGGTCGAGAACGTGCTCTACGGAATGACCAGCATTAATTGGGCCACCTTCGACAACATCGGCGATCAGAGCGGTAGAACCAGCGAATTCGATCGAATCTAGGGTATGTTTCCACGATTTCCACGACGCTGTGCAACGAATATCCGAATATTCGGAACCTGCTCTCTCGGATTTACTTCCGAAACTTCTGCGATCGCATGGCGATGCAGTTCCTGCCTCGTTTCTTGGACTGTGTGAGCCGATGCAAGCACGTGAACGAAATGAGCGCGCAGCAAATGCTCCTCGATCTGCACTCGCTTAAAACACTCTTCTTGAAACTTCCGATTGTTGGACAGAACGAAACCGATGAGTTCAAATATGTGATTCCTCCCACGTAAAAATAGCCCCGATTTTGTGAATTCCAGATATAACAAGTTTGTGAATCGCGCAGTGGAGAAGGCGGATAGCATGTTGAAGTTGCTGGGCACGCCGGTGAGCTATCTAGTAGCCTCCATTCACAATATGTAGGAGAGTGAAGGGAATGAGGAATGTAGAATGCCGGATGCAACGGAGGACGATTTGGTCACGATTCTAACAGTGAAGGGAGCGACGAAGGCGGAGAAGGCAGAGTGTTTGGAGGAGTTTCGCAACGAGTCTTAATGCGTGAGTTGTGTTTGTTTGTTTGTTTGTTTGAAAGCAAACAGAGCAGATTATAAATCATCGTCATCACTACTATCCGCCTCCGCCTCGACCTTCGCTTCAGGCTGCGCCTTGGCTGTTTCTTCCACCATCTGAACCTCTTTGAGCTCCGTTTGCTGTGCAGGCTGTGCTGCGACTGGCTTCTCTGACTGGGTTTGGCGAGGCTCCGCCGGCTTGTCTTGCTGTGTAGGGCGCAAATCTTCCAACTCCTCCTTCTTGGCAGCGACTTGCTGGTCATAAATGCTCTGCAGCATGGCCAGCTTCTGCGTCTTGGATTCTTTCCACGACAAGAAATCCTCGCGCTCGATCTCTTCCTCTCGGTTCATCAGCAAGATCTCGATGCTCTTCACACGCTGCAACAACGCGTTAAGCCGCGAATGATACGACGACAGCAACGCCGACTGATCCACTGCGAGCTCCTGCGAGAGCGACTTCCAAAGCGCGTCCTACCATTCCAGCAGAGCGACAAAGCAAACCTCTTCCTGCATGACTCCCACGAGAATCGTGATGCAGTTATCCACTTTCTCCACGGCGTTTTCGATTTCGTGGCGCGTCGTTTCCGCTGCCGCGTTCCCGATCGCTGCGCTATTCGAAACGAACGACGCACCGAACTGGTCTCGACCGATCTCTCTTTGCTACGCGTTAGAAAAAAACGCAAAGCAGCACTTTTTCCTTCTGGGTCGACTGCGAATCGGCCTTCAGTCCGGCATTGCTCAGCTCATCAAACAGTTTCTTGGATGATTTCAAGATGTTACTAAACAGACCACCCTCTTTCGAACCCGCTTCCTTCGCCTGAAGGAGAATATCTCGCTTTTCTTCCACCTTCCTCTCTTTCGGTGCCATTTCTTTCTTTTCTTTTTCTTCTTCTTCCGAATAAGAATACTCCGAATAGGAATACTCTTCCTCTCGTGCATTCTCTGCATTCTCATCAGCCACAGGGGTTGGAGACTCTACTACAGTCGAAACAGGAAGCTAACGTTTAGGGCCAGAACAAAAAACTCACTTGAATTTCGTCGCGCGGATCGGTGCCATATTTCTTTTTCATTTTGTGAAAGAGGAGTTCGTAGTCTTCCCGATATTTCTTGACGAGGCTTGGAACATCTTATAGTTACAGAAATGAAAAAGGAATACCTGAAAGACGTTCAGGATTATGGATTTTGTAATACTCCGTAATATAATACGTAGTTTCCATCTTCTTGCCTACAAAGTAATAAACAGATAATTCATCGACGATCATCGGGAGAGAGAGCATCGACACCATACTTCTTGAGGATATTGTTATACATCTCCAACTCACGTCCTTCGTACTTCGAGAGCAACGAAACAATAGAATTAATCTAAGATATTACACACACCATAGATAATACTTTTGAAGGATGGTGTTTCGAATAGAAAAGAGTTAGGCGTGCAATGTGCTCCTTATTCTTCCAATTTTCTTTGCCAGCATTCCAAAACAATCTACATTCATCACAGACAGTAATATAGCTACTTAAAATTGTTAAATGGATTATCCAAATCAATATCTTCTTTTCGTATACTCATCGCAATAATGTCTACGATCTACTAGAGTAAGTATAGTACTACCAAATAACCGCGATTCATGGAAAAACACAGAATCAATGCATTTAGATACTCTATTACACTTTGTTCAAACAAACAACAAACCATCGTCACCAAGATAAAATGTGCAGACAAAACTTACTTCAAAGGAATGAACTTCGAAGAGTGAGTAGCACCAATACCAGGGCGGTTGTGCTTCACGGGCTGGTAAGTCAACGAAAATTCACCCAAGTAGTGACCAATCATCTCAGCCTTGATCTCAACGTTGTTGAAACTCTTCCCGTTGTAAACACCAACAACAGAACCAATCATCTCAGGAACAACTATCATGTTACGAAGATGAGTCTTCACAGGCTGAGGACGCTCATTCTCAGGAGTGTTCGCCTTCTAAACATTCATTTCATTCCATTTTACACATACAGCAATGCGCAGTCTCTTTATCAGAGCCTGAGGCTTTCTCTTAAGACCACGACGGAAACGACGACGAGCACGCGCCTTTCGTTTAATTACATTATTAAATATACATCAACAAGCTCCATCAAGTCCTTTAGAGGCATATCCAACAACTTATCCAAGTCCACACCACGATAAGTGAACTTCTTGAAAGTTCGCTTCTTCTTTTGCTCAACATTCATATCAGCACCAACAACCTACACAAATATTACTTATTCGCCTCTTCCCATTTACTAACAACCTAACGCTAACAACTTTTCACATTCTTATTCATTTCATATTTCATTTGATTCACATTCCATTTCACATTATTCTTACCGGCTCAGACATTCTGACAAATGGCAATACTGTGATAGAAAAGTAAGAAAACTATTTTACCCCTTGATTCCATCTATATACTGATTATAATAGGTTATATTCTGTAATTGATATTTACCCCCATGAAATAGGCTGATAATATGAAATCTAAATCAGAAATGAATGATGAATGAATTGGATTGTTAACAAGAATTGATGTGGATGAAAATGAACAAAGTGTGTCAAAGTGTGTGTAATTGTGGTTGTTTGTGTGAGTGTGTAAGTTCATTATATTATTGTTGTCATTATTATTGTGATTATTATCAGAGCAAAAAAAGCACACAAATTGACAGTATTCCCCAAATAGAGAAATAGGGGTAATGATATATTCCCCATTTCTCTAATTCATTTCTTTGTAACTGCGCTTGATCCATGAAGGAATATCCCACTTTTTCTCTTGGTAAGATCGAGATCTTATGTTTATGTTTAGAGAAGGGTTTGTATGATGAAAATACCTATTGGGGTCGTGTGAAGTATAATATGATCCGTTGTGACTTCAGGTAGTCTGTTTATAGTAGTTCTGATGGATCAGAAAACTCATTTTGGGCAAAAAGGCTCATGATGAGGCTATGGAAAAGATCGAGTCTTGGAAGCGCGGCGAGAATAAGTACAGCAACGAAGAGTTGTGGAAGGCGCGAAATATCATCGAGTCGATGGAGCATCCCCAGACCAAGCAGATTATCAACCCTATCGGTCGTATGTGCTGCTTCGTCCCTGCCAATATTCCTATTCAGTTCGGTATGCTGTTAGCGCCGCCGACCGTATGAACCTGCTGTTCCCACTCACCCGTAGACCTTGAATGTGATCTTTTGGCAGTGGGCCAACCAGACCTACAACGCTATGTTCAACTACAGCAACCGCAACACGTCGACTGAGTCGAACTGGAAGGACATTGGAAAGGCGTATTGCTCGGCCACTATCGTGTCTGTGAGTGTGGCTCTGGCCGGTAACAAGCTGGTCCAGCGTCTTGGTGGTGGCGGTCTGCTGGGCAAGGTATGCATTCGTTAGGTTTCTGAGAGTGTAGTGCATTCCCTGGTTCGCTGTGGCGTGTGCCGGAGCGGCGAATGTGTACTTGATGCGTTTCAAGGAGACGCGCACAGGTATCGCGGTGATGGATAAGGACGGAAACCAGCTTGGTGTGAGCCGAAAGGCCGGAACCAAGGCTGTGAATCTCACTGCCCTCACGCGTGTCCTGCTTCCCACGCCTGGTGCTGTTGCTGATTGGCTCTGACGTGTAGTGCTGCTGCTGCCTCCGTTCATTTTTGATGCCTTACGAGCGCTGCACTGCATGCCTGCTGGAAAGTGGGGAGGTATCGCGATGAATCTGGGTAGGAACGAGAAAGGGTGGTGAGCAATAGTGGTTTGCACGGCGTGTCTGTGGGGAGCGATGCCGCTGGCTATTGCTGCGTTCACGTCTACTCAGCCTTTGGCTGTGAATAAACTGGAGCCCGAGCTGCAGCAGTCATTGCGCGAGCGCGGATACAAGGATACGAACGTGTACTTTGAGAGAGGTGTCTAAAGCAATTGATTGTTGTTTGTTTGTAAAAAGCTTTGTTGAGAGAGAAAGTGGGAGCAAATGAAGTTGCGATGAAATCGGGTTGAATAATGTATCAAAGTGATTACTCTTGTAGCTAAATCCTATTGAAAAACCCGTAACAAAAATGGGTCATCATAGATAGTAATCTTTATGGGAATCCATACAATCCAATCTGTATGTATGTTATCGTTATGTTTGGATGGTATTTGATTCAATCCATTAATCGAATTGTATTACTTATGTTGAAAAAGTGATTGTACTTGTCATCATGTGAAAATCGACTTTCAGTTATACATTTCCTAGCATTCACACGATTGACGAGGATGGTTAGTACATTATTGTGTGAAGAGATAATGGGTTTTGATCTCTGGATGTGTAAATAATACGATTCATAATGTGACTGTGTACCACAATCAGCAGAGATGCCTTCAAATGATCCTTTGAATAGGGTATAAACAATCCTTATTCAAACGAATTTGAAATTATGAGCAATGCATTTGATGTGAATGACCTGAATGGAATAAGCATCAATATATGTGTAATGTGTTGTTTTCATACTCCAGTTCAGATTGCATTTGGACATAAAGCGATTTCTTTTTTGACATTTGCAGACTAATCATTCAGAGGCAATGACACCTTGAGTGAAATTGGATGATCGATAATGGCATCTTTAGTATATATATACAATATCATCCGTCTCTGATTGTATTGTGTTATTCTACTCTATTAGGATGTATGGAAAACAGATATGATAAATGGGAAGCAAGTGGTGGTTGTAAAATCATGATTTATCACAAATCCACTCTGACCAATGTGATTCATTGTTTGTTTGTTTGTTTGTTCATTCAGTTCTACCCAATTATTCCATTCTATCACTTCATAACATCTCTCTGAGTACTTCAATACAACCACAAGTACATAGAATTCAGCAAATCCACCTCACCTCCTATAGGACATAATAACTAAATATATCGCTTTGCAAACTCCTTCCAATTAAACACCAATCGATTCACTATGCCATTACCACACACAAACAAACTAGCACGTTGGGAAAGGTTTCCAACATTCATTTTCACTTTTCCATCCCATTCTCTACCTATTTCACTATCCATTCAGCCATCTATCCATCATTCATTCCACTTTGTTCAACTTGATCATTTCTGCAAAATACATCCAATTATTGGTTTTCCAGAAATACAACCAATATTGACATTTGAACCTATTTCTCAATTGGTTTAGAATCTAGCTTTCATCCATGGGTCGTGTCATTCGCGGTAGGTGATAATTTGAAATTGGTTATCAACAACAACAATAACAGCAACGACAACACTCTTGCTGTTTCTTGCTTTTCTTTTTGCAATATTTGTATGATTTGCATTCTCCATATAGTATTTATGTCTAACTGCATATATAGGACAAAGAAAAGGAGCTAAAGGAGCTGTCTTCCAGGCTCACACTCACCTGCGTAAGGGAGTGCCTCAATTCCGTGCGTTGGACTATTCTGAGCGCAACGGATTCCTGAAGGGAGTGGTGCGAGAGATCGTTCACGATTCCGGTCGTGGCGCTCCTCTTGCTCGCGTGACTTTCCGCAATCCGTATTTGTGTTAGAGAGAAGGTGGCTAATGGGTAGTTACCACTTCAAGGTGGACAAGGAGCTGTTCCTGGCTGCTGAGGGTATGTTCACTGGCCAGAGCGTGTTCTGCGGTAAGAAGGCGGATATCAGCGTGGGTAACGTGCTTCCTCTGCGTGAGCTTCCTGAGGGAACTGTTGTGTGCAACGTGGAGCACAAGGTGGGGGATCGCGGCAGTCTGGCTCGGTGCTCTGGCGACTACGTGACTGTGATTGGTCACTCGGATGACCGCAGCATGACGTTCATCCGTCTGCCCTCGGGCATCAAGAAGACGGTTTCTTCGAGGTATGTTTTTCTCTCTTTGTGTTGGTTGTAACGCGTAGCTGCCGTGGCATGGTGGGAATCGTGGCTGGCGGAGGCCGCATGGACAAGCCGATGCTGAAGGCGGGTCGTGCGTACCACAAGTTCGCTGTGAAGCGCAATGAGTGGCCGAAGGTGCGCGGTGTGTGCATGAACCCTGTGGATCACCCGCACGGAGGAGGTAACCACCAGCACATTGGTAAGCCTTCGACTCGCAGCCGTGGCACTTGCCCCGGAAAGAAGGTGGGTCTGATTGCTGCTCGTCGCACTGGACGTATTCGTGGACGTGTGGAGCCTTAAGAAGGAGTCGTGTGGATAGCATGGATGGAATTTGTGGAGCGAATGATGATAAATTGGATGAAAATGGGGTTGTTTGTTGGACTGAAACTCGTTTTCATGATAATGGCTGATGACTGAACGTGCGATGGAACCATTGATTTGGAATAAAAACCTCTATTACAAGGAATAAAATGGTAGGAGGTGTTGGAATATCGGTTGATGCGATAGGCTGCTCGTCCTGTTGTTTCTGTGTACTCTGTGGAGACTGCTAACAAGATCGTGAGCACGGTCCCTCTTCCGTCTGTGTTCACTGCTCCCATTCGTACTGATGTGGTCCAGTTCGTCCACACGAAGTAAGTGGTGCTTTTAGTGTTGTGAGGTAGTCTGAACAAGAACCACCGCCAGCCGTACGCTGTGTTCAAGCGCGCTGGTCACCAGCACTCTGCTATCTCGTGGGGAACTGGTCGAGCTGTGGCTCGTGTTCCTCGTGTGTCTGGTGGAGGCACTGCTCGTTCTGGTCAGGGAGCGTTCGCTAACATGTGTCGCAAGGGTCGTATGTTCGCTCCGACGAAGATCTGGAGAAAGTGGCACCGTAAGGTGAACGTGAACCAGAAGAGATACGCTCTGGTGTCTGCTCTTGCTGCTTCTGCTGTTCCGGCTCTGGTGATGGCTCGTGGTCACAAGATCGACGGTGTGAGCGAGATTCCGTTCGTTGTGGATGACGCTCTGTGCAAGCTGACGAAGACGAAGGAGGCTGTGTCGTTCCTGCAGAAGAACGGTTGCTACGCGGACGTTGAGAGAGTGTCTGAGAGCAAGAAGATCCGCTGCGGTAAGGGCAAGATGCGCAACCGCCGATACACGATGCGCGTGGGTCCGATGGTGGTGTACGCTGACGGCGAGGAGGCGGTGGCGCTGCCGTTCCGCAACATTCCCGGCGTGGAGCTGTGCAACGTGAACCGCATGAACGTGCTGCGCATGGCGCCCGGTGGCCACGTGGGCCGCTTCGTGATCTGGACGAAGGCTGCGTTCGAGCGTCTGGAGGCTCTGTACGGCCCCGAGTCGGAGAAGGTGGGCTACACGATGCCGAAGAACGTGCTGACGGTGGCGGACATGGGCCGTCTGATCAACTCGGCGGAGATCCAGGCGGTGGTGCGTCCGGCGAAGAAGGTGGTGGCCTACCCGAAGAAGGCCAACGCGCTGAAGAACAAGGCCGTGATGGACAGCCTGAACCCCTACGCCGCCATCGCCCGCGCGGCCGAGCAGAAGGCCATGGAGGAGAACATCAAGCACAAGGCCGAGAACCTCGAGAAGAAGCGTGCGGAGAAGGCCAAGTACGCGGAGAAGAAGGCCGCCTACTATGAGAGCATGATGATGTAAGAAGAGAGCTCCGGCTCGGTCAGCCAGGGTTCGCTCAACCCGATGGAGGTAGTTTTGTTTGTTCGATGAAACAGTGGGAAAAGGACAGCTGACAAACCACTCACGAGTGTTATTAGTATATTGCTTGAACGGGAAGGATTTTGTTCTTCTGGCAGATAGGCAGAACCGTGTAGTTCTTGGCAATGATGCGAAGCCTTTTTCTATATGCACTGTACATATAGTAGTTTTTGCTAACTTTGGTTTTGATATATTCTTCTCTATACGATCCCCTACACTAAAACCAGAGTTTGATCATTACGGTAAATGAGGCATATCAAATCCAAACATTCGTCCTGCCACATAGAAGTGATATCCTACAATGAACCCAGTGCCATAGAAACTACCATGATTTCTCAGCGTTTCCACATAACTAATCTTATTAAGTCCGTAGTTCAGGTATTTTTCTAGAAAGAACGTAATATCATCGTTTCTCTTCACTAGCAAGTATCTACACGTCACACAGCATCAATCTATTCATACGGCTCCTGATAAACATTCTTCCAGCAGTTGTAAACCAGAACTCTGGGAGCCTTCGGCTTTCGATGATAATAGAGCCAGTTATGCGGAAGAAAAATCTACGATCGAAGAACAGCAATAAAAAGCACATAAGTAAAACACGATTCCTTATAGGGACGACATTCTCCTCTCTTGTTACACTCCAGTAATTCCTCCATCGTGAAGGGGATCCTCGAAATCACTCTAGAATCGAGAGAGAGCTTCGCCTTTACGATTTCGCCTGTTCCTCCACGGTGCCATTCTGAATTGCCCATCCAGAATGAAAAAAGGACGGAATCACGACAGCAGCGACGGGATCTTCGATGACGATCGGAGGAAGATCCAGCAAAATTTGGTACGAATTATCTAGTTAACATTCCGAAAAGACAATACAACTCAGCCACATGTCGATATCTAGCATGATAAAATGGGAGGTTTGGACGTGTTGGATTCCAAAGTTCCGAAGAATGTTGATTGGATAGTTCCTATCCAAATAAGAGCCAGGAGAAACGACGAAGGTGAAGATTTGGATTCGAGGAGCACAGAGAATTGAATTAGCAGGCCGACGAAGAAAGGAATTGAACGTGGCTACTTGATGCTTTTTCAGGTAGATAGTGAAAATGATAGGTCTAATTTAGAAGGAGCATTCATAAATAAAGTACCCATCCCAACGACCTGCAAACAACGGCATGGAGAAAAAACGATTGCTACTCCCGACTGTAACCAAAGAGATATTGAAGTGATCTTGGTCAGGATCTGTAGCTACAAAATCAAACAAGAAACAAACAGAATACTATCAGAAAATGGAATTTCAGTATCCAGCTCACAGTTCTTGTATCGATAGAGTTTAACGTCATCCATCCAATGCAATACTACGGGGCTCCTGCTATACACAAAACTCTTCGGTTTTGATGGACGGACTGTAGTATTGGTTGAGTCTTTATCAAAAATCGCATCAATGGATGCAGCGAAGCCAGATTTATCCTATTTCGATTATCAAAACCAAATTTACACTCGACATTACAGGAACTGGAGTTTGTTCCTCGTTATTTGCCGTAAAATTAATACTATTCGGTAAATAAAGGGAGGTAGCTTTCGAAAGAAGGGTATTCAGAAAGGAAAAAAGACTCTCTAAGATAAACTGAGAAAAAAATAGAAACGTGTTACAGACATATACGCAGTTCGAGAATTACTAAAGTGACTACCAGAAGTATCGAAATAATAAGAACTCGAACTTGTAACGTATAATGTTGGACTGTCCACTCTCTATTCATTAGTTCTATTCAATTTTGTTACCTGTCCAACAAAACTCAAATAATAAACCAGTAGTACACATGAACTACAGTATTACAGAATAACGAGTATGGTCGTACAAAACGCAAAAACAGTATAGTAATGGAAACACATAACCTTGCTGTGTCCTCATGCTAAATTAGAAAAACAATAATAAAGACAATTCTGCAATTTCCAAAAATCAAGGGTATTGTCCAATGCGCTAAAACTACAAAAATGAATACTGGAAGATCATCATCGTCAATGAAGAGAGATCTTGTTGGAGTAGAACTATAATATTATTGCTGTTTGGTAGGTTGGAAGCAGTCGTAGAGATCTCGAGCAATCTCATTTACTATTGGAGCAGGAAAATGAAATGCATCTTACAGAACTAAGAAATAAAATGTCTTCACTAAAGAATGTAATGGTTGTTACGTAATCTTGAAGCAGTAGATCGCAATCGATATTGATGGGGAAGTGGCGAATCAAAATCGATATCTTGACGAAATGGTATTGCTTCTAATGGTTTTCGATCTAGTCAACTGAAATGAATAGAGCAGCGAGTGGATTAACTGTCACGCTAAGTAAAGTTGGCAAGCTCCTCTCTAACGCTGATCAACCAACATTAGTTGTTCTCATATTAGTAATAGTTTTGTTGTTCATTATTGTATGGAAATTATTCTCAAACAGAAGTTAAACTGTTTGTTATTTACTCTTTTTTCGTGAAACTCTTTTCTTGTACATTTTTGCTGTGTTTGAAGCTACAGGAAGAACGGGGGTGGGAACTTCAATGTCTTCCGCCTTGTTTCCACTACGACATAATGACAAAGTCTCAATCCCCTACTCTTTGTAAATGTTTTTAAAAGAACGAGAAGGTCCAGAGGAAGAAGGCCTTATGGGAGAAGAAATAGGTTTTGCTTCAGGTTTCTTTTCAACCGAGACAGGCTTGCTACATCGAAGTAAGCTGCTCAGCATTCCCATCGCAGAAGGTTTGCTTTCTTCTTTCTTCGGCTTTGGATCTTCATCGCTCGAACTCGAATCAGATTCGCTCGAACTCGAAGAAGAAAACGTAGCTCGATGCGCTTTCGAATTTGTTTCTGTGTGAGCATCGGAGAGAACTCCGTTTGCGTTTGATTCTCCGCTATGAGCAGGATTGGCTGCAGAGAGTGCTGGAGAGGTTGCGAGAGTAATAGTCTTATTGACGATGGTGGATGATACAGTAAGAACCGAATTGGGTGCAATTTGCGCCGATTCCAATTCGTAATCCGAAGAATTCGAAGAATCGGATGAATCAAAAAAGGAAACCTTCATTTTCTTCTTTCGTTCTTCTTCCTTGCGTTGCTTAGCTAACGATTCCTCTTCCTTCCTTTTTTCCTCTTCCTCCTTTTTTTTCCTCTCCTCAATTATTCTCTTTTCTTCCTCGTCAGAATCATTAGAATCATTAGAATCATTAGAATCATTAGAATCATTAGAATCGTCAGAATCATTAGAATCATTAGAATCGTCAGAATCGTCAGAATCATTAGAATCGTCAGAATCACTTTGACTCTCCTCATTCTCATCGTTTCTTCTATTATTGTCTAGTTTTGTCTCAAAATCATTCTTTTCGCTCATCGTATTTGATTCCTTCTCCATTTTTTGGCTTTGATTCGATGCAGATTGCGCCACAACCTCCAAAACATTCCCATTCTTTCCAGAATTATCCGCATTTACTTTAATCTCTTCGTTACATTTATCGGCTTCATCTACTTCTTTCGATGATGGAGAATCATCCGATAAATCTTCCGAACTTGAGCCAGAATCTTTTTTACCCGAATTGGACTCCGACACTTTTGCTTCACTTTCTTGTGTCTCCTTATTTGCAGATTCGCCCTTATTTTGTGTTGGATAAAGCAAAGGAAGAGGGCTATCTGAGCTCGAGTCAGAATACTCAGAGCTTGGTTCTGAGTCATTTAAAGGAATATGCTGTGCTTCTGTCGCATCCTTCTTCCTAGGATCGATCTCATCTTTATTATGAACTTCTATATTTGCTGCTTTCTCTGCAGTTTCATTTGAAGGATGTGGAGAAGAGTGTGCAGCACCCGGGAAAGAAGTGGGAGAATCAGAGATTTTTCTGTGGTGAGCAAGAGGCGATGTATGGATGGAATCAGAAAGAGACCCATCAATAGAAAGGTTCGCATGACCAAAAAAGTCGGGCAAAGAGTTAGAGCGAGTTTTGTTGTCAGTAATACCGCTTACAGCGGGCTCTGATTTCGATTCTTGTTCCAAAAACTAAAATAAATATGAAAAACAATACAATACTTTCGAAGATGGATATTCACTAGTAGATAAATGGGGACGTTTTGATACAGCTGTATTCTCATGAATTCCAGTTTCCACTATAAAATTAATTCTATGAAAGAGCGTGTACCAAAGGGAATAGGAGAAACATGGCTAAAATAAAAGTGACTAACATTTGGTGGTATGCCTAGGTCAGGGGTAATGTAATATTTTCGATTCTAGAAGGAACCACTACTCATTAAAAATACATGATCATCACTTAATTCAACAGAAACAACGATTTCATCAAAAGGAGGAAAGGTATCAGAAACAACATTACTATTTTATTGATATTATGTCTAAAATTCCTACAGCATTCTAAGTTGCTTGAAAGCAGAAGACACAACATTCTTAATTCGAGTTGTTTCTTGGTCAATAGGGACAATAAAATCTGTTACACTTCCCTTGAGTGATGTATATGATGCTTTATAAAACTCCATTCATAAAGAAATAAATAATATTGAGTTATAAAAGTGTTGATTTCCATAAACTTAAGGAGTTCCTTTGAATAGCAATAAAAGAATGGCAGCTCTCAAGAAATCGAAGCCAGAATAGTTTTCAAATTGTATTAGGATTGATATTCGCCAAGAAATTTCCTTGAATTTTCTTGAAAAGATTTGTCTTTCTCTTGTTTCCTCATTATTTATTTATTTATTTATTCATTCCTTGGATACTTATCTATTTTACGTATTATAATGAAGGCTGTTAACAATTTCAACTTTGCTAATACTACTCGTATTGTCTTTGGAAAAGGACAGATCGCTCAACTTCCCACTCTGATTCCAAAGGATCGTATTGTTTATATGACATATGGAGGAGGCAGTATAAAGCGTAACGGAACTTATGATCAAGTTATGACTGCTCTAAAGGGATATGAAGTTCATGAGTTTGGTGGAATTGAAGCGAACCCTGACTTTGATACTTTAATCAAGGCTGTGGCTGAAATCAAGAAACTTGATATGGATCGTGTGTATCTTCTTGCTGTTGGAGGAGGTTCTGTTGCTGATGGTACTAAATTCATTGCTGCTGCGTGCAAATACACAGATTCTGAAGATCTTTGGAACCTTGTGTTGACGGGTGCTCACACTATCACAGCCGCCCTTCCCATTGGTGTTGTTTTGACTCTTCCTGCTGTTTGTTGTTCTCTATGGTATTTATATATAGACTGGATCAGAAAGTGATCCGAGTGGAATGATTTCTCGTCGTACTTTGAAGATGAAACTTCCCATTTCCAATCCTATATTGCTTCCCAAATTTGCGATTTTGGATCCTCTCACAACTATGTCTCTTCCAGAAAGACAAACTACGAATGGTGTTGTTGATTCATTTGTTCATGTATGTGAACAATACATCACGAGCTGTCAAAGTATTTATTATGGTTGTGATTGTTAATCATTTTGTAGATGCTGATGTCCAGGATCGATATTCTGAAGCATTATTGAAGGTTCTCATTGATAATGGACGATTGGTAATGAAAGATCCGATGAGTTATGTGGCTCGTTCGAATATAATGTGGGCTTCGACTCAAGCTCTGAATGGTTGGATTGCTCAAGGAGTTGAAGAAGATTGGGCAACTCATTTTGTTGCTCATGAATTGACTGCCTATTTGGGAATTGATCATGGTCGTACTTTGGCTTGTATTCAACCTCGTTTACTTCGATTCAATTTCGAATCAAAGAAAGAGAAATTGGCTCAGATGGGTCGACGTGTGTTCAATCTGGAAGGAAGTGACGACGACGAAATTGCAAACAAGACAATCGATGCAATTGTCGATTTCTATGAAAAGGATATGAAGGTTCCGACTCATATTTCTGCATATGATCCGACTGGAGATCGTAAATGGGTAGAAGAAGTTGAAAAGAAGTAGGCTGAAATCGAAATAGTTTTTACATGTAGATTCTTGGAGAATGATACTCATTTGGGTGAGTTAGGAAATGTTGATGCTCATGTGGCTCGTCAACTGATTTTGGATAGTTATTAATTTGATTGTTTGTGCCAAACATATTGTATTGTATTGTATTGTATTATTTACATATTGGTAAAATGTGCTTGTTATTCTTGGTTCGTTTCAAAAGTGTTTGTGTATAATAATAGTTTAGTAAGTAATTGCCGGACTTTGTATTATAATGTATTTTAGTGTATTTTGAATAACATAAGACTTTTAACAGAATGGTAATTAAACTGAGAAGATCACTTTGTGGCTTTTCAATATTTCTTGCGTTTTGAAAATGGAAGACATTCTGGCAATTGACTTTGGAACTACCAATTCTACTGCATGTGCACTTCGGGATAATAATAGAGTACAGTTATGGAATAACCAAGACTCAGGGGAGTTCTTATTTCCTTCATTTGTTGATTATACTGACAAGGGAGTGAAAGTAGGAAAACTGGCAAAACTTAATATGGGTAAACCTGGTCATTTTGTAGTTTCGTGTGTAAAACGGTTAATTGGTTTAAGATATGACGAATATTTGAAGTTAGAAAAGAAGGATATATTTGGTTGTGATGTTGTTCGTGGAGATGATGGTTATCCATATTTCGTTGTGAGTGAAGATGGATCGAGAATGGTAAGTTGCATAGATGTTGCCTGCGAATTATTTAAGTGGATAAAAACAAGTGCTGAACAGATTTGTGAACGAACATTTACCAGAGCTTATGTAACAAAACCAGCTAATTTCCTTGATCATCAAGTGAAGGCAATTCGTCAAGCTGCAGAGAAAGCAGGTTTAAAAATCGATAAAATGATAACTGAACCAACAGCCGCAGGATTATCATGGTGTAAAACTACAGTGAAAGGACTCTTTCCTACGTTAAAAAAAGACACCAATGTGTTTGTAGTTGATTTTGGAGGCGGTACTTTAGACTTTTCTGTGATCCGATATTTGGGAAATAATCAATTTAGGGTTGAAGATAACGCTGGAAATCCATGCCTAGGAGGAAATGATATAGATAATGCAATAATGGATCTTGTTTTAGCTGAATTGAGATATAATTATGGTGTTGTAATCGACAAGTCAAAGAGAGGAACGGCACGAAAACTGGCAAGACTAAGGAACATTTGTGAAGAAGTCAAGATAGCAATGAATACGAAGACTACAGATGATGACAATTATGTAGCCTTTTTAAGGAAGAATGAACACCTTACATACGAAATCGATGTATCCTACCTAACTACTGAGGTTGAGGTCATTACACTTCCATTTAGGGAAGTAACTGAAGCAATTATGAATTGCATGGAATCTGCAGTACTAAAGCCTCTTCAGTACATTACAAGGAAGCCAAGTCAAATGCCAGGTGTACTGCCACACGTTCTATTAGTTGGAGGTTCTTCTCAATTGGTGGTTTTCCGTCAGTTACTATTTAAGGAGCAATTAAAACGAAAACGATTTGAGAAAATCGATCCAATAACCTGTGTTTCTCAAGGAGCTTATGAATTAGCATGCATTATGAACGATAAAAATGCAAAAATGAGCATGACAGAGCCTATTGCAATTTCTTATGGACTAAAATCTGGAAATGACCAAGTGGCAATTATCCTAAGCAAAGGAACGGCTATTCCTTGTACTTCCGCAGAGAAAGTGTTTTCTATTTACTTTGATTATCCTGAAAGAATTAATATCAGTGTTTATCAATGTGAAGATGATGAGGGACAAGAATTGGTTGATATTGAGAAATGTACAGAGGTTGAGTCTTGGCAGTTTATAAATCCAGAAGACTGTAGACGACCTAGAGGACAACAAAAGTTAACACTACGTTTGAAATTGGAAGTTGGAGGAACTCTTCAAGTGATTTGTAAGGATTTTGCATTCAACAGAGTATTACTGGACGAAAAAACTGATGTACGATATTATGGTGATTATTGTGTTTATTTTAGTCTTACATAAATATCACGCCATAACCCGAAAAATACATTCTTTTAACTTTTCTCTTTATTTAGATGTGATTTACAATTATATCTTAATTGCTCTCAAATCTAAAGCCCCGCTACTTTGCTACATTACATATTTTGATATGTGTAGCTCCTACAAAAACAATAATGATCACTTAAACGATTTGACAGAAATAGCTGGTATTTGTCCTTTTTGGTTCACATCAATGAATAGGATATTATAAGTATACCCTGATATTCCAAATTTACAATGCATATCATTTCATTTATTATTCCATACAGAACGATTCAATAATAGTATTCTACCTGTCTCTCTATTCCTTAGCAATATGCACAACCACGTAGTATTCCACATATCTAACCTTCTTTCCTGTGATCTTGTATCTTCTGTTGCTTTTTCCACTTTGTTAGCAATTCCAAAAAAAGCCCAAATATCTTCATCAAATAGAGTGATGCAAATATCTCAGTTCCTATTGATATTCTATGAGTTCTGTATATTCTAGACAAACGATATTATCTCCTTATTATCTCAAGATCAATAGCGAAGCGTTTGATGTTGGGAATAAGAATTGGGTGGTGAGTCGTAGATTTATTACGATGAAAATTCAAACATTCTCGTCCACGTACACAAAGAGCAGCCAATGTATTATTTTGAGGAGATCGGGCTGATTGTTGTAGAATGTTCTTTCAGACGCTGAGCGATTTGACATTGCTTCCTGTGAAGCTGTCGACCCCAATTACCTTCATTCCTCAGGGACCTATTCTCTCCGTAAGTTTTTCCAATGACCGTCGCTTTATTTCGATTGTTCGCAGCCCCACTTTGGTTGAAATCTACAACCTCGTCGATCCGAAGTAGGGTTGTCTCTATTTTGCGAGCTGTAGACATAATTGCGTGAAGATCACGACCAAATCAAAGGAATCCATCATTCCGAATGGCACCGTGTGGATCCACACTCGAGGGGAGGTTAAAAAGCAGAAGGTGTACTGTCCCATTTTGGTGGTCGCAACCAACAAGTCGCTGACCTTCTACGAAGTCTCAGTGAAGTCCTTTTACCTGGTTTCTCTCTCTTCCTCCCTCCCCTCACCCCCAGATCAAGAGCATCAAGCTGAACGTCTCGCAGCTGTGGTGCAATCACCTCAACCAGCTGGTCATCGCTTCGGAGACGGGAAGCGGCCGCGTTTACGTCTACACCGTCCGCGAGCTGGTCGTTACGGTCCTCTTTCGACTCCCTCTTGACGCCAGAGACTCCAGTCCTTGTCGCTGAACATCACTCCCGACCACACGACCACGATGGTTTCCACGTTTTATCGCGCGACGTATCTGATCCAGTACTGCCAGCAGCGCGGGTTTCTGTACGTTTTCGCGTTCAGCAATCGCGAGAACGAGTTCAAGTACTACAACACCGTCGCTCTGTGCGCCTCGTTTCGTTTCCCTGACCATCGTAGGCCGCAGACGGGTCCCGCGGTTCTGTCGACGAGCGATAACCTGCTGATGGTGCACTACAAAGTGTCGCAAGTGTCGTTCTGCGTGGACATCGCGGACGTTCCGTTCGACGCGGCGAGCAACATGTCGCTCCCCGCGGTGACGAAGAACGCGGTGTCGAAGCTGGAGCTGATCCTCTCCTCGAACGAGGTGTACCAGAAGGCGGAGATCCAGAAGGCGATCGAGGACCCGTCGTTCCGCTTCATCGAAGAGCCGTCGCTTCCCTACCGCAGCTACGAGGTCACGATTTCGAGCGCGTCGATCGGCTTGGAGCTGGAGAGCACGTTCTCAAGGTGGACGAGGCGGCATGGCGTGAGCGGTAGATGCACAGCGACGCTACGAAGGTGGAGATGACGGCCTCGGTGAAGCACGACGTCCCGATCGAGAAGAACGTGCTGGCTCCGACGTTCAACAGCCGCGCGATCGGCGTGGCCTTCAAGAAGGAGCAGGCGATCGTCAAGGACTATCTGAAGACGCTGGGCGAGGAGCAGCCGGAGGAGTGCCAGAAGCTGGCGGACAGTCTGGCGGCGACGGGCTCCGCGGAGATCGGCCCCTGCGCGAACGGCGCCAAGTACACCATCACGCCCGAGATGGTGACGTTCAAGCCGACGGTGCTGAAGATCCACGAGGAGAAGTTCATCCCCTCGGTGGTGGAGCCGTCCTTCGGAGTGGGCAGACTGATCTACTCCATCCTGGAGCACGCGTTCTATGTCCGCGAGGGAGAGGAGAAGCGAAACGTGATGGCGTTCAAGCCGACGGTGGCGGCGTTCAAGTGCTCCGTGATGCCCATCAACAACTCCGAACAATTCACGCCCATCGTGGATCGCATCGGAGCGTCGCTTCGCTCCTACGCGCTGGCCTTCAAGACCGATGCTTCCTCGGCGTCGATCGGACGACGCTATGCGCGTGCCGATGAGATCGGAATCCCGTTCGCTGTGACGATCGACTTCGAGACGGTCGACGAAAAGAGCGAGCTGTTCAACACCGTCACCCTGAGAGAAAGAGACTCGATGAAGCAGGTGCGATTGCCTATCGAGGATGTGGCCGTGGTGGTGAACGATATCGTCAAGGAGAGAACGGTGTGGGAAGATCTGCTGGAGAAGTACCCTCAAGTGAGTGTGAAGGAGGAATAATGGGGATGCATTGTTTGTTGTAATGGCCAATCAAGGTGTGGGTGGGAGTGAGTGAGATGAAACGAGTGTTACAAATGTGGAAAATAGAGAGTGGAGAACAGGAGTGAGAGAACTACTCCATTACTCGGAACAAGCAGCAATCCTCATTTCTTCATCGATTCAAAATACGTTTTCACATAGGAAGACAGCATCGACATAAAAGCAAAACTAAACAGACAGGATTCACAGACAATACTTACCCCAACGTCACGAGAATGTTGAACTTATCTACAGAGACCAATTTCATCCACGTTAGAGAAGCCACTCCAGTAAAGAGACTTAGCCACCCAAGTAAACGAGACTATTTTGTGAGATCGAATCAAATTATTAAAACATTGAAAAAGACAGCCGCTAAGCCCATAAACAACGAGATGATACTGTAAAGGTTAGGCGCTTCATCTTCAACCGTTTGAGGCTTTCTTTCATACGATTTGTAGTAACTTGGACGTCTTACGTCTTCCATTGAGTTTGTTTCTATGATATGACAAAAAATGAGCCTTTTCAGTACAAAATGAGAATCTTGCTATTCGAAACAATTTAAGCTTAGAAATAGAAGGAAACTCAAAGCAGATCAGCGAAGTCCGTACTCAATAAGAAAGCTGAAATTGTTACTTTTGAATATTGTTTAGTAGAATACATACATTGAAAAGACAAGTACGCATCATATCAAAGTGTTTCAACAGAAAGACTCAAAACACTTGTAAAGTATACAGAATGGATACTATTCAACATCAATTAACGACAATAATCAATATTAGTAGAAAGGAATTAATGAAGGGCTAAAACACGGAAGGTGCACTTTTAAGATTCGGTAAATATTACTCCTTGTGATTCTGTACAACTTGGTATAATAATGAAGACCAATGACCAAATACAAAATGTCAAATAGTCAAAGAATGGAATGTAAAAACAAGTCGAAACAATTGTATACAGTGCCCAAACAAAACTCTGCAACATTCACAATCAAGTGATATGATTGCTTTGGTTTACTTAAACAAAGGTACAAAACAACTATTGGCTGTTATTCGATTTGATCAACTATATGGCACTGAAAACCACGAGATTTCGAAAATAATGGACAACCTAAAACCATGATTTTCCTAAGTATATTAGGATTGATATTCGCCAAGAAATTTCCTTGAATTTTCTTGAAAAGATTTGTCTTTCTCTTGTTTCCTCATTATTTATTTATTCATTCCTTGGATACTTATCTATTTTACATAATATGATGAAGGCTGTTAACAATTTCAACTTTGCTAATACTACTCGTATTGTCTTTGGAAAAGGACAGATCGCTCAACTTCCCACTCTGATTCCGAAGGATCGTATTGTTTATATGACATATGGAGGAGGCAGTATAAAGCGTAACGGAACTTATGATCAAGTTATGACTGCTCTAAAGGGATATGAAGTCCATGAGTTTGGTGGAATTGAAGCGAACCCTGACTTTGATACTTTGATGAAAGCTGTGGCTGAAATCAAGAAACTGGATGTAAATCGTGTGTATCTTCTTGCTGTTGGAGGAGGTTCTGTTGCTGATGGTACAAAGCTTATTGCTGCTGCTAGTAAGTGGGATAAAACCAACGATCCATGGGATCTGGTTCTGCAAACTGCATATACCATCACTGATGCCCTTCCCATTGGTGTTGTTTTGACTCTTCCTGCTGTTTGTTGTTCTCTATGGTATTTATATATAGACTGGATCAGAAAGCAATATTCATGGAGTGATTTCTCGTCGTGCTTTGAAGATTAAGCATCCCATTTCCAATGACTTGTTGCTTCCCAAATTTGCGATTTTGGATCCTCTCACAACTATGTCTCTTCCAGAAAGACAAACTACGAATGGTGTTGTTGATTCATTTGTTCATGTATGTGAACAATACATCACGAGCTGTCAAAGTATTTATTATGGTTGTGATTGTTAATCATTGTGTAGATGCTGATGTCCAGGATCGATATTCTGAAGCATTATTGAAGGTTCTCATTGATAATGGACGATTGGTAATGAAAGATCCGATGAGTTATGTGGCTCGTTCGAATATAATGTGGGCTTCGACTCAAGCCCAGAATGGTTGGATTTGCCAAGGAGTTGAAGAAGATTGGGCAACCCATTTTGTTGGCCATGAATTGACTGTCTATTTGGGAATTGATCATGGTCGTACTTTGGCTTGTATTCAACCTCGTTTACTTCGATTCAATTTCGAATCAAAGAAAGAGAAATTGGCTCAGATGGGTCGACGTGTGTTCAATCTGGAAGGAAGTGACGATGACGAAATTGCAAACAAGACAATCGATGCAATTGTCGATTTCTATGAAAAGGATATGAAGGTTCCGACTCATATTTCTGCATATGATCCGACTGGAGATCGTAAATGGGTAGAAGAAGTTGAAAAGAAGTAGGCTGAAATCGAAATAGTTTTTACATGTAGATTCTTGGAGAATGATACTCATTTGGGTGAGTTAGGAAATGTTGATGCTCATGTGGCTCGTCAACTGATTTTGGATAGTTATTAATTTGATTGTTTGTGCCAAACATATTGTATTGTATTGTATTGTATTATTTACATATTGGTAAAATGTGCTTGTTATTCTTGGTTCGTTTCAAAAGTGTTTGTGTATAATAATAGTTTAGTAAGTAATTGCCGGACTTTGTATGAGTGGTGTGATCCTTATTATACGATGATCTATACCATGAATCTCTCCATTATTCAATACGGCAAATGAGGTAGATCGAACGCAAATACCTTTCCAGCAAGGGCGAAACGATATTCCTCTCTGCGAATTGTTTCCACGTACGAAATCTTATTGAATCCATAGTTTATAAACTTCTCCACAAATTCAGTCACAGAATCATTTCGATACACAAGCAGATAACTACCATTCACCCATCTCTCATCACAAACGGTTCTAGCAAATAAGATTTCCAACACGTGTAGTTGTAATAGGGTTGCTGATTCCCACTCTTCAAGTCCTGAAGCCAACTTTTTAGCATGTATTTCTAGATGTGACGAACTGTCTTCCATTGCGCTACATGAGTGAACAGGTTTTTCTTGGACGAAGAACATCGCCTCTTCTCTATACACTCCACTAAATCATCCATGGTAAACGGGATATACTTCTTAATTCTATTTCACATCCTTTCACTATCCCAACGAGTTCACTTGGTCCATCAGCGTTCCGTTCTTGATCTCCCAGCCCGTGTGAAAGAATGCTGGAATCACGAGAGCCGCTTTTTTATCCGTCGCGATATTCTCGGGCAAGCGAAGCAGCGTTTCATAGGAATCCTCTAGAATAAGCAAGTACTCTTAATCTCCACTGCTCATCCACATATCCATGTCCAACACGATCATATGCGATGTGTGCACGTTGTGAATCCCCAGATTGCGGAGGATGTTGATCGGGTAGTTCGAATAAAAGAAAGACCCTTTCGCAGCCACATAAGTCAGCAAGCGAATGCGAGGTTCGCATAGAATCGAGTTCTCCGGTAGCCGCAAAAACTCATTCAGTTGGACCACTTCCTCTTCACGAAGATAGATCACAAAAACGATTGGGCTACTTCAGAGGAAAACATCATCCATACCCATTCCACCTTGACGCATAGATCGGAAGGATGAAAAGACGATTCAAACTACCAACGGTGACCACTGTAATGTCGAAGCGAGATGTGTCTTGCTCCTCACCTACACTCACACGAAGCTTATGGATGTACGATATTCTTTCGAAATTTGTTTTTGGAGAGAACAGCCCGAGTAGAGATAAATCGAAGTCCCTTTTTCTCGTTCGTTCTGCTTGCCTTGGCGTTCTGGCTTCTTTTCGAAAAACTCTTCTTTCTCTTTTGGAAGCATTACTTCGTCCCGAGACATACCCGACATTTTTGCTATTATGTCCTTTATATCCATCTTCTGCTTTCCCCCAGTATTCACCAATTCTTGTGGTTTAACCTGCTTCGAGTCATGACTAGGAGCAGGAGAGTTAGGAACACGGCTGTTCAAAGTTACGTTACTCACTTCACGAGAAACTTCCTCTTTCAGTGGAACCTATTCACATCACAATCATATAGAATTCAAACAAATAAGGAATTGCTTGTAAAACACAAAAATGGCACAAGTGCTGTTCTACGGGTTTATATGATATTGCAAATCGCTTACAGAGAGGCAACAAGAACAAGAAAGATAGTAAACGCTTCACTCCTCATAGTTCAAAGAAAGTAGCTCTATCTCTACCAAATCAATATGCTATATCAAACAAACTTAATGTTACAATTAAGAAAAATTAAAATAATCTATAGAAACTTTTGAGGTGTGGTGTGGGAAGAAACGGGACCTGAATGGAGTTCAGAAAAATCGATATTCATTAGTGAATCAAACGTTACATCTACGTCCTTCACCAAACTTGCTTGTTGCGCTGTTCCAGAGTCAACTGAGCTTGGGAGGAGGCGAAAGCCCCATCGCACTTCTCTGGTGATAATAGGGAATTCATATGGCACACGATAGTATCTCTTCTACACCAAAGCTTCGCCCTATCTCTTACAGGCTCGTCTTCGAACTCTAGACACACTTCTACACTATTTCTCATACAGCATTCTATTTTCCTGTTTGTAACCTAACTCTTACACAACGTACAGCTTTTCCAAAACTGCTGCTACTTCTACAACCACATCTCTCACGAACCGAGCGGACTTTGGAATGACAAAAACAAAATCGAGCTCCGTTCCATCACAAAATAGCAAAACACCCTTACTAAAGGACATTTTGTATTTCCCACTTCATTTTCTTCCTATTTTTGTTTTAATCGGAGTTAGTAATCAATGCTATAGCAAACAGGGAGACTTTCGTTTTCTGTATTACAATGTGATTTGTTTTGACCGAACAATATTCGACTAGTTTCTATTTTCATTTCTACTACTAATTAAATAGCACAGTATCGTTAATCGCTCGTTTTCTGCCTTTAACTCGTTTATTGAATGTTCGGAAGCTTCTAAAGTGAAGATAAACATCACACGAAATTTTGAAACAGTCAAACCAAAGAAAACATCCAAAACGAAACTTGCGAGTATTATTTGCACAAGCAGAGATTCAGGTCCATATATTCGCAATGGATCGTTTTAGGGAATCATGAGTGGAGTAATAACGGCACATTGGAATGTGGAAGGGCCCTATTAGAGAACCACGGGAATTTGGGAAGAACCTTTTTTGCCAATATTTCATCACAGGCAGATAAAAGATTATCTCTAAAGTTGTTATGGACTCTTCCACAAGTAGGTGAATCAATCTGGCGATGTAATGTTGGAAAGTAACGCTTGTGTAGATTGTATGGTCGTTCCTAACTTCGGAGATACCTGCATTGATAGAGACATCGAGAAGGGAAAGTTGATCCTAGCTGACGGAACTGTCTTTGAAGGGTACGAGTTAGCGGTGTATTTTGAGTAGATTTTCTTTCGGAGAGAATGTCTCTCGTTCTGGAGAGGTGGTGTTCAATACGGGAATGGTTGGGTATCCTGAGTCTCTCACAGATCCTTCTTATCGAGGTCAGATATTGGTGTTCACCTTCCCGATGATGGGTAATTACGGAATCCCTGGAGACGAGTTGGATGAATGGGGCTTGCCGAAGTACTTCGAGTCGAATGAAATCCATGTGGCTGGTGTGATCGTTGCGGACTACTCGTGGGAGTACAGCCACTGGGCTGCTCGGAAGTCCCTCAGTGATTGGCTTAAGGTAAGAAATGGTTTGTTTGTGTTGCCACACCTTAGTCAGGATCTTTCAGTGTACCATCTGTCTGGTCTGTTACAGGAGTGGTAGAGTGATTCGAACTCGTTCCATCTCTCGTTTTGAGTGATGCTGAGTTTGCATGCTATTTGAGTTGACGAGTGTTTTGATTTGATTTGATTTGATTTGATTTGTTTCATCTCATTTCATTTCATTTCGTATCGTATCGCTCGTCTTAGTTAATGGCCTTACACTAACCTCTTCTAGGAGCATCACATTCCCGCTCTCTATGGAATCGATACTCGAATGCTGACAAAGAAGATTCGCGAGCACGGCGTTCTTCTGGGCAAGATCGAGTTTGCAGGCCAGCACGTGGAGATCGAGGATCCGAACGAGCGAAATCTGGTGGCTGAGGTGTCGATCAAAGAGCCCCGCGTGTTCAACAAGGGTTTGTCGCCTCGCGTGGTGGCGGTGGACTGTGGTATCAAGAACAACATCATCCGCTGCCTCTGTGAGCGCAAGGTGCAAGTGACGGTGGTTCCGTTCGACTACGATTTGGAGGCTCATCGCGACGAGTACGACGGCATTTTCCTGAGCAATGGTCCCGGCAACCCGGAAATGGCGCAGGCCACGATCGATCATCTGAAGTGGGCGATCACGACGGACATTCCCATCTTCGGAATCTGCCTCGGCAACCAGCTCTTGGCGCTGGCTGCTGGCGCGCGCACCTACAAGATGAAGTTCGGCAACCGCGCGGCGAACGTGCCTTGCGTGGATCTGACGACGGGCCAGTGCTTCATCACGTCGCAGAACCACGGATTCGCGGTGGACGAGAAGACGCTGCCTCCGGACTGGCAGCCGCTGTTCTTCAACGCGAACGATTACTCCAACGAGGGCATCATCCATCGCACGAAGAAGATCTTCTCCTCCCAGTTCCATCCGGAAGCGTGCGCCGGACCTCTGGACACGCGCTTCCTCTTCGACCGCTTCATCGCCAACATCAAGGGCGCGGAGCAGCCGCTGAACACGCCGCTGAACACGAACTTCTTCCGTCTGCAGAAGTTCCGGAAGGTTCTGATCCTGGGCTCGGGAGGTCTGAGCATCGGACAGGCCGGCGAGTTCGACTACAGCGGCTCGCAGGCGATCAAGGCGATGCGCGAGGAGGGTCTGGAAGTGGTGCTGATGAACCCGAACATCGCGACGGTGCAGACCTCGAAGAACCTGGCGGACAAGGTGTACTTCCTGCCGGTGACGCCGTCGTTTGTGATCCGCGTGATCGAGAAGGAGAAGCCCGACTGCATGCTGGTGTCGATGGGCGGCCAGACGGCTCTGAACGTGGGCATCAAGCTGTTCGAGTCCGGCGAGCTGGCTCGGCACAACGTGCACGTCCTGGGCACGCCGATCCAGACGGTGATCGACACGGAGGACCGCGAGCTGTTCAAGGAGCGTCTGGACGAGATCAACGAGAAGCTGGCGCTGTCGTACCCCGCGACCTCGGTGGAGGAAGCGATCGAGGTGGCCGAGAAGATCGGGTACCCGGTGCTGGTGCGAAGCGCGTTCGCACTGGGCGGATTGGGCTCCGGGTTCGCGGAGAATCGGGAAGAGCTGGTGGAGCTGGTGTCGCGGTCGTTCACGTGCTCGGATCAGCTGCTGATCGACAAGGATCTGCGTGGGTGGAAGGAAATCGAGTACGAAGTGGTGCGCGACTCGTACGACAACTGCGTGACGGTGTGCAACATGGAGAACTTCGACCCGCTGGGCATCCACACGGGCGACTCCATCGTGGTGGCTCCTTCCCAGACGCTCACAAACCGCGAGTACATGCTGCTGCGTGACACGGCCATCAAGGTGGTGCGCCACTTGGGCGTGATCGGAGAGTGCAACATCCAGTACGCGTTGAACCCGGACAGCGAGGAGTACTGCATCATCGAGGTGAACGCGCGTCTGTCCCGCTCCTCCGCGCTGGCCTCGAAGGCGACGGGCTACCCGCTGGCCTACGTGGCCGCGAAGCTCGCGCTGGGCAACAATCTGATCCAGATCAGCAACCGCGTAACGAGCACGACGACCGCCTGCTTCGAGCCCTCGCTGGACTACTGCGTGGTGAAGGTGCCGCGTTGGGACCTGAAGAAGTTCCACCGCGTGTCGCCGCTGCTGGGCTCGTGCATGAAGTCCGTGGGCGAAGTGATGTCGATCGGGCGTCGCTTCGAAGAGGCCTTGCAGAAGGCGGTCCGCATGGTGAACCCGCTGGTGCAGGGCTTCGATCTGCCCTCCGTGGAGTGGAGCGAGGAGGAGCTGGTGCGTCTGCTGCTGCACCCCGATGACCGTCGAATCCACGCCCTGGCGCTGGCGCTCGAGCGGAACTACTCGATCGACCGCATCCACAGCATCACGAAGATCGATAACTGGTTCCTCGCGAAGCTGAACAACATCCACCTGGCTCGCAAGTGGCTGGCGGGTCGCCGGTTGGAGGAGCTGACGGTGGAGCGCATGAAGGTCGTGAAGTGTCTGGGCTTCAGCGACCTGCAGCTGGCGGCGCTGCTCTCGTTCCCGGACGCGTCGCTGACGCGTCGGCAGAAGGAGAGCTTGGTGCGGGAGGCGCGCAAGGCGCTGAAGGTGCTGCCGGTGGTGAAGCAGGTGGACACGCTGGCGGCCGAGTTCCCCGCGACGACGAACTACCTGTACATGACGTACAGCGGCGTGGAGCACGACATCACGTTCCACGACCACGGCGTGATCGTGCTGGGCTGCGGTCCGTACGCGATCGGGTCGTCGGTGGAGTTTGATTGGGCGGCGGTGAGCTGCATCCGCGCGCTGAAGGAGGCGCAGAAGAAGACGATCGTGGTGAACTTCAACCCCGAGACGGTGTCTACGGACTACGACGAGAGCGATCGCCTGTACTTCGAGGAGCTGTCTCTGGAGCGCATCCTGGACATCTACGAGGCGGAGCAGTCGGAGGGAGTGATCATCTCGGTGGGAGGCCAGATCCCGAACAACCTCTCGCTGCCGCTGGCGGAGAACAAGGTGCGCATCTTCGGCACGTCGCCGTCGATGATCGAGTGCGCGGAGGACCGCAGCAAGTTCAGCGACCTGCTGGACCGTCTGCACATCGACCAGCCCGAGTGGGTGGCGGTGACGTCCGAGTCGAAGGCGTTCGAGTTCGCGGAGAAGGTGAGCTACCCGGTGCTGGTGCGTCCGTCGTTCGTGCTGAGCGGCGCGGCGATGAGCGTGTGCATGAACGAGAACCACCTGAAGGCGTGTCTGGGCCGCGCGGCGAACATCAGCAGCGACTACCCGGTGGTGGTGTCGAAGTTCATTCTGGGAGCGAAGGAGATCGAGTTCGACGCGGTGGCGGACCACGGAGAGATCATCAACTACGCGATCTCGGAGCACATCGAGAACGCGGGCGTGCACTCGGGCGACGCGACGTTGCTCCTCCCCTCGATGAAGCTGTACACGGAGACGGAGCGCCGCATCCGAGCGATCGCGCGCGCGATCGCCAAGTCGCTGAACATCACGGGCCCGTTCAACATCCAGCTGCTGGCGAAGAACAACGACGTGAAGGTGATCGAGTGCAACCTGCGCGCCTCGCGCACGTTCCCGTTCATCAGCAAGACCTTCGACTTCAACTTCATCGAGCTGGCGACGCGCGTGATGGTCGGTTTGCCGTACAAGCGCGGAAACATCGTGCTTCGCGATCTCAACTACGTGGGCTGCAAGGCTCCGATGTTCTCGTTCACGCGTCTGAGCGGCGCGGACCCGACCACGGGCGTGGAAATGGCGTCCACCGGCGAAGTGGCCTGCTACGGAGAGAGCGTGAGCGAGGCCTTCTTGAAGTCGCTGCTGTCCACGAACTTCCACTTCAAGTTCTTCGACAAGAACGACACGAGCGCGCGCAACTTCCTCATCAGCATCCCCGAGAACGATTTCAACCAGTTCACGGAGGGTCTGGAGATCCTGCAGGGAATGAACGTTCACTTCTACGCCACGAAGGGAACCTTCCAGCGCCTCGCCGCCTTCGGAATCCCCGCCGAGCGCCTCCATCGCGTGTACAAGTCGAGCGAGAACGTGAAGGAGAACCTGGCTCTGGACTACATTCGCCACCAGTCAATTCATCTGGCCATCGTCGTGCCCAGCAACAACACCGACCAGGCCATCACCGAGGGATACAAGATTCGTCGCATGGCGGTGGACTTCAATATCCCACTCATCGTCAATATCAAGTGCGCGGTGGAGTTCGTGCGTGCGTTTGAGAAGTACACGGTAGGAGGATGGTTAGGGAAGTGTGTGATGTCTAGCTCCAAGGAGACGATTTCCTCAAGATTAAGTGTATACAGGAGTATTATGACGGAAACAAGTAATCGTAGTAGTAGTAGCAGTAGTAGACTAAAAGCTGTTCTTTTGTCATCTTTGTTGCAACAAAGAGAATAGATGGCAGGTTTGGATAGTTCTTCCAGAATGTCCTTCTCAAGAGAGAGAGGATTGGTGGTCGGACTGTACCTCTTCACGGGAGTTCCGTTGCGACTCACTAGGAACTTGGTAAAGTTCCACTTCACGTTACTATGCTGAAAGAGGAGGATCGAAAACCAACTTTACGAGAAACCCAGGACATGACTTCTTCAAATATTCGAATAACTCGTTGGTTGAGCGACCATTGACCTACAGAGAAGCAGCACTGCACCTATACGTCGCTCTTTTCCATCACGGGGAACGTGACACCATACTTTTCTCTCACAAAACGAAGAATGTCCTCCGAAGAACCAGGCTCTTGGTGAGCAAACTGGTTGCAGGGAAATGCAATCACCTCAAATCCCTGCGACTTGTACTTCTCGTAGAGCTCCTCCAACTCCTTGTACTGGGGAGTGAGTCCACAAGCAGAGGCGGTGTTCACGATCAGCAGTACTTTCCCCCTGAACTGAGAAAACGCCACAGAAGCGCCAGTAATATCTCTGAATACAAATTGATAAATCATTTGAAGTAGTGTCTTCGTCTATCAACAAACACATTTGAGATATAGTTTTCAGAAAAACTAGCTTAGTCGACTTTACTCAGCGTCTTCCTTGTCTTCCTTCTCCTCACTGTCGTCCTCCTCGTCCTCCTTCTTATCGGGAAGCAGCTCCGAGTGCACGAACGGAATCACACCTCCAGAAGCAATCGTCACGTTGCCGAACAGCGCGTTCAACTCTTCATCGTTGCGCACAGCCAACTGAATGTGGCGAGGAACCACGCGGTTCTTCTTGCTGTCCTGAGCAGCGTTCCCAGCCAACTCCAGAATTTCAGCAGTCAAGTACTCAATCACAGCAGCCAAGTACACAGGAGCTCCAGCACCGATACGATCAGCCACTCTCATATCTCTCATGTAACGAGCCATACGACCCACAGGGAAGGTGATTCCAGCACGAGCAGAACGACTCATCGTCTTTCCCTCCACATTTCCACGGCCTCCTTTACCTTTTCCAGACATGTTTATCTTATCGAGATCCAAATAATAATAAATGTAGGAGGGAAATCGGTCAATCAAAGAGAATTTGGAGGCAGAATTTTGTTTGTCCAATAGATCAGCAATTCGATCAATGATAGGCCAAACAAAAGGCCACCATCTATTGTTCGTCCAATCGATATCACATACTGGCAATGATAGGACAGACAAAATCCTGTTTGAACAACTCTCCTTTTTCCAATTCATAATCTTTTTCAAATCTAAACATGTCCGATAACGAAAATACGAAGCCTACGACTGAAGTTCAGGGAGACGATAAGAAGAAGGCCCGCAAGACTACCAAGGTCGATTCTTATGCTACCTACATTTACAAGGTTTTGAAGCAGGTGCATCCTAAGCGCGGAATCTCGAAGAAGGGAATGGCTGTGATGAATTCCTTCGTTTCTGATATTTTCGAGAGAATCGTGACGGAGGCTGGCCATCTGGCTCGCGTCAATCACAAGAGCACTGTGGGTACTCGAGAGATTCAGACCGCTGTTCGTCTGATTCTTCCTGGAGAGTTGGCGAAGCATGCTATTTCTGAGGGAACGAAGGCTGTGACCAAGTTCCGTGGCGAGTCTGCATAAGTGTGTGGTAACTGGTGTTTGTCAATACCATCCTTGTATGTTTGTTACAAACAGTGGAAAAGACTAAAACACTTGTAACTCTCCGTTGCTCCAGCAGGCACGGGGTGTGAGTACAAAGTAAGCCATAGGTTTCGAGTACAGTTTCTACTCATCATCCAGCACATTAGCGACTCACCAAGATTCGACATTGTTCAGGAGTCAAAACCTTACCCTTCTTACAAACTGTATAGTCCTCACGCATGTGGATGGTTCCATTTTTCATCTCAACGGGCAAACGCAGCTTTCGGAACTCCTCCATCATGCTATGAGCGAAAGGCATCTCTCCCTTGGGAATTACAAACTCCTCCGTTGCCTTAAATCCAGCACGGGCATAATCCAGGGACTTGTATTCTTTAAAGAAGGATAATACCTCTTCTTGGGGACGATTTGTGAAGAACAGCGTACAGTTTCCTCCCAAGTACTCACCCAACTTGCTCAAATTATCACGGTATTCTTCCTCCGGACTTCTACCCAGAGCAACCTGCATTACACGGTTCTTGCCCAGCAAAAACCTAGTATGATCACAGTAAAAAGTGGAGAATACCTGCAATCATTTAACTGGAGGCGGAGATCCTTAAATGCATTCGTACGCAAGTTATCGAATTCCAACACATATACAAACTTGTAGTTGTCCACACACTCTCTCACCGTATTTACTACATTATCCTTATGTTCCTTGCCCTTTTGTTTGGTTTGAGTCAAACTTACTAAAGGAGTTAGCAAGGGTAGAAAAGACCATACCAACATGAGCTCTCTTCGATCTAGGCATGAATATGAAGCAAGGAAGGTAAGAAGCAAGAAGAAAAGTGATTAAGCATAGTTCCTTGTTATTCTATTTTCACAGATATATGAATGAGTTTTCAAACGGACCATATTATTTGTGAACAATATATTGAACTCAGAGAGGATAATTTGCAAGAAAGAGAGTGTATAGTGAAATGAAGAGAATAATATATGCATGGTTGCTATTTCTTATTTCGCTTATATAGTATTGACGTTTGAATTGAGTTTATGGCTCGTGACTCCAATGAATTAGGCAAACAACTCCTGACCTGTCACTAGACTTACAACCCAATAATAAGCTAAGTAGAATGGAGTCATAAGGAAAATGCTTATTCCACATTTATAATTATAAAGCATTTATTATTGATTTTTGATTATTGATATTTATTTCTCATTTTCCACAATAGCTCTCCTTTATTTTGTATAATTATACTATAAATAATAATTAACTAACAAGCTCCGATGTGTGTATTAACAAATAGAGAAAAATCGCCAGCCACATTACTTTCTTAGAACTCTATGATACAACACCTTTACTTGTGTAAAGTAATTATCCTTATACTTTCTATAATCGACAGGAACCCATTTTGCTTGAGGGACGAGTGGTTTCACTACTGGTGCAAGTTTCCTTTTTACATGTTTCTACCATATTATACACCTTCGACTCGAGTTACCTTCGAAACTAGTAACCGACCTTTCAATTCATAAGCGGCTTGTAATAGAACTGGATCAGTATAGATTAGTAGTCGTGGTTGAGTATAATAAGGTAATCGCGAATGAGTATTCGCTATATTCTTAAGATCCATATATATTAAGATAATCAATTGCCAACTTTAAAAAGCAGTAATTATGTTTTAATGGAGACTGCCCCAATAATGTTAGCTAAAATAGTTCATCCAATAATATGCAAATGATAGTTCAATTATCATGATTTTTGCTTTTATTTGGCTAATCCATGAATCATTTTGATCTAAATACATAGAATAGTATATCCTAAAAAGAATCCCAACCGTTTTATAGCATAAATAGAATGAGATATCAAGGAATTAATCATGCCAATATTGGTCTATCCAAAAATCTCCATGTTTTTTCTAATTCTATGAGGTAAATGATTGGCTAATAACTCTATATGAGCCCTATTGTCTCTATTTTTTGCATGATTTCCATAATTGTGATTCTTGCATTCTAAGTCATAATTTATTTTCGTGTGCTGTTAAATGAAAGGCTTGTTGATATCGGTACTTCTATGTAATGATTGTTCTCTTCTTTGACACTTAGTCTCGATTGCGCTAAGCGATATTACTTGTGGATCAGGAGAAACCTACATGAAGTTCATAAAGAAATGTGGGTCCTCCTGGGCTAGTGAAGAGTCCTTCAAGGTCTATTCTGGATCTACTCTTCTTTACACTGGAACAGGCTTTGCTAACAGTGAAACGCGTACTACTGAAAAATGTTTGACCACTTCGACTAATAATCAATACACCATTGAGTTGATTGATTCTTATGGTGATTCCTGGTACAATGGAGCATTCCTTGCTGTCTATGGAAAGTCTGGCAACGCTGTTTTCAAGAACACTTTGGTTGATGACCGTAAAGAAACTTATACTGTGTCTTTGTACTATGGTGTTGAGGAGGGTGCTACTTGGAAGATGACCTCTGGATCGATTACTGATGGCTGGACTGCTTATTCGTTCTCTGATAGCACTTGGTCGGATGCTACCCTTGGCTCTGTGACTGCGACTGCTTCTGGTACTCAGTACTTCCGCAAGCAGTTCGTGGGTCTTGCGAACATGGCTGCTTATGATGTGAGACTGTACTACAAGGCTGGAGTGATTGCCTATATCAATGGAGCGGAGGTCTATCGTGATAACATGCCTGCTGGAACTGTTTCTGCTGGTACTACTGCTACTGGAGAATATTCTGAGATTGCTTATCGTGGATTCATTCGTCCTGGCTCTGAAGTGGCTGCTCAACAATCTATTTTGGCTGTTGAAGTCCATTTCCTTACTGCGCAAACCAACGTCGATTTCAATGCTTATCTTGCTATTTTGGCTGCTTCTACTACCGAAGGAAACTGCTTCGTCTATGCTGAGCCCGTAGACGTGGATGCTACTGGTGGCAGGAATGTTGCCAATATCTTTGATTTTGGACGAACGTCTTATTACAATGCTGCCTCCACATATCTTCCTGCTACTGTAACCTACTCCTTTGAAGGACCGAGACCCTACGTTAACTCCGTTCGTGTTTGGCCTTATACGTCTATTACATCTGCTCCTAGCACATTCACATGGCAAGGATCGAATGATAATTCGCAATGGACAAATGTAGTTTCTGTATCCGATGCTACTTATGAAAGTGAGACTTACCAGATCTTTGGTGGTTATTTCTATGCTTCTTTATTCCAACACTATCGCGCTCATATTGTCAGCAGTGGCTACAGCTATGTATATACTTATGAAATGCAGCCTCTGACCTGTACTACAGCCATTCCCACCTCGATTACCTTCACTCCCAATACTTACACATTCTGGGCCAAATACGAGCAGGTGTATATCCGACCTGATATCAATGAATTTACTTCTTGTACAGCTCAGAACCTTCCTGAAGGACTTACCATTGATGCTACTTCTTGTGTGATTTCTGGAGTTGTAAACAGTGCTGTATCGGGTGTGACAGTTACTGTCTCTTCGGTTGTTCTTGGAAACACCTACACTGGATCGTTCACGCTTACCATTCAGGAATGTACCGGAACCATGCTCAACATTCTTCGTACATATAAGTCGAGTGCTACTTATGAAAGCTTCGAAATCAAGGATGCTACAAACCAGCAAGTTCTGATTTCTGTTGCTTCCAATTCAGGTCAGATCAATAATGAAGACTGGACTAGCGTCGCTTGCGTTACTGGATCCAAGTACCAAGTGACTGTTGGATCTACCTCCACCTATTGGAGTTCTCTGTCGTTCCTTTATGTCCGTGCTGTTCTCTCTGGAAGCGAAATGGAAACGGTTCTTCGTATGAAATATGATTCGAGAGTTGGATTTGCCACCACTCGCACTTTCAATGCTCAGTTTGCCATTCTTCCCCATTCCAACTGGTACTACAAGCATGGCGAAGTTCCTACTGATTGGTCTTCGTCGACTTCCACTGAAGGATGGACTGAGGGAAATGACAGCAACTACCCCGATTCTTCCAACCAGATTCAGCTGTACAAGAAGACATTCACTGTATCAGACATCAACAACATTGCCGGATTTGTTCTTTCCATCAAGTTCAAGTATGGATGCATTGTCTATTTGAATGGACACGAAGCGTTCAGAAAGGGATTGACGGATGCTACGATCAGCACTTCAAGTTATGCTGACAACATTTACACAAGTACTATCTATCATCAGATTTCTCTTCCCATCAAGACGGTTCAAATTGGAGAGACTGCTGGTGTGAACTACATTCAGCAAGGATCGAATACCATCGCTATTGGTATTGTTGCTGCCAATGCAAACCAGAAGGAGGCGATCTTCGATGGTGCTCTTCGAATGATGGGAGAAGAGATCACATCTCGTGTCTTCGATTACACCGTTACCTACAGTGGAATTAGTGGAAGCCCTTCATCTATGCTGAACCAATACTACGGATATACAGTGTATTATTCTTCGTGTGCCAATAATTACTACAACATTGCCTTTACCAATGATCGTCACGAATGGATTAACTCTGTGACTATCAAGCTGTACTACACGCAGAGTACTCAGCAAGTTCGTCAGTTTGTTTTGAAGGGTCGTAATGGAAGTGATGATTGGACAACAGTCGCTACTGTTACTGGACTTACCTGGTCTCAAACTGGCCAGGCTCAGACGATCTATTTCCAGAACAACAAGGCCTATCATGAGTATCGTTTCGAGAATTTTGCTACTGGTGATACTTCTGAATGTTATTGGAAGTTCAATACCTTGGATTTGAATGCTGTATATACAACAATGACCGTTCCTGAACTTGCTTATGAATCCACGACCATTTTCAAGGATGTCGAAATGGGAGAAGTGTACCCTAATTCAGAGTATTACTTCAATTTCCAGGTCAGTCCAGCTTTCCCCGATGGAATTAAGATTGATCCTAACAGCGGTATTATTTCTGGAACTGCTACTGCTGAGATGGCAACCACTACTTATTCAATCACAGCTAGCAAACTGACTGGAGGCACTTCTACTGCTTCTTTCTCGTTATCTGTTGAAATTTGCACTGGAGGCCGTTCTTTGGTTACTTTGGTAGCTCGTACCGATAGCTATCCTGAGCAGTCTTCCTACAAGCTTTATCAGGGAATTGGAACCAGTGGAACTGTTGTCAGATCCATTGAGCGATTTGCGTCATCTTCTTCTCTGAACTATGGAGATTTCTGTCTGAATGATGGAATCTACACTCTTGAATTGCTCGATTCTTCTTCTAATGGTTGGACCAATCCTGCTGGCTATTATTTGACTGTTGATGTAGGTGAAATGATCTTTGAAATGGGTCAGGTTCCCACGGGAGTTGCTTCTGTGAGCACAATGTTCTCTTCCTATTTCCCATTCCAAGTTGACTATACTGAATGGAAGATTAGCTACAATTATGTAGAGAATTGGAACTCTAAGGATTTCGATGATTCTACATGGGCATCGAAGAAGGCGAAAGATATTGGAACGAACGCCGGAGTCACTACATACATTCGCAAGGAAGTGAACATCCCCGATATTGCCAACTACCATGTGCTGAATATCCGTGTGAAGTATGCTGGAGGAGTTGCTGCTTACTTCAATGGCAGATTGGTGGCTCGATTCAATCTGGAAGAGAATTTCGATTCCGAGTCAAAGTCCATTGCTGTCCACAACCAAGATACGTTCTCCAAGTTCCATGTGATCATGTCTACTGTTGGCGGAGTAACTGGAAAGAACATCATGGCATTTGAGGTCCATCTTCCTCTTGGTCAGTCTTCTTCGAGCCCTGTCGTGTTCGATGCTACTGGCGTGTTTGGAGTGAATGATTGCTCGATTCTTGTGGATACTATCATCAACGTCGATGGAACTACTGCATATTCTTGTGAATTAGAAGAGCTTCTGGATCTCAATCCTACGACTTATGGATATCAGTCGAATTCTCAGAATACCTATCTCGAGTGGGAAGTGGAGAACCTGGAAGGATCCAAGTTCAATAACTTCGGAATGCAGACTGTGTATTTGCGTTCTTCCTACGGATTCTCTCTCTATGTGCGCAGAGAAAGCACTGATGAAGACACCTCTGCACTGGCTCTTCTTGGTCAGAGTACGAAGGCATTGCAACGTAGTTATTGGTCTGTGCCTGTGGGTATTGCTGGATTCAGATACTTCCGATTCGAGGTGGATGACACTGCCTCGAGTACTGTGTACGTGAGTTCGTACATGCTTTTGTACTGCAAGCCCAGTGGAACTGACACTTGTCCTGGAATCGACGATTATCCGTCTGTGGGAGAGGGAGAAATCTCGCCTGCTCCCTGCGAGGAGGGATATCGTGGATATTCGTACCGCACTTGCTCAAATGGCCAGCTGGGTGAGATCAACAACCAGCATTGCACTCAAAAGGAACCTACGAAATTGTTGTATAGTGCCAGTATTTATAATCTCATTATGGGAACCAGTGTCAGTATTCCTAAGCCTACCTATATGAACATCATTTCGGAATTCTACATGGCTGATAACACTTTCCTGCCTAATGGATTGGCTTTGAACGCCCAGACGGGAGAAATTACTGGAATGCCTACTGAAGAGTATGGATTAAAAACCTTCACGATCTACGGTAAGAATGATGTTGGTACCACGTTCACTACTATCAACATTTCTGTTAAGAAGGGAACTTGCAAGGCCGAAGGAAACTTCCCGAATACGCCTGTTGGTGAGGTGTATGTCTATGATTGTGCTTTGGGCGGTTCGTATGTGGGTACTCAGAAGAGAGCTTGTCTGCTTGGAGAAAAGGATGGAGAATGGCAAGCGATTACTGGATCTTGCATGCCTGTTTGGATGATTATTGTGCTCGTGGTGGTCGCTATTATCATTGTCGTGACTGTTATTTTCATCCTGGTGCGTGTGACTAGCACGGCGAAGGCTGTCGGTGGTGTAAAGGGAAAAAGCGCTAGAGCATCTGGATCGCAGAAGAAGACGCTGTCCAAGAAGGATAGCGCAAAGAAAGCTGTGAAGGTTTAATGAGGTTGCTAACTGCTAAAAAATGATGATTCGATTTCTTTGTTAAACAAATAAGTCATTGCGACATTAGTTTTAAGAGCTGAAGCATAAAGCCATTATCACTCACTTTAACAAGCGATTCCAAATTCTCGTGAACATCTAATCGTTAAATATATTTGACCAATACTAGTAATAGTCTTTTTTGCTACATTCGAAAATGAATTAGGGAGATTGACTTCACACACATTAGGAATATCTTCAGTATGAGCCATGTCGATCCCTTACTTTCCAGCGTAACTTCACTGAACAATCGTAACGTATTTCCCTGCGATTCCAGTGTCGTTAAGCGTGGCAGATCTGATCAATACATGCTTTGTGTAGCTTACTTCTCATTACCAGTTCCTTTCCGGGAAATGCTCCATCGAGAGCATCCGATCCACAGCGAATGCCTGTGAGATTTGGCAAATCTATGCATGAGGAGAGTGATGTGCGAACACTTTCTAGCTTCGCACTTTCTGCATTACAAAATGCTTTGTTCCCCAATTCAATCTGTTTCAATGAGGGAAGATCTATGCTTGTCAGTATTACACATATCTATAATACTTCGAAGATCAAGTGTAGCTTCATTGAAGTTGCAAGACTCAAGTCCTATTTCTCCGATTTGAATTACTTGGAGCGATCCACAATTAGTTATTTTGAACTCACCAGAATAATCACTGAAGCTGTAGCATCCAATCGTTATATATACCAATTTGGGGCAATTTACAATAGAGAAGGTTCGATGAGGATCATCTCCTTTTCCGTTCTTCTTTCCAGTAAAACAGTTCTTCCCGATCACAATACTTTGGAGATTCACCAAACCCTCAATTGAGAACTTGTACACATTTTCAAACGATTCATCGCCAATAACAATTTTCTCAAGCATTAAGAAATCGCTTAGAATAAAGAATCGACTGTCAATTTCATTTCCAGAATTCGGAGGAAGTGACAATGCAGTGATATTCTTCGGTTTACTAGTCAATACAGGAGCAATGACACTCATTCGAACAATCCCTGCCAATTTCATGTTGGTATCTTTATGTCAAATCCATCGGAATCCTACTTTCTATTTGAGCAAATTCAGTATAATTAAAAGATTCAGGAAGTGATACTGAAGTTACTGCTGGAACATCTACACCCTCAGATATTTGTTTTGATTCAAACTGGAAATCGTAACAAACCGAGGATAGACGAAACTTCTGCCATCCGACTGAATAGTTTTCAAGGAAGGCAAGTCTAAACAAAATAGCTATAGTAATAATATTGCTATACCTTTCATGCTAAGTGTTACCGAGTCACTCTTATATTTGCCCTGCAACGCTTGATTCCCTAAGTTGATTTCTCTCAATTTTGGAAGATCTATTTTACATATCGACAACAAGCTTACTTTCAAGAACCGTATTGATCGACCAGAAGAACACTAATTTACCTAAATCAATCACCTCTAAAGAAGGGAGATCTGATAGTCAACGATAGAATTTAATAAGAGCCTTTCAGAACCAGAGAAGCATAATCAAAGTTCCAAGAATCCTCATATTTCGATCCAATTCTTAAAGATTTCAGCTTTGGCAGATTTTTGAATTCAACCTCTCCAGAACAATCGCAGAAACTATAGATTCCAATCTCAATCGATTCAAGATTGTCACAATTGACAAGATGGAATGAACGACCACCATCATCACCATGACGTTTCTTTTCTTTTGTAAAGCTATTCTTACCAATTTTCAAAGTCTTTAGTTGTCGAAGGCCGTCCATACGGAATTCCTTCAAGTTTTCAAAGCTATCATCTCCAATAATAATCTGAGTTACCCTTGTGAATCGATAGAAATCCAAGGCTGGACACTTCGGATTGTTACAAGTGTTATCAGGCAAAGAAATAGAGGTTACAGAGTTATCAATGGCATCCAACTCTGGAATTGAATCTGTAGGAAGAAGGGAAGCCAAGGATTTGTGTACATCTATGATTTATCCATGCTTGATTGTGTTTACTTTCAACAGTGCAATTGACAACAATTTCAAATGATTTAGGTAACTGGACATTGGCAACGTTTGGAATATCTATGAATCATGGTTCTCAAGCATATCAAACTGGATAATATGACCAATTTGCTACCATAGAATGTGAATCCAGGATTATTGGAAAACAACGTTTTTAGAGCTGGTAAGTCTATGGGTAAATAGTTCAAAGCATTAAAAGTACCCTTCATGATTAAAGAACATTCTTCTTGCTTGTTTCCATTCAATGCATTATCTCCGACTTTGATCAACTCAAGTTGTTCCAAATCTAAATAGAATACAATACATTACGAATACTCTCAAATACAGTGTGCGTAGAAAAGCCAAACGTCTTGTCACCCAGAATAACACTCTTCAACATTGGAAGGTCTCGTAGAACAAACGAACTGCAACTGAAATTCCAAGATTCCTTGTCAAACACTCCAATATAAAGGGACTCTAATCTTGGCAAACTTGCCAATTCAAACTCCCCTCCATAGTCACTGAAACTATACTGCCCAATAGTAATAGATGTAAGATTAGGACAATTCGCTATTTTGAATGATCGCGACTTGTTTTCCTCCCATCCATTCAGCTTCTTAGTGAAGCTGTTGGTTCCGATTTTGACTGTTGTCAATGATTGTAAGTTATCTATAACGAATCTCTGTACATGAGAGAAGCATTCATCTCCGATATAGATAGATCTTAGATGACTCAAGTTCAGTAATGCAAAGTTCAGCACATTATTACAACAGTTTGAATTAACTGATAGAGATTCTACATTCTGAGGAATGAGATCCATTTCTGAATCATTGTTAATAGTAATTTTAGTGCTGTTTTCAAATGGATTATTTCTTGCCTGGCTATCTAGAGATAATAAGGAGTCATATCTCATACTTGATGGCACGGATTGTCCCAAATTTGAAAAAGGACCAGACTGAGGATAATACTGCCCCGCACGAGCAGGTTCTGAACTACGGGTCGTTGGTGCTGCTCTCGATAGATTTGGTATTCTTTGCTCCTCCTTTGCTTTTTTTAGCTCGTTGACTTGCTTTTCAAGTGCGTTTATTTGTTTCTCCTTTTCACTCAATTTGGATTGAAGCTCGGTATTCCTCTGTTCTAAACGGGCTACACTTTCTTCTTTTTCACGAATCAGCTTTTCATAAGTCTTTCTTTCATTCTCAGCAGCTATCAATTTGCCCTTATTCTCTCCATTTTGCACCTCTTTGTCCCTAATTTCTATTCTAAGTGATTGGACTTTCTTTTTTTCTTCTGCGAGATCGTTTTCCAACCTCTGTATTTGCCGTTTGTACAATGATTCCTGACCTGTTTTTTCTTTTTCTCCATACTTCACATTTGATTGCAATTCTTGGATATCGGACTTATATTGTTGTACTTGATCTTCCAATGACTTAATCGTTTGTTGGTCTTCTTGTTGCTTTTTCTTTAGAGCACTACTCTCGCTTTTAATTTCTGCCAGTTTCTTGTCAAATTCCTTACCTTGGTAAGTGTAGCGGCGTTTCCAATTTCGGATTTCAATGCTAAATCCTTTCTCTTTAATTCGAGATTGAAGCACTTCACGATATTTGGCGATACGTCTCTTGTCTCCCAGGGTTACATTGCGGTCAAACATATCAAGAATTTTGGTAACAATCTCTGTATTCTTCTTACTGTACTCATCTTCTTCCAACCATGGTTTTTCGTCCATCACTTCACTCATCATGCTCAGATACATCTAAATATCAAACCATTCTTATATTACCTACATCAAAGCAATCTGAAGCATATCGACTCATCTCGACCTCTGCAGTTGCTTGCATGATGGAACTTGCCGAGGGAAAATCTACTTGGCGGGCGAATAAGTCTCCATAATTCAGGGCATATCTATCCTAAATACAAATAGCAAACAAAATACGATTCGTAGTCTTTGGTATATACAGGGCGATTATTAATTTCAAGTGGCTCCAAACCTTTAGTGAATATGCTCGTAATATAGTTGCTTAGCAGATTTAAGAATGCTGAAGATATCGTTTTTATGGTCCCATCATAGCTCACTCTACTCACTTCTAATCCAGGGTGTGGTAGACAATACACATCAATTATTTGATAACACTCCTTTATCTGGTTGCGAGTTTCATTCAAATCTTCCGTATTTCTAGGAGATAGGAAGCTGTTTTTGTAGGATTCCATTTCTTTTAGGCAGCTAGCTTGATTACTCTCGTTTCGGAAATTAGCATAATCCCTAACAAGGAAGTCAATATGCTGGAATGGGGGATGATCTCCGCTTTTTCCCGAATCGCGGATACGAATACTGTAATCGGTAAACAGAGCTAAGTGTTGGAGAAAATCTTCTTGGAGTCTTCGGTCTACGTTATAAATCTGATATGATGAGAGTAATGTGGATAGACCGAATATACTTGCTGTAAGTCCTTGACCTGTTTGTCCGTCCCACATTCCCTGCGTATCCATAATTAATACAGCCATTTTGCCTCCAGCAGTTGTAGGATCGGGAATAATGAATGGTTTATTCCAGAACCATATGCCTTCTGTATTACGTGCATCTCCTCCTCGAAAGTTGAATCCCTTGGAGTTTGAAGTATTGCCAGAATAGCCTTCCAATATCGCTCCGCCATACAGGATCCAAGAATAGATACCGTCCTTATTTATAGTCTTCATATCTGCATTATCTAAGGATGAGTGGCATATCACAACCTGACTCTCTAATGCATGCAAATATCTCAGGATAAAATTGAGGAGAAACGATTTTCCACTTCGGAATGCACCAACAATTGAAAGAACTGCTATGGGTACTGTTTTTGGTATCTACATAAAAAGATACGAAAGCTCAAACTTGTTTCATTATATACTGCATAACCTCCTTCCTCATATGAAAAGTATTGGAGTCTTTGTCTGCAACCAAGAACTACAGTCAAGAAATATTGGAATTATATATATACCTGTACTGGATACTCTGAACTACTGCCTATGTTTGGTTTTGACATGAAAAGCAAAAAAAAATATGAAGATATTAACATATCTTGTTATAATGTGGATTCAACGTGGAGTAAACTGGAAAAAACAATAATCAAATATTGGCATTACTTTTAAACAAACAAGAAAAACCATACTTGACTTGATATCATAAGGGATTCTCATGTAACCCAAAACCACAATCATCACATAAGCAATCGTCTTTACAATCATCAACAAAGCATCCTTCATTCCCCCTAAATGAATCAACGCCACGGGCATGTAGCATCCAAAAGACACCAACACCCAGAACCATATTCCTCTAAAAGGATCGTCAGCTTCCTTCCTCGAGTACCGGAAAAGCAAAACATCGACAATAACCCCAATAAGAATAAAGGGGATATTCCGAAGCCAGCTCATAAGCGGATTATGAGTGTTGTGAATCCAGTCGTTTTGAGGTAGCAATACAAAGATAACACGTAATGCGAATAAAATATATGTAGCCCAGCGCAGTTCATTGAGGTTTTGTTTATAATGCAGCGAGATAAGCTCAAACATAATGACATAGAATATGGCCATGCCGATGGAGCTCACTGCATTACCAATTCCGATTGCAGCAACCACTGCTTCTGTTTTACCCATATTAAGCCCATAAGCGCGAGGGAGAAGATGGAAGCAGTCTCCGAAACCAAGGATTAAGCACATATAAGAAAAAAGTCGATATTCCTTATTAGGGGATTTACGAAGAAGCATTCGGAAACCCAGGAAGAGAATCGTAGCAAGATAGACAATATCGAACAAAGTTTCAAAAAACGCAGCAAAACTCATAGTTAAAAGAATTATGGATCTACAAGGAAAAGATTTCGAATCGAGTTCTCTACTAGATTCTTTTAGAATTCGAGACAGTTTCATCGAATCAAGGAGCGTTCTTTAGCCACTGAATCACCTGCCAATTCAACACAAATAATATCACGCGTTGTTTTATTTTAATAAAATGGTTTGGCAACAAACAGCATATCTACTACAATTTATGGTTCATTAGCCGTATTTCAACATTTCCCATTTCTCCCTTGTTTTGAATTGAAATCGTTCCATCATTAGCCATTTGAAGCAGAGAGACAAACATTCTCGATACTTCATAGGGTTTTCTTTGTTTCGATAATTCAGCAACGGAAGCTTCTTTTTTGTCCTTTGCATTCAATTCCTCAATCAATTCTTCGCTGTTTTTACGAATATCAAATTCTTCACGTCGATCTTGTTCTTCTAAGACCGGTACAATCTTCGTTTCCCATTCTGCTACTCGCTTTCCCAGCTTCGTTTCCCTCGTGAATTTTTCGACTCCGTTCATAAACGCCTCCATGTGCTGTCTACACAGATCTTCATAGGATACATATCCTCCATCCATCATCGTCATCATCGTCTGGTTCGTTTCGCCCAGTCTGCTTTCTCCGATCTGCAATGGATCAAACGCCGCGGTCTGGTTGAGGAGATTGTAAATACTGGTCGTGTAGTTGTCGGGACGATGCATACTCACATCTAATCGTGTTTGTTCCAATTCTTGTTGAACCGATTCCTCATTGTCCAGATTCGGTTCGAGTTCATTTCCGAAGCTTGGTGAACTCGCAGCTTCTATTTCATAATCCATCGGCTCTTCGAGAGCAGTAATCATGGTTTCGGTTAGAACTCGCTATCCGTAAAACCGACCATCAAAACCACACGGAAGTGGAGCTTCGATACACGCCGATCTGCTTTCGAAGCGCTTCTTTCATGCAAGATTGCAGTCGACTGCATGTCAACTCGTTCCAAACCCTACTTAAAGATCGAAAGGCCTTTGGATGGATATAAAAACATGCTTTCTTCTTTGGTTTCCACCATTTTCTGAGTCGATCGCCGCTGCTCCTTCTCGCGATTCAGTCGTTTCTCGATCTCCGCTTTGCTGAGCGAGTTCTGGCCACGTTTATAAGGAGCCGATCGGTTTTGTCGATCATCGTAAGGGTCTTCTGTTCTCCAGACGTTTGCAGAGAGCGAGCTGCGGCGCGACGCGGCTTTCTGCGATGGCAAATCGAGGTCCGAAAGCTCGTCTGCTTCTTCGAAAACGGACGGAATCGCGTCGACCGAGGGCTCCTCCGCGCTTTTCTCGGGCTCTTTCGCTTCGAATTGCGGAGAGAGCTCGCTTTGGTTCTTTCCCACTTCGCTGTCCTGCTTTCCGATGGAAGAAACGTCGTTCGAATTGAATAATGGAGACGAAGTGGACTGGAGACCGGAGTGAAGCAGTGTGCTGTTATTGGTGCCGATCGTGAACTGACCAGCTGGACCGATGCTGCAGCGACTCAAGCTGAATGAGAGGGGGAGTGAGAGGACTACAAAAAGCTTTTGTCCTTGCTGTCGGTTGTCAGACTACTGCTGATTAACCCCATGTTGGATTCGTAGAGACGTAGGAAGGAGTACCGGTTGTGATCATTCTGGATAGGATAAAAAAATAGGAGATTTACGGAAAGTGCACTGCGTCTTTGGTTTTCCTTTTCATTCGACTTTAGATCAATCGACTCCCTTTCACCAAAGATAGAATCGTCGAGAACAACAACAGGATCATCGATAACTAAGTGGCCAAGACCTAGAGTGACAGAGAAAAAGCAGAAACTACCTTTATCTTTTGAACCTTCTCGCTTTTGCTTCTTTTGCTTTGACAGCAAGTCAAGTGTCTCAAATACAAGGTTGTAGAGAAATTCGACCTTTTTGCTGTAAACCACGGCGGATCCCTGTTTTTATGAATATAGATAGCAAATTCTACTTGAATCATAAGCGCTGCTTCGGCAAAATTTAGATTCGATTTTCCTCCATCAAACGATATTACGACCGATTCCAAATCTTCCAAATACTCCTCTAGCTCTGCCGCAATATCAATATTCCAGTTATCCGCCAAATCTCTACAACTTACGCTTTGAGTATTTGCATTACCGAATTGGCTTTAGCAGCATAGAGAATTTAGATTCGGATTCCTTCCCTTCCATTTTGATGTGGAAAACTGCTCGATTTTGAAATTAAACCTTCAAGTTTTGTTTGGTTTCTTTTTCAATTTTGAATGATCTAGAGTATGAATAGTCCTATTCCCTGTCCTTGTTGCAACAAGATGAACTGCTTCTTGTGTCCTTTATGGAATGATGATTCGCATATGGAAGAGCTTTTTAGTATGAATGGTTATAAGGTTCGATTACACTGTGATTGAATAATTGGTAGATGCATTCTTATTTCGATTCTGAATGGATTGACATAATGACACATTATTTTGTGTATGAGCAGATGAAATGTATTGAACTGTAGGACAAACGGTACATTTGTAGTTTCTATTTATGACTTAATAATGGATTTGCGTAGAAAGGATCTTATTCCTAATTCTTTGAAATCTGTTGTCTTACGTTGTGAGGCTTGTCATCTTTTTACTGTTTTCCGCAAAGAGTCCAATAGTAAGTACGTTTTTCGTATATCTACTTGATATTCATAGTGTATTTCAGCAATTTCTGAAATGGATTTGGCCAGAAGAAGTAAATTCATTTCGATCTATCCTATTTAGCTGTCTTCAGAAACTCTGATTCGCTGTGATTACCTTTTGAATCCCGCTATTTCCTTTGTGTCCGAAGAACTCCCGGAGCGGTCGAATTGTAGTTTCTTTCTTCTTTCTTTGCCCGATCCTCTGTCTCATTTTCTTGCGCAAAACAAGGAAAAATTGGAGTCAGATCTCCAGATCCAGATTTCTTTTCTGAAGGAAGCTGTTTGCCAAGTGGTTCCTGATAAAACAGTTTGAGAATTGGTTGGTATTGATGCTCAGTATCCGATCGATGACTTTGAGAGCCAGTCCAGAGCTCTTCTTCGCAATCTTTCATATCAGCAAAGTCTCTATTTAGCGATCCGTTGCAGTGAATTAGGAATTGGAACCTATCACACTCGAAATGAAATGGAGGCTTTGCTGCTTTGCTGCATTCCAGATGGTATCCATGATTTGGATCGGTTCGTGTACACTACGGCGCTTTCTCGACTTCAGAAAAAGCTTGAATGCATAGAAAGCGATGTAGGATTGGTGAGTGGATGTCGATCAGATGAAAATGGCGAGGAGAAAAGGGAGAAAAGGGGTTCAGAGAAACGATAAGGAAACGAGAAAGGATGTTTTGAAGGAGCTCAATAGAAAGAGGAGTGAGCAACGATCAACGTTAGATCGAATTCAGGAACTTGAAGCGAAATTGCAGAAAATCGAGGAGCGAAAACGGAGTTCCAATTCGAATTCTTTGGATTGTACAGGACTAAAGAACATTCTCGACAATGAAATGGGATCATTGAGTGAAATCCAGGGTCCGTCCAATGGAATCGACTCGCTCACATATCATTAAAGTTCCAAATCGATCAACATAACTCCCAACGCTGTGTGAAGAAGGAAGAAGGAAGAAGAAGAAGACCATCGATCCAATTGCGATCATTTTCATTCACCATCACTCTTCCTTCCCTGTTTCATGCAGTTTCACTTTTCCACACCTTCTTTGGTTCAAACAAACACTCCAATTACTCTTCAACGGACACGTCCGATTGTAGACCATCTTTCCCGGCTTCGCGTCCTTATCCACCACAAAGTATCCCAGCCGCTCGAACTGCACATGATCCTCAATCTTCCGATCCAGCAGCGACTCCTCCACCATCGCATCGCTAATCACGACCTCGCTCTCCTTGTTGATATGAGCCACCCAGTCCTCCAGCTCCGACGGATCCTCCTCCTTGAACAGCACATTATACAGCCGCACCTCGGCTCGCTTGGGCTCCTCTCCGAGCTTGCTTCCCGCGATCCAGTGCATGCTTCCCAGCTTCTTCTTCTTGCTGGCCATCGCCTCCTTCGCCTCCTCCTCCGTCAGGCAGCTGCACCGCACCTCCACGATCTCGCCCGTCGCCTCATCGCACACCACCTCCTCGCATCGCACCACGTCCGCGTACTTCAGACTCACCACTTTTCCGGGGGCGAAGCCCAGGAACTTGGGCTCGTCCGCCGTCTTCACGTCGTCGCGATCGACGAACAGCACGCGCTGATAGGGCAGCGAGCGCGAGCCCTTGCTGGGGTCCTTCGGGAACAGCGGGGCCTGCAGCGTGGTGAAGAAATCCGCGTCCTTGTTGAGGAGAACGAGACGCACAGGGCGCAGCACCGCGAAGGCGCGCGGCGCGATGGGGTCGAGATCCTCGCGGGCGAAGTGCTCCAGCCGCGCGGGGTCGATGTTGGTGACGGTGGTGCGCGTGACCGAGATGTCGGCGCAGAAGTTGTTGATGGCGTTGGCGGTGAAGCCGCGGCGACGCAGCCCCTTGATGGTGGGCATGCGCGGATCGTCCCAGCCGTGCACGATGTGGTTCATCACCATGTACTTCAGCTTCCGCTTGGACATCACCGTGTTGTTCAGGTTCAAGCGGCCGAACTCCCACACGTAGGCGCGCCAGACGTCCAGCTGGTCGACGAGCCAGTAGTAGGACTCGCGACGGACCTCGAACTCGAGCGTGCAGAGCGAGTAGTCGATGTGCTCCAGCGAGTCGACGAGGCAGTGCTGGAAGTCGTAGGACGGGTAGATGCACCACTTATCGCCCACGTGCGGGTGCGGGATGTATTTGATTCGGTACGCGACGGGGTCCCACATGCAGGGGTTCGGGCTCCGCATGTCGATCTTCATTCGCAGCGTCGCTTCGCCCTCCGCGAACTTGCCCTTGCGCATGTCCTCGAAGAGTCGCAGATTCTCCTCCACCGATCGGTTGCGCCACGGACTCTCCGGGTTCAGATCTGCATGCCATCGCTTCCCCGTTTCTACCTTTCCGTCCGCCTTCGCGCGAGCACTCCTGCGCGATCTCGCGCGATCGCTTGATCTCCTCGGGGGTCTGGTGGTCGACGTAGGCCTTTCCCATCTTGATCAGCTGCACGGCGTACTCGTAAAGCTTATCGAAGTTGTCCGACGCGAAGTTGATCTTCACAGGGTTCCATCCCAGCCACTTCACGTCCTCCATGATGTTGTCGATGAACTCCAGTTTCTCCGCTTCCGGGTTCGTGTCGTCGAACCGCAGAATCGTCTCGCCCGGCTTCCCCACGCGCTCGAACGCGCCCTTGAAGTTCAGATACATGCTCTTCGCGTGGCCGATGTGCAGATAGCCGTTCGGTTCCGGAGGGAAGCGACACCGAATCTTGCCACCCGTGATCTTCTGGTGCTCCGCGATGAGCTCCGCGCTGTTCTTGCTGCTCTCCATATCGCGGCCTTCGAACCCTTCCTTCTCTTTCTCCACCGCGGGGAGATCCGTCTTCACTTCCTTCTTCGCTTCCTTCTTGCCCTTCTTCTTGCTCTCCGCGATCGCAGCCAGATCCGCCTCTGTCTTCTCGCCCAGCAGCGACAGAATCGCAGCGTCCAGAATCTCCTTCGCCTTCTTTCCGTCCGCCCACTTCATCCGGCCTTCCTTCATCGCGTACATCAGCTGGGGGATCGGGAAGCAGTAGCGCTGGGCCAGCAGAGCCTCTTTATTCTTCTCGAGCAGAGAGTCCACGCAGGCCTTGATTTCTTCCTCGGTCACTTCAATACCAGCTCCACAGGCAGCTTCCAGAGCCGCGACGTCCAGCTAGTCGTAAACGAGGAGAACAAGTCGATACAGTGGCATTTGCAGGGAGTTTCTTCAAATAGGCGACTGCCTCCGAAATCTGCAGGTTGGTTTTGACTTTACCCTCCATAACCAGCTTCAGCAGGGCTGGACGGTAAGCAACTGCCGAACCAGGGACCGTCGTAGCAACGTTGTAACTAGAAAGCTAAGTTTCAACAAAAACGGTCCACATCAAGTTTCCCAAGACACGGTCGCATCCGTCGGTAATTCCCGCCTCCTTAATAGCTTCCATAACATCAGCTATACGATTAAAAACACGCAACAAGAGATTGCCTACCCGCCTTCTTTTTCGATTTTAGCGTATTCGCAATTGTTTTCTCCTCCAATCCAATAGATTGGAACGCCGCAGCATATGAATCCATAACTCTTTTTTGGCTTTGTCTCTTACAAGGAAAGTTCTGGGAATATTCTGATGATGTGGATAATTAAAAGAAAAAGAACTTCTCGCGAGTCGTTGCTTACGCCGAGAAAAGGGCGAAGGGGGAATCAATCAGGTTCAAAAAAGGATGATAAGGCAAACAAAAGGATGAAAACATAAAAAGGAAAGCACACAGTGGGACTTGAACCCACAATCTCTTGCTCCGTAGGCAAGCGCCTTATCCAATTAGGCTATGCGTGCTCTGAATGATCCCTCACTTATCACTATAAAAATATTGCATTGATCTCGAAATCCTATCATTTCACATATCCTATTTCAAATAAGCATTGGTGTAACAAACAATCTATTAATGAACCGCAAAATACAGATTCGTGACATTATTATTCACAATCCAGGAAAGTACAGTGTTCTGTCTTTCCACTGTACTACATGTCAGTATGACGGACAGAGCAGATGCCTCCGTTTTGTTTTTAAGGAAGTAATCGTAGAACTTATCATCCATTTCAAGCGAGGTTGTGAATAATTCCATAAATTCAATTACGGCGCTATACGTCCAGGGCTGGATGGTCTTCTCTAACTCACTTACAAACGCATCCACATCAAAAGAACAGTCTTCCATTTTGTCACATGTTGTGTCTCCGATAAACTTCAAGAGAAGAGAAGCGAATGGAGTCACGGCCTGGAAGGGGAAGATCGAGGAAGGGAGCTGGGCTATGAAGCGGACCAGCAAGATATCCGAGTACTCCCTGCTAGTATCGCGCAATAGTCGGAAGAAATTGACTTCGGGAACGAACGTGGGAGGCACGACCCGATTCAATCGATCTTTGGTCGGCGTTGTTAACTTTGCCGTTAAGGAACTGTGATAGGCAAGGAAGAGATCATTAGCAGTTTGCGGCTGGATGGTGAATAGATAGATCACGATGTTAACAGCATACTCAAAGTCAATCTCTTCCTTAAACAGCTCTTGGCACTTCGCGATAAAGGCATCCGACTTCAATGACGAATGAATCTCGAGAAGATGAATACACTGGTTGGAGATGTCGCTGGCCTGCTTATAATCGAAAGACAGAATCATCTCTTCCAAGACACCCAAGACCGCCACTCTTCTGGACGGATCCTCGCACTCCACAATCTTTGAAATACAGTCTCTCAATTTTTCGAAAAGGGTTATAGCATCTTTTCTGTACAGATTCCTTGCTATGTCGCAAACAATATTGAACACAACAGATGTAGTCGAGCTCTTTGTATCCAGAGACGAGAGCATCTTTAACATTGATAGGAAGGAATCAATTTCCTCCGTCTTACAAGCGACCACCTGATTAAGGATCCACTCGATCACCATGATATACACACTTTCCGAATCGAACTTTCTCGTCAAGACAGTCGAAATCGTCCCAGAAACAATTCTAAAGACCTTATTATTCTGTCTGACAAGCGGGTGCTTCGCCAGACGCAACAAGAAGAGAATAGTTCCCACCGTCATCGATTTACTCGCGTTTTGCACCACATGAAGCATCTCTCTGAAGAACGGACTGGCGGGCGATGTGCTCATAAGGCACTTGTTGACGATGGCCTCTGCGAGAGGAATGAACGTCGTGGTGAGCAAGAGACGACGAATGATTTGAACGATCGTGGAATAATCCAGCATCAGCGCGAATGGAACGATTCCGCTCAAGGACTTTCCAAAGTAGTCCTTGGTTTTCCGACTGTACACCAGAATCTCAACAAAGCGGCCAATCACTGTGTTATCATACAAATTGAGAGCCACGGTCAGAATGGTAGGCTCTGCACCCGCAGGTGTGATATCCTGCATCTCCTTAATCGTCTGCGTGGTCTTTTCCCGGATCGACGTAAGGAAGGCGTGCAGGAAGGGAACGGTGGTCTTGATCGTGAATTCAGTTATATTTGGAGTCAGTTCTCTGTACTGAATCTCATTGTTGACCAGAACTTGCGCCGTCAGAGCCGAGAGAAGTTCCTGATGGAGTTGCTTCGCCATCTCCACAAGTTGATTCTGGAAAAGCGGATTCGGAGACTGGTTAATCGAAATGACCATAACGGCTCCTTGGAATACGATTTGAAGACGCAGAGCCGTGAGAGAGGCAAGCAACAGAAGATCCGAGTCGTTCAGACCGCTTAAATTCTGTATTACCTTTTGATGATCCGTAGTATTCAAAATCGTAAACAAATTATACTGCTGCATGGCAGAGAAAATCCATGTTAACGAAGCCTCGCTTAACTCCACACTGTTAACGAAATTCGTTGACTGAGTAAATGATTTGGCCGCCTCTTCGATGACAGGACTATAGATATTCGTAATCTCAGGGGTCTCAGGAATGAGCCCTTTACTAACAACTTTTTGCAGCTGTTGGAGTGCAGACATCTCCTTGGAGAGAACTTTCGCGATTTTGTCCTTATGCATATATTCATGTCTTGTTTTCTCATTTGTTCTGTTCAAATAATCCTTCAGAGACATTGCTGACGGCTCGAGAGTCATCAACATCTGCAACGCACTGTATCCAGAATAACAGGGCTGATAGGGAATCGTCATGTCCCAAAAAAGATTATCCAGCACCATATAGTCTTTAGTATATAGCAGGTGCGTAATCGTGGTTACGAAGATCATATCTGTATTGGGGACCTCCTGCTTTGTCGTCTGGCTAGTTTCCGCATTTCTTGCGATGAGTGAAGAACTAATCACCCTCTTGAATAACTTGGCTACGTACGATCTCTTTGAATTCTCGTCATTCATGAAGCTCAAAATCATAGAAAGAGGCTTCGACACCATTGGCTTAAATAAATCCATACCACTTTCCATAGATAAGTTGAGTACAATAAAGCCATGAGCACCGAATGAGGCTTTTTTGGGCAAATAGCTTGCCTCTCCTCGCATAAAGCTTTCTACAATCAAGTGTCTCTTTCGTTCTGGGAGCTCCAGATGGCTGAAGCGAGCCGATAAGCAGAAGGAACGACTCAGATTGGCCCAACGTTGAGAATCAACACTGAAGAGATTAGGGAGACCCATATCGTCCCATTGAAGCTTTTTGTTAACTAGATAGCCGACAATGGGCTTCATCATTTCGCAGTACTCATCTTCATATTCAGGATACTCGGATGCATAGAAGTACATATACAAAATGAAGTAGAGCAAGGGATTCACCATAAGTGTGCCCTTTTTCTGCTGTGCCCAATCCAGCAGTAAATCCACGATCTTTTGGCGGCAAGTCTTCGTTACTTCTGCAGAACCACTCTGCTGGACAGAGAGTGGAGACAAACCCAACGAATCAGGACTGAACAGTTCTCTATGATTTCCCCAAATGATCGAGAGATCAGTGAACTTCGCTTCCATGCTTGCTATCATGTTCAGGCAACGCAGCACACATCGAACATCGCGCGAATAAACCGCCATTTCCACGACCGAGTTCAGAATGTTGTTGCGCTGATATTGATCGTCCTTGTTCAGCAACGACGAACCCTTTAAACAAACTAACGACTCGAACTTTCGGACCGTGGTGAACATTTCCTTCATATCCTTTGGCAGCATGTTATAATCAAAATCAAAGGGAACGTCCTGCTGGAGAAACTTCAAAAATTCATTTCTGAATTGAACAATATCCTTCTCGGACTGCGTGAGAGCATCCATCAATGCGGCAAGTTTAGGATTGGTATAGGGAACATATCTCCAAAGATAGACCAGAGCAAAGCTCAGCTCAGTAGAGGAAGCAAACTTTTCATTTGACTCTATTAGAGTCAATGCATCCATTACTTGATCAAGGAATAGAGAAAACTCCTCGTCCGAAAGCACGTTTTGGATATTATTCCAATAATTCACATTCATGTTTCGGAGAGCGCATTCAACCAAAATAGGAACTCGTTTACTATCCAGTTCCTCATCCTTAAAGCCATGGCACGCCTGGAAAATGATCAGCGCGAAACGTAAAGTCCAATAGTTGGAGTACTTCAGAAGATTCAACCTTTTCACCATGAAATAAGGGGAATTGAGTGTGTAGTACTTCAGAAAACCCCTCACTCCACTTCCAGAGAATTTGGCTGGCTTAAAACTCAAGCTTTTGCCAGGGTATGTACAATACTCTTTGTATTCATCAAGACTACCAATAAAACGGCGAATTTGATCCTCACTAGCCACACAGTTCCAAATATCAATCAAAACATTCCACAGATACACAGGTTGGCCATCAATCTCCGTCTTCAAATAAGGTCTCTTGATAAGTTGCAACAGAGGGTCGCTCTTTTCAAGCGCTTCCTCAGGGTCATCCTTATATCCACCATTCTTAAGGTCTGTGTAGATCTTGTACAACTTCTTCAAGGCAAGAACCTCCAACTCTTTATGATGTCTCTTACAGTATCTCGTATTAGAAATACGCTCTTCCAGACACAGCTCTAGACTCAATGCCTGGCGCAACATCAATCTCAGGGCTGGAGTCAACTGTAAAGAAGGGTTCTTGTATAAACGGTCTGCTAGACAATTTGCTGGGTGTTCCTTTTTCCACACTAGTAGTTCAATCAAAGTTTGTTTCACCAATTCGCACGAATTGTTGAAAGTGGACAAAAACCTCTCTTCAGTACTCAATTGTCTCAGAAGATCCTTGCGTACACTGCCTATTTTCAGGAAACGGCAGCACGCTTCACAAACCATAACGCTCTGATTGCAAATAAAGTTCAATAAACGCAGAGAATCCCTTCTATACACCAGAAGGTGAGTATAGTGGACAGCCGTATTGGGATCCTTTGTCTTTATGAATTCTTCAATTGCATCCATATCTTTCTCGCTGTATTTCTTGATACGGACACTGGCGTCCTTTAGGTTACAGTGGAGTAAGTCAGAATAATCTATGGACATTCTGCGAAATTAATAAAAAATAAACTATTAAATGAAGACAGAATTCTCAAGAAGATGGATATGAAACGCCCTTAACTTGTGACTATAAAAAACAAGGTCCTTAACCCAACAAAAATGAATCAGATTTGAACGAGGAATACTCCTGATCATCTAAAAGCTTGTCTGCGATACCACAGTCTTCATGGATAGCAGTCTTCAATTCGTCCAGAGAAGAAAACTTGCTCTCTGTTCGTATGCTACCCAAAATAACGACCTTAAGGTTTTCATCGTAAAAGTCCTGAGAAAACTCATGAAGAAGGTGGACTTCTACGGAAACATGTTCGTTTCCAAAACTTGGATTCTTACCGATGTTGGCCACCATCTTGTAAACAGTTCCATGCAAACTCGCCCAGCCGTAGTATACGCCCTTCTTAAAGTCCTTAATGGCGTCTTGGATATGGTCTGTGCAAATATTGGCAGTCGGGCAATCGAGCAAAGTACTTCCTCTTTTAAAGCCATGAACGACCGTTCCTTCAATTCGGCAAACTGGAAGCTTTGTGATACAACGAACCACACTCATAAAGAAAATAAAATTATGATGCCTTACAGTCTCTGTGTTTTGAATGTCTATCGTAAACTAGAGACAAAAAGAATCACCAAACATGATTAGAATGTGTTGTTTTTTTCTAAAACCCATGAGTGGTCTCAAGTCTGCTTTTCTATTTGAGCGAGAAGCAGTAACTCCAAAGATAAAAACAATAGCAATAACGCCACTATTCGTGATGTCATACTTGTTCCAAATCTCTTCCTATGGAATATAAGCAATCCACAAAACCGCTTTCAAAACATTGGAAGATTGATAAAAAGCAGGAGTCTTGCTATTCTGGTGGACGAGTGGAATACATTCCAGAATTGAACTCGCTGGCCTGTCTATATAATGGAAATGTTTACTTTCTCTCTTTGGAATCAAGAGAAGTCACTCAGGTCCTCGTTGAGGAGAATATGGTAAGGGAGTCTAGTTTGAAATCATGATTAGCCTGAAAGTGCGGAGGAGATAATGTGCTTTGTGACCATGCCCGGAGGAAAAGAAATGATAACGGCTAGTCGAAATCAACTAATCCGCGTGTGGGATATTGAAAGCCACACGATGCTGAGAGCTTGGAAGGCCCACGATGCTCCTGTTGCTGCTATGGCGATTGATCCCTCTGGAAAGTTGCTGGTAACAGGTAGCGGCGATCACACAGCGAAGGTATGGGACATCGAGAAAGGGTACTGCACACACAACTTCCGACACCCATTTGGTGTGGTTCACTTGGTGGCATTCACGAAAACGAGCCATCCTCTCTATGTTGTGACTTGCTGCGATGACCAGCTCATTCGGATCTGGGATTTATATGAAGAAAAGGAGAAGCAGCTTCTGAAAGAGCTGAAAGGTCATTTAAACAGCGTGACAAGCCTCTGTATAACTGAAAACAATTTGCTGCTCTCCACTTCGCGAGATAAGACCGTGATTTTGTGGAGCTTGCTCACCGGAGAGGAAATAAAAACCATCGTTGTGTACGAGGCGATCGAATCGATCCTCCAGCTTCCTCCCTCGTTCTATCCCTCCCTGGGAATCACGCTCGAAAAGAGCAAAAAGGTCACTCTGCAGAGCTACTTCGTGCTCGCAGGAGACCAGGGAGTTCTCCATCTCTACCGCTGTCTGGCTTCTCTAAACAAGGGCACGCTAAGTTACTCCTTCGAGGAAGTGCAGTCCTCCTTCGGAGACAACGAAATCACCTTCTATAAGCGCGAAATGGAGCCTTCCACCGAGCGAAACAAGGAATACTATGCGTCCTTGTTTGTGCTGAAAGACCTCATCATTGCCGAGGCTGCGAACTGCATCTTGGGCGTTACAAACAGCAATAATTTCAAAGTGTTTGTCCCTGATCAGAAGCGTTTGCGTTACGATCACACCATCATCGGCAACAACGACGAAGTCGTCGATCTCTGCTACGTAGGCGACTCGAATCACCTCGCCGTGGCCACCAACAGCTACGAGTTGCGACTTTTCTTCATCCCCACATTCGCTTCGAACCTCCTCTACGGTCATCGCGACACCATTCTCTCCGTGAAGGCCACTGCCAACGGAGCGTTCCTTCTCACCACCTCCAAAGACAAAACCGTGCGGTTGTGGCACCGAGATTCGCACATGTGCATCGCCGTCTGCGAGGGACACTTCCAGGAAGTCTCGTGCGGAGCGCTCTCGCAGCGTCCCCGAGCGCTGGCGCGCTCGTTGCTGTCGCTCATCTACGGCAGCGCTCTGAAGAAGGACTGCAACCACACGTTCCCCGCGGGGGAGACAGAGAAAACGCTCAAACTGCTGCTGGAGCGGGAGGAGAATTGCGAGATTCCGTCGTTTTGGGTGAGTGGAAGCGAGGACAAAACGCTGAAGCTGTGGGATCTGGAGAGCATCACGGACGGCGTTCTGCACGGCGCCAAGGTCACCGTGAAAGCGCACGATAAGAGCATCAACGCGGTGTGCGTGGCGCCGAACGACAAGCTGGTGGCGAGCTGCTCGATGGACAAAACCATCAAACTGTGGAGCTTGCCGCAGTTGTCGCTGGTGCACACGCTCAAGGGACACCGCAAGGGAGTGTGGGACATCTCCTTCTCGACGATCAACAGCGTCCTGCTGAGCAGTAGCGGGGATCAGACGATCCGCGTGTGGAACGTTCGCGACGGCTCCACGCTCTACACGATCGAAGGCTTTGATCACAGCGTCGGTTTCGGGAGTGGATGTGACGTCTAGTTGCTTCGAGCTTCGTTCATCAGCGCGAATCTGCAAGTGGTCAGCTGCGACAACGCCGGAATCATCAAAGTGAACACGATCTCGAGCAAGGAATGCGTCTGCACGATCGACGCGCACGAGGACAAGATCTGGGCTCTCGCCGTTCCGCAGGAAAAGTCCAACGAAATCGATTGCTTCGCGACGGGATCGGCAGACGGGCAGATCAAGATTTGGCGCGACTGCACGAAGGAGACCGAGGAGTTGGAGCTGCAGCAGAAAGAGGAGCTGTTCTTGCGAGAGCAGGAGTTCCAGCAGTGTTTGCAGCGAGGCGACTATGCGAAGGCGCTGATGATCGCGTTGGAGCTGGACAAGCCGTACAATTTCCGCGTTCTGGTGGAGAAGATTATGAAGACGGATCCTGCGTTTGAGAAAACGCTGCTGGAGTTGCTGAAAGGACTGGACACGGAGAAGATTTGGAAGCTTTTGTCGTATACGCGCGAGTGGAATTTGATCGGTCGGACGTTCATTCCTGCGCAGATCGTGCTGCGAGTGCTGTTCCATGCGTATGACTTCGATACGCTGATGCAGGTGAAGAATATTGAGGAGTTCGTCGAGACGTTCTTGGCGTATAATAAGCGTCATTTGGATGTGGGGAAGGGAAAAAGGGGTGAGGCGTAGAGAACGGACCGATTGATCCAGAACTCGTATTTGGTTGATTATATTCTGCATAATATGAGTATTCTGCAGGCAGAGTAGAGAGATGTGGGTGTGGGGTGAGGAATAGTGAGAGTGTGAATAAGCGAGAGAGCAGTCTAGCAACGGATGGAGAGACGGAGTTGGGTTCCGAGGCCAAGCGCGTGAACGTGGCTACTAAGTCGTTTTAATGAATCATGGATTGTTTGTGGTGAAACTTGTGCGAGTTGGAAGGGAGTGGAAGTGGAAGTGGAAGTAGATGCAATGCAATGCAATGCAATACACTACAATACAATGCAATACACTACAATACAATGCAATACACTACAATACAATCTACACCAAGGAATCACAATGATATCTCGAAAAATCGATGAATCAACCATTCCATCACTCACACACACACTCTCTTCAAACAAACACCCTCGTTAAAGCATAATCATAGTCATTACAACATTAATTCTCCTTAAACGCCTCCACCGCTTCCTTGCTCCACGGCTCGAACGCGGTCTTGTACTGCTGCGGGTCCTTCTCGTTACCCTCTCCGCAGTCCACCAGACGCTCCGCACCCAGCTCCTCCATTCGCTCATCCAGCTGGTGCGCGCACTCGCAGAACATCTTGAACGCCTTGGAGCCCAGACCGAACACTCCGAACTTCACGTCCTCCAGGAAGTCGTCGTCCAGATCCTCGCTCGACAGCGCCTCCCAGAAGTCCGTCGCCATATCGGGGAACTCTCCAGAGCCGTACGTGCAGGTCATCAGCACCACCTTCTTCTTCTCGGGCAGCTGCTCCACGTCGAACTTGTTCATGGGAATCACCGCCGACGCGATGCCCGCCTCCTTGAACTTCGCCTGCAGCTGCTTCGCCGCCTTCGCCGTGGTTCCCGTCTGGCTTCCGTAGATGATCGTCACGCCGTCCTCGCCCACGTCCGCGTCGCCCGCGCCGCCCTCCGCCGCGGCGGGCTCCTCCACCTTCTCGTCGCGCGCGCGCACCGACTGCGCCGCGTAGGTCGTGTGCAGCAGCTCGTGGGCCACGTGGCTGCCCGGCTTCTCGAAGAACTCCTTGTAGATCGTCTGGATGTCCGGGTTCTCGTGCGACTTGCGCAGCTTCTTGCCCGCGTCGATCGAGTAGATCGCGTTCATGCGCTTGTCCATCGTGTCCGCGCGGTTGCTGTGCGGCTGGCCGCCGCCGCTGATGCAGCCGCCGGGGCAGGCCATCACCTCCACGAACTGGAGGTCCTCCTTGCCCGCCTTGATGTTCTCCATGAGCTCGCGCGCGTACTTGCTGTGCACCACCGCGCAGTTCACCTTCGTGCCGTTCATGTCCACCGAGAAGCGCTTCGTGCCGTCCAGGCCGCGCGCCTCGTCCACCGTGATCTTCTCCAGCGGCTTGCCGGTCTGCAGCTCGTAGGCTGTGCGCAGCGCGGCCTCCATCACGCCGCCCGACACGCCGAAGATGTCACCCGCGCCCGTGCAGATGCCCATCGGGGAGTCGAAGTCCATCTCCGCGAAGGAGTCCCAGTCGGTGAGGTTCTCCTGCTTGCAGAAGTCGCCGAGCTCCTTGGTGGTCAGCACCGCGTCCACAGTGGGCGTGGTCTCGTTCAGCCACATCTGGCGACGCTCGATCTCGTCCTTCTTGGCCGTGCAGGGCATCAGCGACACCAGGTAGATGTCCTCGGGCTTCAGGTTCATCTTCTTGGCCCAGTAGGTCTTCACGCAGGAGCCCAGCATCATGTGCGGCGAGCGGCAGGAGGACAGGTTGGGGATCAGCTCGGGGTAGCACTTCTCCGCCATGTTCACCCAGCCGGGGCAGCACGACGTGAACATCGGGAAGGGTCCCTTGTTCTTGATTCGCTCCAGCAGCTCGGTGCCCTCCTCCATGATCGTCATATCCGCGCCGAAGTTCGTGTCGAACACGTACTGGAAGCCCAGCGCCTTCGCGCACGCCACCATCTTCCCCGTCGTCACTTCGCCCGGCTCGCGGCCGAAGTTCTCGCCGAACGCCACGCGCGTGGCCGGCGCCGTCTGCAGCACCATCACCTTCCCGGCGCGCATCGCGGCCTTCACGCGCGGAATGTGGCTCTGCTCCGTGATGGCGCCCGTGGGGCACAGCACGTTGCACTGGCCACAGCTGATGCACTCCGTGTCCTTCAGCAGGTGGTGGCCCGTCGGAACCACGGGGAAACCGCCGTCCAGCGGGTTGTTCACCAGCACGTCCATGCCCTGGAGCTCGCTGCAGGCGCGCGCGCAGCGCTTGCAGTCGATGCAGAGGGACATGTCGCGGTGCAGGGCGTAGGAATCATCACACGACTCCGTCAGCACCTCCTTCATCTCAGGGGTCTGGAACTTGGAGCTAGGGGTTAGCGCTCGAATCAAGGCGGTACGTGATCGTGGTGGTGGTCATGAGCGTCTTCAGAGCCTCGTTGGACGCAGAGCGCGCCTTGGGGCTGTTGGTCCAGATGTCCATGCCTTCCGCGACCTTGGTGGTGCAAGAGGTCTGGATTGGGAACTCGTCTCTACAAATGAACGATCTGCCTCGCAAAAATACCCTCGAATCTCCACGACGCACACTCGGCACTTTCCTAGGAGTCAAATCGGTTCGAAATCGCATACCGAGAGGCTTCAGGCGGGGATGGTGGCAAACGAACGGAATGTTAATGCCCTGAGACTGGCAAGCCTCAAGAACCGTCATTCCTTCAGGGACCTTGTACTCGTTACCGTTGATCTTCAGAGTAACAAGATTCCCCTGAGCTGCTACCAGTGACCACAAATGTTGAGTTCTTACCAGCAGCAAACGAGCGGCAGGATGCAGCAGCCAGGAACGATCGTCTAACAGCAAATGATGAAAGAGCACTTAGCATATCGTCTCAACCAGAGATTTTTGGAATGTGGAAACCAAAGATTTCCAGTTCTTGTGCGCGCATCTGACTGGACGCACCGATTCCTTCTTACACTCTTCTTACACAATGTTCTCGTCTCCGAAGAAGCAGGCACAAGCATCCAGGGGTGCAAGGGGAAAGAAAATCGAGTCCAAATTGTTCCCGCCTCTTTAGGAGTAGGTCACCCAATGTGAAGCGACGACTTAGCGACGAGCATGTTATACGGAGGTTAGAGGATTCCTGCAAAGAGATGGCGAGAAAGAGAAGAGAGGTGCCTCTGAGTTTATTCTCGTGATCAACTAGCAGAGACATGCGGAGATCAGACGCCATGGGAATTCGGTTGACTCACAAAGACGTTCCATTGCTCAGTACCGATCTCTCTCCACTTCTCTCTTTCTAGGGAAATATTATCAGACATGATACAGGATGGGTTATTTGAAACGGAAAATTGTATTGTTTTGTTAAGTCAGGGATTTCACCTAGCCTTCACCGACACGGAATACAGCGAGATCATAAATTATATCGAAGAGGAGTATGACTATCAGTATGCTAAAATGGGTATTCCTTCCTTCTTTCTTTCAATGGTCAGTAAACGACTATGAGCAACAGATGGAGGACGCCGCGAACTACTATGGAAGTCTGATGGATGATATCTGTTCTCTCCCGTGCCCTCGGTGCTACTCCGGATCTCTCATCGAGCACGGACCACAGGCAGTCGTTTGTAAGCAGTGCGGCTTCTTCGTGAACAAGCCAATGGCGGAGATGCAGCAGCTGCTGAACGGAGTGTATCAAAGCCACCCTTGTGGGAAGGTTTTGAGTTGTGAGGTCGGTCCCAATGGACAGCTTCGTTTTTCCTGTTCCAATTGTAATTTTTCTGTAATAATCTAATGCAATATGCTGTTTTGTTTCCAAACGTTCACTTGCATTTCATTTTTCCATGACCACCGGAACCGTTGTAGTATTGGGGGATATCGGCAGAAGTCCGAGAATGCAATATCACTGCATGTCTCTTGCCTCGGAGGGAGTCGATGTGAGTGACTTTCGTTCATTCTTTTGAATAGGTAAATATTGTTGCATATGACGGGAAGAAATGCTGCGAGGAAGTCGAGTCCAATAAGAAGATCACAAAATACCTCATTGACAGTAATCTGTTTAGCAAATTGCCGCGCAGCTTATTTCTTCTGTACGCCCCCTTCAAAGTTCTCTTTCAAGTATGCGTGATGTTCGCCTTCGCGCTAGATTTTCCAACTCTTCTATCTCCTTCTCTTCAAAACACCGAAACCCGATTTTTACTTAGTTCAGAATCCACCTAGCATCCCCACATTGTTTGTTGTCTGGCTGGTCGCTCGGTTGCAGAAAGCCAAGTTTTTCATTGACTGGCACAACTTTGGGTATTTTTTATTTGTTACGATTGTAAACCAAGCTACACGATTCTTGTACTTTCTCTCGGAACAAACCATCCTCGTATTGATTCACTCCTCTCGATCGAAGCCTAGTCGTCAGCATTTCTAAGTGGATCGAGCACTTCTTCGGGCAGCGCAGCGACGGCAATCTCTGCGTCACCCGCGCAATGAAAGTTTCACCGTTCTGTGCTCCCCACTTTTGTAGAACTGGCTTCGATCGGAGTGGAACATCGAAGCTTCCGTTCTCTACGACCGAGCCCCCACCTTCTTCCATCCCACTTCGCTTGCCGATCGCCACGCGCTCTTCCAGCGCATCCTCCCTCAACTCGGCTTTCCCTGCACAGCTCAGCAAACCCTCTTCACGGAGATGGACAAAAACGGCGAAGTCTGTCTTCGCGCCAATCGTCCCGCGCTGCTGGTGAGTTCGACAAGCTGGACGGAAGATGAGGACTTCCACATCTTGCTGAACGCGCTGCAGACGCTGGACCAGACGTACTGCTTGTTTGTTGCATGAAACAAAGTTACGAGGTGACGGAGGGCTTGAAGGTGGTGTGCGTGATCACCGGCACGGGGCCTTTGAAGGAGTATTACGAGCAGCTCGTGGAGGAGATGAAGCTGCAGCACGTTTGGATTAAAACGATGTAGATGGTGTTAAGGTTATTGAACTAGCCAATAGATGGCTGGAATACTCGGACTATCCGTTGCTGCTGGGCGCGGCCGATCTCGGTGTGTGTCTGCACACGTCGAGCAGCGGGTTGGATCTCCCGATGAAAGTGGTGGACATGTTTGGCTGCGGATTGCCGGTCTGCGCAGCAGGGTTCAACTGCATTGCGGAGCTTGTGGTGGATGAGCAGAATGGACTGGTGTTCGAATCGGAAATGCAGCTGGAAGAAAAGCTGCAGGCGCTGCTGAAGGACTTTCCTCGGAACCAAGAGCGATTGACGGAGCTGCGGCGAGGCGTCGAGGAATCGCAGAGCGTTTGCTGGGAGGAGAACTGGAAGAAGTGTGCGAAGCCCGTGATTTTGTGTTGCCTTGTTTGTTGTGAACAAACAGAGAAGGGTAGTTGCTATTGTTGTTGTTGTAGTTGTAGTTGGAACTGTTGTTGTAGCTGCTCTGTATCTTCGGAAGTGAGCACGATGTGCTGCACAGAAATCACATCTGCGTGGGCTGTGAAATAAACCGATAAACTATCGAATTGGAACTTCGTCACACGTCGGTCGGATCGCTTGCTCACATCTGCGCCCAGCACTTGAAGCAGCACTTCGTGCATCTCCTCTGCAGTTTTATAAAAGTGGAATTTGCCCTCGAGAGCGTTCAGTTCGCTCAGCGCTTCCTCGGAGAATCGAACATCACGCAGACTTCCTTTTTCCATCACCCACTGCGGAGTAATCGCGTTCTCAATTCGATCAAACGAGGGAAGATAGGGCTTTATATCGAGAATCGGCGATCCATCCACGATATCCGTGTCTATTCAATCACTTTCTCGCTCGTCTCTTCTCACTCGACACGACTAAATATCGCTTCTTGCCCCAAGCGTGGACTTCTTCGAGTTTTACAACGCTTAAGCCGATGGGACATGGGCGATGCGGAGTGCGTGTAGCGAAGAGTCCCGTGCTTTTGCCGAGCAAACGGGGAGGACGCACTTTTGCCTAGAGAACAAACACGTCTCGAGAAAATACGGGGAAGGTAACTCCTTTTTCTTGCTGGGATTTCTGTAAGGTGGAAATGTTTGTGTTCATGTGGAACACAAAAATGACCCAAATGTGACTGTAGGAACTCAGATCATCAAACGTGGGGGGAGGAACCCACTCCTCGATTTCAATTCTTGAACGAGCTAAAGGGACGAGGCCGGGCTGTCTTGGCACACCTTGGCAATGAACATAGCACGAACGAGCATAGGCGATGGGCTTGAACTGGTAGCCATCTCCCTCCACCTCTTTTCGTTTTTCCTCAATTACCTTTCGGAGATCCTGCTTATCAATACAAAAGTCCAAATAAACCTTTTCTGCACGAGTTCGACCAACTCGCTCTGTCCATCGTAATTTTTCTGCAGTTTTACGTTTTTTCTTTTCGTCTTGAATCTAGTATCGAGAGAAAACGAAAAGAGTACGATAGCAAGGATTGCTTTTCTTTGAACGATTTCATACAAAATATGTGCAAAAAAGAATGTGAGAATCGAGGAGAGTAGCAAAAGAATGCTGTTCTCCATAGCGAAACAAAACTTGAAAAAGAATGTGAAAAAATAGTATCGATGTGACCTATGTATTGTTTTTGTTTAAAAAATCGTAAAAATATTCACTTTCTGTGAGTATGTAAAATCACCAAACGTTTTCTCATTAAGTACTAAGCTTCTGACTCGTATCGTACTGCAAAAGTCTTTCTAGTTTTGTATTTTCTTCAAATTGATTGTTTGGTCAAGATGAGGAAAAATAGTGGCATCTTTTGGATTCGCCATTTTTGTACAAAAATGGCTGTAAAAAAGGGAGTCGTGTTTTGTCTATGGAGTATTGTTCTCGGATGGATTGTCGTCACTGTGTTCTTATTTTCGTAGTGATTTGCGTGATGTTTCCCATTCTAGAAAGCAAATCGATATCCGCGATGGAATGATGCTCCGAAGTGGAAAAGTAAGTATATCTCAAAGTATATTTTTTAACAAAAGAGCTCCTCGCAATTCGGCAGCCCTTTGTATGACGTGACTCTCGTTTCGCAGTGCTCGTATATTTCATATTGTGTTGTGAATTAGTGTGGATCGATTTGTACTCTTTATCCAAGAAATAGTGACTCGCTGGGATGGGTGACTATGCTTTATGTCCATTATTATTTGCAGAGAAATCAGCATTGCCATTCGAGTCGATGATTCTTCTGGAGCTGCCCTACGCGAGTTTGTGAAACAGCAAACCCTCCCAAATCGCGTTCACTTATCATACCTAAAAGATAACTCGAATCACTATCCAATAAACCGTCTTCGCAACTTGGCAATCAACAACACATTCACTTCCCATTTTTTCATGACAGACATCGATGTCTGGCCTGCCTGTACTTTCTTTTGCATCCTCACCACTCAGCGGATCTTTATTCGACTCTTCTCAAACTCCCGCCATCCATTCTTTCGGAACAGAAACAAGCGATCGTAGTGCCCGCATTTGAAGTTTCCTACAACAGCAAGCAATTGCGAATCGTTGACAACACAAAAGGGATTAATCGGGGAAAAGATGCTGTTTGCACCGATCTTGAAACATGCTGGTTCAAGTAAAAAACAACACAGAATCCTTGAAGATTATAGACACCTTTTTATGGTTCCTCACCACAAAGCCGAATTGTTATCATGTTTGAAATACGGTCCCTGCACGATTTTTAAAGCACAGCAACTCACTCACGTTGCATTCCACTATTTATTTTATCTAGTCCTCCACAGATTACGAGAAGTGGAAAGAATGCACCAATTCCTCCGAATACGTGTTCGATCTCGAATGTTTCAAGAACGAGGGCTATGAGCCCTACGTCGTCGTGAAAAAGGACGCCTCATTGCATATCCCCAACTCCATTGCCAGACATCTCTCTTAACACTACCTGAATTCGATGAGCAGTACGTGGACTACGGCCAAAACAAGCTAATCTGGATCTTCCGGCTGCGTCTGCTTGGCTACAAGTTCCGCGTGCTGTATCACTCGTTCGCTGTCCATGTCCCTCATCCGAGTTCTTCCTACGATGGCTATCTGCACTCGATGCGGAACAAAGGGAAGCTCACGGAGATGGATTTGCACATGAAGGTAGGGAGTTTTGGATGGTTGGGACCAAGAAATTCATCGAGGAGTTGCGACAGAGAGGCATTGCGCTGCGCGACATGCTTCCCTTGTGTCCGGGAACAGAACAGTCTTTGTTGTGGAGTTTAATCGAATCGGAATAGCTGTATCATAGAATCTGGTGTTTGTTTGACTCAAATTATGCCTCTCTTTGGTTCCTTTCCTCTAGACGATAACTCCGCGTTTCTGTACACTCTGGGAACAACAGGAGCCGTAGCCCTTACGATCATGGCTTCCCGTTTTTTCAATCTCTGTTCTTCGGCAGCTTCTAGGAAGTTGCTACATATTTGTAATGCATCAATTCTAAAAAGCTAATTCTTAGGTATGGCTCCCGTGTTTATTCTCTGTTGGCCGCTCTTTGCGAATACAGAGAAATCCATGTACTATGCAATGTCGAGTATGTAAATAAAAACAAATTCAATCATTTTTAGTTCCGTTTGCGTACACCGCCGTTTTTTGGCTGGTAGGAAGCGGAGTTATCTCGAGTAATGTGATCGTCAAGTCAATGAGTCGTTCTGGAAACAAAGCAGAGCTTAAAATCGGTCCTGTGCAATATGGCTTGATCATGACGCTTATGGCGTATTGCTATTGGAAACGAGTCGAAGCGATTTTTGTCATCATGACTCTGTCATTTGGTGATGGATTCGCTGCTCTCTTGGGTAGCATCTCTGCAAACACCAAGAAGCTTTGGTGGAACAGCTCTAAATCGTGGATGGGTTTGATTAGTTATATCATCTTCAGCGCTGCCGGCATCATCGGCGTGTGCTGGTATTTCACCGAGTAGACATTCTGATTGGGTGTGTTACGCGTAGAGAGAATTTAATGTACATTTCAGACAAAAATTACATTCAAAACGCGCTGATTGTGTCGGTAGTTTGTGGACTGATTGAAACGTTAACGATCCACAACTACGACAATGTGACAATTGCAGTCATGGCCGTTTTGACGTACTATTATGTGAAATGAGGAGTTCAATTTCTTTTTGTTAGAAACCTTTTTATTCCTTACACTTGTAGTTTATGCAATAAGAAAAGTGATCCACTAGGACAATGCAGCTGAAGGAGTGGCTTCGTGTTCTCCGTGTGATTGCTGTGGTCACTGCAATCAAATTCATCATGATTCCATCGTATCACAGCACGGACTTTGAAGTTCATCGAAATTGGTTAGCCATCACGCATTCCCTTCCAATCTCGAAATGGTATTATGAAGTGAGAGTGCGCGACTCAAATTGATTGGTAGAACACGTCAGAATGGACATTGGACTATCCTCCCTTTTTTGCATGGTTCGAGTATTTGCTTTCTCAAGTGGCCGAATGGTTTGACCCTGAAATGTTAAAAGTATTCGTATTTTCGCGTTCATTAAGAAAAGGTGGAGAATCTCAACTATGCAAGTGCGAAAACAGTTCTATTCCAACGATTATCCGTGGAAGCGACCGATTTCGTGTTGATCGGCACACTCATCTACTACTTTTTCTTCCCCCGCGTCACTTCCTTCCGGTCTTCGCTTCTTTTCTTTTCCCTCTGCGTGTTTGCTCCCGGCTTCCTCATCGTAGACCACATCCACTTCCAATACAACGGCTATTTAATCGGCCTTTACCTTCTTTCCATCGTTCTTCTCTTCTTTGTATTTCTCCACTTCTTTTCGATTTCTTTCAGAACCATCCGCTGCTCGCCGCGCTTTGTTTCTCCTTCACCATGAATTCAAAACACTTATTCTGCTTCCAAGCGCCCATCTTCTTCGTTTTTTTGTTGAAAACCTACTGCATTGGCGGGAAGCTTTCCCTCCAACGTTTCTCTCTTCGCTTCCTCCTTCTTGCCGCCATCGTTCTTCTGAGTATTCTCAGCTTGTTGACTGACTCATTCCAGCCTTCTTCGTTTCTTTTTATCCCATTATCCGAAACGACCCAATCGCCGATTTCTTACAAGTTCTTTCGCGTCTTTTCCCTTTCCAGCGAGGCTTGCTGCACGCTTATTGGGCGCCCAATTTCTGGGCGTTGTACGCGGGGATCGATCGTGTTGCCGGCTTTGTGATTCGAAAAGCGTGTGCACTGGGCTGGCTTTGTGGAATTCCAGTAATGGAGGGGAATTCGGCGGATGGGAAAGTGGGGTTGGTGCACTTCGCGGTGCTCCCTGAAATCTCGTCGATGCAGACGATGGTGCTGATCGCGGCGGTCTACGCAGTAGGACGCAACGCAAAGAAAGAGAGTAAAACGTAGCCGATCTTGTGGACTCTGTGGAAGCGACCGAGCGGCGAGATGTTGATTCGATGTAGGAAGAGCGAGAGGCTTTTTTTAATGCGCTCTAGGCTCCGTTCTATCCACGCTGAGCTATTTCTTGTTCGGCTGGCACGTGCACGAGAAGGCCATTCTTCCCGTGCTCGTTCTGCTCGGCCTGCTGCTTCCTCGCTCTGCGGAGGACGCCAAGATCTTCTGGCTGGCGAGTCTATCGGGCACCGTGGGCTTGTTCCCGCTGCTCTTCACGCTCCGCGACGAAATCACGGAGTTTCTGCTCACCGCGAGCTATCTGTGGATCAGCTGGAGCCTGCTGCGCGCGCAGTTCGGAGCCGCGTGGAGCGCTGCGTTCGGGCGGATCGACGTTGCGGTGATCGCTGGGATTCTGGGCGCGGTGGGGTTCGCGACGTGCGTGTGTCCGATCTGGTTCAAGTAGGCACAGCGGAGAGCGTTGAGCGAGCAGAAACTACCCGTTCCTCCCCTTGATGGCGATTTCGCTGAGCTGCGCGCTGGGGAACCTGCTCGTGTTTCTCGAGAGCTTCCAACAAACACAAAAACCAAAGCAAGATTGACTTGATTGTTCACACACACTCGATCACGGCCGGCCCGCCCCGTGCGCCGCCTCACTATTCCCAAAGCTAGCGAAGTGCCCGGACTTCTGCGTCGTCGGCGACCCGATCTCGATCGTCATGTTCTTCCCTGCGAATCGGCCCAGCCGTCTGCACCTCACTCTCCCTCCTCAACCCTACGGCGGATTCACAGCGCCCGGCCCACCGGGTCCATTGGGTCCACCAGGACCATTGGGACCACTGGGACCATTGGGACCATTCTGCACATTTGTCCCCAAACCTCCCAAATTGGGGACATTGGGCCCACTCTGCACGGGGTCGGGGAGATTCAGCGGCTGGACGGGTTTCCGCACGGGCGACCCGGCGGTCTGCACGCGGGACCCCATCAGCGACGCCACCGCCGGCACCGCTGGAACCGCGGGGGGCGTGGGGGAGCGCGCGGCGCGCGGCGAGGCGGGGGGATGCAGACGCGTCACCGGGGCCACGGCCGCGCTGCCGGCCAGATTTAACCGCGGGATGGCGTCCAACCGCGGGGAGGCGGCGGTGCGGGCGGGGAGGGCGGCGACGGGGGATCCCCGCGGGGAGATGCGCGGCGAGGCGGCCGGGGAGGCGGAGCGGAGCGAGGACTGGGAGGCGGAGGGCAGGAGGACGGGACGGATGGGCGCGATCCCCGCGGGGGGCGCGGGAGGCGAGGCGGCGGGCGGCGGCGAGGCGCGGAGCGAAGGGAAGGAGGGCGCGGAGCGGAGCGTGGAGGTGAGACCGAGCCCGCTGCGCAGCGTGCCGCTCTGCGAAGGAGGAGAGCCAGGCAGAGGCGGAGGCGAGGCGCGGACCGAAGCGGCAGGGAGCGGAGGAGGCGAGGTGCGCGGCGACTGGGAGGGCGGAGACAGCTTCTTGATGGAGGTGACGGAGGCGCGGAGGTGGAGCGTGTCGTCGGCGGAGAGCTCGCGCGCGCGCTGCTCGGCGGCCTGCTGGATGGCGAGCTCGGCGCGCGCCTGGTACTCGCGCAGCTCGCGCTCGAGCGAGGCCTGCTTCTGCTTGGCCTGGGCCTGGAAGGCGGCGAGGTCGGCGAGCTGCGCGCGCAGCGAGGCGTTCTCGGCGGTGAGACGCGTCTCCGCGTCGGTGGAGGCCTTGAGGTCTTCTTGGAGCGTGTTGATCTGGTCGTTGAGGTTGGCCATGGCGCCACGCATCATGTCTGGAGGTGAGAGCGTGGAAACGGGGAAACCGATCTGGTCGATGTAGCCGTTGAGCGACTCGACGATGTGGTCGGCGTGCTCGGGATTCAAGTCGGTGGTGTCTGGGAGTGAGGCCTGGGATGCGGAGGGACTGGTCACGAGGTCGTACATGCTCTGAAGGCGCAGCACGTCGTCGTTGAGATCGGTGATCATCCGATTCAGCTCCTCGATCTTGGCGTCCTTCTCTCGGATCACCGTCTTCAAATTGGACTCGATGGTGGCCACCATCATCTCGTACGTCTTCTTCATGCCCTCGATCATCACGCTCACCTGGCTCTCATCGCTCTCCCCGTTCTCCTTCCGCTTCTGGATCTCCTCCACGATCTGCCGACGCACCTCGATCTCCTTCAGATCGATCGCCGTCTGCAGCTCCCGATCGAAATGCTCCCGCAGCTGCCTCGCCTCCGCGTCCTTCTCGCGCAGCAGTCGCTTCAGCCGCTCCACGTCGGCTCCGTTCAGCACTCGCGCCGAGAGCAGCGCGGAGTCGTCCTACCGATCACTCCGTTCTGCGAGCGATACGCCGAAAGGGTTGAGTCGCCGCCCTCCCGCGGTGCGCTGGACGGGCATGGGCTTGTTATCGACTCTTTGAATCAGAGAAGAGAGAGAAAGAAAAGCACTTGGACTGCACGATCTTGATCGATTTCGCGATGGTGATCTGCTCCAGCGCGCTGAAGGTCTCGTCGAAGTCGCCCTTCTCGTTGCTGATGTTCACGATCAGATGCACCGGGCCCGCCATCGACCCCACCAGCGACGTCTACGCCTCACCGCGGCCTTCTTCGCCTACGGAGAGCAGATGCGTGAGTCGGCAGTTCCGGAAAATCACGCGCTGGTTCGGCTTGCTTTGCGAATCCACCAGCGAGCGCAGGCACTGCATCAGATACATCAAGTCGGTGTTGATGTGCCCGGCCTCCTGGCTTCGCTCGCCCGACGCGTTCGTGCGGTTCAGACGCTCGCTGCCGGCGAGGTCCACGATGCGGCACGTCGCGATGATCTCGCGCATGAACTGCTTGTTGGTGCGGATGAGGTTGAACGTGCACATGGTGTGCGAACGCGAGGAGTCCAGGTTCATTTTCGTCTCCGCGACGTGCTTCTCTTTGGTCCCCATCGCGATGACGTCCATGCCTTCTTTCAGCGAGGAGATTTGTTTTTCCTGGATAGGAGACAATGCACAGCAATACGGTGAGGTTAATTATGTGAAGGAACCCGTTCGCATCAGAACGAGCATTCAGCATCGGCTTGCTTTGACCGACGCGGATCGTCGGCGAGAGCAGATCGTAGATGCAGTTTTGATAGTCTTCCAGGAAACTCATCTCTAAGGTCACTTTCTCTTCATTCGTGTCAAAGCGAGATTTGAAATCAAAAGTTCCCATTCCATTTATAATATAATGCAGGGCGCGGGGAATCAGGCCTTGGTTCCTACACAACAGAGCACATGTGCACAACCCACCCTTCAGGACCCATGATTGTATACGTTTTGCCACTTCCTGTCACTCCATACGCCATAATCAGGCAGCTCTGTCCCTTCAGGAACCCATCGAGAAGATTCTTCGTTGTGACGTCGAACACACGTTCTTGGGTCGTAGATGGTACGAAGATCTCAGAATATTCAAAATCTGCTTCGATGCGTCCATTTTTATACGTCTAGAACACTATCGCCCAATTTGAAATTCCTACGACAGAATCCTCTGGTACCTCCAATCGGAGATGTTTCGAATCTTTCACATTGAGATAGTCCATCAGATCCGTATTCCCATCTTTCTGGGGTCTGATTCTCAAGAACAATTTAAAGGAAAATTTGCTCTCTGTCGATTCCGCTTTTTCCATCCTCTAATACATATTTTTTGTTCCCTCCTTCCAGGGCGTTTTGTCCGTTTTCTCAACAAACAAAAAAACAGCTCCATTTACTATCCGCTCTGCCGTGTTTTCTTGTTACCTCTCGACGTCATTCCTGCCCCAAATCGAACTCCTTTGTCTCAACAAACAATTCACCTCCATTTCTCACTTCCCCTTCTCCGCTTCTGCTTCTGCTTCCGCCTCCTTTTTCGCCCTCTCCGCCTCGTTTCTCTTCATTTCCTGCTCATCCAAGAACCTCTGCACATCTTCGCTTACAAGCCCCTTCTCCAGCTCCTCGTCCTCCGCCTCATTCGTCGCCTGCTCATACGCGCTCTCATCGAACGTCTTGGTCTCCACGAACGCCTCGGCCTTCTTCTTCCGCTTCTCCAGCACGCCGTATCCCATCGCCGCCGCGCGGTCGAATTGCTGCGACGTGTCGGGCAGCGCGTTCGGGTTCGTCGCGTCCGCGTTGCTCTGCGGTTGGTACGTGGCGGGGAACTGATATCCAGGGTCCTGGAGGCTGCAAATGAGCGTCAGTCCGCGTCCTCACTCGATTCCGCGCGCTTCCAGACCGAGAATCAGCGCGTCGCGATCGCTGCGCACGATGGACTCCTTCGCGACCGGGTTCGGATCGGCGAACGCCCAGCGGATGTTCAGCACTTCCTGCTGGTCCAGAGCCTGTCCGGCCATGGCGACCTTGGCGAACTCGGCGCTGCAGCGCATTCGGAATCGCACGAAAGCGATGGAGAGGCGGAAGATCACGTTCACTAATTCCACTTCGCCGAACTCCGAGAAGTGCCGCGTGATCGCTTCTTTCAGGTCGTACCCGTCGAGACGCTTCAGACCCGCCACGTACAGCGTGCGGCACGCGTCGTTGATCGAGCCGACTGTGCATCACCGCCATGATCATGCATGCCTACTTCCGCCCATATCCTTGCGATGCTCGCCGAATCGCTCGCGGCCGAAGCAGTCCCGGTCCAGCTTGATGTTTTTGAGATCCGCGGGGATCGGGATGCGATGGTAGTACTCGCACGCGCTTCCCTTCGCGCAGCACCCGCGCGCGAAATGGATGCAGAACCACGCCTCCTTTCCCTCCGCCGCCGCCTTGTCCGCGCGCGTGTACCCGGCGTCGCGCGCCACGTTGCACCGCGTCGTCGCTGGCTCGCCTTGCTCCATTCCGTACGACCAGTTGTCGCCCACCCACCGACCGTACCAGATGTTGTATTCGTTGTTGCCCTCGCGCCGCGAGCGGTTCGCCGCGATCCATTCCACTTGCTTCCGCGCAGGACGCTTTAGGAACTGCTCGTTTTGACGGTCGTACGCGATGGACAGCGCATCGCCAGGAGCGCCGCGGCCGTACCAGCCCGTGCCGGACGCCACGGGACCCAGCTCGGCGGGACGCTGCCACTGCGTCTGCCCGGTGACTGTGTTGATGTAATATAGACTGTCGGTTTTGGGATCGATCGCCTCTCTCCACTGGGAGGCTTCTCCAGCCTAGGGGTGTGAATAGAACAACAAACAGAGAGTACTTGATCACGAACCATGGCTGTGTCCATTTGAAGACCTCCTCCGCCGAGGGGCTTCTTTTCTCTACAGATGTGACAATAATTTCCCGTTCCAAAGTTGCTATTTCCACACTTCGGACATGTCCAGTTCTTCTCTACGATACCGAATGATTGACCCACGGGACCTGCAATTCCCACCTATTCATCGAATTCAGAATTCAAAAAACTACATGAACTTCAGTTCGTGGTGGCTTTCGCAATTTCACATCGTCATGTTTACGCAGATATTCATTCGGATCCGCATCCATGATAGAAGGTGATGTTGTGAGATAATCAATGAGAATACCAAAATAGGCACTTTTCTATCGAAATCCCCAAGTTTTGGAATTCCCAAAATCATCATTCTTTCATTTTCACCTCTTCATGCAATCAAATCAAAAGATTGAGGACGTGAAAGGAGAGAACAACGAGGGATCTGCAAAACGAAAGGGAATTTCGCGATGGCAACAAAAGGTTCACGACAAATCAGACAAGCAAAGACTCAATGTAGCTGGTTCGCTCAGTTTTTAAATTGCTAGAATGGGCCCAATGTAGGAAGTCACGAAGAGATCGACATGGAGCAAACCGCATATGCCATGGAAGAGGACGCGCCTCCTTCTCCTGAAGACGATCTACGCGTTTTGGTGTACAAAGAAAAAGTCCCTACCCCCGAAACTGGATATCAAAACAAGCTGCGTGTGCTCTATTCCAAAACAAACAGCACCGAGATGGCTACATCGATTCCTACGCGCCCACTGCCTTCTTCTCCCGAGAAAACACTGAACGCTCCCGATCTTCGAAACGACTACTATCTAAACCTTCTGGATTGGGGAGCGAACAACATTCTCGCTGTTGCACTCGAAGACAAAGTCTATCTCTGGAATCCCTCCACCGGTAATGTCGACCAGTTTTCTCCCTGCAAGAACGGCGAATATATCTGCTCTCTGTCTTGGCTGAAAGACGGAGGGAATTATCTGGCCGTCGGAACAAGCTCGAACGACGTGCAGCTCTGGGATTGCGCCCAGCAGAAGAAAACGCGCACGATGGGCGGCCATAAGGCCAGAGTGGGCGCACTCGCTTGGAATCACTATCTCCTCACCTCTGGAGGCCGCGATGCCCTCGTCATTAATCATGATGTCCGCATCGCGAACCACGTCACCACAATCTACCACGGACATGACCAGGAGGTGTGTGGTCTAGCGTGGTCCCTGGACGGGAAGTATCTCGCTTCCGGGGGAAATGACAATCGAGTTTGTTTGTTTGATAGTCAAGTTGCAGGGGACGTCGAAGCGTTCAATATCCTCACCGATCACACGGTCGCTGTGCGTGCACTGGCGTGGTGCCCCTACCAGAGCAATATCTTAGCCACTGGAGGAGGAACGGCCGATCGATGCATCAAGTTGTGGAATGCGTCTTCCGGGACGTTGCTGAATAGTATCGACACGGGGTCGCAAGTGTGCTCATTGCGGTGGAATCCGCACGAAAAAGAACTGCTTTCTTCTCATGGATATGCAAAGAATCAGCTTTGTCTGTGGAAGTATCCCAGTATGACGCTGATCAAGGAGTTCTTTGGACACGAAAATCGAATTCTGCATCTGGCAGTATCGCCAGATGGCACTGTTGTATGCTCGGCAGGAGCTGATGAACGCATGACATTCTGGAGGATCTTTGGAACGAGCTATTCTGACAAGAAGAGTGGTGTCCCATCGAATTCTGCATCGATGCCGTCTTTTAACCGTATACGATAAAATGTTTGATGAAAACAAAAATATAATCGCGGAATTTGATTTCTTACAAAAGATTTTATTTTAGCGCGTGATCCAAAATTGTGTACTCGCCCATTGTGGGAAGATGAATACGAAAATCAAGTATTATTATTCATCCTCTGGAGAAGTACCGAAATGTCCTGTGGATTCTACAAGGTCAACTCCAGAAAGTGAGGAGCCTAAAGTGAAAGGCATCCAAAGAAAGAAATCTGGACATGATGAGTCCAGCCGAGAACCAGTGAACAACCCAACTACTCTACCACCTATTACCATTCGCATCCCAACGTTTCGAAGTAGAAGAAAGACTATGAATTACCGGAATACTGTCTGTTATGGAGAATTAAATTCATTACGGAACAGTGGTGGCGGATTTCGCAACAGCCTCGCAAATGACGCTTACTACCCGTCACTGAAACAATCCGATCCTGTTTTGGAGAAAACTCCTTCTTTTCCCCAATTGTCTAATTCAGAGAAGAGAAAATCTCTGAACTCCAGTAATGCCTTTAGTGACATTAGTTCATCTGTGCCTTCTATCACTCATCAACAGAACAGTGCTCGATCATTCCGCGTCGACTCAGTGGATGATGATCAGCCTTCATCTTCATACGTTTCCATTCGAACATCCAAAAGGAAGGGTTCATTCCATTCTTCCAATTCAGATTCGTCCGTCTCTGGCTATGATCCTGTGAATCATGAATATGTTCCATTTTTGGATAATGGAACTGGTGCTTCTTCGTATCTAACAGATCAAGACTTTTTATCAATTTTATCTATTGCATATGCTAAGATTTTGCCATTTGGTGTTTGTTGGAATCTTGAATTACGAGCGTTGCATACAATGGTGCACTCGGATTGTTCAAAGCGATGAGAGAATGCGATTCACTTGCCCACTCTTCAATCAGTATTATTATTATTAATATACCTTTCTACTAATAGATAATAATATATAACAACAAACACTAACAACAACAACAATACACACTTCTCTTTCTCTTCTTAAATATCAATCTGATGCACATCGTCCAAGGACATGGTCAGTCTGTCCGTTCCACGAATCTCAAAACTCACAAACTCATTGGTTCCCTTTCTCAACAGCGGCTCGGGCACATACAGCGTCAACTGCGGTCCCACGGTCCAATAGCGTCCCAAGTTGAATCCATTGGCGTAGATGTGTCCCTTGGTCCATCCCTTGGGGTTAATGAACGTATCCGCCGTCTCTTTAATCTCCACAAAGCTTCGATAGAAGGCGGGTCCCGTTCGCTCCGCCTCTTCTTCGTTCGCTTCCTTCACGGGCTTCCACTGCACATTGGAGAGATCCTTCATGCCCAATCGCATCATCTCCCATCCCTGCAGCACGCCTCCGTTCAGCGTCACATCGCCCAGAATGCCCTTCCGATCGGTCATCTGCGCTCCGTAGTTCAATCGGCCCATGCTCTCCACCAGGATATCCAGCACGCCGCTGCCCGGAACCTCCACCGTCACCGAGCAGTTCGCTCGCTCGATGAGTCCCAGGAAGGCTTGGTCCAGGAACACGTACGCGCGATCGTGCACGGTGGCTACTCGCAGCGTGCCGCCCTGCACGATGGACGTGCGATACAGCACAAACCCGTAGTCCAGACCCAGTTTCTCCATCGACAGCGGACGATCGGCCTTCACGGGCTGCCGGTCCAGTGCTTCCAAGTTCTCCCAGAGCGACGCGCGCTCCGTGAAGCGGATCGTTCCGTAGCTCGCCTTCTTCGTGTCCTGCACGTCGTACTGCGGCAGCTTCTTCCACTTGCCGATCTGATCGCGGATCGCTTTGTATTTCTCCGTCATGTCGCCCGCTTCGGACAGCGGAGCGTCGTAATCGTAGCTCGTCGGCTGCGGCTGCAGCAGCTCGCCGCCGCCGTTCGCGCCGCTCATGAAGCCCCAGTTGGTGCCTCCGATGAACACGTAGAAGTTCCAATTGGCTCCCATCTCGTACATCTCCGTCATCGTGTCCAGGATCGGCTGGATCGCCGTCTTCTGATGTTTCTCCGTCCAGTGGTCCAGCCACCCCGGGTAGAACTCCGAGTTCTGCAGAGGACCCACCGGCTCGTACTTCCGCATCACCGCCAGCTGGCTGTGCGCGTCGCCGGGACCGAAATCCACGGTGCTGTAGGCCTTGCCGGCCAGACGGCCGCAGGTCACCATTTGGTCGGTGGGACCATCGGTTGTGAAGGTGACGTAGGTGGTGTCGGGACCTAAATACTGAACCGTGAGGTCGTAGAGCTGCGCCAAGTAGTCCTTGTCACAGGCAGGGTAACTGCCATACTCGTTCTCAATCTGCACCATGATAATGCCTCCTCCGTTTGTGATCATATGGGGAGCCAGGATGGGGAGCAGCACGCTGTACCAGGCAGTGACCGGTTTCATGTACTTGGGATCGTTGGTTCGGATTTGGATGTCGTCCTCCTTGAGCAACCAGTAGGGAAGGCCTCCAAACTCCCATTCGGCACAAATATAAGGTCCAGGACGCACAATGACCAAAAAGTTGTACTTCTCAGCGAGGGTCAAATATCGGTTAAGATCGTTGGCCCCCTCGAATTGAAACTCTCCCTGCTCCGGCTCGTGCATATTCCAAGCAATGTAGGTTTCGACCGTGTTCATACCTGCGTTGGCCAGCTTCTTGAAGGTGTCCTCCCAGCGATCTGGATGGACTCTGAAATAGTGGAAAGCAGCGGAGATGAGCTGAATGGGCTGGTTGTTGAGAAGATACGAATCCTTTCCGATGGTAAAATTACCAGCAAATACACTCGTGAAAAGGGTCAAGAGAAGTAAAAGGTTTACCATAGTTAAAGATTAAAATGAGGATAGTGGGGAGGGGATGAAATGAGACACAATTGAATGAAACGCCTTGGTTATTATTATAGCAGCTCACATCACATCACACCTCTCTCTCAAACTTATTCCCAACAAACACGCAATGGATTGAAGAAATGTACTTTCGTTTACTTAGCACGGACAGTGGACTTAATAATACCCACAGCGACAGTCTGTCTCATATCACGGACGGCGAAACGACCCAGAGGAGGATAATCCTGGAAGGACTCGACGCAGAGAGGCTTGGAAGGCACCAGCTCGGCCATCATGGACTTTCCGTTCTTGACGATATCGGGGTTCTCACGCAGGACCTTTCCGGTACGCTTATCCATCTCGGACATGATCTTCTCGAACTTGCAGGCAATGTGAGCAGTGTGGCAATCCATCACAGGGCAGTAACCAGGACGAATACCCGAGGGGTGGTTCATCACAATGACCTGAGCGGTGAACGACTCCACTCTGCAAGGAGGATCGTTCTTGGCATCTCCGCACACGTTTCCACGGTGAATGTCCTTCACAGACACGTTCTTCACGTTGAAACCGACGTTGTCTCCGGGCAGAGCCTGAGGAATCGACTCGTGGTGCATTTCCACAGACTTGACTTCAGTGGTCACACCCACGGGAGCGAAGGTCACGGTCATACCGGGCTTCAGGATACCGGTCTCCACACGGCCCACAGGCACTGTACCAATACCTCCGATCTTGTACACATCCTGCAGAGGAAGACGCAGAGGCTTATCCACAGGGCGCTTAGGAGGATGAATGTTGTCCAGAGCCTCAATCAGAGTGGGTCCCTTGTACCAGGGCATGTTAGCAGAGCGCTCCAACATGTTATCTCCGTTGAATCCAGAGATGGGAATGAAGGGAATACGCTCCTCCACCTTCTGGTAACCGACCTTGGTCAAGAAGCTGGTCATCTCAGCCTTGATCTCCTTGTAACGAGCCTCGGAGTAGTTCACGGACTTGTCATCCATCTTGTTCACGCAGCAGATCATCTGCTTCACTCCCAGAGTGTTGGCAAGAAGAGCGTGCTCACGAGTCTGACCGTTCTTTCCGTAACCAGCCTCGAACTCTCCAGTTCCGGCAGCAATGATCAGAATGGCAACATCGGCCTGAGAGGTACCGGTGATCATGTTCTTGATGAAGTCACGGTGACCAGGGGCATCGATGATGGTGAAGAAGTACTTCTCAGTCTGGAACTTCCACAGAGAAATATCAATGGTGATACCACGCTCACGCTCGGCCTTCATCTTGTCCAGCACCCAAGCGTACTTGAAGGATCCCTTACCAATCTCGTTGGCCTCCTTCTCAAAACGCTCAATGGTACGCTTATCAATACCACCGCAAGCATAGATCAAGTGACCAGTGGTGGTGGACTTTCCAGAATCGACGTGTCCAATGACGACCAAGTTAATATGAGGCTTTTCCTTACCCATGATTACAAACGAAAGAGTTTATTGATAAGGAGTGGTTAGAACATTTGTACAGTGGTTTTCCTTCATTATCATGAAATCGGGCAAGCGACGAAATAAGATTTCCGCATTATTTTGCACTGCTTTTTCCAAAATTATTCGCGATGATTGCAATCCTAATCTGTCTAAGAGGAGGAAGATGACGTCAGATAGCACATAGATATTCGGAGGCACAACGTGGATACAACAAAGAGGTGTTCTACACTTCGTTTAGTCCTTCTTTTCGATCTTTCTCTTTTTCTCCCATTTCTCATCCTTTTCTCGCCTCTTGAGCTTGTTTAACTCCCGTGCTTCCGTCTCCATACGGCTTAAATCTTCCTTGCTCGGGTACGAAACCTACAACACATCAAATTCAAATTCCTAATTCTTACCACATATTCTTTATTCAAACTGTCATTTGATGCAATCCAAGCAGAGAATACATGTTCCGCTTTGATTTGCTCGTCAATATGCTCGTAAATTTGTGTCTTCGTAAATTCGCATCGAATTCTTTGAACATCTTCACTCGTGAAATCGATCACTCGTGTTGGGTCGTTCTGTTTCTTGTTGTACTCGGCAAATATAGGCTACAATAGAGGGATAATGCAACAGAGTACCATCGATAAAAACAATCCCGTGCTTGGAGCCATGGGAGTGAACATGGTTCCTCGACTCAAGCTACTATTCGCT